CTCATGGTCTTCGGCTGGGATCCACCGCGGCCATTTTCTCCCCCCCCTCCAAGGCACGCTTTCGTTGCCAATCACTTTATCAATATTTCCCGGATGAAGTCATGGGCGGAGGGGGAGGGTAAGACATTCATAGACTGTCATTCAATATCCCACCGCTATCTCCCCACGATTGTCGCTCTCTACACAGTCGATCAGCTTTAAAAAGCTTTCCAAACCGACTTCGCTTTGCCTGGCTAGACTCTAGACCATCGAGGAATCGAGACTTATTTTTGGTTCCGCCGCCCACGCCGTTGTTTTCTTTGGGTTCTTCGCGCTCTCCACCCACTGGTCCGCCGGTTCCACGCTTCAAAAGCTTTTTTGCCTTTTTTCCCTTTTTTCTCCGGCTTCCCCCTTGTCCTTCTCCAGTTTTCTTCTCCTCTTGACGTTTCGTTCCGTTTGTGCCTGGTGGCTGTTCTTGTGTCTCGTGGATCTGCATCTTCCCTCTTCCCTCTCTGTTCATATTTTCCCACTCGTACATACTTTACTTTATACTGCACATACCCGATAGAGATCCCGGTCCTTGCAGCAGGCTGCTTGGACTATTCAAATGTCGGAACCACACCGGGAAGGTGCCTCCTATGAGCTGCTAGATCGCGAGAACAGCTTCGAGGGTCACGATGCGGTAGCTCACAATCCCAGCCCTCAGACCACCCCGAATTCTCCTACCTTCCCTGAAGACGTGACCTCTGCGCCACCTCCCAGCGACGCTCAGCACGAGACGTCAACTACGAGGCCGACTCGAGTCCGATTCCGCTCAGTGAGCAATCATGGCGAGAGTGCACCGCAACGGCCGCCTATGCCCCGAGCAGACTCCGACTATTCCGTACGCTCGCTTCAATCCGTCCACTCCATGATGCCCACGTCGGACTCTGCCGATCTTACCGAGTACTTCCCCGGAGATGGAGAGCCTGGGCCTGAAATCGAAGCAGGCGTCGAGCCATCGGCGCACCGACGCGCCTCCCCACCTACCGACGGCGACACCCCCAAGTCTTCCATCGAGAAGGAAGAGCAACCCGCGCACCCGATGTCCGCCCGAGACCGCTGGAAGCACGCCAGCAAACTGCTTCGTCAGAAGACCGTCAACCTGGGCGAACGTCTGGGTAGACCTTCGGACGATGACGGTGGTGACCTCGGCGCCGCCATGCTACCCGATGATTTAGAGAGAGGACTTGGACCAGCACCGCCGCGCCGTGGAGGGGAGGAAAAGGATCCGTTCGATATTCACAACCGCGATCGCGACGAAACACCACCGCCACCTAGCGCAGAGGCCCATAGATTGGTGCGCAGCATGACCCAGCATCACTTGCGCAACCGCAAACCTAAATCTGCCTACGCACGCTCCGGAACCAGCACGCCCGACGAATCGAGTCGACCGGACTCCTGGTATGGGGGTGCTACCCCGCCCCGCCCTGGTGCGGGCGGCGGCGGTATTCTCGCGCAGTTGCTGAAGCTCCATGCTGCGCAGGCGAAAGATAATATGTCCGTCACGGACTCGTCCGACAACGAATCGGTGGCCTCATCAGGGACCGCTACCCCGCGCCGGGACTTCTCGTCAGAGACGGCGACTCCCAAGAAAGAGAAGTTGAAATGGTACAAGAAATCGAACCATCATTCCACCGCCTCGCTGGTGTCCGCATCGATGAACCTCAGTCGGGCGAGTCTGCCGGCCTCCGCCGATACGTTGGTGATGCTGCCGCAACCACCGAAGAAGGGGAAGAAGAAGTCGCGCAAAACCCGGCTGGAGGACGAAATCCGCGTCACCGTGCATATCGCCGAAATCCTGGCGCGGCAGCGTTACATCATGCAGCTGTGCCGGGCGCTAATGCGGTACGGTGCCCCCACCCACCGTCTCGAGGAGTACATGCAAATGACGGCCCGAGTCCTGGAAGTTGAGGGCCAGTTCTTGTATCTGCCGGGATGTATGATCATGTCCTTCGACGATCCGACCACCCGCACCGCCGAGGTCAAGTTGGTCCGAGTCGTGCAGGGGGTGGACCTGGGTCGGTTGGCGGAAACGCACAACGTGTACAAGAATGTCGTTCATGATCTTATTGGCGTGGAGGAGGCTATTCAGGAATTGGATTTCATTATGAAGCGGCCTCCCCGGTTCAACAAGTGGATTCTCGTGCTGGCCTACGGGTTGGCCAGCTGCGCGGTCGGTCCATTCGCCTTCGAAGCCCGCCCGATCGACATGCCCATCATCTTCTTCCTGGGCAGCCTTGTCGGACTCATGCAGCACGTCCTGGCCCCGCGCTCCGTTCTGTACTCCAACGTGTTCGAGGTCACCGCCGCCATCCTGACCTCCTTCCTTGCACGCGCCTTCGGGTCCATTCACCGCGGCAAGAACGCCGACGGCTCTCTGAATTACATCTTCTGCTTCTCCGCGCTGGCGCAGTCTTCCATCGCTCTCATCCTACCGGGATTTATGGTTCTCTGTAGTAGTCTGGAACTGCAGTCCCACCAGATGATCGCCGGCTCCATCCGCATGGTCTACTCGATCATCTACTCACTGTTTCTCGGCTACGGTATCACGGTCGGGACGACCATTTACGGTTTGATCGACGGTGCGGCCAGTTCGACGACCACGTGCCCGAACCAGGATGTTTACGGCAGCAAGTACACGCAGCACTTCGTCTTCGTCCCGATCTACGTCATTTTCCTCGCCATCATCAACCAGGGCAAGTGGAAGCAGGTGCCGGTCATGATCGTCATCGCCACCTGCGGCTACGTGACGAACTACTTCAGCACGCTTAAACTCGGCTCCAGCTCGGAGGTCGCCAACACCGTCGGCGCCTTCACCATCGGTCTGCTGGGCAACTTGTACAGTCGCCTGTGGCACGGCCACGCCGCCACGGCCATCCTGCCCGGTATCTTCGTGCTGGTGCCCTCCGGCCTCGCCTCTTCGGGATCCTTGCTGTCAGGTATCGAATACGCCGACGAAGTGCGCGAGAATCTGAAGAACGGGACGAGCGCCAGCAGCACGACCTCGGACGCCAGTATCTCCAGCCTTGGTTTCGGTATGATCCAGGTGGCCATCGGTATCACGGTGGGGCTGTTTGTGTCTGCCTTGATCGTGTATCCCTTCGGCAAGCGTCGGAGTGGATTGTTCAGTTTTTAAAATCGCACCTTGCGTGCCTCTCTATACCCCCCTTGTCCTGTTTCGTCTCCGCCAGCCTCCAGTATTGCTTTTGTTGTCCTCGTACAAAGTCTGATCACAATCTCCCTCCGTCATCCTTGTATTTATGTGGCCCCTCTCTCTGATTTGTCGATGTTATCCACGTTTGCATGTTTGCATGTGTTTATGAAGTGCATTGAAGCAGGCTTTTGCATTTTTCTCCCCCTTGCCTTTCCGAGTTTCTCCATTCTAGATGGCTTTCATTTAATTTTCGGGGTGATATTCTAATGTTGCTGGGTCGCGAGGATGTTTCGACCGGAAGGAAAAAGGACAATTTACTGGTTTAGATTGTTCCAGATATTTACTTACTTTCTAGATTTATATGTTGCACCTAGAGCTATACTTACTTCCCTCTCATCTTGGATTATACATTCTCCATTTCTTTGTTCATGGTATGCTCGGTACGTAGCTTTTGCTTTTCCTGGGATTAGATATACGCTTTGGGTTTCTTACCTGAAGAATTCTAGACGTAAATTGAAAATCAAGTAAGTGAGTCCAAATGGTGTGTGGGGTGTCGATGACGGCCACAGCGAGCGGTCGCAACCGATCTTCTTACCGCTGTTCTTTTTGACCTCCGGGGTACCTATCATCGTGCATCTCCTATTTTTGGGGCCGCATCGCCGGAGAAATTTGGGACAAGCTTGGGAATCGAAATCTATAGCCTCAATTATTGTCCGCATCGTGCAAGCTGTAAATCTTTGTGACTGTGGTGGTTAGGAAGAAGGAAAAAGGGAAAAAAAGAAAAAAAAAAAATAAGAGGCGATCTGGAGTGTTGATTCAGCACTAAGACTCATCTTTAGGTAAGTAACCTTGCTTCCGGCCCGCAACTATATAAAGAAAAGAGAATGTATTTACTAGTACTCATTTCTCGAAACTGCCTGTGTGCTGAGGAAAGTGTCCAAATGACGAATTACTGGCTAAAGTCAGGCAAGAAAGGAAGAAGAAAAAAAAAAACAGGAAACACCGAAAGAGAAAATAGATCAATGAGTCTATATGTGCTGATATGCAATTAGATGCGAGGATTTTAGTGATAACCACAATAACTTCGGAGGAGACAAGCGTCGAAGCTCTTCGAGATCACCACGAACCATGAGGCTCCCTATGCCGGTGCACTCTGTTTGAGTCGGACGAAAAGAGAATCTGATGGTAAAATCGTAGGGTCCGGAGCCGTGCGCGGCCGACTGTGCTCAAGCCCAGCGGTCGCCGTGGTTCCAGGTATCCGAGAGCAGGCCGGCGTCGTCCAGTGTGCCCTCCACTGCGACAGGAGATGCGACACTCCCTGTCGCGGGAGCAGGCCGGCTGGGCAGGTTCAACGAGTCTTGAGGCGCAATATCTATTACCACAGAAACACAAAAGACTGATCAGCATCCTGCACGATTTCGAGTATCACCTCCACCCCCAACGCCAAAAACTCACCAGTAGACCCAGCCCCCAGCCCACTGCCACTGCCACTGCCATTGCCATCTGCCATCTCCGCTCGCCGCTGGCCTTCAGGATAATACCTCCCTCCGGGATGGAGAGTCTGCGAAGTCTGAAAAGTGTGGGAAACCGCGAATCAGAAAAGAGACGTTTTGAACAACATGGAATGAAGTCTGTGTGCGCGTGTGTGGCCTTTGTTTGTAATGATAGCGGCGGAGGCAGCATCCACAACTTTGTACAGTAACATTGCTGCCGGCCCATCTGATATCATTTCTTTTTTTGGTGTGCTCTTCGCGCCCTCCCTCGTGTTCCCCAAAAAGAAGATGTAATAATTTGGCCACCCGAAAATGATAGTTACAAACAGAATTCACGAACTGGTACTACTGACTTCTTGAAATTCTTCCCCCTTGATTTCCACCTCGCGATCCCGGATGCGCCGCATCAGCGCCAGGAAACTACTCTCCTGGAACTTCTGGCTGGTGTCGTGCTTGAGACTGTCGACGAGCTGGCCGGCCGTGCGTGCGAGCGCGTCCGCGTCGTTGGCTTGCGCTTGGGGGTCGGTGCTCTTTTCCGTGGGCGGGATGGTGTCGGAGCCGATCTTGATTTGCTCGATCGGGGCCTGTGCTTCAGTTGTGAGGTCGTCGGTATCTTGTTGGGGCGTGGTGGTTATTTGTTCTGCGGCGACGATCTCGGTCGCTCTCTCTTGGGATGCTATGGCTGCGCTGGCCTGCGCGAAGGCAGCCTCGAAGGCGGATTCGTCGAAGGTTGAGATTGGTGCTGCTGCTGTTGTTGTTGCTGCTGAGGATAATTGGGGAGCGGGTCCCGCGTGCCGGGGGTGGAGTCTCATGACGTGCATTCTACTGTCGCTGGGCCTGAATGAGGATTGGAAGTCTTCGGTGTGAGCGAGTGGGTGATGCTGTTGCATCGTGGGCTGTTGTTGATGCTGGCGCTGGAGAAATTCATTGTGCCAGCCCTGTTGGGAGGTGGAGGGGAGTGGCGCATGCGATACGTTAGGTTGTTGATGTTGTACTGCCCATGGGTCCGCGAGGTTCAGTCTTTGAAAGTCGGTCGCCCAATTCAACGATTCTGAGGGACCGCCGAGGAAGAGTTGAGGCGCAGGGGCAGCAAGATGAGCCGGATGTTGGAGATCGCGAAGTGGTGCAGGCGCGAGATTGGACTCGAAAGCAGCGAATTCGGGGTCAAGGACGCCTGTGCTGGGATTGTGATTCCGGAACCCCTGACAGCGACGAGGTTAGTAATGTGAGTTTGGCTCAGACGGATAAAAGGCTAGAATACCTGAGAGGGTGCCTGCTGTGACGTCAACCTATCCTGCTGAAGGGTCCGATCGGTTGAGGCATGTTTCTGAAAGTTCTGAAGCGCGTTCGAGGGACCACATAGAGCGTCACTCATGATGCCGACCGGTGTTGTGCCTGCTGGGCACCGGAGAAGCCAGATAAGGCGCGTTTGGATCTGGCGTGGTTGAATTGGCTAGACTGCAAGAGATGAGTCCGGGAAAGAACGGGAAGACCAGATGAATGGATGCAGTGAGGTACTCCTTCTGCATCAACCTTTCAATGTTGCAAGAACAACGCACAAGATTAATGGCAGACAGGCGAGTCCGGAGTAGAAAGAAGATAAGATGGCGGGTGTGGACGGTGGGGTAGCCGGTAGCCCATCATGCCGAGGCCCCCCTCTCACGTGCCATCCGCTTATGTCATTCGCCCAAATCTCGGTCTCCAGGATTGCCTTGCTTACTTCGGTATAGCGTTCCGTTTCCTATCAGTTCCCACTTGTCTCGGGTCTTCTTTGCTTTTACTCGTAAGATTCTCTGAAATCTAGCTACTCGAACCATATGTCTCGGCTATGTATACACTTGTTTTCGACCTAGTTTGGGAGACTGGAGGCTGAGACAGTCTCCTATCTAAAGGGTGTAGTTAATGAGACCGACCATGGCACGTGCGTGGGTGGCAGTGCTAATTGTTCAGCTACCTTGATGCGAGAGGAAGAATCACGTGGCCAGCTCTGGCTGCTGAATCAGCAAATGCAAGTGTATTAGCTGGATAGTGTTGATCCTTGCCTCTCGGATGTCAAACTCTCGAATTTCAATTGCGAACAACATGGTGTGCAGGATCATTCATGTACTCTACATGGAGAATGTGGGTTGCTCTGGGTCTGGAGAAGCGGGTAGGCGGTGAGACGCTCGCCGCTCAGAGCTCGGATTCAGCCGGGAGTCCAGCAGGGAAAAGACTCGTTCCTGAGTCACTCCGGAGTCGCCACTCCGCCGCCGATAATACTCTGATGGCAAAAAATCCCCTGCAACATGGCTCGGCGGACTTGCCTTCACGCTTACTAGGAAGGCGGCTCAAATCACAAGTCAATTTCTTTTACGAAAGAGAGGAAGGCTCTTTGAAGGTGCGGATCACTGGACAAAACATTCCAAGTGACGGTCAAATGGTATATTCTATGATTCGTGACGTTCGTGCCCAAACAAATGCAAAATGTCTAGCATGCATGCAGAAAAACCAAACCAAGCCAAATGTCGGTATATACAGTCGTCTATGAGTGAAATTATGATGTGTAATGTCGGTGCCCGACGGCACGTCTTTCCCGGTCGGTCTTGGCTGTACTTCAGCGGTCGACAAAGGCGCTTGGTCTGAGTGGAAAACCGGCTCGTCGGTTGTGGGGATGAGATTAGGTTCCAAATCTTTTCAAGGTGCAGCTAAGAATTCATCGAGCGGTATGCGCGACTTCAAGAAATGATCATGCTGCAGGAGAAGCTGCAGGACACGCTGGTGGCGCACTGCACCAGCATGCGCCGTCCGATGAGTTGTTGTCGCAGAGGGTTGGGGTATGTGCATGGTGTTGTACTGAGCAGCTTGCCCAATTATTGGCATATTTCAGCCACTGGCACATGCGATAGGGACGGCAGGGGCTTGAGCCAAGCCCTTGTGGTACCGATCTGCAAGCTCCTCGCACACGCCCCAGATACGTCGACGGTTGGCGACCCCAATGAGGTTCGCGTCGTCCATTCCGTACCGCGCTGTGGTCATCTTGTCCAGCCAAAGATACAGCTGCTTGTAGTTGACCTCGTCATTCAACTTTTGTCCCTTGCTGGCCTGGAGCTCCCAGAACCAAGGCATATCCCACTGCATGAATTTCTTCCAGAAAAGATTGTCTTGAGTAACAAGGTGAACGCTCAAGGAGGCCTGAGCAAGGGATTTCAAGTCTTCGCTAGGAAGGAACATGCAAATCTCATACACAAGCTCGAGTGGAAGCTTGCCGAACGGACTGGCGGGGCGTCGCTCACGAAGGTCAATCTCGGCGGAGGCGATTTTGAGCTTGCTGTTCGATTCCATGTTTGTTTGAATATATGCGGGCAGTGCGGGAGTGTCTGTAGGGTGGGTTGCGCAGTACTATAGAGAAGATAATTAGTGAAATAATTGGGACACGAGGTCTCGGGTTCTCTTACCTCGACGCCTGGGATGCACTCCCAATAGCGCCCTTGAGCGCGCTGAATATCCTCTCCATAGCTCAAATCCAACGCGGAGCTCTTCATGTTGCAAAGAGGACTCATGACATTGTAGAGAACGTCCAAGTTCACCTTCTTGATATCCGTGGAGCCGGTGAGCGCGTGAGTGAGAATTTCGAAGCAGCACCAGTGGAAGGGAAGGACGGGACCCGGTGCCTCGTCCGAGCCTTGGCCATAGCATGAGTAGACTTTCTGGCTTGATCGGTTCGAGTTGGAGCCAGCCTTGACAACCAGCTCTCCGGCATCTGCGTAATATCCTTCATCCGAGAGAAACGCCTTGGCTGAGCCCGCAGCAGCGTTCTGGGTCATACCGAGACAGTGTGCTTTGTAGAGCCAGGAAATGTTTTCCCACCCAACAATGCGAGGGTCGTAACTGCGAACAGGATTCGCGACTTCTTCGCTATCCCGTGGCAGTTGAGCAAGGTCTTTCCCAGCCTGAAGAGCCCTACAACGCTTCTCGATCCATCGGCGGCGGCGTTCCAGCGCCTCCTCCGACGGGGGTTCGATGTGCATGCCACAGAACCCAACACCACAAATGGCACAGTAGCAGTCGAAGGCCATGGTGATGCGAATTGTATGGGTGTATGAAAAAGGGAGAAACAACAATGCAAAGAGATGGAAGGCCAATTCATGGGAGCGAGTGGAAGAGGCGAGCTGGTACTTATGAGAAAGGATGGAACTACCGATTGATTATCGAGACGGGGCCCACCGCGGGCTCGGAAGGGGCCAAACACAGGCCGCAATCAGGGGCAGAACCGCCGTTTGGCGACCCCATTCGGCAGCTCCAGAAATCTCTGCGCCGACGATCAGGCGACCTAAAAATACTAGCTGTGATAGATTCAATCCGTCGACACCGATACTGTCAATCAGCAGTGTGGTTGGTGAGTTGCTTACTCCATCCAAGTCGCCATTGCCGCTACCTCAGGGGGCAATGGTGAGTTGGCAAGAGGGATGGGACGCGAATTGCAGTAGCTGCAGGCCATTGCTCCACCGGGCATGGGTGGGAGAGAGAGAAATCAACAGACAGTCACACAGACAGATTATTGAGATAGGCGATGTTTCCACCAGCTTCCCAGTGATGATTCCCGGGACTTCCTAATTCTTCTCGGGATTGCAAAAATAGCTATGGATATATTGACAGGTATGGAAATCCGGAGAGGTCACGCAGGCCTGTTAGCGGCAATTAGTGAGCTTAGTCTGCCGCCACGCATCCGGACTTTACTGGAGACGGCTAACCTTAAATTTTGCACTGAGGAGCCCGAAAAGGCGGTGATGGGAGACTGCCCGCCGGAGGAATGGGAGCTGCTTGCTGCACCACCACCACCACCACCCCATGGTGTGCGGTGTGCTATGTGCTGCGTGCTATGTACTACTGAAAGATGGACACAATGCTCATTGCTGGAGCCATTGATGAACACCCCCCTGATGGCGATCCATAAGCAGTATGCGAGAGAACCATGGCATGATGACTGCGTTGTTGGCTGATCCGATCAGGAACTGAAGGAGCCTGGAGTGAGTGGAAGGAAGGGAGAGCCACCTCGAAATTTCCTCTTTCGGGCCGAGTGGGTCAGGCACTTTTGGAGACCCCGTGACCTTGCCACCCCGCATCAACTTTCCTCCTGGCCCGGGCCAGACCCGTCCAGAAGCCTTTTTCCCTCTTCCACTTTTCCACTTTTCCACTCTTTTCCTCCTCGGCAACTCAGCTGTCACACTTGCCTGCCACCAGATAACACCCAGCCCTGGCGCCAGCCCTGGCAGCGCAGGGGCACACTGCAGCGGCAACGTGGAGGACCACCGGAATTCACCAGTCGTACGATATAGTCTAATTCCTGACGTTACACCTCGTACATCCTTGCTACCTGTATACGTGATGTACCTCTAATAAGCCCATGACTTATCCTCGTATCGCCGGAATTCGCAGCAAAGAATTGGCGCAGCCACAATCTGGATGACCTGCTTGCTCCCCAGGAGCTAATTGGGGTTGGTGCGGGGAGGATCGGCTCCAGCCATGGAATAACCTCACCATCTTGTCCACCGATGACGCAATGAGATAGATAGAAGCTTGCAGAATCACTTCACATTTGATACCAAGGTATAGGATAGAGCTATGAGGACCCTGTTTCCACCTCCGAGGACTGCTTCCACAGGAACATGACAGCATGACGTGGTGCTAAGTGATACACGTCTCGTTCGAGAACCATCTTCTTAGATAAGAAGAACCTCAAGCCAGCTTACCATGACATCGGTCCATATCTAAACCAGGGCACCACCATGCACGCGCGCCATTGCAATCAGCGGAACTTTCTCTCATCAATTCCAATTGCCCCGATGATATCTCTCCGATGGACTGGCCAATGGGCCCTCGTGGAGTGAAGAATCCCAGGAAGCCAACCGTTTGCACAAAGAGCAGACTTGAGGAAAACTGGGGCCTCCTTTTCAAGAGCAAAGAGAACAGGCAATTTACTTTTGTAAGAGGCTTAAAACGAAAGTTTTGTAAACTATAAAGACCTATGCACAAACCATCCTCTCTTCTAAGTTTACAGTTCATCTTTCATCAAACATGTTTAGAGTAAATCCGTTCTATGATATTCGCCCCAGACGCAAGAAGCAAAATGACCCACTCCACCATGTGTGGCGATTTGTTCAATAGAGGTCCTCCAAATGGATACTTCTTCACGTTCAAGATATGTCAAGCGGGCGACCCGGAGTCTACGGACTGGGAGTACTATGAGGAGAAACTGGAGCTCAAGTTCTTCAATGAGCGGCTGGCTCACCCAAAGGCGGGCCCCTTCTTTGGCTGTATACTATCAAGGTCTTATGCCCAATTCTATAGGGAAGTAGCCTGTGATGAGTATAGTCATTTTCACTGCATTTGTAAGTGCGAGCTAGAAGGAAGACTCACACTTCACGTAGTCAAAGATAGATGGCTGATCGACTTATGGGGTAAGTTTGTGGTGGAGCCTGTGCTGGGACGTACAGGTTTCGATCGAGTCATTCATGAGATCTGCGCCATCCGATAGAGAATTCCTTATATTGCGTAGCTGACACAGCCTAAACATATTCTTCAAGAGCATCTACATACCCGAATGGAAACTATCCTTGTTGGCAGATAAATACTATGCCCTATATACATACATGGCTTTCATGTCTTCTTGAGTAATTTTAATTGACCGTATTGACCATTATCTGTCTAATTCGCAGCATGATCCTCTCTATCATGGACTTCCAACCGTTCTGCACGGCATGACTTTTTGATGACGCCTCTGAGAGAGGTGGATGATGCTTGGATTTCTGACTACGTCAGGCTAACTGCAAGAACTAGCTAAGGCCGCCGAGGTGGGCGGTAATCTGGCAGCCTAAGACAAGGCCACCGGGCCGCCGTCACATTTGCTTTCCTACTATACTCGTCGTATGCGAGAGCTTCATGGCCGTGAAGTTGAATCTTGATATTTCTGCTCGGGCCCCTGCACAGCGCAGTGCAGCGCCTATAGCAATTGGATGGCTTAGGAGTACTAGGTAAACACACTCACACCTGGTGTCAATATCTTTGTTCCACCCCCAATGAGTTTGTGTCCAATAACATGGTGCGAAGTTTTCCGGGGGAAATTCGCCGGTTCAAGAAATTAGTGTGACCTTTGTCGAGATTGCCGACTCTGAATAAATCTAGAAAGGCATCTTGGATTCAGGTACGATTGATGAGCGGCTGACATGGTGCGGCGTCGGGCTTGGCTTCTTTCGACTGGAACATTTCGCATATCATAGACGAGCCTTCAGCTTCGGAAGAGAAGACTATGAGATAGGCGATGAAGAGTAGTTAGTGGTCGCCTGAAGTTGCGTTCCAATAAGACCATTGTGCGAGTGATGAGCATCTGTAGAGTATGCACCCATGCCCGTCTTTGTCAACTTGCCATCCTAGAATCGAAGAAACTTGGACATTGGAAATGGACACACGAGAGGTGACGATAGGTAAGCTTTGCACTTGATGCCTGACCGCGTGACTCTGGGTGTCATCTGTACCTGCCTCGAAGCTGGGGTACATCCCAAGTTCAGGGTTTCATGGATTGTGGAGCAGGCGACGGAAGACGGAACAGAGACGTGCCGTGGGGGAAGTGAGTGAAAGTGACCGGGCAAAGAGTGGTACTCGGGCTCTGGAGCATTTGGGGCCGCCATTGTAAGTCCCTAGCGCATGAGAGGGGAAAGAGTCAACCGCAAATTGAACGGTACAGAGCAGATGGTACGCAAGCATAGACAGAAATTTGACACCAGACAAAGAGAAACATCTCCCCCGCCAGCTTACATGGGCCGAAGATCTCCTTCGCCTGACGAATCACCTTGATTTCGCCAAGATGGAGAATAAAGAAACTGTCGTGGCGCTGCATTTAGAGTTCATGTTCGATTATCTGCATGCGCATCCCGTTCGTCGCGTGGCTCACGTTGCTTTTCGAGGCATGAGGTTCTGACTACAAGTTCCTGCAAATTGATCTCGTGAAGCAAGAGCTGAATCTGTAATCTAGGATAGATTGTCTATGGGTGAAGCAAGCTGCAGCACAGGGAACTCAATGCACGTGACTCAGATGCATTGAGGATAAAATTAGAACCTTCACGTCAGTACTCATCTCTACTTAGGCCTGAGGCCATTATGGCTCTAGATGGACAATTACCATAAGCAGCTGAAAGGTTCATTGTTGCTGGGGGCTCGCATTCTTCCCAGCCGCAACATGCCAGTGCCCGAAACCTTCCTGGCTCTCTGGCATCTACGAATGACGGATGAGCGAAGCACAGTGCAAACCTGCAGTCAAAACGAGGTGTAAACATGATTTGATTTCAACACAGTGAAGGAGCTGCTCTGTGGGGAAGGAGAATCCTCATGACGCTTAGACTGAATGTATTTTTCCGTCACTTGGCCATCTCTAGGTAGGTAGCTGACTGGCTGGCTTTCCACACACCCCTTAGGCCATTCAATGTCCATTATGTCACCCAGGACTCGAACCCACTTACTTGGAACCAATACAGACTTCTACCAAACAGTAAACGTTGGATTTGTCACCCTCGCACTGGGACCTATGATTGCGCAGCTGATCTACGTGGAAGCTGTTTCTGGTATAGTCAGGGTAGCATTCCAGCGGGTGGCCATTGGGGAACCCGAGCCCTGGCACTGAATGGACAGGCCTCCAGCCACCAGGATCTTTGGGCACAATGATTGGCAGTGACAGGAGGTGCGCAAGCTGTGGGTCTGTTTGTCCAGTCGATCATGGTGGGTGGGCCATGGTGAGGTGCAGTCCATCCTATGCCCATTTGTTGAGGCCACATTCCTCACCCATCTTTAGATCTCGAGGAATGTATGCAGAAATCCAGAGGCTGGAGACCATCGTGACAATTCAAATAGGAGCATTGCTCTGTTGTTTGATAGCTTTGTTTTCTTTGCATCCTGTGCACTGTTTTCTTTGATTGTCAGTTTGTCAAACCGTGCCTACAGCTCAAACATTGCACCAAACATCCAGCGCAAACCCTACCAAACACTACATACATACATACATACATACATACATACATACATACCAACCATTCCGAACAGCTTATCGGCACCTTATCCGGGGCTTTTCTTCTTGCTCCAGACTTTTCCTTCCCGCTGAGCTTAATTGTCAGTCAAAATCTAATCGTTCCAGCGGGTTTTGTTGGGTCCATCTGGCAGCTTCCCTGACCTCGATTTCCGCAAACGGAAGGGGTTTCTCCGACTTGACTCGACACAATGTTCGCCCAACCTTTGGATCACACTTTCAATGATTTATTCAACCAGTACGTCAATGTGGACACCTCTTGTGCAGATGGCAACAAAGACGTTTCATTCCCCGGCGATCTTGACCAACTATTTCAACTGGATTCGTTGTCAAGCGACTGTGGCGATCTCTCGCCCACCATCTCCACATCCAAGCAACATCATCCATCAGTGCAGTCGTGGAGCCGGGACTTTTGGTGTTTGGCACAGGACGCAGATGTTTCTTCGGGCCAAGGCCATTTCTCTTTAGAGGACACCATCCACCCCTCGGCAGTCTCAGATCTCAGCATCACTCTTGAAGCTCCCTCCGTCGCCTATTCCGCCGACACCCGCACTTCTCCGTCCACTCCTCCGGCTACCCCCAGTCGCAAAGTCAAGAGTGCGCTGGTCACTCCCAAGTCGATCCGCCGTCATCGTGATTCCAATGATCGTCGTGCTCTACTACGCAAGCAAAGCTTTTCGCCCAGCCTAACGCGCTCGTCTCAAATCCAACGAAGCAGGATGGCCTACCCCGAGGCATGGGCGCAGCGGTTCCAAGATTTCACCTTTCGTAGCTCCGAAGCTCAGCTACCCTTGTCACCACCACCATCAGATATCCTCGTTCAACAAGAAAACATGGCTGCCGATCATGTCGGTATGCCTATGGCGCGTTCTGCAGAAGCGCTGCCTCAAGAATCAGAAATGCCTTCCCACTATGACTCCGGCATGTTCACTCAATCGCCTGCCATCACGATGCCTTCCCCATCGGCTGGCGCATTGGCAAGACAGCAACAACGTTTCCTGAGTCAATCGAACAGCTCCACGCTGAGCACATCAAGCCCGCCTTCGGCCGACCACATCTTCCCTTCCCCGCTTTCTTCCGACCCTCAATCAATGTCTTCATGGCAATCCGACTCTCTGGCCTCTAGCTTGCCGTACACCCCCGATTTGCAGACGCACGATGCGCAGACGTGGTGGTCACCGATGACGTCTCGGACCGCCCCGCGGCAACCCTCCTACCAGCAACTTATCGCTTCGCCTTGCCCTCAGCGGCCGACGCAGAACTCTACGAATCAACATGACATGCTACAGGGGGGCCTCATGATCCAGTTGGATCCCTCCTCATTTGACCTTTCTCAACCACAAAGTCACTCATATCCCCCATCTGGCATGCAATCCACTGCCAGCGGCGAGCAAAGCCGCTCATATAGTCACGGCTCCTCTAGTATCCAGCAGTCCGTGGAATCGTCGTCCTTCACCACACCGCAACTACAAAGTACCTCACGCTCCCCATCTTTGTCCCCGGGAAGCGGATCGCCTCCGACAGGCAGACCGATTGTACAATGCCAAGGAGGGGTCAAACCCCCTCGCCGTCATAGCAACGGTCGCAAATTATCGGGCAACTCCATGAGCGCTCCCAAACCAGCCACTAAAATCACCAGCTCGGGCAGTCCCCGCGGGAAGGCCGTCACCGTGTCCTTCGTGAACTTCACCGCCAACGACAGCAAGAAGATTCTTACCGGGGTGGCACCCAGCGGCAGCTCGAAGACGAAGGCACGACGCGAACAAGAAGCCCGCGACCGACGGCGCAAGCTGAGTGAGGCCGCGCTGAATGCAGTGCGCAATGCTGGTGGCGATGTCGAAGCTCTTGAAGCTATCCTATGCTAATAATCTTTGTTGAACTTTCTCTCTATGCTGTTTAATCATTATTATACCTTTGTTGCGAAATCTTTTGCGTGTTTCAGTGCATCGCCTTTTTGGAGTATGTGATTCTATGTTTCAAGGGTTGGAATCTAAAAAAGCGTTAGATCCACGGCGTTTGGGTTACAATAATTAGATTTAATGTATCATTAGTGGGGCTCAGATCCTTCAGAATAATTCAACTATCTAACCTACTTAATCACTTTCTAACCTCAAATTTTCTCCATGTGTCCATCCTTGTATCGAGCATCAATGGCCTTGTATCGAGCATCTATGGAAGCTTTACGTTACGAGTGTCAATCCCTGTCTCTCCATCAGACGTCAGCAAGCACCAGGGAATGTCAAAAGCTTCCAGTGACATGGGTAAGCATTTGTCACGACATCTCCGCATTCTCCGGAGTCTGGATACGTACCTCCACCGGGGTTGTTTTGCGGTTGTCAGTCTGATTGCTGGCCGAGGATTATAACTAGTATGGATCCAGTGACATCTGCTGGGCTGGGCCACTACGGCGCCCACCGACCGGGTCCTGCCGGGAGTGGGCTTTTGGGCGATCATCCCCAACGCCCCGTCCCAAGGTATGCTCCAGTTAAACTTAAGGTGGATGACGTCCCTTGCTCCGGGGTCATCCCCGCCGTCATGCTAATGGGCTTTGTACATGTACTTCGCACCCACCCTCGAGGACACCCAGACCAGACCCCACTGCCCATCAAATCTGCTTGTTACTGTGATGTACATGGCAAAACACGAGGTTTCGGATCGACCTTCCCAATTCCGCAGTGACTTTAAAATCATAACTGACCATCCATCGTCTGGATCCAGAGCATGTACTGTACTGTACCACAGAAACGACTCACCCGGGGGGGAGACCGAAGATCTCCCTCCTCCCCCCCTCATTCACGCCTCCCAAGGAAAGGAAAAACACGAGCGACAGTATCTTGGACTCCAAAGTCGATCCAGGTTTTGGGGTTCTCTGGTTTGCTTGTCTCGAGCGGGGGAATACTTCCGCAGTGGTGAGGTTTGGGTGGTGACGGCATGGGGAACCGTAGATCATGCCCCAAGGGTCTGGTGGGGTGAGACATTGTCGGGGTCGGTTTCCATGTGTTATTTGGATTACCAGCTGGAGAATATCATCTGGGAGATAGCGTAAGGATTGAATTGCTTATATTGGTGTAGATTGGATGCGCCGCCTTTTTTGAATAGCTCGTATACTGCAAATGGGGGCAGAGACTATCTACAAGCTGTGTAGGGCGGAATTTTTGCGGATGCTCCGGCAACGCGCCGTCAAGTGGGTGAGCAGATGAATTTTGATTAGGGAGTGGCAAAGAATATGCAATACAAGAGCAAGATTCTGCGGAGAGGAAAAGCAATCTTCGAGGAGGAACTTTTAATCCTTGTGCTCAAGAACTGGTCTCTTCTATCGTCTGAGAAGAACAAGGAATAAGTAACTTGGGGCTACTGTACGAATCGATGGGTGTCCTGGGATTAGGGCTTAGTGCTGCCGGGTATGAGATCCGGGGAGTTCCGCTGTCCTCTATCCTGCGCTGCACAGTATATATTCTGCGAAACGATACAGTACCACAATCTAATATCTCCGATCGAAGGAGTATTGTCATAGGGAAAGAACATTTGGAAAGGAGACATATGAGTCACTTGCAGCCCACATATTGATAATCATTTCTGTCACTTGACAGCTACTAGTAAATCCATCCCACCTGCTGATCTAACACAGTATTCTTTGCAGAGCATCCCACCGGATATCTCTTCCATCCCACCGCTGCTTACTGTTGGATGACGTGATCGAGGACACCCCCTGACAAATGAGAGGGTGTGAGAGTGTCAAGTCACCTCGGCTTTTCCCCTCAGGGCCCAAGCCAGCCCCGCCAAGATGCGAGCCCCTCTTGTTTACAGGACTGTACAATAAATATCCTCCAATCCTCCACCAGATCCCAACAATCATAGCACTGTATACTTTTTTCCAAAGAACCAACCATCTCTGACCTCATTACCATTCACCACGCATACATCTTCTCAACCTAAACCCAAGAAGCAAAATGTCCCCCCCCTCCTTCCGCGAACACATCGGCCTCCCGCCCTCAACCGCCACCCTCCACGACTCAACCCTAATTATCATCGACGCGCAAAACGAATACGCCACCGGCAAGCTCCAAGTGCACAATGTGGCCCACTCCCGCGCCGCTATCGCCGACCTCCTCGCCCGGTACCGCGCCGCCGGCGCCAAGCAGAACATCGTCCACGTTTTGCACTGCACCCCCGCCGGCGCCCCCGTCTTCACACCTGACACCCCGCTGGCCGAGGAGTTCGAGGAGCTCGAGCCGCGCCCCGACGAGAAGGTCATCTTCAAGCATTTCCCCAGCTCCTTTGCGCAAACGGAGCTGCACGAGCACCTTCAGGGCGTGGGGGCTGTCGGGAAGAAGATCGTGCTCGTCGGGTATATGGCGCATGTGTGTGTGTCGACGACGGCTCGGGCCGGGCATGAGCTCGGGTATGAGGTGCTGGTTGTGAAGGAGGCGGTGGGCGATCGGGCGATTCCTGGTGTCGAGGCGGAGACGTTGGTCGATGTCGCGCTGTATGAGATCGGGGATGCTTTTGGGACGGTCCTCCAAGAGGGGAAGGAGATTGGGGAGTGAAAGGTTTATGTCTCCGGAGATGATTCAAGTTGTGATGTTTGAGGCCGTGCTTCAGTTTCAGTGAGTTTCTGAGGAAATGACATGTATAGCTTGATTCTGAATGATAACTTGCTCAGTGCATATCACAGAGTGTAGACAGGCGGGTCGCAGCCAGTAGCTAGCTTGTAGCAAGGTGCTGCTAACTCTAAGAATTGAAATCGATGCAGCTCCTGACCATCTAATCTCTTACCTGCTATTGACATTGTGCATTGCTCAGGACCGTCCATTACTTCACTGGCATCCAGAAGTCTGACTTGACTCGTGTGCCTCTCATACGGTGGCGACGGACATGTACCGTACTCCAGGACCTTGTCGCAGATGCTCCCATCCGGCCCTAAAACTCGAGGAGTCATATAGATGGATAACGGAATACTGGCTACAATCTGCCCATATTGTCAACTTGATGGCTCCCGCTGTGATCACTCTAGAATAACATACTGTGTCGAATAAACGCCCCCTCCGATCCCGAAACTCGGCGCGAACCTCAAGAGCGTGGTCAATCGCAATCATCTTTGTGCGTACACTTTGCGAGCACAAGCTCACGCTCCGCGGCAGCGCCTTTCGCGAGCTCACAGCCCACTCCGTGCCGGTGCAACTGACGGATCCACTTTCCCCGACGAGGGACTGTGTTTCTTTGAACAGCGATTGGGTTCTTGAAGCGCTTATTGAAGGATATCCAGCGCTGCTTGTGCGGCAGTCGCATTCAATTGGATGTGGTGGCTTTCGACCACTTCCAGTGTCAGGGCGGAGAGGTTGACGTCCTTGCATGGCGCCTGGAACTTCATGTCCACGGAGAATATGGACCCGAAAGGGATGGTGGGGCTGGGGATCGAGATGCAGTATTCGATATTCTGGGCTGATTGGCCTCCGGTCGTCTATATAGGGCTTTATTAGCCTATTTCAGAAGCAAGCAAAGTCAGAAGAGCCTCCGGAATAGAAGGATGTGGGAGATATGTGTTCACATCTTTAACCGTCCTACAAACCTGACTTTGATCGTTTTGACCCATATGGCTTCAGGCAGGGAAAGGCAGAATTTCCCTGTCGTGTAGGTCATGTCTCCAGCCGTCTGGGTTGCTGAAAGGAAAATACATGACTTATCCAGTCTGTTTAAAAGGTTTGCGGTTGGAGCAGTAGTTATGGGCTGATGCAGTGCGACCGACACACCTAAGGTCATAACATGCTTTCCCTGTGCGAAAAATTACTCAAGCGCGGCTGAAGAGAGTATTGATAGGCTTATCAGACTGATAGTTCTCCACTCAGAATAGAAAATTTGGTTTTCTGAAGCCCAGTGGGTTGATTTCATTTGTTTCTCTTATATTGTCTGCTGGTGAGCGGACCTGCTTAATTGGGGTCGGAGTCCCGACTTCCACTCATGCAATCATTGAATCCCGCCCTACTTTGAAAGTAATTTGAGAAGTAACATGACAGCATTAATATACCTCTAAATTGACCTCTGCTTGAATAAACCCATTACTATCAGCATGACACATGAATGTGAGGCTGCATCTCACTTCTTGGAACTCACTGGCTCCCACACCAAGCGCTTAACCATCTACTCTCCATCAGCGCCAACACTGTTGGTCACCGAGCCAAACACCTCCAAAGCATGACCAAGATAGTCTTGGACACCTGTAACCCGAGGAGTCATATCACTACCTAGAGGCAGAAGCTTCTCATTTTGATGGCCTTCCCCGACTCCCTCACCGACAATAGCCTCATACAAAGCCTGCATCGCCTTGTCCTTGTCACCGTTGGGTTTGAGTTTTCCATCGATCAGTAGTCTCTGGACCTGTTCCACGACCGTTCCATTATAGTCCTCCGGTATGGGGAACTTTCCCAGAATCACCGAGTTAAGCATATTCGTGTTGAAAGTCCCGAGCACCACCGTCAAAGTGCGGATATTGAACGGAGCGACCTCCTTAGCCAGGATCTTGGTAAGGGCTGACCAGAAACCACGGTCAGCAAATTCACCTCGATAAAGAAGCTAGCCCCTCATGAGTGTACAATACACTACATACCATCCAATCCCGCCTTTGCGCCCGCGTACGCTCCCATGGTAGGGGTGCCGTCCAGCGAGGCCCCGCTGCTCATGTTGACGATCACGCCCGACTTGCGCTGGCGCATATGGGGCAGCACGGCCCGGATGAGACGCAAGGGGCCGAAGTACATCGTCTCCATCTGTGCTCGCACCTCTTCCTCGGTGAAGGTCTCGACAGGGGCGTAGATGCAGTAGCCGGCGTTGTTGACCAGAACGTCGATGTGGTCCCCGCTGCGTTCGAGCTCGGTGATGATCACGCCGCTGTTGCGACTATCCACGTCCAGTTGCACCCATTTTCCGCCTGCAGACTCAAATTCAGTGACGAGGTCTGGGGATCGTGAGGGCTCGCGAGAGGTCGCGATGACTCGATGTCCGCCGGCTTGGGCGGCGCGGGCTAGCGAGAGGCCGAAGCCGGAGGAGCAGCCGGTTATGAGCCAGGTGAGTTTGGTGGTTGTCATGATGAATGGGATGGTGATAAGGTTAATGATGAATAAGATAGGATCAGACTATCAGCATGCACGTCTTCCCTTAAATATCACGCGTCGGGGATAGCGCTGCAGTAATGCCGTGGGAATAGTTACAGCACCCACTAAGTCCGCGGACTTGTCGTACCTATCCCCGGACAGCTTCAAGGTTATTTCAGGCTACTCAGGATATTTGATCGCACTCACTCCGCCGTGAGACGCAATGAGTCAAATCAAATAATACTGACTGACACCTCTTATTGAGACTACTTAGCGATTCGAGTGGGAGTATGTCCCCAAGATTTACATGATTGTCTATTCCCTGGGCTTATCCTCTCAAATCCCTTTGCGTTGTTGAGGTTCTTGGAACCTAGATAGTACCATGGAGACTAGCTATCAGCAATAGACACTTTGACCGAGTGGTTAAGGTGCTGGCCTGCTAAGCCAGTGGGTTCGCCCGCGTGAGTTCGAATCTCACAGGTGTCGTTTCTTTTTGTAATTTTTTCACCCCGAGCCCCATATTTACTCCTATTTATCTTTCCAGCCCGGGTCCCGCTCAAGTCACTTCAAACTTCATAATCTCTTGCATCAGAGGATACACCAAAACTTCAAATGTACGGAGCGTACTTGCCAAGGGCTGACTATCTCACCTCTAGATGAAGTCACTTGTTCTTAACTTCTATCACTGCGAATGACTGCAATACAGCCGCCAAAGGATTATTCCACAACACTGACAGCGATAATTTCAGTCCACACTGATGCTAAATCCTATTTTACGCTGACCCATTACAGCCCCATCGTGAATATTGCCTCACTGAATGCTGAACTCCATCCGGACCCTGCGCCTGCAACACGACCCGAGTCGAACCGCCTTGTCTAACAGCTCTCCGGAAAGAAGACATCCCATGCGATGGTTTAGGCTCAAGACTCGAAGAGACCCAGCCCTTTTTGCGCTCGACCATGGCATTCATCACCGCCTGATTCCAGACCTGATCGGCAGGAGTGAAAGGACACTCGAAGCTCCACGCCGGTCGAATTTGCACGTCGTGTCGCTCAGGCAGGGCATCTAGCTTAATGGATGGAGTGTGAAACACCACCTCGACAGACCCACCATAGGCGGTACTGCGTGCTAGACATTCGATATGAGACTTGAGTGCTGTGAAGTCGCCATCAGGCATGGACGCTGATTTGTGAAGCGTCCAGCTGGAACCGGGTTGGGGGTTAGGATTTGGAGATATAAGATTGAGCTGGGTGAGCATACCTTGGCCTGTCTGGACTATTACGCAGCCAGCCAGCTACTATCTCCTCAAATCTGGACCCGTCTTAAACGGAGGAGTCCTCCCATGACCGTCAGCCACTTGCATTGGCCGTCACGAGTCGCCCCGATCGGACTCCCACTACCTTCGCGCAGTCGATCCAGAGGTCGAAATCGATAGCTTTGGATTGGTCGTTCGTCATATGCGTTCCAAGGATCTGTAAACAAGCTCTGGGCGGAGACTTGAGCTGCTCCATTGAAGAAGATCTGAGATCGTCCGACGTGGAGGCCATTTCCGCGGATGGCAGTCATAGAGAGCATTGACGAGGAGGGAAAGCTACAGATAAGCAGGACATGATGGGCCCGATGGCCCCCTTTTAAGTTGTTAAGTCAATTGAAGCTGAGACAACCTGCGTCATAGTGCATCTTAATTCAAGTGAATCTAGCCACGCTAACTATATAGTGTCTCAAGTTGTCAGCAGCCATTCGACCTCGCTGGCCAGGATGCTGCTCACCGCTTGTCGCACCCATGTCGATATTCTCACGTAGCTGAATTCTTGACTCATCCGCATCCTCGTGACAAGTAGGCACTGGCCAATGAGTTCTGGAATCAGATCAGTACTGTATCTGACTGGGGACTACAAGGCACAGGTTGCTCTGTCCGCCAAGTCCTGGTGACAGATAGAGGATCTTCCCTTCAACTGTAACTCAGGATATCTGTAAGGTTTCTATCGCGACGGATATTGCAACTTTCGGCGTGAGGATGGACCACGCACTGAAGATCCACTTGCATGTTTGCTGAGGCAGGTATTCAAGAGCAGTAAACCACATCCAGATTCCGTGAAAGACCTAAGTAGTTGACACTGCTTCATCACGCTTAGGCTTTGGAGAACGATTGGCGAGGAAATAGTGGAGACATATCGTCTGTAAAGCAACCTCCCTACTCATAGTGGCAGCTGTGATTTTCCCTGTTGTGGTTAGTTTGTTAGTTTGCCTCTGGGGGTAGCCGCCCTGTACGCCGTCACGGGTGTTGTCATCACAGCCCCTTGATGAGATCCCCCCTCCCCAGATACCGTCATAAAAGCCACCTACCCTCCGAGGATCCTCCAAACTTCCTTCTACGTCTCTTGGTCGAATGGGAAAGCAGGTAAGCACAAAGGTACCGGGTGATTGGTAATTTGGGCTACGGTGGATATTCAACCGTTTGGCTATGCAGAGACCTACAGTCAGCTTACCTCTCCATCAAGTATCGATACGCAAAACCAACACCAACGCACTAATCTCTAGGAAGCATGAATATGTTACCCTAAAGGTCTTTGAGCGCAATTCGGCAGAAGGCTAGAGAGAGGTAGAGACCTATCACCACTTGAACACCCTCGGCACAACCGATCATGCTGGTGCTCAGCTTATCCGCAAAGCGTTGGATAGCTTTCAGATCACTTCTAAAGAGGGCAATTTTGGATGCCTTGTTCATCCTACCTTGGGCATAAGTCGACCAGTAGCCCGTGGTGTTGAGCGTCGGGAGATGGTGGTATGCAAAATACGGGTCTGCACTGCTGGAGAGATTGGCCCAGCGCAGATCGTGGGTTGAAGGAGAGGTGGAATTGTTGGGGTCATTGTCGTGGCGGACGCTTTAGAAGATAACTAGGTTGAGGAGTTCGGCGTCCTGCGGGCCTTGAACTGCAAAGATAATGGGGAACCAGTCTGCCGGCGGATATGCTGTGTTGCGAGGCAAGACCAAGTCCACTTCGAGCGCGTGGGCTATGGTGACTAGGACCCCGAGAAATCCGAGTCTCCTCGCTGGAGAGAAGTGCAGGACAAGAATGAAATCCCCCACAGGGCTTTCTGACTGTGAGAACGAGGAGGTAGCAAGGCAGTAAGCAGACTTTTTACAAAAGGCGCGTTAACGCAAAGAGATAAAACAGAAGAGGGGCACATCCCTGGCGCCGAGACACTATAGCGTAGACATCGTAGGTCAATTTAGGGCTGACTCTTGGTTCAGAATTTCCTTCCTCCCGCAGGTCCTCCAGTTACAAAGAACCAAGTCCAACCCCGAGATGGCAAGATAACATGCCAATTTTGTATGCCAAGACAATGTAACGTCAGGACAATCTAATCAAAAAATGAAGCGGAGAAACTGGTCTCGCTTGGACGGCCAAGGCTGAACTTACGGAGAGCTACAAGCCTCAGTCAGATGCCTCAGTCACATACGGAAACTCGCCTCCGCACCTGTCAGTCAAGTCGGGCTCCCGCTCATCTCAGACAGCCCCAGCATCTCGATTAAAAAAGGTCTTCATCATGCAGCTGAAGTTTTTTGACCGGAAAGGACGGGAGAAACATCTCACGCGAGCATCCACGACACGCTTGTGCTTCTTGCCGCCAGAAGAAGGTGCCTTGCCTAAACCCTCATTTTTTGGTGGACATCCGGCACTGATGATGGCAATAGAAGCGATGCTTTCACGCTCAATCACGACGCACCGTACAATCTGCGCAGGTGTTGTCTGACATAGAGCGTGAGGTGCAAGAGAGCACTCATGTCACGTCGCCACAGCACAGAACCGAGCAACGACAGCCTTTACATTTGTCCGCCTCCATCTCATCAACGCCAGGATCGGATATCAGCAGAGAGAACACAGACCCCGATCAATTCGCATGCGATACTAATCCTGTTGTCACCCTGTTGGATGACCCCAAATCAAGACTCCGAGAGGGTCAATCCCAGAGAGGGGACGGGGGGGGTTCGTTGCATAACGAATACTTTTCCCCTGCGATATCCGAATCGCAGCCTCATGGACACACAGCGAATGAATGCATAGCAAGCACTGTCGCTGTGCTACCCCCAGAGCCACAGCAACAGGCCCTCATCGATCCAAATCATCTGCCTAACCGCCTCCAAAGACCCCCGCGCCGCGCCCTTCCTCTCCCTCAACCCTGACCCAACCCTCCTTCCCCTCGAAACCTTCGCCCGACTCCTCCACATCGACATCATACGCAACATGCCCAAACCCCAAGAATGTCGGATCCTTACCACAGAACAGAAGCCCTGGAACTCTACCACCACGCCGTGATCCTCCTCTCCACGCACTCCCAAGGCCTACAGGGCCGGTCCCGCTCCCGGGCCACCCAAATCCGGCAGAGCCAGGCCCTGCACAGCGTGGCGGCCCTCATCCGCCGCCACCGACACCCCCACCCAACCCCGCCCCTCGCGCTCTCCGCGTATACAATCGCCCTCGCCTTCTCCGTGACGTACAGCCACCTCAAAGAAGCCCGATCACCCAGCGCCCGGGCGCTGGCGCTCGAGCATGTCGATCTCTTTCATCGTGCGCTGCGGGGGTGGGCGAGGACGTGATGGCTTGCGGCTGTTATGGCGCATTTGGGGCGGAATGCGCTGGATGGGGTGCATCAGCAGCGGCGCGAGCAGGAGCTGGTTTCCCTAGCTGTGATGGTGGCGGTGGGGAGGCTGTGGTCGCACGCAGTTCTGAATATCAAGCGCTGGCGCCTAGCGAGTTTCATCACGATGGTAATCCTGACGAAGCTACACTGCTGCCCAGCCGCTTTACGGGTAATCTTCAAGGTGAAGGTCTCGAAGGTCAGACATCCAAGATCGCCTCGCTTCTGGAGGGTTGTTCCGCCCTGTCGTCGTCGGAGTATGGGGCGTACTTTGATAGCTTTCTGGAGAATTTCTCGGATTCGGGATTTCCGTTGCCGGGGTTCTTCTTGGGGGAGCCGGCTGTTTGCTGATGACTTTTCTGGAGGAGGGGATGAGGGGGGGGTAAGATGGGGAAAGTGGTTATATCAGGATACTTGAATGACAGCGGTGTGCGTAATTGTAGATATGTGACTGTTCTATTTCTCTATTGTTGTTATTCCACATAGGCGAGTCTTGGATGTTCTCTTAATAGCCAAGGAAGTTCCTGGTCAACCATCTCAGGGGCAAGTGTAGATGTTATACATACACATTTGGGCAAGTCCAGCCTCAATATAGACCATCTACCGTTCAGAGCGAAGCGGCACCTCCGTCGCAGGCACAACCGTCTCGAACCCGCCGCGTAGCTCCTCCCCACCAACCCCACAGATCCCACTCAGATCGACCTCCTCCCCCCACGGCAGAGCATCCACGTCCACCTCCCACCCCAACAGACACCGCAGCACCACCCCGGCCCCGGCCTTGCTCATGACCTCATTCATCTCCTTACACCGTTCGTCACAGACACACTCCAAGCACCCCTGCGGCGTGAGACACTGGCAGGCTTCGATGCGCTTCACCGCCCGGCGCAGCAACACGTCCACAAACTCGAATGCCTTGCTCGCGATGCCGGATCCGCACGGCCCGCCCTTCGCATCATAGAAGGTCAACCGCGCGGGACGCTGTCGCGCGGGGGGCTGGAGAATTTTCTTGACCTTCGACTCCAGTTGCTTCCTCGTCTGGCCCTCGTGCGGTTGTCCTTCTTCCGCGGCTAGGCGCAGGCCCCGGCCGAGTTCCTTCTTCGCGACTTTGCATTCGGTGCGGACGTCCCCCGGGGAAGAAATCACAAAGGTCGGGAGCAGCGAGAGGATGGCGTGTTCGGCGGCGTGGATGGCGGCCGCGATGTTGAGGTTGTGCGAGCGGAGGATGTCCAGCGCCCGCTTGGGGATGTCCAGCCACATCCCCTTGGTGTAGATGTCAATGGGGGGGTTGTCGACCGTGACGGCGTCCAGAATGCGACCGCGCTTGTCGACCTTGAAGAACCCGTAGACGACGGCGTGGATCCGGATTGAACCAAAGAATGCGCGACTCAGCGGTTCGGGCGATTGGGATGGACCTTCGGTTTTGGCGGCGGCGGCGGCCGAGGCGGTGATGGAGAACGGATTCTGGTTGATGAACCGGATAGAGTCGGTTTCTATGGGGTCGATATCGGTGTAATCGCGTTGCATAGTATTCCAGTCCACATGGACCCGGATGACGCGCGCGAAATGGCGATCGGGGTGAAATTCTTGAACGAGATACGTTTGACCCTGATGGAGGAAGATGCCTCCTTCGTAGATGGTGAAGAAGGCACGCGAGGCTTCCACCTCTTCGAGAACCACGTTACGCGAGTTGGTCGTGTCGATGACGGCGAAGTGCTGGTCTTCAGTGTCACGGATGGAAACAGTGCGGGATGGCTGCGGCCGAAAGCGCTCGTGGCAGTGATAGTAGCCCAGAGCATCGCGGGTGAGGCGAGTCGCGGCGAATTCGGCAAGCTGTGGTCCGAAGTAGGTGCTGTCTTCATCGGGTCGAATGGGCATCTCGAAAGCAGCGCATTGAATGTGGCCTTCGAGGACCAGTTCGTTGGCTAGATCGACTTGGAGTTCGCAATTGGGCTTGGTGAACAGTTCCTCGGGGTTGCGCATATAGTGCTGGTCGGTGGGATAGCGGTCGCCGACAAGAACCGAAAGCGAATCCTTGTTACGTCGACCTGCGCGGCCGCTCTGCTGGCGAAGATTCGAGATCGAGTAGGGGAACCCCAGAGTGATGACGGCGTCGAGAGACCCAATGTCGACTCCTAGCTCGAGGGCATTGGTGGCCACAATGCCCATCAATCGGCCCTCGAACATGTCCTTTTCAATTACACGTCGGTCTTGCGGGCTGTAGCCACCGCGGTAGCCCATGACGAGCTTCGCAACCTCGGCGCGCCCGAGATTTTGGCATTCCGTCCGCACAGCTTGTAAGAGAACCTCACACATCTTGCGGATCCGACAGAACGCGATAACCCGTGCGCCGCGTAAAATGAGCTGGCAGAACAGACGTGCCGTTTCGGCGACACTGTCCCCGCGGCCGGATGTTGGGTCGTTAGGATCTTTGAATGGCGTATTCCAGCACATAAATTCCTTGCGTCCCGATGGAGAGCCATCGAAGTCGATCAGTTTCACATCTTCAACTCCAAAAATGGCCTTCATGTGCGCTTCCGGATTGGCTACTGTGGCCGAGCAGGAGATAAATCGCACTTGACGGTTACCTACAGCGGCGCAGATGCGGCGTAGGCGACGCATGATGAATGCAACATGGGATCCGAATAGTCCATTATACACGTGCAGCTCATCGACCACAACAAACTTGAGATTCTTCAGAAACGTACGCCAGGAGCCTTCTTGAGGCAGAATGGTAATGTGTAGCATGTCGGGATTGGTGAAGATAATCCGCGCCTCATCTCGAATGTGGTTCCGTGTGGCCATGGGTGTGTCTCCGTCGTATGTCTCAACGATGGTTTCCTGGAGACCGTCCAAGAACTGAAGCAGCTCCTGCATACTGCGTCTCTGGTCCTGTGCCAACGCCTTGGTGGGAAATATGTACATCCCGCGGCTGGCAGGGTCTTTCTCCAGCTCATGCAACATGGGCACCTGATAGATCAAGGATTTTCCCGAGCTAGTGGAAGTAGAGACAATAACATTGTGACCATCGTATAAGTGATTGATGGCCTCTGCCTGATGGGAATATAATTGAGTAATGCCCTTGGTATTGTACAATGCATTGACCAGATTCTGGGAGAGCTGAAAATTGAGCTCTGCATGTATGGGAGCCTGTGCTTCAAACACTCGATGTCCCTCGGGAACAATCTGTGCCGTATACCAATCCATCTGCCGGATCTCGTCCACGATGTCTGACATGGATTTCCGGACCTTAGGGATCTGAGGTGGCGCTTTGACGGCTGTCAAGGCCGTCAACTCATCATCATCCGGAGGGATTGGAATGTACGCATCCTTTTCCGATTCCAGTAGCATAACAGGGTCGATTTTCTCGTCTTCGCAGCGGATCAGAAACTCGTCGATCGCGTCATTGAACTTCTTGTTGCGTTTCTCGATAAGGCCTAACATCTGCTTCTGACTGAATACCGGCATTTTGAGGTCCTCGTCCTTCATTTTGCGTTTCGGCTTGGCCGGCTCTCCGGTTTTGGGATCTCTCACCTCCCGCTTGAGATCCTGATCCACAAGCTCGAACAACAGGGTCCTGGTCGGAACGCCGTCCGTCTCAGGAAACATGTCCCTACCATATCCTAGTTGTTGAACCTCTCTCTCCCCCGTGGTCATAAGCTCGAGTTTAGCATCGTCGACATATTCGAAGCGAACTGCTCGCGGCACAAGCACCCGAACACGAGCAATGTCCTCCACTGTCAACTCTTGGCCTTGCAACTGAGCTTGAACGGCTTGTTTGATGTTGCTGAACGTGGTCGCAAAGTGCTTTCGCGTGCAGCAGAAGGTGTAGACGAGGTTCAGGGCGCGGTGGGTGCGCGATAGCTGCTTGAACGCGTCGGGCCACGGGGTGGATGGGGCCTGCTTGGAGGGTGCAGCGGCTCGTTTTCGCTTTTTACCCGGCTGCGTCGATGAAGGATCATCTGTGGTAGCAGGTTCGGAAGTCGAGCGACCATCTCTGCGACCCCTCTTGCCCGATTGCTGTGCTGGCGGTATGGTCGCGGTGGCGGCTTCGGTGGCCTCGGCTGGAAGCTCCTCATGGGATCTTTTCCTGCCCGTTTCGGTGGAGGGACAATCCACTAGAACTCTGGGACGGGCCATACCCGTCACTCATGGTGGAAACAGAAAGGCCAGTGCTGCGAGCGGATATTGGGTGTTTGGCACCTGCAGCAAGCAGTGCACCAGACGGGCTGACGGTTAATTAAAGATGGAGGTTGCTTATCTGGTGTCGGTCTAGCGTAGAATTCTCGGGGGTCTGGGCCCGGAGCCGGATTTAAATATCTCCTTGGGCACGCACTCTTGTGATGACCAATCCGCGGGCTCAGCTGTAGTGGTTTCAGGAACTCATGCATGTCTCAAAACAGCACGTTTTACGATTGCCAGGCATTGAATACACACAACTCTCTCAGACGTGTGTGGCTGGAACGGCTTGGTATAATTTCGAATGCAATGCAAAAGTACTCCGTTCTTTGGACCCGTAAGCTGACATGGATGAGTTTTGTACTGGACAGTACCTCCTAACTTGCCCTACACCTTGCGTTGATGCATTGTAACTGACGTAGGCAACTGGACATGTCGCCTGCCAACGGCAGATGCTCCTTTTGGGAAGGTTATTGGATTTTATTGTGACGATCAGGAACCAGCCACGGCAAGGCGAACCGATGGGGACTTTTTCGATAGTGGATCTTCCCGATTCCTTTTTTTAGGCAGGCGTCGAGTAACACCAAACGAGTTGCAGAGCTGACGTAGCGGGTTTGTTGGTTTGGTCTACGGAGTACTCTTCAGCATCCGATTACCACCATGACCTTTGTGTTTGGGTTTCAAGATGAGATGAGGCTCCAAAGCAAACATGCCATGCCGTGGTCAACATCGCAGTCCCAGGAATTGAAATAACGTTTCTCGACCTCGTTTATTTGATGAACAACAGGTGGGGCCAATCATTTCGGATCAACATTGTCACCGCCGGAATCAAAACCTGCGGCGTCAGGCACTAGAGCTGCACTAGTGGTACTGTAATCTGAGGGCTCTTTTTGTGGCTGCGCGGGCGGGCGGGAGGTGCAGTGCAGTGAGTGCAGTGCAGTGCCCACTGGGCTGGCCATCCACCACCACCACCACCACTTCCACCACGTCTAGTCTTGTCAGTCCGTCGGTCGGTGGTAGGCTGGTGTGCTTCTCTTTCTTACTCAACTTTCCCCCTCCTTCGTTTCCCGACTGCCTGCCACCCCGTCCCTCCATCTTTGTGTCTGTGTTGTCACTGCAAGCCTGCTGCATGGCTTTCATCGTTCTTCCGTGATCTTCACCTACCTGGAGTCGGCTGGGTGTTTTGTTTACTGCCTCGGGTCCCTCTGCAGGGACTCCTGGCTTGCACTGGCCCCGAGCCCGCCCGCGTGTTGTTGCAAGTTTCATGCCCAAGCACTAATTAAACCCCAACGTGTGCCCGTCCCTCTTTAATCGTCATTACCTACCTTCGTTCGTTATTGCTCGCGCTCGCCGTAAACCGATCTCTCGTGTGCGACTTCAATTCGAACGTACCGTACCGTCGACTCCTATTCCCATCCAAACTCAATTCGCTCTGGACCTTCGTTCCCCTTTTCGGCCCCTCGGCCTGGTGCGACACCAGAAACACACAAAACACGCAGCGCAACCAATACACAGTCATAGCATTGGCTTACCATTCATTCAGCCATGGCATCTCCTTCGCTTTCGGAGCTGGAGCAGCGCAATCGCCTGCCGACTCTGTTTGAAGTTCTCAGTCGGCGAACGCTCGCTCCCGTCGATCTCTTTTCCTTCTACATTTACATGCGCGACCAGCAGCGATCAGTGGATTATCTAGATTTCTGGTATGTGATAAAGGTCCTCAGAATAATGTGTGTCTCGCGCGCAGCACAGTCGCTGATTGAATGCTTGCCTCAGGCTGGATGTCTCACAGCATATGTCCCTCTGCCGCCACTATGTTCGTGAGCTGCGCCGATCCGTTCTCGTCGCGACGCCTGATCTGGAAAAGGCCGACAGCAAAGGCTCTTCCGCTGCCTTAGACAACATCGAGCATCTCAATGATATCCCTCTAGTCGAAGCGGGACCCTCGGGGTCGCGCCATGTCCTCTACGAATTAGAAGACCGCGACGCAAATCAACGTCTGTCGGCGTTCCTCCGCTCGGACGGCCATACTTCGGGACACTCGCCGCAGAGCAGCTTGGGATCACAGAACGCTGCCCGCATGGCGTCGAACGAGCAGCCCCCGCAAGATAGCTCCGGGACTCGAAACGACTCGCCGTCGCCCGGGCACACTGTGGCACGGGCGGATATCCGCGCAAGCGCAGAGAAGATTCTGTACACATACCTGCTTCCCGGGGCCGAGCGAGAAATTGTTCTCCCGGAAGAGATGGTGACGACGATTATCGATCATGTCGAAGACCACGGCCGGGATGACCCCGAGGTGTTCGACCCGGCTAAGGACTATGTCTTCCAGGCGATGGAACGCGATGCATTCCCCGGGTTCCTGCAGGCCAAGGCGCTGGGAAACCTAGTACCTCTGTCCATCATCGCCCGTCTGGCGTTTGCGCTGATCAGCTTTGGTGGAGGCTTCTGGGGTGCCTTTTACGTCGTGCTTCGCGACAAGCCCCGACATATACGGTGCTGGGTAAGTCAATCGCTGCCACTCCGGGACTTGCGACCTTTGCTGACTCGCGTCACAGCTGATATTGCCTTTTGCCGTTGCGTCTTACTTCCTCGTTTCGTACCAGTACAAACTTGACCCGGTCATGGCGTTCTTGGGCTACAGCGAATACACGTTTATGACCTGGTCTCCGATCCGCGAACCATATGTGCGGAAGCTCCTGAACAAGCGCGCCACGGCGACGGCTCTGATCGCCTTCTTTGTGGCCACCGCGCTGAGCATTCTCTTCATCTTCGTCCCCGGCACCATGCTCTAGATGACGCAACCTCTTTTGTGTGTGCCCGACCCTGCCTTTTGACCTCGACGTAATGCAGCGCCATCTCCTGTTCATATATCCTGTCCCGTGTTACCCTTTTGCTCCTTCGATTCTCGTAATTCTTATCCTAGCAGATACCATATTTCACCCTGACTGATACTAATCTCAATCAATAATCCGGATATACTTCAGTCACGACCTTCCTGTAATCCCACCGGAGATCACTTAATATGTAAATGCTTATTATGAAGCAGCTAGTACGGCGGAATTATACTTAACGATTGGGTTACCGATCAATGCACAACCTTGGCTCTACTTTGCCACAATTCTAAATGACATCATGACTTCATAACCAAGCACAAGGGTAAAGGTCCTGTATAAAACGCCTACTCTTCTCGAACCACTTGGGTCACCGATAGCCACATATCTCATATTAGCGCAAACATCACATCCAACATGACATCATTTCCCAAGGGTTACATGTCTACCGGCGGGTTTGACAAAAAGGGCGAGAAGGACAATTCCGAGAATCCGTTCAACCAAGGCTCTACGAGGCGCGGCAGTATGATCTCTCTGCTTGCAGTCTATGAAGTAGACCGATGACTGATGATGCAATTCAAAGTCCCAGATGCAGGCAGCGCCGCCTTGTCGAATGATCTCGACTTCCCACACAAGGATTACCACGATCACCACGATAGTTCAGGGAACTACGACGACGACGACGACGATGAGAACCTCTCCCAGGACCTGGAGGATGCGCTCCCTGCCAATCCGTCGTAATTGGGATGCTTGGTGACAGTGGAGGGAGCAACAGAGGTAGAATGAGCAATGATAGGACTATGTACATAAATGAAAGGTTCTGTTTCAACTAATTTATTTCTGTTGAACCACGACTGCTAGGTGATGGTCAGATTTAAGCCAGCCTACACTTCCCAAAGCAATAGAGCACACAGTCTCCAGATCTCCAGGACTTTCAGAGATGGAGCTTCCTGATCCTGGGCAAGGTGAAATGTACATACAGCACTGATGGTTCTGAGAGATCCAGCACTTGAAATAGGTCCATGCTGCTCCGATTCGCCGACTAACACCATCTTCTGTCTCAACGAGCACACGTCCAAACTGAAAACGTTCGGGAAGAATATAACGCAGTACTTCTCCGTCTCAGGCAGAATCAAAGCAAAAGGTCTTCATCCTTTTGTCCAAGCCTCTACCTATTCATGTCGTCAATGTGTCCAATAAATAAAGCGAGTAGCTATACTTAAAAATCGGGGTTCTGTGGCCGAACTCGGTTAAATTGCTCCATATGAACCAGCAATGGATGGCCCGGTCCACAAATTGCCAATTTCGATGTCAAGACCTGGTGCTTGAGAATTGATGACGCGTTTGTGGGGTTTGTATGGTTTGTATGGTTTGCATCAGATCGCGCGCGCGTGTGGACGGGGAGTCTCATTACTTCTCCGTTCCCGGCGTGTTTACTCGCTCCTCTCTCTCTCTTTCCTCCACCATCGCAGTCGTGGAAACTCAGGTTACCTCTTACGTTGTCCTTCTCATCTTTCGGAATCGCGACTCTCTTTGTCTTTTTGACGCCCACGGGTATCTATTGGACTCATTCTTCGTGCTTTTCCATGGGTGGACAAGCTCTCATGTGTTTCCTGTTGGGTCTCTGGCCTTCTCCCTCTTCGCCGTTCGAGGCAACCTCATACAGAATCTACCCCCTGTTACGCTTCCCAGCTCGCTGGGGAGTCTAACCCTAATGTAACCCCGTCGGTTCGGTGCCAACGGCTTTCGCCGGCGGCAAGTTTCACGGCCATGCACGGCGGATTGAGCCCACTAGTTGACTCGCATCGCTTTCGGGGGATCGAGGAGGCGAAAGGTTCCCGATGCTCAGAGCGCCACTCTCCGCGGGTGCGCAAAAAGACGGTTACCATGCAGTTCCCGCCGCAGGGCACGCGTCGGTCTACCAATGCTGAGTGTTACGTGCTGATCAACACCGGACAGTCTTCACTTGTTGCCGTGGTACTGAGCTGATGATTCGAGAGAGAAGGCAGGTGGAGCATGCCGGGCACCTTTCTTCGGGAGGTGTCATTGGGAGCTCATAGTGGGCGCCGATTCAAGGAAACTTACAACTGTGAGCTTGATCATTGCATGTGCGAGCTGGTTTCCCTGAATACGGACAAACCGTGTGTCCTCGGACATATTGCTGCCTCACACACAGTCATCGAGTCTTTGGATTGATCCACTCGTCGGAAACCGGTTTAATCTCTGGAATGGCCCAGGTGCTTCACCGTTCCAGCCCGGGTTAAACCGCAGCGAGGTCAATTGCAAATGGATGACTTCCTCATGGTCGATCGGATGATGCCATGAGGAACCCCCCCTTGGGCTTGTTCGTCGCTTTCCAGTCTGAAACCAGTCTCTGATCATGCATTATGTATCTTTCTCCGCCCCTAACCGGGTTAAAGCGGTTGGCCTCCTTGGTCGGTGTGACTCGGCTGTCCCGCGCATGCTCCCAATCCGAGGGTTGACTGGGGCCTTCGCTCCCTGCGTTCCAACTCTCGATCATCCCGGGTACGAGACCGGCTAGTGGACTCGTGGATCACGGCATGAAAGCCACCCGATCTGCGCTTTCCTTGGAAAGGTCCCGATCGATCGTGTTAACCATCTCTTTGCATCGAGCGGGTGCAGATAGATCGATGGGCGCTGACTCGGCCATAGCTTCGGCTATGGTCCCTCCCCTTGGGGAGAAGGAAGCGGTTTTTATGGATGTTTTGTTTGTCCGTTTCTCCATGCCCTCCACTGGCAGCAGTGGGGAGGAATCAAAAACTAGTCCGCGGGGGTACTGTATCACACACATGAGGTTGAGAGGCCGTTGATCTTGGGAGGCGACATGAGGTCATGATCTGCGCAATGAAGGTTCGACGATGGGAGATAGTATGCTTGGTCAAAGGGGCTCGAGCCACGAAATCTGGAATGATTCAAGACTGAAATCTCAACTGAGGGCGTGAGGTATATCTGGCCACCGACTGTGTCCATCACGCTGGTGCCGCCTGTCCTGACCGTCGCTTCGGCAATGCCGCTGCAAACGTTGCGTTGGTAGACTCTCGATCGTGAGATTGTGCAGCATTGCTCTCCTGCTGTCTCGGATCCGTACAGGAGGCTTGTTATGGGACCTCGAAAGGGGATCAAAGCTCAGTGCTTGTCTGTCTCGTTTCCTGTTGTTTCCGACGCTGTGGGGGGGAGGTGTTGTGTGGGTCGCGGGGAGAGGACTGCGCTTTAAGTTGTAGTTGGCAACGCAGGAGTTGAACACGAGGGATGGCCCAGGGTGGTGGACCGCCGTTCCCTCACCGAGGGCCCGCGGTGAGGGAACGGCCCTTTTTTTTATAAGTGCTCCAGATCCCTTGGTTGTTGCATAGCTAACTACGGTGGCAGGTTGTTTTGGCTGGGGGGCTCGACTCTGGCTGGGCATATTTGATGTTGAAGAGCCGGACTCGGTTTTACTAGGATCAAGGTCGCGAATGGCACCTTGGGCCTAGAACAAGAAATAAACTATGCAATGCAGCCCGTTCAGCCTTCAATCCGATTCATGCTTAGAGTCCACCGTGTAACAACTGTACCCGTATTACCCACTGTTCAATTCCATTGGCGACGACAGCCTGTTCATATAAACGCCCTATCACACCTACTGTACACCCAACCTTAACCATGCCACACAACTCAAACCCCATGAACCACCAGCAAGAATTTCCAATCTCAGCATCAATCACCCAAACAATGAATTCCTCCTAGAAACTATATACACATCCAACTCCCCTCCCCCCAAACCTCTCGAATTACCGCCCCATCCACCCCCCATCAACAGTAACCACCTCCCCAGAAACATACGCACTCGCCGCGCTCGCCAAAAACACAACCACCCCCTTAAAATCCTCGGGTTTGCCCCACCGCCCCGCGGGGATGCGAGCCATAATCCCCGCGTTCCGGGCAGCATCATTAATCAGCGCGGTATTCATATCCGTGACGATGTACCCCGGCGCGATCGCGTTGACATTAATGCCTTTGGCGGCCCACTCGTTCGACAGCGCCTTCGTGAGCTGCGCCACCCCGCCCTTGGAGGCCGCGTAGGCCGGCACGGTGATCCCGCCCTGGAAGGTGAGCAGCGAGGCGACGTTGATGATGGCGCCGCGGCGGCCGTTGCTCGCCTCGAAATCGGAGGCGGGGCGGGCGAGCAGGGAGGCGCCGAATTCTCGGCACAGCGTGAAGACGGAGGTGAGGTTTATGTTTAGGACCTACGTCTCGGGATTAGTCTGGGGTGGGGAGGATGGAGTGTGGGGTCCGGTGGTCGGGGATGATCTGTCGGGGTTAGGATCGGGGACTGCCCGTGGCAGCTGCATACCTCATCCCAATCCTCGTCGGGGAACTGCTCGCTCGGATGCCGGCGCTGGATGCCGGCACAGTTGAGCAGGATGTTGGGCGTGAAGCCCTGTGCGGTCAGCGCGGGGAGGATCTGTTTGAGGGCGTCGCGGGAGGAGAGCTCGGCGATGTGGATGTGGGCGTTGCGGTGCAGGCGGGTAGTGATTTCGTCGCGGGTCGTGGTGTTGGATTCGTCGCGCTATGATTCCCAGTGTATCGGACCCAGATTAGCTTGGAGACTGGATTAGGAAGCTTGTTGTGGAGGGGTTTGACGAGGAATCCGGCTCAGGTTTTACTCGCTAGGGGGAGGTTTTGTTCTGGTAGTTTTGGTTTGGGGGCACCACACACCTGAATTAGAATAATATCCGCGCCCGCTTCAGCGAGAGCGTACGCCATGGCCTGGCCGATGCCCCGCGTGCCGCCGGTGACGATGGCAGTGCTGCCTTCGAGGGAGAAGAGGGCAGGGATGGACATTGTGCGGTGGTCTGGTGGGTGTTTTTGTTGTTGGTGTTGTTGTTTTCGTCAGATGTGTCGTATGTCTCGAAGGTGATCCGTCAAGTTCGTGGGTTAGGCGAAAGGCAGTTCAATGCAATCTCACCAGTTGCAGCGATGTCAATGCCTGGTGATTCACAGAACTTGTCACTTTTTCGCAATGGCTGAACGACTCATCATCATCCCACGAACGTGGGGGACGAGTCCCTTTAAAGCAACCAAGCACCAAACAAACACCCCTTATGGCAAGTCAGTGCAATGCGGGGCACCACAGCGGAGCTCCTCCAGATGGGGATGATGCAATTGCCGAGGGTCAGACAGCAAAGTCAAAGGCCGACGCCCCGCAGCCTCGCCCCGGCTATTGAAGTTTCCGCTCGGTGCTTATCCGATCGCCGTATTTCCGTATCAGTACCGTAATCCGTGTGCGTGAGCATCGTGCCATGAGTCTTGATGGACTACAATTGTAGATTATATTCTGAAGGTGTGGTTAGCACATAACCTCGATAAGATGACTTATCTTGGATTTACTCTGTCGTCATGCTACTCATTTCGATGCCTTTTGTCGACGGCTCAAGGCCCTACTGACACCATCTTACAAAGACTTCTTGGCCGGCTTGTTCCTCGGTATACAGCTTCCAGTGCGTACTATTTATAGTTTATTCAGTCTGATAGCCACACCTAAAATATCAACCGTTCCGGCAATCTCGCCCAATGACAGCAAGACCACCGAAACATAAATGTATAATCATAGATACAGAGAAGTAAACTCCCGCGGCTCTGCGCCACAGGATAGTGTGTATGTGGTATCCATTGCGCCAATGTCGCCAGCTAAGTAGAAGAATCAAAAGGATAGATGGTCTGGGGTCCCATAAAACGTTCGTCGAAAGGCAGTGTCATGCCGTTCATTTCACCTCATTCGCATCCGAGAACGGGCTTTCCACTCGCGGTGGAATGTGTCGGCTGCTTCGATTCGAGCGTGTCCCTTCCGGGGTCTCGAGGAGTGAGGATGCCCGGGCGCTGGGTTCGGCCCGGGGATGGTCTTGGAACGGGCTCTGGCTGACGGCAGGCGAATCTTCAATCACGGTGGCGGGACGCGACTGCGCGTCGGTCTTGGCGTCGGTAGCGTGATCGCTGCGGGCCTGGCTAGAACGCTTGGTAGTGTCTTCCTCATCGGATGAACTGGCGTCAAACCCGGACGTAGGGACTGGGTCTGGTTGCTTGGTGCTAGTGGATCGAGACACGTTGGCACTGGAGGTCTCGGATTGCTCCTCGATGGTGTGGACGCCGGCGGGGCCGTTGGTGGCTTCCTTCTTCTTTTTCGATGCGCCTCGAACCATGACTGGTTTGGCGGTCACCGTGCGGGCCACGATCGAGCTGTTGGTGGTGGCCGCGGAGAGGCCGGCTTTGGCAAGCTGGGCCTGGGTAATGGCCGGCACCGCGGGAGCATCGCCGTTGGCTCCATTGATGTTGACCACGGCGGCACGCGTGCGCATAACTTGCTGAGCCGGCATCGGACTGACGATGGCGTTGTTGCGGTAGATGGTGGTGGCCACACTGCTGCGGAGACTCGGGGCGATGCTGCGACGTTCGTTGGACATCTCCGACCAGGCCGAATCGCGAAGGTCACCCGGCATAAAGAAATGTTGGTCGGGGTGGGCACCAGGGAGTGGTGGAACCGGGGGCACCAGACTGCCGGGAGTCTCTGGGGGCGAGCGGTTGGTGACACCAGGAATGTAAGCGATTTGGATGACGTTCGAGGCGCGAGTAAGAACGGTAGAGGCGATCGAATTCGTGGACTTCCTTGACTGTCTCGTGTCGGCAGCCACGCTGGACTTTTCCGCTTCGGATGCTTCTTGTTGTTCCTTGCGCTTCTTTCTGATGAAAAACCACCATACCAAGAACGTCACTATGGCGATGAAGGCGATACCACCGACCACACCCCCTGCAATAGCACCGGCGTCTGTGCCGCCGCCACCGGAATTACTCGAGGAACCCGAATCTCCGCTGGTCGGGGATTTGACGCATTTCGTGGTCGCGCACTGGGTGCAAGATTGACTGACCATGGTACAGGTGTAGCCATCGTCGCAGGTCGGGCAAGCGGGCGCTGAAGAGGAGCATTGTACGCAGCTTCGGAAGGCTAGGAGGGAACGGGAGTAGAGGACTAGAGAAGGCATGTTAGCAATCGGGCGACACTGACACAAATCGCAGAGTGCCTACCGTTAGGAGTGGTCGAGTCGGAAGGATGGAACGACATGACGGGCGATGGAGTGCTGAGTCGTGGTGAGAGAGATGGTTGATGAGAGGGAGTCGGTCGGAAGGGTCGTAGAAAGCTGTGTTCTCGAAACAAAGAGGCTAGGGAGAAAGAGAGACGGAAAGGGCGAAAAAAGAGTGGCAGGCCGATCAACGGCGTAAAGAACGTGGGCTATTGACTTGGCAATCAAAAAGAGTGTAATACTCGACAGACGTCAAGTCGTGAAAGTTGGATGCTAGGTCATACAAGAAAGAGAGCGCACGAGAGGAAAGAAGAGGAAGGAAGGTGAAGAGGTTCAGATGAGCGAATGACTGTTGGCGGAAGGAGATTGGGTGGGAGATTGGCAGGCAACAACGCGCATAGCAGAATGCAAATCGAAGTGGAGCTCCCAGGCTTGGGGCAATGGGAGTGGGTAGGAGACTTTCTTTCCCCTCCCAGTCGGAATGCCTGCAAGTCACTGGGTAGACGACTCAGAGTGGACGATTCCACACCGGGGCATCCAGCTGTAACGTCCGGAGGGACCAGGCGTGGGTGGCTGCCAGGTACAGAACAGAGGGAGCCAGCGCAAGTGACAGGGGAAAGTCAGGGGAGAACCGTGGATGCAGGTGAGGGAGGAAGAGGAAGTAAGGTAGGACACAGCAGAAGGGGAGAAAGGGAGAGAAAAGAAGGAAAGAGAGAAGAGAAGGAGGACCCGGGTAAGCTAATCAATCAGTCAATCAATCAATTAATATTTAATGAGAAGCAGAAGAAGGGATAAATTAAAGCGACCGACAAGATGATGGAGTAGAGTTGAGGGAGATGGAGAGGGGGGGAGCGACGGAGAGAGTGAAAGAGAGCGAGACTGAGGGAGACTGAGGGAGGGAGACCTGCAAGTACGGGTGGGAGAAGAGACTAGGCCTGAAAGAAGAGGTGCGGGCGGGAATTGCGTTGGTTGGTGGAGGGGAGGATTTGGGGGGGGGCTGAGGACAGTTAGTACAGTGCAGTCAGTGACACCCACTGCAAGTCCACTGCAAGTCCACTGCAAGTCCACTGCAGTCTCCGCCTTATTCCTGCCGCGTTATCATGGAGAAGTCTCCAGTTGCTCCAGTTGCTCCAGTTGATGGGTGGAGTACACGGAGACCATTCCGTGGACAAGAGAGCGATTCACGGCATACACTGCACACTGCACACTGCACACTGCATTCACTGCACAACACCAGAACACCTGATCTCCTTTCCATCATCATCATCATCATTCAGGGAACTGCCAATCTGCAATCTCCAATCTGCAATCGGCCACACCCCCTGACACGGACCCAAAAATATCGAACCAAAGGATCTTCCTCCTCCCCTACTACTAGGCCGGCCCTTTGCCTCGTGTCTCAAGTGCAGGTCTCGACCGTCGCTCGGTCCACGTTGCCTCCGTTGTCTTCCTTCGCCCGGAAATTAACACGGCTGGCCTCGAGACTAAGCACCCACCGGCGTTTTGCCTCTACTCAAAAGGCATGGATCCTCTGGACCTCTCTATAAACTCAGTCGCCTGACACTGCACTAGTGGAGTAGTCACAGTAGTTTGATTGATCCATCTGCCGAAAATCTTGTCAAGTTGTTGTCGGAGATTCGAATCCACAAGCCGTCACGGTCGTGGTCAGGTGACCTAGCTCCCCTGACGGAAGACGGACATGGACGGGCCGTCGGCCGCCTTGGTCTGGTTGCACCGCCTGGCCGACTTGTGTTCTCTCGCTGCAGGAAGCCGCCATTGTGCTGAGCTTACGCTATCATGGATAAGTGTGGGATGGTACAATTCTATAGTGTGAAGTACATGCGAGGGTATACGCTTACCTGTTATAGGCTAAGTTTAATGTCCCGTATGAATGCCCTCGTTGCTACGATTAGCAAGATCCGGCTGCACTTTTAGTGGCAATAGATATATTGCGATGTCTAATCGCACATGCGTGCTCCCAGCACAAAATCTGAGGGTGACGATCAATATGATAGAAGCGCACACACTGTACGCAGCCCCGATAAGGGCTGCATCCCACTTTTAAACAGCTACGCTCGCAACCTCAGCCTGGAGTAAGCGAAGGGGCACAAGCACGTGCTTAACATGTGTGATGTCTACCATACCTCATCAACCGCACTCGAATAATCCTGACTCAATCATGACGGCGTTTGGAGTCAAACATGATCTTCAAAGACTGCATCTTTCTCAAAGGTCTCTTCGGCACCAACTCCGTCGTGCGAAATTGATACCCCAAGGTATATACAATGTCACTTCAAAAGCGCACGAAAACCGGCAAGCCCGTTCGACAGGCTGTGCTGAGCGGACGAGTCACTCGATCACGCAAAGCTGCCAATATTAGCAGCTGTGAGCAGTCAAATTCACCAGAAACCTCGCATAGCGAGGATGTGATTGTGGGAGAGAGCGATCGCCAGAACGACCTTCCACCGGTCCAGGGAAAGCCACCGGCATGGGCAGAGGTTTGATACCACCCCACAGAAGATCGTGATGGAAGTCCCCTAATGCGAGTGTAGTGCCGTCCTGACCTCTGCGATGCCCTTCCCTGGTTCCGCTCCGCCCAGGGAGGCTACTACTACAACGGAAGTCTGTGCTACGGCTGTCTGGTGGATGCGGACTCGGGGATCCGGGCCTACATCGATGACGAAGTTGTCATAACTCGAATGTAAGTGACACTAGAGCCAGAGCCTGCCAAATACCCTAGTGAGCTTGATAGACATAGACTAACCCTGCAGCTAGTGGCGGTGGGTGCACCAAAGACGCAGAGGGCAATCTCGTGCTGCTCAAAGATCAAGATACTGATAGCGCGACCTTCAGCAGCGTGATGAACAGCTGGAGGATGCAGAACCCCGTCGGACTCATTATCGGTACGTAGCCTACCGGCTTGAGGTGCAATCTAGTGTTGACTCCTTGCCAGGAGACCGAAATAAGCAATTGAACAGGAAGCTCCCCCACCGATACAACGTGATGGCCTACTTCCGCATCACAGACGTCTGGTACGAAAAGATAGGCACGAAGAAAGGCGCCAAAGTGCGCTTCGAGAAGCTGGATCTCGCCGCGACAAGCTGGTGGGCGGCCCCAGGCACAACACCGTTGCCTGTGGAGCAACGGGATTTCACAATCGGCCCAGCCACAAAAAGCTGTGCGAGCTGTGACCACGAAAGCAAGCAAGTATACAACGAGGGCTGGATGTGCCTGACGCCGTCCTGTTCCCGGTTCTGGAAGGTCAGCGGCACCACGACACCGCCGGGGCACCTCAGCTTCAACGCGGCATTTCTCTGCGCCCGACTCCCACCCGACCCGCAGATCCAGCCTCACTTTGACCTGGTCCCGGACCTGCTGGCGACCCTGTCCGAGGACAAGGGCGACCTGGTCTTCAAACGCATCGCCTGGAAGGGGATCGTGTGTCCGCTGTGCTCTCGCTGCATTGCGCGGCGGTTCTGGCGCGGATGGAAATGCGCCGACGAGCTTTTGCAGGACCTGTCCAAGCAATCGCATCGGTGCAGTTTTGACAGATACCTCAAAGTCTCACCGCTCTCGGTCCGGTCCGTGATTGACGAGTTCGAGATCCATCCCGCCAAGCGGGCTCTATACTTCGACCCGAAGCTGCAGCTCCCGAGCGTCGACGACACATCCTTATATCCGTATCGAAAGTTGGTATATACTCTGCCTGGGGTTGGGTCCGTGACGCATCTGGTGGCCAACCGGGCGATCAACACCCGTGCCAACGGGCCGGATGATCTGTTCAAACGGCTTCAGTCGGTGGATTTGGGGCTCCAGCGGTATCCGCTACAACAGAGTGTCGGTTCGTATACCTCGTTGGCTATTTATCATCACGCTGACCTCTTGCACAGTCCGCGGCACCCTCACTTCCCACTACGCAGTGAACTATGTACGCCCTCTCCCTCTGCCCTTTCCCCTCGTATATTCCCCGCCAACAGGCTAATCTAACTCCATCAGGGCTGCCCATACAAATATGTCGTCTCGGTGGCGAGCAAAAGCTTCGCCGAAGCCAGCGACGAAATCCTCCGGGCACTAGGCCGCCTAACCTGGGCGACGGAGCAAGCGGTCACTACCGCGGGTGACGCCTTTCTGCCGCCCAACGAGCTCCTCCTTTTGGGGTATATGGAGGACATGAAGATCGGAGTAAGCAGGTTGACCCCTAACCCCTGGACCCCAAACCTTTCCCCTTTCCCCACTCCCCACTTCTCCCCCATCAAGCCCCTAATAACAAGAACGTGACACAGTACCACGACGACGGCGAATCCTCGCTCGGCCCCACGATCGCGACCCTCTCCCTCGGCGCCCGCGCCACCATGCTCCTGCGCATGAAGTACAAGTACTACCACGGGTACACCAAAGCCAAGCGCATTTTGGACGAGGATCCGGCTTTAGATGGGTGCGCACATGCCCCGGAGCGGAAGGCGCTGAAGCAGGCGCGGAAGGCGGGCGAGATCACGCGGGAGGAATACGACGCGCAGCGCCGGAGACTCCCTGCCGGGGGTCGGAGGGGGGAGGCGTCGCCGTGCCTGCGGATGGAGCTCAATCATGGGGATTTGGTGGTCATGCATGGAGAGGGGGTGCAGCGGTTTTATGAGGTAACCTTTTTTTCATTTCTCACTTTTGTCCTTTCCTCCAAAAAGAGCATCATGGGGTTAGTGGAGGATGGGAGAACCTGACGCTGACGATGCTGCTGCTGTAGCATTCGGTGATCCCCGAGAAGAACCTGCGATTCGCGCTGACGGCGCGGTACATCAAGCCCGAGTTTGTGGAGGAGGCGGACCGGCCGAAGGGGGTGTTTACGCTTACCGGGGAGCAGGTGTATGATGGGAAGTGATCCACTATCGCAAGTAAGGTTACGCGGTGCCGTGCAACGATGGGGCTTGCTCGATACCAACCTCTATATAGCTTTGCTTTGGCTACACTGTACCCAACCAACCTCCTTGAATCAAGTGATAAGCTAATCCCGCCAACTCTCCACCCCATAATCCACCGGAACCGGATGATAGAAACTAAACTTCTCGAACGGATCCCACTTCCGCTTCAACGCGGCCAGCCGCACCAGATTCTGCTTCCCATACCACACCTCGGGCCCCTCGTCCCCATGCGCATAGTTATTGTAGAGCACCAGCTGGCCCTGCCTGTCCGAATCCTCAAACCCACTCGTCCGCGCAAACCACTCCCGACTCTGCACGACCCACGCATTGACGCCCTCCTCCACCGCGTCATCCGCATCCACAAACGTCGCCTTGAAGAGCACATGCGTCTCGATCTCGCGGAACGCATACGCCATGTCCTCCGCATCATCCACGTCCCGGACGGCCTGCGTCGGGAAGCGCGAGAAGACCACCGACGCCGCGATGCGCCCCTGATACTCCCTGGCGAAAGCCGCAAAGAGATCCGTATACTCGACGAACGTCGGCACATCGGTGCGCTTCAGCCCGGCCCCGCCGTAGATCAGCCGCAGGTCGTGCTCGCAGGGCGACGGGTCCTCGCTGAAGAACAGCTTGGTGTAGAGCTTGTTCCACGCCAGAACCGGGGTGACGCGTTCGCGGAGCGGGCCCAGCGCGCGGAAGCGCTGGATGTAGGGTTCTGCGGCCTCGGGGGGACCGTAGTAGATGATGTTGACGAGGATGGTGGCCTGTTCATTGCCGCTCTTAGCATCCCCATCATCCTCCCTCCTCCTCCCTCAGCAAAGGGACAGCAACATACCATATCCAACCCCGGATTCCACCCCAAAACCACCGTCAACGCCAACACATCCGACAACCCCTCCCCATCGAACTCCCGCAGCGTCTCCCAAACACTCGCATTCGCACTCGCCGCAAACAGCATATCGCCCTCGAGCAACTGGCCCGCATTGGTAGCCTCGTACACGTTGTAGGTAGCCTCGACCACGACCCCGAAATTCCACCCGGCCCCGCGCAGGCCCCAGAAGAGGTCGGCGTTCTCCGTCTGCGACGCAGTCACCACCTCCCCGGTCGCAGTGACGAGCGTCGCAGACTCCAAGGCGTCGATCATCAGCCCCCGGCGGCCCTGGAGGGGTCCGATGCCTGCGCCGAGGGTGGCGCCGAGCGCGCCGACGCATTGGGCGGCGCCGGTTTCTGCCCGTGCAACACCACACACAGAGTCAGCTAAAGGGGGGTAGAGCATCGCTGATGAAAGGGGAGGGGAGGGGAGGGGAGGGGAGGGGGCCATGGGATGGGGGCAAGAAAGGCAGGGACAACGCACGGATCTCCTTCCCAGCCGCGTACAGCACATCCCACATCTCCTGGAACTTGGTGCCGCCGCCGACGGTGAGGCGGTCGCCGGCGGGACTGAGGTGCGCGTACCGGAAGTCACTGAGGTCGATGTTGATGCCGGCGTGCAGGGTCGCCAGCGTGGCCGAGACGCCGTGGCCGGCGCCGGTGGCGAGGTAGGGGATGTCGTGGGCGTTGGCGAGTTGGATCTTGGCGGCGTTAGCTCTGCTCTTGCACATACTTCCAAAATTGGGTAGGGGAACAGGAGGAGAGGAGTACGATGTTCTGCACATCGGCGACGGTCGCCACGCGGATGGCTCCGCTATACGACGGGGCCTGGTACGCGGACCAGCGCTGCTGGATCCGGTCTGTCCAGTTCGGCCCGCTCGGGTAGAGGATCTGCGCGCCGGGCGAGAGGACCGGTCGGAAGAGGGATTCGAGGTCGGTGTGGTTGTGAGACGCGGTATCAGGATAAGTTGGGGCGTGGGTTGCCAGGGCCAGGGCCAGGGCCAGGGTTAGGGCCAGGGCCAGCTGGACCCGTAGGGATATTCGGGCGAAAAAGCACGGCATCTCGAGTTCGCATGCTTGATGGTGCGATATGTCAGATTTGAGGGACACGGTCCAGAAATATAGCCTCGTGGGAGGGCAGCCGCTAATCGGGACTAAAGATCTTGGCTGCATTAACAGGCCACGGAGCAAGCCCTAGTCCCGGGTCGGAGATGCTCGAAGCCGAAGCGAAGGGACTGGACACTGGACATGTGCAATCTACCGAGGAGACGGCGAGGCCACCTGCTGCGGTGGCGCCTTTCGAACACACGGTGTGCGTCGATCAACCGTGCGTAACCGTCGTGTAGTGTGTGCTCGTAACCTCATCAATTAAAATCTACTTCTATGTATCACCACTCAGGTGCAGAATCCACCCCCCTCAAAACTCCAACTCCTCCACTTCCATCCCACAATCCACACACGTCTTGACCCCAATCCCCGTCTCGGGATTCTCCACCGACCGGCCCCATTGATGCACATGCCGCCCGCCATTCCCCAGATCATCGCCGAACTCCCCACCAGCCGCGCCCATCCGATTCCGCCGGTAGGCATCCACGCGCGTGCGCTTCTTGAGGTCCTGCAGCTTGGTCTTGAACTTGGCTTCGCGCCGCCGCTTCTTCTCGCCCTCGCGCCGCTCGAACTCGGCATCCAGCGCCTCGGGCGACCCCCACTTCTTCGCGGAGAAGGCATACTCCTCGACCTGGTACCGCAGGTAGAGCATCATGTTGTTCCACGTGGACTTGTGGGGATTCGGCCGCTCCAGATGCGGCAACAGCTCTTCGTCGCGGAGTTCCGCTACCGTGGGAAAATGTCAGCGCAATCCATCACCCCCGGGGTACCCGAAAGAAAGGAAAAGCTCACGATCCGTCAACAGATAATCCTCCTTCGCCTCCGTCTTCGTCAACAGACTATACCGTTCGGGAAACTTCTCCTTGCACGCATGACAAACCCGACACCGCAACTCCGCCTCCCACTTCCAGTCAATCTCAAGACTCCCGCACTCGCGACACGCCTTCTGCTTCTCCTTCTCCTCCAACACACTCAGCCCCGGTTCGAACGGGCCCGCGCGCTCCCGCCGCAGCGCCTTCAGCAGCACCTGCCGCTCCCACTCCTTCTGCGTCATGCCGGCGGGCTTCTGCTCGGCTTTCGGGTCGTGCACGTTCAGCGCCTTGTTGTAGGGATCGTCTTCCGTCGACAGGAACCCGCCCTTGGTGTCGGTCATCTTGCTGAAGTCGTAGTCGACGAACTTCGTGAAGTTGCGCGCCGGGCGGATGGTGTCGAGGGGTCGGTTGGTGGCTGCGGCGGCGGTGGCATCGCGGACGGTGGATGGGGTGGGTTGTGAGGTCATGGTGGTGTGGCTTCTTTTGACGCCTTTCGTGGGTTGTGTGGCGCTTGCGGCTGCTTCGGCGTCGCGCTGTTCGCGGATGGCTTTGGCTTTCATGCGGTTGATCTCCTATCACAGTTCAGGAGGGTCAGGTTACGCTCGAGGGAGCGGTGATGATGAGAAGGAGGACGTACGATCCGCCGCAGCTGCTCGGGAGTGAGCGGGCCCCGAGGGAGCTCACCGGGCTTGGTGGCGCCCGGCTGCGGTGGAGGTGTTGACGGTCGGTCGGTTGCCATTTTTTCAAGTCTCTCTTAACTTGTCCGGATCGTAGGCTCGGACTAGGTTATGGATGGCGATGAAGATGTAGAAAGAGTCGGAGGCGTCGCGGTCGCGGTCGAGGCCGCCGCCACATCACGTGCCGATAAGCCTTTTAATTGACGAGCGATAAGGACTTATCGGTCCCGGGTACCGCCGTGGAAAATGACGTAGGACGACTCGGGCTACTCAAAACTACTGCCTCGGACCCGTCGCTATCCATGTGAAGTCAACCCTAAGTCCATGGTTGGAAAGACAGCAGGGGGCACGGTGGAAAGCTTGTACTCCGCAGTCTAGATGGCATGGACATGCATGCAGGCTAGGTATCGTATCTCACAGCTGATGATGATTCTTGATGCCCGATTCTCATATCAATGACTACGAACTGATACTTGATATCAAGGAAATGGACGAGACCCAGAAACATCCACATCATACTCAGCCTAGACATATCACTTCACCATCATGTTCACTACCCAACGACTCTAGCGAACACGCAAGCCGTAGCAACAAACCCAGATTCCCAAACCCCCACAGCATCTAACTCAACTGAAACCCTCTCTTTCGGCCCTCACCAGCAACTCCTCCAGTCCCACAAACTCCATCCCCGCAAAGAACTCCTCCTTCTGCCGCAATGCCTTCTCCCGGGGGCAGCAGATCGCCCCTTTAATCGTACACTCCTCCAGCTCGGGAAGTGTGATGTTGGGGTCATCCGGAGGGGTCGGGTGCTGCTCGACATCATGCTCGATCTGCTCGACGGACCGATACTCCCTCTTGAAGGGGCGGTCTGCCATCTCACGGGGATCAGCACGCATCCCTCACAATTCCTTAAGGCACACAGTGTAGGCACGGAGTGTGATGCCCGGAACACATACCGTAATACTTCTCCAACAACTCCGCCGCTTGATTGAACGTGCCCCATTCAGCAGCCACATATGTCACCGATTCCTACCCCCCAGAGATTAGCATGCATGCCTCATCCCATCACGCCCACAGCCCCCACAACCCCCACAATCAAACAAACCAAAGAGAAGAAAGAAGACATACCCATCGCTCCCGCCCCAACAACCTCACCACCGCCCTGGCCAAATCCCTCGACCACGTCCACGACTGCGGCGCCTCCCCATCCCCCTCCACCCGATACGTCCACGTCTGCGGATCGATCGGGAACTCCCCCGGCACGTACGCGATATATGACTTCTGCTCGGCCAAAAAGTAATCCATATACCAGCCGTGGTTGACCAGCGTCCACTCGATATTGTGGCTCGCTGCCCGCGACCGCAGGATCTCGCGGAAGGGGGCGCGCGTCAGGCCGTAGGAGCGCGGCAGCAGCGGGAAGTCGTCCACGTTGCCGGCCCACTCTGACGGGATCAGGCGCTTGCAGGTCTGCGAGGCGATGCAGGCGTCCAGGAGGTGGGTGTGCAGCGGGAGGTAGGCGTCATTGGGGCAGCGGATCAGCGAGAGGAGGGTCGTGGCCCGTGTGGTGTTGAGGATGGGGAGTAGAGAGGCCGCGGTGTAGTCGGTTTGGTGGGTGGTGATTTTAGGGTGTGTCGTCCAGGTTGGGGCTTTCTTGCATCGAAGTATTGTCAGTAGGTTGTGGGCTTCGTGAGAGGGTGGGGATGGGGATGGGGGTGATGAGAGACAGAGGGATGTACGGAGCGAGTCAAGATGGCAACGGCGTAGTCCGGGCTGCTGGTGATGGCTTCGGCGAGATACCGTCCGAATCCGCCGGTTCCACCTGCGAGGACGATGACTTGGGGGGCCATGATGCAATCAGATCAATTCTGGTTTCAATTGTGATTTGTGTACTGTGAGATAAGATGCGGGAGGATGGGCTCGATGCTGCTGCAGTGTGCAGGTTGGTTGTGAAGGAGGCGGCTGTGGACCCGTGTTTATGTACTTCCACTCTCGAACACATGGGCTACAATTGCTTTCGTCAGCGGATCGACCGCGGATGCAGCTGCGGGGTGACAGTCACTGACTCAGAGACCATGCAGTTGACTTAACTTAGATGCACTGTAGGTGGCGCTGAGTCAGAACTCTACTGTCGTGGATATGAAGTCTCAGCAGTTGCCAGTGATGCTCGTACTCGAGCCACCCTGCGAGGAGGTCGTCACCGGCTCAGGATGGACGTCGAGTTGTGCAACTGGTTTATATCACTAACAGATTCGGAACCCGAGGGGATCGAGGTTGCATTGATGCGGCATGAAGTCATTCCAGGATGGATTGCGAATGCTGACACACGTTACATCAATCTCAAGATCATGGGTGGTGACACACGCGTGGTCGAAGAGACGTGGAAGGGATATCCCGACTTACCAGTGGATGAGATTGTCCGGACTGCCGAGTATAGACCCTGATATCTGCCATATAATAGCTCCATGCACCTCGTGCCTGCCAGTGCCCACTTCTGCCAGATCATATACTAGCCAGATATATCAAACCGCCTCACGTCATGGGAGAGTCACCAGCCATGAAATCACCGAGCCTAAGCAAAGGCGTAGAATGCGTCCCCAAAGACACCCCTCTCCCCGAGATCCTCGCCCACATGAAGCGCGACGGCGGCGTGATCATCAAGAACCTGATCGCCGAAGAAGACATCGACCGGACCAACGAAGAAGTCAAAGAACGGCTCGGCCAAGATCTAGAATGGGATGGGGTATTCTTCCCAAGTATACTCCGCAGCCCGTCTCTCCCACCACCGCCCCATACTTACAAGCATCCAGAAGAAACCAAGCGCGCCAACTCCATGATCGCGGTCAGCCCCACCTACACCAGAACCCAGCTCATGAACCCGATCTTCCAAGCCATCTGCACCCACTTCCTGACCACCCGACACTGGTTCTGGTGGGGCGAGGAGCGCAAGGAATCCGTTTCCAAGCCCTACGTCTCCTCGTGCACGGCCATGGAGATCGGCCCCGGGGCCCAGGCCCAGCCGCTGCACCGGGACTCCTTCGTCAACCACACCTGGCTCTCCGAGATCACGGCGTGGGACGACGAACGCGATCGTCACCGCGAATCGGAGATCGGGATGATGGTGGCCGGGTGCAAGGTGACCAAGGAGAATGGCGGGACGGCGTTTATCCCGGGGAGTCATTTGTGGTGCGTAGGTCCCTTTCCTCCCAAGCCATATATCCCTAACAACCCAACAGGGGCAGCGACCGCACCACCCCACCTCGCGTGCAAGACGCCCTCTCCATCGAGATGGACAAAGGCGACGCCTTCATCCAGTTCGCCTCCACCTACCACGGCGGCGGCCGCAACACGACCGCCGACCAGAAGCGGCTGTGCTACGCCACCTTCATGGTGCGCGGGTATCTGCGCCAGGAGGAGAACCAGTTCCTGGCCGTCCCCAAGAAGGTGGCCCGCCGGTACGACCGTCCCATCCAGGAGGTGATGGGGTACTCCCTAAGTGACCCGGCGTGCGGGTATGTGGAGCAGCTGGATCCGATCTATGCGCTGCGGCCGGAGTTGTTGGGGAAGGCGAGGCCGAGGGATTGGTAGGTTGTTGCTGGAGTTTGGTTCCGGGGTGGGGGTTTGGGGGGGTTTGAGTCTGTTGCTTTGTAGGGGATAGTGTCATAGGCTGGAGGATTTGTTCTTGGTTGTGAGAGTAGGTTGGGGATTGGTTGCTGTGGGGAGGTAGTGGTTATTGCGTGGTTGGGCTGGAAGTACACTGCGCGAAATTGATCTTTCTTAAGGTCTGGTAGCAACAGCTTCCTGCCAGCTTGTCTTGATATTAGCCTGTTTAGGCTTGCGAACAGTGTAAGCTGGATAGAAAGTGTTTCAATGGTGGTTGTAGTAGTAGTAGCGATGGCTTGAAAATCAGCACAACACAGAAGTTCTTGTTTGCAGCCAAGAAAGGCATTGGCTTTCTCAATCTGCAACTAGACTACACTCAAGACAAGAGCACTCGACTTTCTACCAGTCGTTATACACTTGCTGCACAGCAGTCATCGAGAGTCCTGAAATGTGAGGCACTTCCTTTGCCATCAAAGTATTCTTTTACCATAGTATCCCCAGATCTAGCCGAATACAATCAATGGAACATTCAGCACCCCTCACAGACGAACTCTACAAGCCAAGAAAAGCGAAGATACCCAACCATCACAGACCTGCATCCTCACAAAGACAATATACAAAGGACTCTCAAGTTACACAAACGCTGACTAACTTCGAAAGCAAAGAGTACCTGCTGATGCAGATTCCAGCCACCCGGCTCTTACCAACCAGCCGGATGGCGATCTCGTCACGAACCGCACCCCTCATAGTCGCAACCCCAATCCAGCTTTATACACTCGTATCCGATTTGGATGACTGCAAAGCAACCCCAAGCATGACTGCTAATCCCTGTGCCAACCAGCGGGGGTAAACCGATGGCGTTGTGGTGCCACCATCCCCCATCCCCCCCCTTGCAGGCGACTTCTCCATCCCAGCTTTGAGGTTATACAACATCTGGTCGAGTCCGAAAGAACCGATCCTAGCCCCAGCACCCGATTTCTGCAGAGTAAGCATCTCTACCCATGACCTCAATGATCCCCAAGAACAACGAAGGTTCCGGTTCCCATCAGCAGACAGAAGATTGCTGCCAGGAGAAAAACCATTAGCATATCCGCTCCCTTCTAATCCAAACATGGCCTGAGAATAATAGTCATACCCAGAAACAAATTCATGTAGAAATACCCCATCGCCTCAGTCAACGCGCCAGAGACCAACGGCCCGATGAACATGCCCCCCTTCCAGGTGACATTGGACAAGGAGAAGGTCCGCGAGTAACCGCCATTCGAGCCGAAGATCCCGGGTTTCTCGTCGGCGAGCTCGTTCGCGCCATCTGCATAGCTTAGCATCTTTCACTAGCCATAAGAGAATTCCCAAATGTAGTTGGCGTGAATGACAGCAAGTGCCGAGTCAAGGATGGACCAACTCACTCAGAACCTCCACCCCCCCATACCCCAGGATCAACGTCCTCCACACCCCGATCGCGACCAACGCCCCAAGGTATACCACCCGACCACTATACCCACCCATCATAATCCCCCGAAACTCTTGGCCCGGGAGCCCCAGCAGCACCAGCGACGGCGCCAGCAGCACGAACCCCAGGGACACGGGGTACCGCAGCCCGAACCGATCCTTGATCCCGCCGACGGGCACCACCAGGATTAGCGTCGGCGCCTGCAGCAGCAGGAACAGGAGCCCGGCGTGGAAGCTGTCCCAGTGGAAGACCTCGCGGATGTGCAGCGGGATCGTGGCCTCGAAGCTCGCGATGATGATGGCCAGCAGCGTGTCGCCGAGCAGGCCGGCGGCCACGCGTTTCTTGCGCAGGATGAGCCAGTAGATGTTCTCCTTTTGGGTGGTGCTGCTAGCCGCGGGACGGGGAGATTGGGGTTTGGGGATGGTTGTGTGGTATGTGCGCGCTTCTGCGGCAGGGCTGGATGGGAAGAGCGGATCGGTGGCATCGAGGGTCTGCGTCTGGGTCTCGCAGGAGCGGGTGCGAGTATCGTGGTCCTCGTCCCCCGTGTCCCAGTCTTTGGGATGGGACCTGACGTGCGCCCCGCCCCCGCGCGGTTCGAGGACGAGCAGTTGCAGGATTAACCCGATCAGCAGGACGATGAACGCGCTCGACCACATGACGGGGTAGGAGACGAAGTTGTACAGCGCGGCCGACACGGCCGGACCAGTTAGTAGACCCGCGGAGACGAGCAGGACTGCGACCCCGAACGCCTTGCTGAGGTGTCTCGTCCCGGCGGCGTTGGCGAGCATCGCCATGCCGACGATCCAGATCACCGAGCCGGCGACGGTCTGGATGAGGCGGCCGACGATGAGAACCGTGACTGCGGACGCCGTTGCATCAGCCCTATCTTCTACAACAAAACGAAGCTACCCACGTGTCGTTGCCCAAGCAGTCACCGCCGTGCCCAGCATATTCACCACCCACGCGGCAACCAGAAGCCCATTCCGCGAGGACAGTTTATCCGCCAGATAGCCGGTGACGGGCGCGAGGATGATCGAAACCAGGGCGTTCATAGAGAGGATGAGGGAGGTTAGTGTCTGAATGCGCGAGGCGGGCTGCTGGAGGCGGGTCTCCAGGATCTCCGGGAGGATGGGGATGATGAAGGTGAAAAGGAAGTTATCTGAGGTTGTCGGTTCGTCAGCAGCAGTTTGCACTGCATGATTAGGCCAACGGTTCTGGAGAATTGCGGTGTACCAACCAGAAAACAGAGCCACTGATACTATCGCAACGATGTACAGCCCCGAGGATCGCCATCGATGGCCCAAGGGCTTGGACGGTCCCGCTGAGCCCTGTGCCATTGTGCGCAACTGCGATTGCCGAGGATAGTGAGATGGTTGCTTCCTCGCTCATCATTGTAAGCGTTTAGGTATATATGGTGCCAGATGATATGATGATTTCTGTCGATAATTCTCCATCCCCATCCAGCAGATACTTCCATGGTTACTCAATGGTCGTAACATTGCATATGCTGGTGCACCAGTTCGCTGCGGTGTCTGCCGTGGAGCAGGAATCGGGGTGATACAGTCGGCTTGGGGATACGAGGCTCGCGCCACTTGCTCGGGCTTGCTGACTGGGCGGGATGCGAATGCGTCTGGGACCGAGTGTTGTGTTTTTGTTTTGGCTCAGCTTGCATGGTGGGCTCTAGTTGGGTAGGAAATGGCTGGTTGTTGTTTATAACAGTGAGTAGAGTGAAATCTTCAATCATGCTTGAGGCGCCTAAGCACAAGGCAGCATAATTCGTGCCATTACTCGCCGAGCGGGCATCATACCCGATGTCCCGACCAGTCCGTCCTCCAGTGGGAGCCAGTCGTATACTCACTCACTCACTCACTCACTTCTCAAGCTCAATTGTTCTACAGTACATCGTCAAAATGTCGAACCTATAGATCGGTATGCATTCTATTAGACCCCACAATCTATGCTGAAAAGGAAAACAGTGATGTAATTATATCCTCAGAACAAGATGCAGCGTTGCAGAGGCAGGTCAGACCCGCAGCGAGCGGTTAGTGTAGAATCCCGAGCCAGCAGTCTTTCAGTCACCTCTAACTTTTGTTTCGACGATCATTAAGCATGTACTTCACAAATCTAAGCAATCACAGCCTCCAAGGCCTGCTCGAAGATCTTCAGGCCCGTCTTGAGCTGCTCCTCGGTCATCGTCAACGCAGGCACGAACCGGATGCAGCCCTCACCGGCGGTGATAATCAGCATGCCACGCTCGCGAGCGGCCGCCACCAAGTCACCCGCCTTGGCGCCGAACTCGGGTGCGAGCTGCACACCCAGGATCAGACCGCGACCGCGAACCTGCGAGATGACGTTCGGGTGCTTCTCCTTGAGGGCAGCGAAGCCGGCCTGCAGCACGGCCGACTTGTCCTCGACCTGCTTCTGGAGCTCGGGCGAGGCCAACCGCTTGACGATGTGGTGGGCGACGCGGCAGGCCAGGGGGTTACCACCGAACGTGGTTCCGTGGTCGCCTGGCTTGATGTGCGAGGCCACGGTCTTCTCGGCGATGATGGTGGCACCGATAGGGAATCCGTTGCCCAGCGCCTTCGCGGTGGTCAGGATGTCGGGGTGAGCGGCCTCGCCCGAGGCGGGCGCCAGCGAAGAATGGCCGTGCGCCCAAAGACTACCCGTCCGGGACAGACCGCACTGGATCTCATCGAAGATCAGGACGGCGCCCACCTCGTCGCAACGCTTGCGCAGCGCAACCAGGAACTCGGGGGTGGCAACATTGACTCCACCCTCACCCTGGATGGGCTCGACGATCACACCGCAGGTCTTGTCGGTGATGAGAGTCTCAAGCTGCTCCACGTCGTTGTAGTTTCCGTACTTGAAGCCCGGCAGCATGGGCGAGAAGGGGGTCTGGTACTTGGGGTTGGGGGTCGCGGACAAGGCACCCATCGTGCGGCCGTGGAAGGAGTTGTGGAAGGAGACGAGCTCGTGCTTGGCGCCCGAGGGGTCGCGCGAGCGACCGACCTTGCGGGCAAACTTGATGGCAGCCTCGTTGGCCTCGGTACCGGAGTTGGCGATGAACACCTGGGAAGCGTCCCGCATGGCACCAGACTCGCGGGTGACCTCGATCAGGAGCTTGCTCAGGGCTCCGGTCCAAGCATTGTAGTACAGATTCGAGGCGTGGATGAGGATTTCGGACTAGAGGAGAGCCCCTCGTTGTTAGTGATTCGGGCGCCAGCATAAATAGCGTGTGGGTACACACCTGTTCGGCGATGATCTTTGCGATCTCAGGGTCACAGTGACCAAGAGAGTTGACAGCAATACCGGACGTCATATCAAGGTACTTTCTGCTCTCCATATCCCAGAGGTAACTGCCCTGGCCCTTGACCATCACCGGAGGTGGCCGGACGTAGGTGGGGACCATGAACGGGGTTTGAGCATTGATAAAAGAGGATGAAGCGGAATCGGCGGTGGGATCGGGGTTGGGCAAGGAGGTCTCATCCTGGAGAAGAAGCGCAGGTCAGTACAGAGTGCGATACTCAAGGAAGCTTCAATCAGCACATCGGAAATTCACCTTTGCTTGAGGCGCAGCTGTTGCGCTCAAGGACCGCACGGGCACTGCGGTGAACCGAGGACGGAGCACGGAGTTGATTTCAGGAACCAGCTTCCTGGCAGCGGGCAGACGCCGCGAGGCAAGGTGTAGAAGAGCCATTGTATGAACAGACACTGGGGAATTGGCAACGTGTCGACCTCTGGCAACCGGGAAACTTTATACCTGACACCTGGAGGCGGTAGGAGAGCGCGATTTAATGACTCGACGGGCACGCTCGCAGAAGAAGAAACACCGCACCGCAGCCCGACGACCTATCGGAGCCGAGAATCGGAGCGGCAGCCCACGCCGTGAGTCACCTGAGTTTGCCATGTTTGCTGCAGTGCTGCCAAGAGCCCACCAAAAGTGGAGCCGGCAGTCGGAGGTCCCGCAGAGACACTCAGGGCTGCACCCGCAATCAATCTTTCATGTCCCCCGATCTCCGTGTCTTCTTTCCACTTTCATGTAACATCGAATAACCACCACCCAGTACGAAGGAGAAATCTGAAGATATTGGAATGAATCTGGACGTGGACATCACTCAAGTAATTACCATTCAGCTTGCTTGAGGTCTTCCAGGCACTTGCGGTATGATTGAAGAAAAGAAGAGTGTCACACATCACAAAAAGTTGCTACAGTACAGCCAAATTTCACATCGTATTCTGCATGACAGACAGGCTACTCCACAATCATGTCCACACACCCACCTGCCTACCCATCAATCATGTCCCTGGCTCTCTGTGGAGGATGTACCGCAACCGGGTCGTCCGACGAGCACCGCGACAAGTTCCCCGACTCTGTCGCATATTCCATATGACGATGAGCCACCTCCGAACCACTGTCCACTGCGGTCATACTTGTTGCTTCGCTGCCTTGGCTGGCAGTGCGGGTGCTGATCTGAGTTTCTGGCTTTGGTTTGGCGAAGGGGTCTTCTCCCGGTTGCTGCTGCTGCTCCTCTGGGTTGATGATGCCCATCTCAACATACCGGTCCATCTCGTCGGTGTCCTTCTGGGTTGACTGTCTCCTAATCTCCCGAACAAACGAACGGCCCTTTGTCCACCAACTGGGTTTCCTCTGGCCAACGCCCATGTCGTCTGCGAGGGCGTTATCGAGGTCACCGCGACGAGCGATTATGGCCTGGTCGTCGTTCAACTCACAGTGACCACAGATGTTGAACAAAACAATCAGGAGGAGTGGGGGCGTATAACCCAGCCCGTAAATCCAACCGCCGCTGACACCATACCTCAACGGTGACACTGTCCAATCGTACGCAGATGCGATCGCATATCCGACCTTGAATCCCAGTAACACGAGAGCCACGAGAAATTGGGAGGGTGCGGCATTGAGGTAGAACATTAGCTGCCCCCAGGTACTCGAAGGGCGGATGCGATAGCGGTATAGACTGTGCTCCAGGCTATAGCAGATGACAAGAACGCCACCCATGGCCAGGAAGCTGGCGATGCGCCATCGGATGTCCGTCGCGGCAGGTTTTGCATCGGCCATCTGTTGCTCTAAACTCCGTTGCATCTCGATCGGCCCCCAGGAGCGCGGGACGGTCAGGAAGAAGTTCGCGAGGGCTAACCCATAGAACATCATCGGAAGCACGAATTCTTGGCCCCGGCGGGTACTGGACTTGCTGAAGGCGTACGGGTCTCGATCGATAATCTGTCGTTCCTGCCACGAACCCCTTGATGTTGCCATGAGTCAGGGAAAATCCAGAATAAATGGGGCCATAGACTAAGATCATGCTTACCAGTGCCGAACAGCCTCCCACACAACCGCCATCATCACAGGGGTGAGAATGGTATAGAAGACACTCTGCAGAACCAATGGACTGTTCACCACATAGTCCCGATCCACATCGATGCTCATGAAGCAACTAATCGCTCCGCAGCCGGCAAGCACGAGCATCCAGATCCATTTGGCTCGGCGACCCAGGAGTCTCCACCGTCGATCATGTGGTAGATATCGTCGCCCGTGTTTGCGCAAATTGATCAAAGTGAAGAAGATGGAGATGGAGAACATCAATGCAAAGGCCAGACCTGCTGCTGCATGGGAACCCATATCCCGAACGGGCGCATAGCACGAGACCCCTTTGATGACCGTCCCGTTCTCCGTCTGCATATGGGGCTTGAATTGGTTGAATGCAAGATAGCAATCCGTGCCATTGGAGAGCGTCCCGTTGCTGTAGAGCTTGTACTGGTAAAGGTCGAGGGCGGTACGATTGAAGTGCACCTCATTGATGAGCACATCAGTGGAGTTGGCACCGGCCTCGAAAGGCACGACAGCGCGAACGTATAGCAGAGTCATGGTGTGGTCGGTTCAAGATGGGATCTGCCCCGGGTGAGAGAGCGATCGGCTTGGAGATTTGCAAGTTCCCGAGCAGGGAGTGAGGCTGATCACCATCATAGCAATCGAGTAATGGAGGGGGGTTGAGGAGACTAGATAGAAGAGTGAGCTACAGCTGCTCGGGACGCGACGGAGCCATGACGGCGGGACATCAGCGACAAGGTCGCATCCAGGGAGGAGTCGATGATGCGCCGAGGACCCAACAACCCAATCAGAGTCTGGATCCTGGCTTTTGGGTTCGGGTCATGATCCGTCGAGGGAGGGTCCAGAGGTCTCAGTGTGTTCCCTGGTCGAGTTGTAAGAGTAATAACCTCTTCATATAGTCAGTGTACTGTACTTGAGGAGAGAGAGTCAATACTCGAGGGGAAGAAAGGCGCCGGCCGCGACGGGGATAGATGCGACCGGTATCCACCACAGGCGCATCAGCCATACCCCATTCGGGTGTCTGCATGGGGGATCACAGCTCCAGCATAGAAACTCACATCTACTCCTCAAGGCAGCTTGGATATGATGACCAAAATCCAAATGCAAAGAGTTGAATTGCAGGCTAAGTATCAGGCAGATCGGACGGCCTACCATAAAAAGGACAAAAAGCTCACAACTGTCAGGGAGCAGCCCGCTACGAATGGATTCTACTTTTTAAGGCATACTCCCCAACAGCGCTCACGAAAACCCCTCACTCTAACTAAGCTGCCCTCGGGATTTTCATACCAGTTCATCATCCCAGTGGGTGGAGGGTTACTCTGCCTTTTATCTGCTTGCGTCAAGCTAAGGTTCGCCTTCTCCACGGTTCGAACGCAGGCCGGCGGCACCACAACCCGTCACCGCCCCCGTTGCACCACCCGGCCTGCTGGTTACCGAGCCAAAACCGTATCTGAATTATACCCCAGCAAAGATTAGCCGCTTTCGCTAACCAATTCGCGAGCAAACTCCGAGACCCACAATTAGGAAGCTTGGCATGGTCTGCCAAGAGTTGGCCCCATCCTTGTTATCTTTCGCTTGTTGTACCTACTATTGATGGTAGTCGTCTATTTTGCGAAGTTGTCATCTTTGCTATCCTCCACTCGGTCCTTATCTATTAACATTTGGCAAGTTGAATAGTGTGAAGTATTTGTTTGTGCGGGAAGTAGCAGCCTCGTGCCTTCCATGTCAATCCTCCTGCGGATTTAGCAAGTTAAGCTTGATGGTCCAGTTCAGCTTCTCGTCTGCTGTCGCAAAGCCGGGCTTCCTCGTCTTACGAACTTGCTGGCTGAACGTGGGAAGCCATGTGTCTTGGAGAATCATTCTAACTTGGCAGCCCCAATCTTGTCTAGCTCATCGAGTCAACTATATGGTGTAGAAAGCACAGATTCCTATACGTCCACGATCACTGAACCTACATGTTAGGCTCGACGACGATAAGATACGTATTCGTCGAGTCGTTAAGTGGCAGGCTACGGGCAATACCTTATTCTACTACGGACAGATGTAAGGTTTCAAAATCGTCGTTTTTTTTTTATTGCCTGAAGTTGAAAGAGTGACCAGGCAGGGAAGAAGAGTTCAGAGACGCGGTCGCTGTGACAGAGGACCTGACTTCTCACGCGCCCTTCGCGGTAGGGATATTGCACAGAGGAGAAGTCTCACTGTTGCCTTCCCTTGGATGCATCAACCAGCTCATCTTGAAAGAGATGTGACGGATTGAATTTGTCCGGCTGTGTAGAGTAGATTGCAGCACTGTCGGGAAGGAACAATACTATCCCCGGCCAGCACGTAAGCTGCATTGCATGCACTGTTGTGGGCCTTGCATTCCAGGCTGATTGCAAGCCCCACTCAGGCGGGCTGTCAAAGTGCTAGCTAAACCTGGGGATTAATTGCTTATGCTGCAGAAATGCCTCCGCATGACGAAGCTTATTGCTCACGTGGTGTCTGTGCGCTATGCTCAGCTGCAGGCTTGGTCCAGGAAAGGGGCCCTCATTGAAGGGAATGCTTCGCTCGCATTGCATGGGTTGGGCCATCAGGGGCTCGACTGGACGGACACTGGCAGAGTAACCGACAAGGAGCACTGGGCAAGGACAACATCGAGATAATCTCATTCCACCAATTAATACATCGACCGAGCCCATGGCGCCTTGCCATTACATGAACGACTTACCATCATGCCGTGACGAATACATCCAAGCGAGCTGCAAGCTGCCCTGCAAACCTCCTCATCTTGCACCGAGTCACTCTAGCTGCAAGGCTGCCGAACGCCGGATCAAGCCACAGGCCCCTGGATGTTATTACGTTGGCTGGTGGAATCGTCATCAGTCCGAGCCGTCTCCGACCTGCTAGTACCGCTAGAGCCAATCGCGAATGCGCGTGCCGCAGGAAGTATCTTCGTCAACAATCTCATTCTCCTCGAGACGAGCTCTGTCCGCAATCCCGACGGCCAGCAATGATTTATCCACCATTTGGCATGTATATCGCCAAATCACAGAGGCATAGACGAACCTCACAACCTGGCAGGGATCATGACTTAGCGCCGGCATATCATGCTGAAACTCCCGCTTCGTGGGGTGCAATCTAAACAATAATCCCACCACGGAAATTCACGCCCAGAGATAGGATCTATAGCCGTCGCTCCCTAGCAGTATTTAAGGCCGATCCAAGCCTTCTGTCCAAGAAAAGCCAAGTCAACTAAGGACAGGCAATTGAAAGCTTGGATTTTCTTGTTGTCACTCACGTTGCATCTGCCCACCATGCTTGTCAACACGGCAGTTCTCTTTTCGCTGGCCCTCGGGGCCATCACCGTCAGCGCCAACCCGGCCCCTGAGCCCCCTGCGATCACCGCAGCTCCCAAGGTGGGCGACCTGGAGAAACGCGCGACCACCTGCACGTTCTCGGGCTCCAACGGTGCCTCATCGGCGAGCAAGTCGAAGACCTCCTGCTCGACCATCATCCTCTCCAGCGTGGCCGTCCCATCGGGCACGACCCTGGACCTCACGGACCTGAACGACGGAACTCACGTACGCATTCTCCTCTGTCCTCACAATCCCCTCATACACTAAACGAATACACAAATGGATAGGTCATCTTTGAAGGCGAGACCACCTTCGGCTATGAAGAATGGTCCGGCCCTCTGGTCTCGGTCTCCGGCACGGACATCACCGTGACCGGGGCCAGCGGGGCATACCTCAACGGCGACGGCAGCCGCTGGTGGGACGACGAGGGCTCGAACGGGGGCAAGACCAAGCCCAAGTTCTTCTACGCTCACGACCTGACCGACTCGGTCATCAGCGGCATCTACATCCAGAACTCCCCGGTCCAGGTGTTCAGCGTGGACAACTCCAACTACCTAACCCTGGAGGACATTACCATCGACAATACCGATGGCGACGATGACGGCGCCGCGAACACGGACGGGTTCGACATCGGCGATAGCACCTACATCACCATCACCGGCGCGAACGTGTACAACCAGGACGACTGCGTGGCGATCAACTCAGGCGAGGTACGTCCGAATTACGCCTAACTAACCTCCCTCCCAAGGAGATCAAAAACAGCTGACCCCGCGATCTGTGGTGTACAGAACATCTACTTCTCCGGCGGCGTCTGCTCCGGCGGCCACGGCTTGTCCATCGGCTCCGTCGGCGGCCGCAGCGACAACACCGTCAAGAACGTGACCTTCTACAACTCAGAGATCAAGAACTCGCAGAACGGTGCGTCCTCCCCCCAGCCTAAAAGAAAAAAGCACACTTCCGCGTAAGCTGATACTCCCGGAATCAGGCGTCCGCATCAAAACCATCTACGGCGACACCGGCTCCGTCTCCGAGGTCACCTACAAGGAGATCACCCTGTCCGAGATCACCAAGTACGGGATCGTCGTGCAGCAGAACTACGACGACACCTCGGAGGCGGCCACGACCGGCGTCCCGATCACGGACTTCGTTCTCGATGACGTTCAGGGCACCGTCGAGAGCACGGGCACCGATATCTACATCGTGTGCGGCTCGGGCAGTTGCTCCGACTGGACGTGGACGGATGTGAGTGTCTCGGGCGGGAAGACGAGTTCGTCGTGCACGAATGTGCCGAGTGGGATTAGTTGCTAGTTTTGCTGGGTTCGAAGGGGATTTGGGTGTTTTGGTCGGGGGTGTGGTGGATGAGTGGATGGGGTGGATGGGGTAGTGTATATGCTGTAGCAGAGCGATAGCTTCCGGGCAATTGAGTTTCAGCTGGGGAGTCGAGGATTCTGTCTCTTTCTGTTTTTGAGTAGTCTTCCCATGGCAAGATATTAACAGAGTGTAACTGACTAGGTAGCATGTAGAAACTAAGGAGACAACCTTGCTCGGTGCGTGACTTTAGTGCGGAAGGGAAAGTGGCTTGCGAATTTGACCGTTGAGCTGCGAGGACTGTTCGGTAGTCTTGGAGCACCGATCACTTTACACAGATCATGTAAAGCCACCCAAGAGCACTGAATCAAACCGGGGGCTTGGGCCAAACTCGGTTCAGGATATCTACGCACATTGCGCTTACTCTTCAAGCATATCTCGACTACTCTTTCGACCAAACATATATCATCGTCATAGTATTCCACCGTCTTTAAACTTTTATTTAAACTCAACCGCAACTCTACTGCAACCGCTGAATGACCTTGATCAGATCCGCCGACACACCCATGGCAGTGACATCACCGCCGGCACCGGCACCCTGGACGATCAAGGGGTTGGCGCCGTACCGCTTGGTGTAGAAGCTGATGATGTTGTCGCTGCCCTTGAGGCCAGCGATGGCGCTATCCTTGTCGAACTTCTCCAGGCCGACGCGCACCTTCTTGGCGCCGACGTCGACACTCCCGACGAACCGCACGACCTTGCCCTCCTTCTCGGCCCCCTCCTTGATGGCGGTCATCTGGCCATCGAACTCGGGCAGCCGCTTCATGAACTCGGCAATGCCCTCGGCCGTGGAGGGCACATCGGCCAGCTCCTTGGGGATGAGCGACTCGATAGGGAAGGAGTCGGGGCTCTGGACCTCGAGGCCCGCGATGCGGGCGAGGATGGTCAGCTTGCGCGCGACGTCCATGCCGTTCAGGTCGTCGCGGGGATCGGGCTCGGTGTAGCCCAGCTCCTTGGCCTGGGCGACGACCTCGCTCCACTTGGCGGAGCTGGCCGCACCGACCGGCGCGAACGTGTTGAAGAGGAAGGACAGCGTGCCGGAGAAGACGCCCTCGATGCGAGTGACCTCGTCGCCCGTGGCGACCAGATCCCGCAGCGTCGAGATGACGGGCAGGCCCGCGCCCACCGTGCTCTCGTGGTACACGAGGGCGTTGCCCTCGGCCGCGGCGGCGAAGATCTCCTTCCACAGGGCCAGGTCGGACGAAAAGCCCTTCTTGTTCGGCGTCACGATCGAGATGCCCTGGCGCAGGAAGGTCGGGTACGACGACGCCAGCGCCGGGTCGCTCGTGTTGTCCACCAGGATCGACCGCCCGGGCGCCGACGACAGGTACGCAGCGATCTCGTCGGGGGTCAGCGCGCCGGACTTGGTGAGCTGCGGCACCGCCGAGGCGGTCTTCCAGTCCGCCGCGGGGATGGCCGGGGTGTAGGAGGGCGTCGGGGAGAGGAGGGTCTGCGTCGACCGCGCGAGGAGGATCAGTTGCGGGGCGTTGGGCAGGCGGGCCAGCTGGCTGAGGAAGGAGGTTCCCACGCCTCCGACGCCTGGTTGCAGATGACCTTGTCAGTGTGCGCACTTTGCTTGTGGTGAGGGGGAGGGGTGGCCGTGGCCGTGGTGGTGGGGTGAGGGGAAGGAGTAGGAACACAAAGTGCAATTGTCATTGTGAAGGAACAGCTGGGTTGCTCTCTGGGGTTACTTACCAATAACACCGAGATAGATAGGAGCAGGCATGATGAGATGATCAATTGGTCGGTTTCTGGTTGATATCCTGAAGCAGCAGGAAGAGGGGAAGAGGAGAAGACCGAAGGAGCTCATCTGCAAAGCCGCTGCGGGGCAGCGCTGACTCATCGTCCTATATCGGCGCACACCACCTGGCTTGGCAATGGTATCTGTAGCAGTGGAATCCAGCTGTAACAGTGCATGATGTCTTATGTTTATGAGAAAGCTTGTAGCTACACTATGCAGGGCATTTGTACTAGGAATTCTTGGGCATGGCTTCCATTCGGAATTTGAAACATTTTTTGTTTGATGCAAACTTGTACAGTCAGAGTCAATTGAATATCTCTTTGAGACCATATATTTATTTCCACTGCGCTTGGCAGACTCAAAGTAACCAGCACGAGCCACGCATTAGACAACAAAGCCTTTGAAGCAAGGCTCCAGTTTTATCTTGGACCACAGGATCTCTTTGTGGACGCTGCTATTCTGGGTGTATCTTGTCCAACCGCTTGGGGTGCCATACTTTGTCGCGACACAAACAACAAAGAGAAACATGATCAGCCCTCGACCTGACGAGCCGGTTTATCTTTTGATCATATAACGCCCTGAAAATGCATCCGGTACATCGAATCCTCAAGTATTGCATTGTCTGATTCGTATCTTTGATGTCTATAGCCACAAAGCAATGTGTCAAGCTAGCGTTAAAGGACTCGAGCTGTACTTATGCTTCATTTGCCCATGAGGACCACTGTCAAGGTCTATACCCATTGCTGAGCATTATTCTTACTCCCCTAATCTTCATCGCCATAGAACTATACTTCACCCACTGTACCAAACAGATTGTTCCCAGGAATGACCCAAGAAGCCAGCACAACAGAGCAAAGGGCAGAAACACCGCCCGCGAAGGTAAGCTCACTCCACTTTCCACTCTTTGTAGAGACACAAAACGCCACTAGTTCTTCCCTGACTAACCGTACTGGCAACCACCTAGAAACGACGAACTTCCCCACCGCAAGAATGTACAATCCCCCCACTAGAAGTACCCCCCCGCAGCATCCCCTTCGTGACCCGACCCTGGTGCGCCATCAACGGGAGCAAAGGGACCCCTCTCCCTCGACACCACCGAAAAGAGAACCAGAGTCTCCTCTGGACGGTCCCATTCGGCTACCGCCCCGAGGACGGGGCCTTCGTCGTCACCGACGAGCTGCTCCAGACCCATCTGACGAGATTGTATGCCCAGATCCACCGGTTTTGGGAACGGTACTCGTGTAGCCCCGAGGAGATCACGCAGTTAGCGCCGTTGAAGAAACGCGCAATTCTCCAGCATCTGGAGTCCTCCTGTCGGTGTGGGGACTGGCCCTCCATCCACAAACTGCTCAGCGCGAGGTCCTACGAGCGGTTTTTGAACAAGCTGCTGGAGACGGTGCTGGTGAAGCAGTGCTTTGAGAAGGTCATCTCGAATCCGTTCTTCTATATCACGCCGTCGGGGCCGGTTGGTGACGCTGGTAGTACATCCTGGTCGTTTGGCAGGGAGCTTAAGGATCTGTATGAGATGCTTTTGAGGGGTGAGTGCTTATAGTTGTTTCGAGGTCCAGTAAAACATATGTTAAAAGTCTCATGCTGACGAATGATTCATGATGGTGGCAGTGAATCCAGCCAAGGCCCACAAATGGCGACAGACTCTGACGCATCTCCTGCAGGCGGACTATCATGGAGGATCGGATGATTGGCGGGTGGCGTTCGCGGCCAGCGAGAGCTTAGAGGCGGCTTGTCAGAGCTTTGCGGAGAACATGCTGGAGGAGTGTGAGGCGTTTTGCGTGCTCCTGCGAGATCTTGCGGACAACAGCGAAGGCATCGACCAGCGGTGCCGTGACCTGGTTGAGATCTTTCGAGTCGCGGCAGAGCTGTCGGTGGGATTTGCGGCAAGCAAGGACGGGTTCGTGTTCCATCGGCATCCGCTCATCGAACGGTCAGTCTTGGTTGGAGAAGCTCAGGTGAGCGATCGGGGAAAGTGTAGGGAGGAATGGCGGCTGGCCAACGAACAAAGCTTTGATTCGGAGGAAGAACTCGACCGACGGCTTGATTGGCATGTGCTGATGTTCGGCGTGGGTGACTCGCACCTTACCCCAGTGTATCATGGCGATTACCTTTTCGTGAAGGAATAGGTGCCGGACGAGCTTTTTATATGTGATTAGCTTATCTTATACATCAGACTAAGGCTATGTGCAGTGTTCTCCAGTGACATATTTGATGTAGTATCAGTTGGCCTGTGTGTATAGTAGTCTATGAAATGTAATCCATCTCGATGATAATCCTAGCAGAAACAGTGGTTCTCGTGTCGTAAGACAGCTGTTCGATTTCCTCGTCAGAGAGAAGGGACTATGGGATCTATTGTCTTCACGAAATCCCGAAGAGCCAACAGGTCGGTCGTACTGATGTACTGGTTGGAATAGAGCCAAGCCTGCAAATCGGGTCCCATACACAATGTCGGAGAGGCCTCATCCGATTGCTCAGAGGTGTGACGGAACATGCTCTTCGAAGCATTGTCCCTATATCGATTGCGTGGCAAAAGATTCCATTCTCGAATCGCGATCTGTCGAAGCTGGGATTGAGCCAGAGGCGTAATTTGGTGCGACCTTCAGTGAAAAGAGATATTGAGTTATGCGACCCGTCATCACCTCATATCTGTATCCTCGTTCTCATGTCCATTACCACTGCCATCCCCTCCCGATGTCGCCGCCCCGGGTTGTGTTTGTTGTTGCTGCTCACCGGCCGCAGCCGAAGCGGAAGGGAAACTCAAATACTTCCAATCCTCGATCTCCTCGATGATACACTTGAGCCGATCCCTGATACTCTCCACCGCATACGTCCCCAAGATCAGCCTCAAGGGCGGGTACGAGCAATGCCCGAGCTGCCAAACCAGATGCGCCGCCTTGACCGCACTCGCCGGCTGCTTATCCCCCAACCACATGAGCATCCTCTTGGCATGCGCCGCCGGCGACGTGGAGACATTGTACGGCTCGCTCGGCGGCTTGACCAGGAAATGCCCATACAACGGCAAGGGGGACGCCAGATTATGCTCATTGGTACCCATTCCGCTGCCACCAAATAAACCCCGGTGCATGTGATCTGAAACCAGATCCCCGGTGTCATCCCGCCGCATATGCCCCGGCTCGACCAGCGTGGTCTTGACGTTGAAATGGTCCACCTCGTACAGCATACTCTCCATCAGCCCCTCGACCGCGTACTTGGACGCGCAGTAGGGCCCCAACCCGGGAACGCCCAGCGCGCCCGACGTCGAGCTGAAGATGAGGTACCGGCCGGCCCGCCGCTCGCGGAAGTGCGGCAGCGAGAGCTGGATGATGTTCAGGGTGCCCGTGAAGTTGGTCTCGAACTGGTCGCGGATGTCGTACTCGTCCTGGTCCTCGCAGGCGCCAATCACCCCGTACCCGGCACAGTTGGCGATGATGTCGATGCGGCCGAAGCGCGCGATGGTGCGCTGGATGACCTGCTTGACGGTCTCGCGGGCGCGCACGTCGCACAGCAGGCCCAGGCAGTTCTCGTGCTCGGCCTCGAGGTCGCGCATGGCCTCGGGGCTGTTCTCGAAGGTGCGCCCGACGGCGGCGACCAGGTCATCGCGACTGAGGGCGGTCTTCACGAGGGAGCGGCCCATGTGGCCTGTCGCGCCGAAGATGAGCCATACGAGCGGTCGCGGGGGGTTTTGCGGACCGGGCGGGTCGGTGGTCGAGGGGAGCTGGAGCTTCGGTTCTCGGGTTCCTGGGGTGGTGGCTGCGGAAGGCGAGATGGGGTTGGTGGAGGATTTCGGAGGGGAAGCGTAGAGATCCATGGAGGATGCAACTCGAGGTCGTCGCTCTCCTCGTGATGACAAGAACAGAAGCTCCTTCATTCTGTTGCATTTTCCCCGGACGCATTCCCCGCAGCTGTCCGGATGGTCACGTGATAACACTCTTATCGATCACTGATAAAGAAGGTCCCTCGTTGGTCTGGTTTAGCTGACAGCAACTTACTACTTATATATTACAACATAGCAGGAGGGTCTGAGAAACAAATAGGAGCATTTGTATCCTACGAACGATGAAAAGATGTAACAGGGTGTTGTGAAACTAGGGATTATAAGATTTTATTAACAGTGAGATGATAAATGGGACAAACAGCTGTTATACGCCATAGAAACATTATTTTCATCAAAGGTAGTGATGGATGCCAGACTGCATTCGAGCATTCTGTTGAATAAGTTCCTCACTTATAAGGAAGAATAATGCTTTGCAGTACCTATTCAGATCACTACTACACTTTTCTGGCACGCACTTATGCATCCTCCCGTAGCCCTCCCCAATACCTAATAATCAGCATATTTGTGGAATATAGACTCCATTGAGTTAGTCTTAACGGAGATTCTGTGACTGAGTTGACTCTACGTCACGGCCGTATGGGCCGCCACGGGCCATGACCCTTGCCCTGTGCCAGCGCATGCATGACTAAGTAGCTTCGCCAGTATCTCGTGTATAAAACAGTCAACTTTCTTTCTTCTGAAGCTTCTTTCTTTCTAACTTACATCGTACCTCTTTCGAGCACTGAGGTCAGCAGCGTGTATAGAGAAGTGGGCACCGAAAATAGAGCGACGCTACGAGGTTCGGAACGGGCATCAATACTGTACATAAGCCAACAGTACATCGCGCAATATGACATTAGTTTCTCGAACAACCTTGATTCCATGGCTAAAGACAGCTAAAGGGAACGAAAATTTGTGGAAGGGGCAGAAGGCTCGCAACAGGAAGCGATCGCGAGCCCTGGGTAAGGGATCCCGGGAGCAGGGGAAATGGAAGAAAAACGCGAAGGTGAACGCGAAGGTGAACGCGAAGGGCAAGCGAGAGGTGAACGCGAAGGGCAAGCGAAAGGTGGAGAAAGAGGAGATAACTACCGAAACAGTCAATGAGGAAGAAGAGGAGGGTCGGTATAGACGGGCTGATAGTCAGGAAAGTGTTGTGCACGATGATACTTTTTGCGGTTATAGTGAAAACTCCGCGGATCCCTTCAGGTATGAACCGGGAGTTTGGAACGGACTATTTAAGGGTTGATTCAGGATTTGACGGTATTGAGTCAATGGGCTTGATACTCGGTCAGTAATGCCCATTTTGCACTGAGTGGTGAGCGAGGGGTTCTTTGAACGCGTTCAAATGTTGTTCGACGCGTCTGGCGAAGTGTCTTTTTATTGGTTGAACGCGAAGCGCACTTTATCTGCTGCGGTGTCACAAATCATGGATTCTAAATCATGGATGCTTGCTGACCTTGCTGCTGGTTGTTTAAGTTGATTTGGAGTTGTGTCTTTTCTGTTTGACATTTTGTTTCTTTGTGCTTTGACTTCTACGGGATACTTATGTTTGTTGTTGTTTGCATGCTTTTGATCTATATAGCAAATGAGCAGAATATCAAGACTCGCTTCGTATTTGTCCACGGGCCACATAACCCAGGCTATTACTCCGAGAGGCACTTATATCTTATACAGTGTAGAGGACTTGAGCTCTAACGAGTCGTCTAGTCAGTAACTTACAAGCTGAAGACATAGTGCCCAACTCTTACCGAGGACAGTACATAAGAGCATCAATCACTATCGCCGCGATCTCGGCTAGACCCGCTCGGAGACGGCCGACGTGGGGACCACCACCGCGGCCGAACGAGTATATCAGCATCTTATTTAGATCCGAACGCCTTCTTCCTTTTATCTGCATCAGAAACCAACTCGACCCCCTCTACACACCCATCTTACCCCAATCAGTCCCATACACAACCCACACTCACCATGTCTTCCACACTCCCCCCACTCGCAACCCTGACGTCAGAGCCGCAAGACCGCCAATTTCAAGTGCTGGACACGCTCTTCGAGCCGTCGCCCGAACTGCACACTCTCATGGCGCCCATCCTCGCCCACCAAACCTTCGACAGCTACGCGAGACTGATCGACGCCGTCGGCGGCCGCATGTCGGCGCTGTCCGCAGCCGACTCCTCCAAGGACCGCGAGATCCTCTACGGGATCCTGGGCTCGCATCCCCGGCTGGGACGGCCTAAGGCCGGCCCGACGGAGCATCTGAGCGAGCTCAGCAAGAAGGAGCAGGCGCAGCTGAACACGGGGGCGGAGGAGCAGGCGGAGCGATTGCGGGTTCTGAACGCGGAGTACGAGGAGAAGTTCCCGGGGTTGCGGTTTGTGTAGGTTCTTTTCTGCTCGGCTTTTGGGTTGCTGGGGTTTGGAGGGCTAATTGAGAGGCTTAGGACCTTTGTTAATGGGAGGGATCGGGATGTGATTATGCAGGAGATGCGGGAGAGGATTGATAGGGGCGATGCGGAGCTGGAGGTTGAGGAGACCATTCAGGTAGGTCGTTGTGGGTGATGTTGTGATGGAGGGATGCTAATTGAATGTTGCAGGCCATGTGTGACATTGCGAAAGATCGCGCGCGGAAGTTGGAGTAGGCTTATCTTATTTTTGTTCAATTTTGATGGAATGCAACTTGCAGTATCCGCTACCGATCAATCTCTCAATTTGAGATACCTAAGTCCATTACCAGTGCACTAGGATAATGCGACGTCGTGACTGTAAGAATGTATTGGGTCGTTCAACGACTTACAACAGCAATGGGGACGGCAAGCTCTCTGTAGATCTATATACACGCTGGTGCCCAGGAGGCCCCACCAACAATCTGGATAATTCTAGTCTATCGACTCAACCCTGGCATTCTATTTTCCGAATGCCTCCTTCTGCTCCGGCACCAAGGTAATCATCTCACCCTTCTCGACCGCCGACCGCAGGTTATTCAACACTAAAAGTTCCATCTCCCGCTGCGTCTCGTACGTCATGGTACCAATGTGCGGCAACAGCATCACCTTAGGGTTGCTAACCAAGCCAGGCTCAATCTCAGGCTCATTCTCGTAGACATCCAGACCGGCAGACAGAACCTATGATCATCAGCACGCAACCCAGTCTTCCTTTCCGAGATGGTATCTTACCTTGCCGGATTCGAGCGCAGCAACCAAGGCCTTCTCGTCAATCAACGCTCCCCGGGCCGTGTTCACAATGACAATTCCGTCCTTCATCTTCTGGAACTCTTTCTCCCCAATAATGTGACGGGTCGACGCATTGAGCGCCAGGTTCAGACTCAAAACATCGGAGGTGGCCAGCAACTCATCGAAGGAGACATACGTCGCGTCTCCCTCGAGTTCCGGCGACAGCCGTGACCGGTTGTGGTATTGGATCTTCATGCCAAAGGCTCTTGCACGGTTGGCCATTTCCTATGCTCCTACATCAGCAAACCACCTCGTATCATCTTCCCGGAAATGACAGCAACTCACGCGACCGATGCCTCCCATGCCCAGAATGCCCAGAACCTTACCCTGCGGATCACGGCCAAGTCCCGTTTGTCCTAGGAATTTACCTACTCCATTTAGTCTCTGCATCAAGCACACACCCTTCTCGGGCAGGATGACATACCCTCGCGCAGCGACGAAATTGGAATATAAGCCTGGCGCAGCGCGCCGATCATCAGGAAGATACCCACATCGGCTGTCGCGTTGTTGACCGCGACCGGGGTGCTCGAGACGGCAATTCCTGAGTCCACTCTTTAGCATCGATGCCTACCAGCAAGTATTTTGAGTTAGAGATTACCTTTCTCTGTGCACCCCTTAACATCGACGTTATCGTAGCCCGCCCCGTTGTGGCAGATGTATTTGAGGGACTTGGGGAGGACGGAGAGCAGCTCTGCGTTGAAGGGGCCGGTGAACTATCGCGATCATTAGACTGTTGGCTTGTTTCATGGGAGAAATAGGGGGAAGATCGTACCTTGGTGGAGGTATTCGAGCGGTAGATCGCGACCACATCGTCGTATTGGCCCTCCTTGCAGTTGCGGATGAAGTCGTCGCGGGTGCCCTCGGGGAATTCCTGGATCGATGCATTAACTCCGGTGGTTGCAAATGGGCGCGTTCTATAAATTGCACCAAAGTCTCACCTTGAGGGTCAGAATGGAGGACAAATCTTCCCATTCCTTGCGGGAATGGGTGATTGCACCGATCAACAATGCGGCGGGCATGATGTCAGAGTTGGAGGGGGAGAAAAAGGGCGTGCGCGGGGTAAATGTTGGTGGGAAAAGTGCGATGAGAATTGAAGAGAAGAGAAGGAGGAAGGAAAGGAGGAGAAATACAAGATTAGAAAGTGAACTTAACTACTGAGCTCAAGAGCCACATGTGATTATTCATTATCTATCTCGCAATGACCCCATCGCACTGAGCTTTGCCTGTTCCTCCTCAATCAAGGTCCAGTGACTGGCTGTTTTGGTTGTGTCTTGCTCCAGCAATCGCGTGGGGGTTGCCTTGATGTATTACCTGCGAGTTACGTTACTGGTACAGAACTGTATTATACTGGGGACGAAGGCAGTCCTGTGTCCAACAGGATACTTCAAATGATCCTCTCCCTTGATAACTCTGAGTAAGTTCAGCTGTAGCGAGGATGTAATCCTGTTCCTCTAGCTAAATTTTTACTTGTTCCACCTGTTCATGCTGGACTGTCGTGTATCTCGTCAGTGTACTTAGCATCCAAAGATACTCAGACTGTACTATACATGCTCACTCCGCGGATAATACGTCGGCTATTGAAGAGACGGGCTCAAAACCCGACGCGGAGAAAAGTCCGCGATGACCCCACGCCGGGTACTGCTTCAATTCCCAATCCCCTCATCTCTCCCACTTGAGTCAAATTAAAGTATGGCTGCTCCTCTCCTCCTCGCATTTCAGTCTAGAGACACTCTTTCGTTCCTAAAACAAGTCTCTCACTGAGTCCATCATGGCTACCCCTACGACCACCACAGCGCTCGTCCTCCACGGCGCCAAAGACCTTCGTCTAGTACGTCAACCCCGCATTTGCCATCAAAACACCCAACAGCAGCTAACCACTACCGCAGGAATCACGATCGCTCTCCCCGCCCCAAGGCAGCGAAGTCCAAGTCGCCGTGCGCGCCACCGGCCTCTGCGGCTCCGACCTCCACTACTACACCCACGGCCGCAATGGCGACTTCGTCGTGCGGGCGCCCATGTGCCTGGGCCACGAGTCCTCCGGCGTGGTGACGGCGATCGGGCCCGAGGTGACCAGTCACCGGGTCGGCGACCGCGTCGCGATGGAAGTCGGCCTGCCTTGCCGCCAATGCGCGCTCTGCCGCCAGGGCCGCTACAACATCTGCCTCAACATGCAGTTCCGCAGCAGCGCCAAGGTCTTCCCGCACCTGGACGGCACGCTGATGGAGCTGACCAACCACCCGGCGGACCTGTGCCACAAGCTGCCCGACAGCGTTTCCTACGCCGGCGGCGCGCTGGTCGAGCCTCTCGCCGTGTGCCTGCACGCGATCCGGCGGTCGCGGCCCCCGACGCGCGACGAGGTCGCCCTCGCGCAGTCCGCCGGCGAGACGACCCCGGCGCTGATCTTCGGTGCCGGCGCCATCGGCCTCCTGCTGGCCGCCGCGCTGGCGGTCTCCGAGAACTTCTCCTCCATCCTGGTGGCCGATATCGATGCCTCGCGGCTGGCCATCGCCGAGTCGCTGGGTCTGGGCCTCAAGACCGCGCTGATCCCCAAGGCCGATCCCGCCAACCCGCCGCCCCCCAAGGACGCGCCGCACGCGGAGCAGACGACGTATGCCCTGCAGAATGCGCAGCGCGTGGCCGCCGCGCTGAAGGAGGCGGACGGTGCCACGTCGGGATTCGCCCGCGTGTATGACTGCACCGGCGTGCCGGCCTGCGTGCAGGCGGGCATCTATGCTGCGGCTTCGGGAGCGGTGCTGGTGCAGATCGGAATGGGTAACCCCATCCAGACCCTGCCGGTGGGCGCGGCCGCGCTGCGCGAGGTCGATATCATCGGTGTCTTCCGGTATGACGGCTATGCGTACCCCGCTGCTATCGCGCTGATGGCCAGCGGGAGGTTTGATACCGTGGAGCAGAAGGTTGTGACTCACCGGGTCAAGCTTGCGGATGGGGATCGTGCCTTCTCGCTGGCGGGTAAGGGTGTCGACGAAGAGGGTAAGCCCGTCGTTAAGGTTGTTATTGAGAGCTGAGCGGGCATGTTATGGTGCTTTGTGTTTGATTTGTTGTATTTTATATTATGACTATACCCGGGAGATGGTGGGATATGAAAAATTATGATGATGCGAGCGATTATGGTGTTACGATGCATGGTGGTGTGGATGTTTGCATGCAGAGGATAGAGATTATGATAGCTGTCAATGAATTTGGAGCTTGTCCAAATCATTTGCCCAGATCACTAGGGCTCAATACTATCAAAGAACAACGAATGGAGAAGAGAAGGCAAGTGACACGCCAGTAACCCTGTACAGGTCTTGTGTTGCTGCCTTCCGTTAATACTCCAGGCAGCAAATCATCAAGTCCTCAGCTATACGCGGCTGGGATTCCCGCTATAGGGGGATCGGGGTTCAAATCCTAGTTCCGGCAATCCTTTCCCCTCCCCGTTTTCAGGGGATTTGTGTCATTGATGTGTTAAGGAAAGGAGGGATGGAGATTGCGTTGGCGTAATGAATGGACTGTCTCAGATCACAAGCCCCCATGGGCTGTGCACAGTCGTGTGACGTTTCGCAGCAAGCAATCCCATCGAAGATCTCCCCAGAACGACGCACTTTGAGTAAGTTGTCTCGTGCTCTCTTCATCAAATGGTAACAGTCCAGCATAGAACTCAGATGTGATAATTACCAGACTCCAGCCTTCCAACACTAATTTGCCAAGCCTTTACGTTCTACCTGTCGCAGCAACTGAGTGGTCATCGTATGCGCTGTAACCAGTCTGCAGCGCTGGTCACCCAAGGAATACTCGGGAAACCCCCTGGGAAACCTCTCGTAGCCTTGGGCATGTTCCTTCTACTACAGTCGCACCGCCTTAGTCAACACAGCGCGGCCAAGAGATTCGCATTGACCGACCGAAGATCCCGCTAATGATCCAGCCTCAACGTAAGCCCGATCAGTGTAGCATACGCCCCAATACTCAGGGCCGTAAGGATCAAGACCGCATTCCCACTGGTCCGAAATCTGTGCCGGTTGATCCCATCCTCCCCGAGCTCCGAAAAGAACTGCTTGTTACCCTGCTGGCGGCGGTAAAGGCCGATCATGAGCACGCCGGTGCCGTAGATGGCGAACAACGCGCCCGTGCTGTAGAACTCACTGGTGAAGATCTTTAGGACGACGAGGGCGAAGGAGAACTGCGAGAGGGCGGTGCGGACGTAGGCGCCTTCGAAGGTGCGCTGGGCGGCGCGGACTTCCACGATCTCGTCGGAGGTGAGTGCCACCGTGCGGGCACGGTGCATTCGCAGGCGGTAGCGATCTGCCGCGCGACGCTGTGCGTAGTCATTGGAATCAGCGTGCGACCAGCGACATGCCATTGAGGGACCAAAATCAAAGAAGACCCATGTCATCTCCATTAGACGCACCTCAAACATTTCGACGCGTCATACAGGTGTCTGATGTGGTTGTTTGATAGAGCAGAGCAGGGTGACGCGCGGATAAGAGTGGATAGTGCCAGCAACCGTTTCCCGACGCCAGGATCGTCTCTTGTTGGTGGCAGACCGACTTTTTTCAAGGAGATTCTGAGCGCATCTTCTTGTGAACTGGAAGGAGTGTCAGCTGGTTGACCGCCGAGCTTCTTTTTCTCTTGTTGCCGCTCACGTGGACCAGCTGCAGCTGGAAGTGGCTTAGTTTGGAAGACGCGATATTACATCAGACCATCTTCAGCACACGTAGCGAGGTTTGACGGCTTGGAGATTTTCTAGCGAGTGTTGGAATGCCACACAGTTTCAGAGAAGAGCCCAAGCTGGTATGGTATTGAGATTTTCGTCTAATCACATCGGTAAGTAGCCCTGAGGATTCGTGGTGGGAGTTGTGTAAGTCAGAGGACGGACTGTAGTACAGGAACAAAGTTAAGTGGAAGGGAGCGGGAAGCGATGATATCACTGATGCCTATGGGTTTCTCCACCAATGATGTTTCTCCCTTCTCTAATCCGCAACGCCAGAACCCGTCGGCTATCGAGATTGCCCAACTCGGTCGGAGAGCCACCGCCTCCCCCATTTTTTGAACGCTTATCAGCCCCCGCTGCTATCGGTCTTCAATAAGCCGATCAACTTCCTGCTCGGTTACTAAAATGGGGGTTTGGACATTGCATTGCTTGGCCTGCGACTGCATGCCGGTCCGACTCTCACTCCTTGGCTACGCTGCTTTTTCTTCTCACTTCTCCTCTTCTTCTACTCCCTCCTCTCTTTTCTTCTCCGCATTCTGCTCATATCCATTGTCTCTCGTTCTCAACCGATAGCTGAGCTCTGCGATCCGTCAAGATGAGCAAGGTGTTTGATGCGGCGGAAGGTATGTTGCATAGCAACTCATCATAATAGACTCAATCGTGCTTTACGTGAGCTATGGTTCAATGAAGGCTAACGTCTCTTCAGTCGCAAAACACAATACCGCAGAGAGCTGCTGGGTGATTCTTTACGGAAAGGTTTACGATGTATGAGCAGCCACAATTGTCCTAGTCATGGCCACAAAAATTGACTTCATGCGTGAAAGGTCACCAACTTCCTATCCGACCATCCTGGCGGTGCCAAGATCATTCTCAAGCTCGCAGGCAAAGACGCAACGGAAGAATACGACCCGATCCACCCCCCGGGTCTTCTGGAGGAGAACCTCAAGCCCGAAAACTTCCTTGGGACTGTCAATGCAGACACACTACCCAAAGTACAAGCAGAGCCGGCACCAGCAGCCGCAGAGACAGAAGGCTCGCCATCAATGGAGTCCTTGCTGAACATGGACGATTTCGAACAAGTCGCCACTAAGAACATCAGCAAGAAGGCCTGGGCCTATTACTATTCCGCCTCGGATGACAAAGTCACCAAACACTTTAACACAGAAGTCTACCGATCAATCCTTCTGCGACCCCGCGTATTTGTGGATTGCACGAAGTGTGACCTGGATACGAAGCTACTGGGCCACAACCTGGGAATGCCGATCTATGTCTCCCCCGCCGCCATGGCTCGCTTGGGCCATCCCGCTGGCGAGGCAGGTATCGCGGAAGCGTGTCGCAGCTTTGGAGCGATGCAGATCGTCTCCAACAATGCATCGATGACCCCGGAGCAGATTGTGCAAGACGCAGCGCCGGACCAGGTGTTCGGATGGCAGCTCTACGTGCAGGTGGATCGCAAAAAGAGCGAGGCAATGCTAGCGCGCATCAAGAAGCTCAAGGCCTTCAAATTCATCGTGCTCACCCTGGATGCTCCGGTGCCCGGGAAGCGCGAAGACGACGAACGCGGGAATGCTGTTGGGGCGTCGGCACCGGTTGCCAGCGCCGCGATGGCCGCCGACAAGAAGTCCTCAGGCGAGTCGGCCCAATTAGGCGGCGTGGGCCGGCAGCTCTTCGCTGGCACCGACCCTTCGTTGACGTGGAAGGAGACTCTGCCGTGGTTGGCAACGCAGACCGATTTGCCCATCATTCTCAAGGGCCTGCAGACGCATGAGGACGCTTACATTGCCTCCCTTCACACCCCACAAGTTAAGGGTATCATTCTGTCGAACCACGGCGGTCGCGCGTTGGATACTGCGCCTCCGGCGGTGCACACCTTATTGGAGATCCGCAAATACTGTCCTGAAGTGTTTGATAGGCTGGAAGTCTGGGTTGACGGCGGTATCCGCCGTGGCACAGATGTTGTGAAGGCTCTTTGTCTGGGTGCGAGAGGAGTTGGAGTTGGCCGTCCGGCACTCTGGGGACTGGGTGCCGGTGGCGTTGAGGGTGTGAAGCGTACTCTGCAAAGTAAGATACTCTATCAATGCTGGCCTATGTTGATACTAATCATCCATCCTAGTTTTGTCCGACGAGACCAAGACTTGCATGCGCTTACTCGGTGTCGAAAGGGTCGAGGACTTGGGCCCTCAGCATGTGAGTCCTTCTGCTTTCCCTTTCGCCGCATTCTTCTGACTCGAATTTTACAATAGATCAACACCCGGATTGTCGAGCAACAGATCTACGATGGCCCCTCCGGGCTCGACAGTGTACGAAATGTGTTCCGTGCCAAGTTGTAGACATATCATATAATGCAGCGTGAATTCTCAACCTTTGGTTGCTATAATCTGTTCCGTAATCGCTTACCGTGACCTGTCTGAGGTATTGATCAGTGCACACAATAGCCCAGAGCGTAGAAGCCAGGTTAGCTAGTAATAATCACCGATCTGTGTGCTTTTGTTCTGTCTATCTTGAAACAGGTAAGAAACAAAGCATATTGTAATATTTCCGTTGCATTGTTCCAGTTTGACCTTGTGATCGATCGTATCATACACCGATATGGTTATACGCACAATGGCATGTACAAATGCTTTGTCTATACGCAAATCTTGTGGTTGTGCTGGACCGGTCGAGACGGCGTGAACCCTTTGTCCGCCTGAGGGTGAAAGTTCCAAAGAGTCTTGCCCTCCTTTTTCACCAACCTCCTACTCCTGCCCCTCAGAAAACCAGTCTCCGTCTTACAAGCGTAATTTCATGTTCTTGCATTTCTGAGGTCGTCATATGAATCTGGCAATCTCTCACCCCCCGGTTGACTCCGCCTTAAGAGATACAGCTTGTCTTGCTGCAGAGTCCCAGTGTTGCTTCATTATCTGTATTTAGTATATGGAAAGTGCTGTTCCCTATCACATTTTCGACTCCGAGAGTTCTATCATCGTTCAAGTCTGAAGCAACATAGCAACAGTCTTCCGCCCCGCTTCTTTTCAAAGACTACCTGTGCAAGAAACAATGACAATGTCCGCGACGTGCCAACTGCCATTGTCGCACAAGACGGCTTTGTTTCTCTTTGTTTGAATTCACAATGTGAATAATCGCGGTCCTTTGTCCTCTTTGTCTACCGCCTCCCACAAGACCATTGCCATTATCAGGTTTGGATGGCGGAAAGTCTCAGCTCATTTAAGGTGAACACCCCGCCAGACTACCGACATGTTCCTCATAACTTCTGCATTACCAGAGAAGCCCCGGCAGATACCCACCCCCTGACAGAGAGCAAACTGAGAATTACCGTCAAGTTCCCCCAAACGACAACACTTATGTCAGAAGCGAAGAAAAGATCCTCGAGCCAAGCGGGGCTCAGCGATGAGGATTACGAGGACAGCGACGTCACTGTCCACTCCGACAGCGACAGCCACTCTGACCAGGACAGCGATGACCAGCACGATGAAGTCGAGACTCGCCTGGTCAACGCCCTGCGCGAGGTCAGCGGCAATCGCCAGAAGACGGTCCTCCTGACGCCGCCGCCCGAAGTCGATGATGCAGGCATCATTGACAGACGACCGGGCCGGGAGGAGGACCGTGATTCCGCGGTCGACGCGGATGATGAGCGGGAGCCCTCGTCATTATCCGAAAATGGCGACGCGAGCGACGATGACAAGGAGAATCGGCCGCCGGTGGAGGCGGATGAGGAGCACGAGGAGCCCCAAGAGGGTGAGGATGAAGGCGAGGATGCCGTGAACAGAGAGAGACCCTATGCGGGCGAGGATAGCGGACCACAATACCCCCAGAAAAGAAAGATCAAAAGACGCAGGAAGTATGAAGCAGAGGCCGATCATTCTGAGGCGATCCGCCAGAAGTATATCGAGATGCGGAAAACCCGCACCCCTATTGCTTGTGACCGTTGCAAGGTGAGTTCACTCCAGTGGTGTTATTTTTTCGCGTTCTAGTACAAGATAAGGGATTGAGTAGGGTTGGCTGACCGTGGTTCTTTCTTTTCGTGTGAGCAGAACCTGAGGAAAGAGTGCACAATCCATGAGGAAGGCTGCCTCCAATGTCAGACCATCAAGGCACCGTGTATGCACACCGACCCGATCACTTTGATTACCGAGCGACGGGGGGCATCCAAGAGAAAGGACGAAAAGATGCAACATATGAAAGCTTGCATCATCAAGCTGCAGAGACAGGTCCAGGCTCAGATGTACCCATACGGTCCCGTAAGTGTATTATTCCTCACTCGATCAACGAACCAAAGCCTAACATGATATTTCCGGCCTCAAAGCCTCTGGGTCAGTATGCCTTTCCACAGCATAGGTCGGATTCTCCCAATCCTCGTTCTCTCAGTCCGCATGGCAATTCGGCACGATGGGGTCACGCCAGTAGCGGCAGCAGCGCAGAGAAGGGCGCGGCATATGCCAACAGGAACGGCCTTGCAGCCTCAAACAGTCACAACAACATCGCCTCGTCGAGAAAACCTGCAAAGCGGAATGGCGGTCACGCTTCAGTCACCAAATCTCGGCCACTTGGCAGTGATAGCTCGGGCAGCTCTGGGGGCACCTCCGGGTACCTGGCCGAGCTGGACAAGAACATAGGTCCCGGTGGACGGGCCAAAATCAACAGTACCATGGAGAAATTCCTCGAGCGCGACCCGGATTACCAAAAGAAGGCTTACCTCCATCCGAGTTCTCCTCGACCGCGCCAGATGTCAGGTCCCGGCTACGCTCCTCATTACCAGGAGTACCACGAGTTCAACAACAACGCACACTATCCGACGCCACCCCTCCGACCGATGAGCACCCCTTCGCACCGCATGTATGACCTTCCTTATATGGGTGACCCACGGTATGGCCACCCTCAACCGGGTTATGTCAACCATGCCCCCCGCTACCCTACGCCGCCGCCGCCGCACTTTCGCCCGTACCCTGAACGCGTCAACCCGGAGTATGAGCATGTGGACCCTCGTCATCAATACGATGGCGGCCTGCGTTCGACTCCGGATGCGGACAATGATCCCTATTACGGCTTACCTGACGCCGGGCCGAGCTCTTTCAATGAAGAGGAGTTAATACAGGCCTACCGGGCTTTTTATCCCGAGGGTGAGTCTACTTCTGCGGGGGCGGCTGAGCAAGCCCGAGCAAGCCGAACTCGGCCCAAGTTTATACCTCGGGGGATGCCGCCGGGGAACCCGCCTCCCAGGCCTAGAAAGAAGTAAGTAGTAGTTGGTTGATGCTTGGTGTTATCTAGATGTTTAGCTCTTGGACTTGGTACGCTGTGCTAGAATGTTGTCGTGTTTTTCGATATATATATATTGAGCAGATACAATTTCTTGTTGATTGGTGAATTATTACTGGATTTTGGGTGCAGTGCTTGTGCTTGTTTCCATCTCAAAGCTCCTAGGCTACATGTGCATCAGGGACGGATCCCAGGCATCAGAGACTTGCTGTAGATAGGGGATATATGGAATATTGTATATTCAGAATACGGAGGTATATGGAATCCAGCGAGAGCACCGTTCAGTGGCCTCTCAATCACCCAAATCACGCCGAGCCAAAGACAGACTTGCTCAGCTCATCCATGACCTTCAACCACGTGTTCACCCAAGTAGTGAACTTGTCCCCCTTCTCCTCGCCCGTCGTTCCCTGCTGCCAGGGCAACTTAACCACCTCCAACGCCTTGACAGCCCGGTCCTTAGTCTGCCCCAAGAACCGGCCCGACCTGTCCGGGTCCGCTTCATACAGCGCCCCGGCAATCTCATCCACCAGCTCCGGAATGACCTGGAGATTCTCCATCAATGCCTCCAACCTGCGCACCTCCGCCACCGCATCCGCCGTCCTCTTGAGCCGGTGCGTCACGATCGCGGGGTAGACCTGCGCAATGGGTTTCAACACGCGCAGCGTAGACTTCTTCTGCGCATGCAGCGCCTTCGACTCTTCCTCATCATCGTCATCCTCCTCATCGTCATTCTCCCCCTGCCCCTTTTTCTTTTCTGCATCATCACCATCATCACTCAACAGCTCGTCGAAGAACTCATCCCCCTCCTCATCGGGATCCCACTCCTCGATCTCCCCGACGGCATCGCGCACCAGATCCCGCCACTGCTCCACCCGTCGCACCACGAACCCCACCACCCCCTTCGCCGCGAGATCCACCAGCGCATCGCACGACTCCCACGCCCGCGCCGCCGCCAGCGTCACGGCGTCCTTGTCGTGCTGCGCGAGCTCTTTCTTTTTTGTGGTGGTGTCATCACTCTTCGTCGCGATGCTCTGCACTTCGTGCAACAGAACGGACAGCTCCGTCAGCGCGAGTTTGGTGAGCGCGTGCGCCTCGGTTTGGAAGGTTTGCGTGTGGTCCGTCGCGGTGATGAGGAGGGCGGCGGTCACGAGCGAGGGGAGGACGGATTCGTTGAGCGCGCTCAGGATCGGAACGGCGGCGGTGGGTGTGAATGGAGCTGTGATGGAGACGAGCGAGAGTTTCGTGATTTGGGATTTGAGGGACAGGGAGGCGGCGGAGAGGAGGGGGAGGGCGTCTTTTGTGGTGATGGTTTCGGTGGCTTCGGTGGTAGTGGTGGGTGTCGGGGAAGAGGTGTTGGAGGTTGTGATGGCGGTTTGGAATTGGTCGAGGAGGGTTAGGGTGGTGGTGAGGGTGAGGTGGAGTTTTTGCGCCATTGTGTTTGCGATTGCTTGTTCTTCTGGTGATTCTTTCTTGGGGGCTGGTCGGGGGTATGGCAGGTGGATCGGGATGAGCGGTGGGCTTGGAATGCGGCGATCTGATCGGTGATCTTTGATTCTCCTCTGTTATGAGGAACTCGAAAGGAGTGAAAGAGAAAGGAACGCGAGGAGGTAGTAGAAATGGTTCAGGTTCCAAAGTCGTCTACTCGTGGATGGAGGGAGTGGAGGGAAAGTTTTGCGGTGGTGGGGTTGAAGTCCGCGGAGGATCACGTGAGGCGATCTTTTCCGTGCTCCCGCCATTCAGTAGTTACTCTATACTCCGTAGTCATCCTGTTTATTGACCCGCAGACACCTGGGAGCCTGTAGGTCCGATATCTTCATTTATGTCTATCCTAGAGATACATCTATGTACTTTATATCGAGCGCCCGATTTCGCGAGCCATGTGGCCACTGAACGCCCTAGACCTCCCAGACCACCGGCCAGAAGGTATGTCGCTGTTGCGTCAAAGGTTGCTAAGACCAGATGACTGATGCGTCCTCATCATGCTCCTCCACTTCTTTTGCGTTCTTATGCCGCCCTCTCGAACGCCCGAGGCCAACGGACTCTCCCAGCGATACCGAAATCTGAAGGATCAGTTTAGTAGTGTATTATTGCTTGTCTCTGGCCGTACACCGTTCTCTTTGCCTTCTTTTGCAAAACTGTCCAGAGGTCGAGAAAGCTGCCCCGACTGCAAACACCATTGATCTACAAGACATACGTATGCAATGCTGCAATAATGACTCGCTCATGCCCACGAGTAGCGTCTTTGACACAGCGACACGAATGAACGATAACTGACAAAGAACCGCGGGTTCGATTTCACTCGCCATCTAGTTTCTTTTTTCGTGCAGCCCCCATGGACTGATAGAGCACAGGTAGAGTCGCTCTTGCACTCGGAATCTATCCACAGGCAAGCAAAGCCTACATCCAGGCAGGGACTTGAATAGGAGGATATTGCAGTATATGCTCTTCTTCATGTATATGATTCTAGTCAACATTTTGACTGCTTTCTGTTTTACACCATTTATTTTCTTGGCGAATTGCTAATACATGTTTCCTGTTGTAGTATCTTTCCTAATGTAAAATAACACTGCTATATTGTATTCGCATGGAACCCTACCCTGCTCCTTTATCTTGCCCAAGTTGCAATCGACGCGCTTTGCTGATTGATTGCGGGCGCAGATTCGTCTAGCTCGCCGATCAAGGGACTCCCACCATTCCCAGACACCCATAACTGAAGGGGAGGTGATTTGCGCCCAGGATTCCGCCTATATCGAAAATCCTCAATCAAAGATCTTGCTCCCTCCTGGTTGATCTGACGGTGCCATGGACAAATTTTCTGAGGGAACTCAACCTGTTCAAGATCAACAACCATTATCTTACTCTTCCCGCACTCTTTATCATAACATAGCAAGAAATTCTCCAGTTTCTGGTCTCGATAGATAGCTCCATACTCCGAGAGCTTGGAAAAAGCTTCTTCTAAAAGAGATTTCAATAAATCCTCAGAAGTCTCCATGTTGCTGTAAGCCAAATCTTTCAAAGAAGTCCCATTAATGTCTGATAGTATAAGTGCAGATCGCCCATTGAAATAACCCCGACTATAAAAGTATGGGATTACTTCGCCTTGGAGCCTCTCCAGTCTGTAATAGGCTGTCGCCTCATTTTCAAATTCGTCTTCCCATTCCTCCTTTTGTTGCTTAACAATTACAGAGGTAGGCGTTGTTGGGAGTTTATCCTGGGCTGGATCTGGTGCAATTTTGAGACGATATACTGTTCGCTGTGGATCCAACAGCTCAGCCTCGGTTGCAGTGATCTCGTGACCGTCGGTCAGCTTGATTGTCTAGCAGATGTCAGCTTGACCCGGTCCTCAGACCAATATGGGGAAAACAACCTACCCGGAGATGCTGTGGCGGCAGAGCGAAATCAAACATTATTGCAAGATCAAATCAAGTCGATGTCGATAGTATGAGGGGAAAAGAGGAAGAAGCTCAGCAGTCATGTAATTTGTGGTATCTAAGGGAGAAAGATGATTTGCATCTCACCGGGAGGTTATCTGCCTGGTATATGAGGCATAATGTCAGGCGTGCATGGTTGGGTCTGAGCAACGCGCTTTGACCCCGTTAGAGCTGCCTGTACGGAGTGTCTTCCTATCACTATCATCTGCAAGTTTCCTGAAGGGTGCACATAAATGTTCCGACCATGTGTTCCGAGCCTGCAGTGACTGCGTCTTAAATGTTTAAATCTATTTCCCCCATTTCTTCATTCTGTTGGTGCTGATGTGCTTCCAGCCTCGTGGGCCGTGGAGCCAGTAAGCGCTCGTTTGATTATAGTCGGTGTTTTTCTCGCCCCTTGGTTGGTGCCAGTACAATGACCATCCAAAATATTGGTTAATCATATTAGCCTGGGTTGGTCTGCTACCGGTTCCTTCCTCAGTCAACGGTGATCAAGCAGGAGTGAAGCTGATAATTCTGCTTTCTGTGCTGGTGATTTGTCCATATCTACAGAGATTATCGCTTACGCCAATGACGGCACAGGTTAGAGACATAATACTAGCCGAGAATTGGGTAGCATGGCACTGGGTACTAATCCTTATCGAGTGCGCCGGGAGTACAGTATCCTACGAGTATGACACGGTGGGCCGACTTCCGCGTGGGATTAGGGCATCAGTAGAGGGGGTTTCTTCCCCCACTCCAGTTTGTTCACCACCAACCTTTTCGTCCACTCCAGCTTAGGAGAACTCTGGAACCAGAATGGCCCCCCAAGATGCAAACGAGCCAATAATACCCCATCAGACACAAGGAACAGAGACAAGGCTCACGACCGAGGCGGTCAAGTTTCCCAGATTGCTGCTGGTCGCGATCGTCCTGTGCCTGGCCACTGTGTGCGTTGCCGTAGACAACACCATCCTATCCACTGCAGTCCCTCACATCACCGACGCTTTCGACAGTATCGACGATGTGGGCTGGTATGCCGCGTACGTTCTCCCAGCTCGTGCATCAGACTCAGCTAACGGCGACATCAAAATAGAATATACCCCTTGACCTCATGCGCATTTCAGCCGTTCTTCGGCAAGATCTATTCCCTTGGCTCCAACAAAGTCGTCTTTCTAGCCGCCCTCCTGGTCTTCGAGGTCGGAAGCGCGATATGTGCTACATCGCCGACCTCCAATATCTTTATCCTTGGACGGGCCCTGGCAGGGCTGGGGTCTGCTGGCATTTCTGCCGGCACCACCCTCATCCTGGCCGAGTGTGTCCCGCTGCCGCAGCGACCGACATGGAATAGCATCATCGGCAGTACTTTTGCTCTGGGAAGTGTCGCTGGGCCCCTGCTGGTATTACTCCTGCGCTACAAGACGATGATGGCTGTTGCAGCAATCTGATGCCGCAAGCAGGGCGGAGCCTTCACCGAAAACACGACCTGGCGTTGGTGTTTCTACACCAACCTGCCTATCGGGGGCGTGGTCATGCTTTTTGTGGCCTTTTTCTACAAGAGCAATTCGAGCACTACACCAGCCCCGACTGAAATGTACAGCCGGCTTGCCCGATTCGACGTCGGCGGCACCATCACCATGATGCTGGCCACAGTTTGCCTTCTCCTCGCAGTCTCCTGGGGCGGGACCAAGTATGCCTGGGACGACACCCATACCATTGTTCTGCTAACAGTCTCCGGGATTCTCTTCTGCGTGTTCGCCGGCATTGAGCGATGGATGCAAGATAACGCTCTGATTCCTTTGCGATTGCTCCGCAGGCGAAGCATGGGTGCTGCGATCCTGTTTAGTGTCTGTCTTGGGGGCGTGTTCTTTGTCGGTACTCTATCCGCAGCCCTATGATCGCACTGGCTGACCAAGATTCCATTGCCGTGCAGGTCAACGTATACTACATCCGTACGTCCCCACAGCTTGCTCACCCCTCCACACCCATCACTAATCCCAGCCTCCAGCGCTCTGGTTCCAGCTCGTTGACGGAACCTCAGCCGTCGAGTCCGCCATCATGTTCATCCCGTTCATGTGCAGTGTCGTCGGCGGATTCGTGTGTGCCGGCCTCGGCACCGCCGCCACGGGATACTACACGCCGTTCGTCTACGGGGGCTCGATCCTCATGTCGGTCGGGACGGGTCTGATCGCGACGGTGCGGCCGCACCAGACTCCGCGCGCCCGCTGGGTCGGGTATCAGATCCTGTGCGGGGCCGGCATCGGCCTGGGCGAGGAGCAAGGCCTCTACATGGTGCAGACCACGCTTCCCGAGGAGGATGTCGCCACGGGTCTCGGGATCGTGCTCTTCGCGCAGACGTTCGGCGGCGCCGTCTTTGTGTCCGTGGCGCAGGCGGTGTTCCTGGAGCATATCACTGCGGCCCTGCGGACGCTAGCTCCCCATGTGAACCCATACTCGGTGCTGGGAGGTGCGGCGACGGTGGCGTCGCCCGCGCTGCAGAGAGCGTATGCCGTGGCGATTAAGGATGCGCTGCGTGTGGGGCTGATTCTGGCTGCTGTTTCAAGTTTGGGGGCTTTGCTGTATGATTGGCGTAGTCTGAAAGGGACGCGCGAGGAGGGGACCGAGGGACGTGGCGGTGGGCATGAGCTGGTTTATGTAGGGGAAGATCGAACGGTGGACAGGGGAGATAAGGACTAAGACTACGACACAAACGAAGCGGAAACGGTGCTTGATCATGTATTGGGTAGGAGGCTTACCCAGGAGAGTCTAGGGAGATAATGATTGGACGTAAGGAAGAGATCTGAGTAGTTGAGATCTGAGTAGTTGAGATCTGAGTCAATCTTAAAGCAAGGTTGGCAGGGAAATCTAACCGTTAAATATAGATAGGTTAATCATCGCAAGTAGTGCTGTTTGCTCCCCGTTAGTATTCCGTTCTTTGCTTCAGACATACTTTCCACAGTTCGTGAGCTTAAGGTCACTATATGATTGCTTAACCATTCCTCCAGGATCCAGGATTGTGATTTCCCTTCCGCTACTTGAAAGGAACGTACTCCGTACATGTTCGAAGCTGTAGGGGTGCAAGGTAGTTGTGGGGACATTGTAGATCGATGGAGAGGAGGCTAAACCCCATAAGGTGCCCGAGATCTGTCTCAGGGCTGCTTTCTACATATTGTCTAGACAAACTATCTTCTTATTCACCACCTGATTTGCGCCAAGGCTAATGCTGAGACCGAAGGAAAGACACCTGCTACCTTGTACTCCTCCGTATGGTGGCCGGCCGGAACGTTTGTTCGGGAACATCGTCGTAACGCCAGTCATCGAGCTGGACTCCCCCCGCGCTGACGCAGAGACCCCTCTGGGAGATCGCGACGGTCATCAACGACCGCACACGACACGTTCCGAATCCAACTGCACTTCCCGATGACGACGGCGGCCTCCGTTCATCGCGACGGGATGGCATCGTTTCCCGATGTACTCGGGCGCGGAGATGGACGGCGTGGGGCCCGTGGTCGCGAGTCCGGTGTGTATGGATGCCTTCGTTGATGGGATGGTGTATGTCGTGGAACATAGGGTGAGGGATGGGGGGATTGAGGCGGTGGCTTCGTTGAGGAGGTCGACCTGGGCATGTTTGGGGCGGGATGGCGAGTTTGTTACTGTGTGGGATAGGGTGTAGTTGTTTGTTGGAGAGGGAGGGGTTCGATAGAGATATTTTTCATTGGGGTACATGAGGGTATAGAGCTCATCGAAACTGCTCGTCATCCGTCTCTTGCCGAATGTCTTCTGCCATAGGCTATAGCTGGCTCTAAGATTCTCCATTATGGGGTACGGAGCAGACCCGGCCTCATCTCGCGAATACGTCTAGCTTGATGTTAGTGTTCTCGCTGAGAACACTGTGAGTGTGATTGCTAGTCATGAAAGAGAATAGACATGTTTGGTACCATCCAGCCCCAAACATCCCAAATACACGACTGCTCATTCAGTCAGATAGATCTACCGCCGCCCCCACCGAGCATCCCGTACCCCCCATTCCATATCCACGGCAACCGCCGTAGTCGTCAGCCCCGCCTCCTCCTCCCCGGCCATCCCCGGCCACCCCAGGACCTCCAACATCCGGCCCACCAGGTTCAGGGAGGAGGTGGGCGTGCCGTGTGGGGCGTGGGGCCCCGGGGGCCTTCGCCACCGCGGCAGTCGAGACACCTGGATGGACCCGGTGCGGTCGCGCTCGGCGACGAGGATCGCGTCATGCTGGCTGCTGTGGTAGGGCGGGTGGTCGAGGGTATTCCAGTCCCCGTGGAAGATGTGGCAGGAGCGCAGGTGTGGGCCATCTGTGATATCGAGACGATGGAAGAGGGTGGGTATGTTCGTGGAATCAAGGATGAGGGACTCTTTTTCGGTTCTGATGTTGTCGGGCCCTTGGTAAGAGTGATGGACGGAAGGTAGGGCAGGGAGGTTCAGCTCCAGATGGTGAAGGTGACGGAGGCGGCGGAGTGGGACCAGGAGGCTGATCATGTCATACTGCGACGGGGAGAGGGAAAAACCCAGAGACCGGAGATACGGAAAGTCCTCGGGCAGTCGATGCAGCTGAGCCGGCGCGAGAGTCACTGCATCTTGGGATGATGTCCTCAGGCGCAGGTGCTGCAGGCCGGCGCCGTGCGCCTCAACCACTACCGCCACCACGTCCGCGGGCAGATCCACTCCAATAAAGCTGCGCAGCGGCCGGGGCAGGGCCCGGAGGAAGGCCTCCAGCAGTTCGGTGCGTCGTCGTCGCCCCTCCAGATTTCTTCTTAGCCCAGTCGCAAGCCGCGGCATGCCCAGCTCGAGCCAGACCAGCGCGCGCAGCTGCCCAGCCCCACCCCCGAGGACAGGCAGGAGGTGGACCCAGTCCACCTCGACGAGTGAGAGGGACCGCACGCCCTCCCAGCGCAACTGCGTCGCCCACCGGCGACTCTGCGCGGCGCCGAACCGCATCCCCCGGAATGCGAGATGCGCTAGGGTCCCCGGCAGCCGATCGCCATCCTCTAGCGTGATCAGCCCTCGCTCCTCGATCTCGGCCGTCTGTTCGTCCTCCTCTTTTCCCGGCGCCTCGTCTGCCCAGCGTTGCCCCCGTCGCCACGTCGGCCGTCGCGTCAGCGAGAGATGCGTCAGCCGGGGACTGCGAACAATGATCGCCTTCAATGACGCCGGTCGGTGCACACTCGCCCGGCCCTGGCTTGGTAGCTGGTCATATTCGCCTCGATACCACTCCGCCGCGATGGACCGGAGACATTCGAGCTGCGGTGGCCCCCGGCTCGGGTGGTGCATGTGCATCCTCTGAGTCAACGCCACCTGGGCACTCAGGATATGCACCTCCGTTGACGGGGAGACCTCGTACAGCCGACGGAGGATCACCCCCGGTATGTATTTCTCGTACCACCAACTACAAGCTTCCACCAACGTGGGTCAGAGAGCAAGCCCGCCGGAACATCAAAAGAGAAGAGGGAGATGACCCACTAAAACCGCTGAAGCTTCCTGGCCGTCGCGAACAAATGGTACAGCATCGTCTCCTGGGCATCGGACATGGCGTCGACGCCATGGAACCCCCCATCCCACGGCTGGGATCCGGTTACGACGATCGCCCGGATAAACGGGCAGCACCGCACGGGCAGACTGCAAGACGACGGGCGTTTCGCCTCCGATGTCGGCCAGTGCTCCAGCCCGCCGTGGACCTCAAGATGCAGGGTCCGGAACAATGCTGACGCGGCGACGGGGTACAGCGCCTGGCTGGTTTGCGCGAGGGATTTCAGGGCGGTGCGGTCCGACCAGAAGAGCTTTAGGCTTGGAGATTAGTTTGATGAGCGGAGAGGGGTAAGTGGAAAGTGGAATCCGTACGAAGGTTGCAATGTGATGCCAGATTTCAGGCGGTAAATTCCCTGGTAGCGATGATGCTGGGTGGGGAGGTTCGGCGTCCATGGCGTATGTCATTTGGCGGGTGCGATTTTGATGGGGGCGCGGGAAGGAAAGGAAGGGGGGTGGGAGGTGGTTTTATACGGAAAGGCACGGCGGGCGGAGCCCTAAACGGCTGTCCTGGCGGGCATGCATTCACTTGAGGACAACGAGGCTAAAACCTAAGTGATGTCATAAAGCCTGCTTCAATGTTAAGCAGATGTGTAGACGTATTGGGTCAACAGTCCACGATTTGTGAACCTCATGTGTCATGATTCAAAACACTACTAGGCAGCACGCGAGCTACTCACGGAGTTGAAGAACAACGGCTATATCGCTACAGTGGCACATGCAATATACTGATATACTCAGGCATAGGCAGTTCAGCATGAAATGCAGAGATCTTTCTACTTCTTAGTATGTACAGGGGTTTATACATATAACTCTACATCCCCAAACAGATCCATCCCGTCTACGGCGCCGCCGCCGTCGTCACTGTCATGGTCGTGGTCCCCGTGGTCATAACACACAACTTCTCACACTCGATCTGCACATCGGAAGAGGCGTCCTCCATGCATTCGGCCCGGGCCTTGGGGGTGCCAGGACACGAGGCGATCCGGAAGTTGAACAGGAACGTGACGCACGAGTAATAATTGCCGGTGACGCACAGGTCGCTGAGGGCGGTGGTGGTGATGACCTCGGTCTCGGTGGTGGTGGCGGTGACCAGCGTCGTGCTGGAGCCCGCGCACTCGGTCAGCTCGTAGCCCGCGACGTCGTAGATGGTGGTGGACTCGCAGGCGATCACGTCGCTGTAGAAGTCGGTGAAGGTGTAGGGGTACGGGTTGTTGGCGTAGTCGATCGAGACGGTGGTCGAGGCGCCCGCGCAGGTGGTGACGGTCTTGCCGTCGCTGACCTCCTTGGTCGTGGAGGCGCATGCGATCTGATCCCCTAGCGAGTCCGTGAACGTGTAGGGGTACTTGTTGGTCGAGGTCGAGGTCGGCAGCACCGTGTAGCCGCACGGGTTGCTGCCCGTCATCGTCGGGATGTTGCTGGCGGCCCCCGTGCACACGCAGAAGGCGCCGCTGATGCCTGCGTCCGGGTCCTCGCCAATGACGCAGAGCGGGTCGCTGGAGGCCGAGGCCGAGGCACTGGCCGTGGTCGTGGGGGATGAAGTGATGGTACACGCTGCGGCCGTGGTCTCGGTGTCGTCGTCGTCGCGCCGCCTCAGTGCCGGGTTGGCTTCGGCGGTGAAGTCCCACGTAATGCTCGTGGAGCACACGCTGGAGTACCGGCTCTTCAGGGCCGCGTAGCCCGTGAGCAGATCGTTGGCTTCGTCCAGCGCGTTGGTCATGCCCGAGTTGCCGGCAATGGTCGTCAGCAGGGCCGACTCAGCGTCCATCACCGTGATCAGCGTATCGATATACCCTTGCACCGTGGTCGTGACTGTCGAGTAGGTGTTCATGAAGTTGGTGAACTGCACCGCGAACTTCTTGGTGTCGGTGTCGGAGTACGTGCTATCGAGGTTGGCGCTGATCCAGTTGTCCAGCGCAAGCCTGATAAAGGAGAGTGATCCCCCGTTAGTATCTACAGAGCCCCCACCCGCACAGAGAAGACTCACATCTTGTTGTAGATTCGCGCGTTGGTCGATTGCATGTAGTCATTGACGTTGGTATCGGTGATGACCACACAGGAAGCCGCCATCTGCCAGAGGAGCTCCATCTTGGACCGGAATTTGGTGCGCGCGCCCATGGACTGCAGGGCATTCGTCTCGGCGGTGCCCACCCAAGGAGTGGTCGCCTTGATGGCCCCGACTCCCTTCGTGTTGGTCCAGTTTTTGAATGTTTTGCCTCCGTAATCCTTCTTGGCAATCGCCGCCTTGAGGCGATTCAGTACCTTGCTGATCCCGATGAACTCAAAGTAGTCATCCGATGCAATGGCCGAATAGATCTACCAGAGGAAAAAAACCAGAAAAGTCAGCGCCTACAATCACGACGCAATTAGGGGTAAAAAAAGATTACGTACGCTCTGCAAGCGATTGCCGCAGCCGAAGAAGATGACTTCGGCGTCAGCGCATGAGAAGGTGCTCGAGGTGGCACCAGTAAACATCTGGCTGAAGAAGTCCTTCAACCATCCCATTTCCCCTGTGAGAAGTAGTCAGTTTCGCGTCGATGTTCCCAAGGTAAGCCGAGGCGAGGAGACACTCACAGGCATGGTCCATCGTGGCCACGTCGCCAAAACCTGCAGGCAGGTCAGCGACAGCCACCTGGGTCACTTCCACCGCACAGCCAGCGGCCGTGGTAGTATGGTACCACCGCGGCATGTCGGTCTGCGAGCCCACAATCAGACCGTCCGTCTCACTGTTGTACCAGTCGTATCCGTTGGTGTAGGGGGGAACGGTGACGGTGGTATCTGCGCCCAAAGCGCATTTGCCCACCGATTTGACCGTCTCGCGCTTGGCTCCGTCGCGTTTTTTAATGAATTTACCATGCGCGCCTGGCGCCCGGGCGGGCGCGGTGGTCATCCTGGCACTCGCGGGCTCGGTCCTTCGCAGCCCGGTCACAGTCGCGGTCGCAGTCGCAGTTGCTGTTGACGTCGGCATCACCCCGGTGCCAGTGCCTGTCATCCGGGGGAGGTCCGCGGCCACTCCACGACGTCGCAGGTCGATGGACGGCCACGCATACTCGGATTCCGCTAGCATCGGCCAATCGTCCTCATACGAAGCATCATCGTCACCATAGAACGGGATAAAGTGCCACGCACACGCCTGGCAGCCCGAAAAGCTATCATAGTTGAGCGCGAGATCGGCCCCCGTCGCCACGGCAGGACAGGCCGCCGTGGTCTCCGAAGTGAAGGTCTTCGTGGTGGCAGTCATGTCACACCCGGTCACCGAGTAGCAGGTGGTCGAGGTACAGTCAGTGGTTGCAATGGCGGATTCGGTGGCAATGGTGCAGTACACATCGCAGTTCGAGGTGGTGGTCGTGCTGGAACATGTCGTCGTGGTTGAGGAGTCGTCGTCATCGTCGCCCTCGCCACTACCACCACCAGTAATGTCGACCCCGATGGGGCAGATAGGGCAGGCAGAATCACAGAAAAGTACACCTATCAAAAAGTCAACCCTCTGCGTCACATCATGGGGAGATTAGGAGGAATGATCACTGACAGCCAACACCACATCCCGCACAGCCTGCTGTTGCCGTTGGGCTTGGGGGCTTGCCGCTCGTCCATTTGGTAGTCTTGCTGTTGAGCTTAGTGTCGTGAGTGGTGTCTGTGGTGCTGGGATACACCACTGGTGTCACCGTCGTAGTCACGGGAGGCAGAATGGTTCCCGAAATGACCGTGGTTGAGCCACCCAGAGTCTCGGTGACAGCCGGCTCCACATAGGTATAGTCACCCCAGACGACGACGTTGGAGGTCTCGGTTGCGGTGGTGGTGGCAGCCGACACCACGGTGGTGCCTCCAATGGTGCTGGAATCATGGTCAATCACATCTCTTACCAACAGCCAGGGTATTGTCAGGATTGAGGGCACTTACGGAGTCCAGGTAATAGCAAACGGTGACGGCTCAACCGAGGAGGTCAGCCAGATCGTGCCAGTGGTACTTCCATTAGGGAGATTGACGCCCCAGACAGGAATCGCCGTGGTCGAGACGGGGGGCACGCTGATGATGGTCGGGAACCAGTAGCTAACGTGAGACGTGACTGCTGTCAGGTCTCCGCCACTAGACGCGGAAGTCGTCTCGGTCACTACGGTGGTGTAGGTGAGCGTGGTGGTCCAGGGGGGCAAAGTGATGGTTGTGGTGCTGCTGAGGGGCTGAGGGGGCCATATCAACGAACATCCGGGAACGGCTGTCACGGATGGACTGTCTTCGTCCCAGATCGAAGGATCAATGTACACTTCGCAGCTCGATCCCTCCGACGCCGAAGTCGACCCGTTGGAGGTCAACAGGTCGATCGCCCAGTCGGCGATTCCCAGGAAGTTGTAGCCCTCGTAGAGTTCGGCGCGGCTCGCCTTGATATCATCGTCCATGTAGCCCGCCCACTGGGTGTCGTTCCAAACCATGATGTTGGAGTTCGAATCTTCGTCGATGTAAGTATAGACCTCCTCTGCCTCCGCGATCCCTGCGAGTTCGGCGTTGGAAATATACCCAGCAGTGTCCGTGCAAGCGCCTGGAACCGCTCCCGAGTCCGGACCGGTGAAGGTGCAATCGGGGCCGTAGCAATCAGCCTCGGTCATTTGGAATGATCGGGCGTAGCTCGCTACTCCCACAGCCACCATATTCGACGGCACCCCTGCCTTGGTGATCATCGATAAGGCACTGACAGTCTCCGTCAAATTCACATGGGACCGCAAGCAACCGCCTTGGGGACAGCCCGGATCAGCATAAGTATTATTCCAGTCCCATTGTCCGTGCAGGTCGTAGGCCATCAGAACAATATAATCCACGACCTCACTGATAGCCATAATCGGGATGCCCTTCAAGTACCAAAACGAGGAAGGCGCTGTCGTCGAAATGGTCTTATCTGGGGCATCAATTGCCATTTGCATTTGCAGCTCCAAAAGAAAAAGGAAGAAATTCGTCCCGTCATCTGTGCTGTCGGCAGGAATATCAGGAATGTCCGGCTCAGCAGGATACTCCCAATCCCAATCCACACCATCCAGATCATACGTCGTGAGGAGGTCAATGGTATTCGTAATCAGGGTAGCTCGGTTAGTACTATCGGAGACTGCAGACCGGAAGATATCGTACGTGTCCGCGTCGGTCGAGAAATCCCATCCACCCACAGTGATGATGCGCTTGACTCCATCCAACTCGACAAAGTCATTCCATTGATCTTCCAGGCTGGAGATGTTATAGGACAGATCTGCATTCAAAGTGGCGAAGGACATGTGGATATGGGTATATAGACTCGTATCAATATCCGCAATCATGGTCCGCATACAAGCACGCTCCACATCGTAGCCCTCGAAATAGCCAATTTTAAAGACCTCGCTAGGAGCGTCACTCTGGACGATGTCAGTACCGCAGTTTGAGATACAACCATTCGTGTTATTCGCGGCCGTGCCCGGGTTGCCCGTGGTTGACTCGGTGGGGGTACAGAACTCTGCCGTAATGCCACATTGTCCCCAGATATCGCAACACGCGTTCAGCGGACACTCATTCAATGTACTGAGATTTGTTCCATACGGGACACTGACTGTGCCATTGACTTGTGGCCCGCAGACGGCGTTGGCTATCACCGCGGGCATCGGGGGATAACCCGAGCTCAGACACATGTATTCCCCGACGAGCAGATCGCCGCAGCCTAACCAACCCCATGTCTCGTTATTGTAGCTTTCGATTTCGGCTGTGGTTAAGGTATATGTGGCGGCGAGAACATCGCAAGAATCGCCGGTTTGAATGAGATAGGAGTAGCAATACCCATCCGCATCAGGCGAGGGCGCATAATCCGGGGCGGATCCCTCCGTGCAACAGATATACTCGCCCACAGTGAGGTTTGAGCATAGAGTGGAACTGGGGTTGTAGGTGCTGAGCTCAGTTGCCGTAATGCCGCACTCAGTCGCTAGCGTCGTACAGGTATCCCCGGAAACCACCTGCACTGCCGTACAAGTCGTGCTGTCATCGTCATCGTCACGCGAGCGCAGCTGACTCGGGGCATACCGCTGACGAGCCCAGAGACTAGTGGTGTTGGTTCGAGCGTGGGACACCGTGGGGATCGAATAGGTGAGATTCTGCCAGACAGCACTATCGTCTAGACTGGCTACGCAGCTACTGTTGCGCCACGTCTGCACCGCGGTTTGAGCGGCCGACAAGTCTCCGCTGCCACTGATGAGGAGACCGAACGTGTACCGGGCACTGTGCTGGCTGCTGCAGAGTTGCACCACTAGGGTTTCGGTAATCCCATTATCTTGAATCTCTTGAATAAGCGATTCGAGAATGGGGGCAAGAAGGTTTTGACTGTGTAAGCTGCTGCCCATATACAGACCCACCGCGGTCTGTCCCGCGAGGGCAAAGTTAATGGTCTCATTACATGCACCTGACGGATTCAATGTTTCGTAGGCCAGCAGCTGGGTTAACGCGGCGATCGCATCGGTATCCGAGGATGCTGCTGACGCGGCCGTATCGCGGGAAATCTGCAGAGAGGAGACAACGGAGGCCATGTTGGTAGGCATTTGACACGAAGTACTTCCAGTTTGCGCGGCGGTATCAGCAACCAGGTCCGCCGTGCAGCCACGAAGGCCGACCCGACTCTGGGACTGATTGACGGTGGTATATAGAGAGAATTGCAGTAGCATCGTCTCACCACAGAGAGAAAGCCGGTGGACGCCCGGGTAGACCGGCCAAGCCGACGGGTCGAGTCCCAGGTCAGTACAACTTCCTGGACAAGCCGCACGGAGGAATTCCCATGACCGCGACGGAGTGAAATTCCCCGCCACCACGGCAGCTTTCAAGGTCTCCAAGTCAACTGTGGCTTTTGGCTCAGAGGCTGACCGTGTACTGATTGGGTTGGCACTGAGAAAGGCAGATAAGGCCGACTGAGCATCGACACTGTCTGCAAATGCCCCGGGACCCATCATGGCCAAGCCAGCCACGAAGGCTTGGGTCATGCAAGGGAGCTTCATGGTAGCTCAGGCCCCAAAAGAAGGGTATGTGGTGTGATCAAGAGAGAGGAATGAAGGAATGAAAGTGTTCAGGAAGAAAATAAGAAAGAGAGAGAGACAAAGAGAGAGAGACAAAGAGAGAGAGAGAGAGGGACAGGAAAGAGGGACAGAGAGAGAACGTGGGAGGCTATAGGAAATTCGGGGTCAGCATAGCGACTGTGAGGAGCTTGACGCAATTGACAAAACAGTACAGCGGGCAACACGTTCATTTTATACCATCAGCAATGTCGCTTTGCCCTTCATCTCGCGGACTCTCTCCACCGCGAGGCTGCAGATATTTACACTGCCTCGGAGGACATTACTCGATGCAACGCTAAAGCATCACGCGACTACACCGGATGCCATCGTCTGTAAGTTGACTTACGCAACACAATCAATCCATATTGGATCAATTCAAGGCTATCCTCTCTTTTCATCTTCCAGGTGGACCCTATGCCTTGGCTACTCTTGCAGGAGCGCACTCGAGTCAGCGGCATGCATGCATCTGCCCCGCCTTCCCGCCACTCCTGCACACCTGCATGTGGCCAGATCAGAAAAGGATGTACCTGACGAGTTAAAAAGAAGTTGGGCCGGAAGGACTTAGTCTATGGCCCCCAAACTGCCTCTAACTGCCTATTCCACGTGCCGTGAGAAATTGAGAAATCAACGATCAATCATATGTCGCTAGCTCTGGGACTAACATTGAAGCTAGCTCCGTCCTGCAGGATGCCCAGGATGCCCAGGATGGCTCCGCCTCCTTGTCATTCTATCATCAATTATGGTTGGCTCTTGGCTGCCGTCGGGGCTCGGCGCTTAGCGAGCTTAGCAGTGCTTGAAGCTTCGCTTATTGTTGTGATGCTTGGCAGGGGGAGGAACTATGCCGATTCAGGCAGTCAATGCCGGCACCGGACTCGACTGGGCACTTCAGGGCTAGTACCTCCTAGCAATGCACCTCGTACTGCAACTAGTACTGTACCTGGTGTCTTCCCTAGTACTTTACCCAGGAGTTACTAGGGTCATCCTTTAGTAGCGAAATAGTGGAACGGGTTCCCATATTAAATGTTACTGGGAGGTGCAGTATGTTCTTTACCGGACCTCCCTCTCTCCAAGGCTGGCTCTATATAAACGATACGCCTGTTCATCTCTTCGTTCGGCAGTTGATCACGTCTCCCGCATCTTTTCTAGTGGTTTTCGACTACTATGGCTTTCTGCAGACTTATCGCTACCGTTTTGGTGGCGAGTCGTCTCACTGCTGGATACTTGATCGCCCCCTCCGGCACCGCATTTCCTGGGGCAAACTCAGACTGCAGTGAATGGGTCACCTACACGACCGGCTTGACCTGTGCCGACATTGAGGCCACATACTCGATCACTGAAGAGGAATTCCTCGAATGGGTAAGTCACGGCTTGTCATCTCGCGACGTGCATGATCTGATACGAAAGTAGAATCCCTACATCTCGCTACTTTACACTGACTGCAATCTGGTTGCGGGCTATGACTACTGCGTGGACATCAACTTTGAGACCTTGGGGGCCTCTTCGTCCTCGTCGACCTCGTCTACGACCTCGCAGGCATCGACTTCATCTCTCTCAACTACTTTGATCACAAGCACCATCTCTGCTTCCACGACCGGATCCGCGACCGTAGCGAGCACCGGAATTACTACGCCATCGCCCATTCAAACGGGCATGACCGCCACGTGCGACGAGTTCTACCTGGTGGTCTCCGGAGACACGTGCGCGGCTATTGCCTCTGATGCCGGTATTGCACTGTCCGACTTCTACGCCTGGAACCCCGCGGTTGGTACCAGTTGCGCTGACCTCGATGTTGGCGATTATGTGTGTATTGGGGCGACTGGCACTGTGACCTCAACCACGGCCACCAGCAGTGGTACCGGAATCGTCACCCCGGCCCCAATCCAGACGGGTATGACCGCCACTTGCGACGCGTTTCATCTCGTGGTCTCTGGAGACACGTGCGCGGACATTGCGTCCGACGCAGGAATTGCACTGTCCGATTTCTACGCCTGGAATCCTGCGGTCGGCACCAGCTGCGCTGACCTCGATGTCGGTGATTATGTGTGTGTCGGGGCGACTGGAACCGTAACCTCCACCACGACCACCAGCAGTGGTACTGGCATTGTCACACCCGCCCCAATTCAGACAGGCATGACGGCTACCTGCGATGCGTTCCATCTCGTGGTCGCCGGAGACACCTGCGCAGTCATTGCATCCGAGGCAGGAATTGCCCTGACCGATTTCTACTCCTGGAACCCTGCTGTGGGCAGCAGCTGCGCTGACCTAGACGTGGGCGACTATGTGTGCGTCGGGGTCGAGGGAGGCACTGCCACTGCCACTGCGACGACAACGACAACGACGGCGACGACAACCGGTAACGGAATCACGACCCCCACACCGATCCAGACGGGCATGGTGTCGGACTGCGATTCCTTCTATTATGTGGTCTCCGGGGACGGCTGCTCGAGCATCGCGAGCGCAGAGGGGGTCACCGTGGCGGAATTGGAGGAGTGGAACCCGGCCATTGGGACGGACTGCACGGATTTGTGGACCGAAACCTATATCTGCGTGGGAATCCTGTAATTCGATCCTGAAGTTACCCCACACCATATCTAGGTTTTGGCTCCAAACAGGTCATTCGGCACGTGGCTCAACTGTTTCCGCTTCTTGATCGATATGTATCTTTTGCTTGTGAATAGGTTTAGGCTGTCGAAAGGGGCTCTTTGCTTAATTGATTCCCCTATGTAAAGCTTTTTACATGTATATAATCCGCAGTGCTATACTGCATCATAACAAGCCTGCCGCGTGGCAAGTTCGGTCTGCAAACAGTCAGCTAAGTTAGATTATCTTAGATTTAACTTGAAAAGTCTTCTTTCTCTCGGATTTGAACACCAAATTCGGATAGGACAAGAGCATTGAACCCTCCGAACAGGACCAGGCATTGGGACTATTGAAAAATCATGGCCCCTAGGCCTACTAACCCCTCTTTGTCGGAGATTAGATTAGCACCCCACCTCGTATTCAGCCGCCCCTCGTGGCTCGATCTTACGTTTGACGTTCCTGCAGGACGCCTGCATCTGAAGACTCTGCAAGTCTGCACCCGAACCGAATGATTTTGGCCCCCATACACTAGTATATCCGAACTATCTCTTAGCGGATCCGAACCGACCAATTCAGACCCAGTCTTGAGGCTAAAATGGATCGAGGGCAGAGACTGCTCGACAGTCGCCGCCCACTTATTCTGAGCGTTGGGACGTGCGCCGATGGTTGTCTCACTCTTAATTCTGTTGCTTGAAACTTTCGCAACTTCAGGCTAATGACTTATGCATACGTTCTTCGGAAGGAGAGAAACGCTCTTTTGGAAAACCGAAATCCTGCACGAGCGTGAGATTATACCTTGATCAATTTCCTCTTAGCCATGGCGGGAAATGGACGTTGCTGCCGCCGTGCAAACACTTTTTGCTTGGAACTGCTGTGACCTCCCGATCAACGAAACAATACCAAATCTGTTCTATAAGGTTGCTTGTAATATATGTTAAGTGCAGATGAGTATTTATTGAATATTTCCCCAATTCCGGCTCTTACTAACTAACCAACCCCTTTTCTTTTACCTGTTTATTTTCTATCTAGGCACATTTTCGGCTGTAGATAAAGTAGAAGGTAGAGATTTTATTCTAGTGAAGAAAAGGTGTTAGAACAATATGTATATTAGTGCAAGCCAGTAAAGTTTAGGCGATAAAACTACTCAGAAGATTATAGGGATTTATTGTATACTAAGATCACATCGATATGACTTGTTAAATTGGGAGGGGAGGCTACAGTAACTACAGTATACCTGTCAGCAGTTCCGCTGGTCAGGCTGCTGCTCACCGCCCACCCCGGTGCCTCACGTAGCTGATTTCATTACTTATCCCCGTCTCCGACAATCCCTTACCTGCTTTCCTGCTGTGCTCTGCAACATCCATCGTCGAATATAGATGAACTGGCCAGGAAGACCGCCACACACGCACAAATCCTTAATCAACACCTCATCTTCCTTACTATTAGGATGTGACAGTCCCCAATTCTGCTCAGCCACAATTCACAAGAATGCCATCCTGTAAACATTTCCCCGACTCCCTCCTCGGATGGCTCCACCTCCTCATCCTAACCTACGCCATCATCATAATCCTATCTCACTGGCACCAGAGAAATCCCCAAGCCCCCTCTCGACCAGCTCCCCTCCCCAATCTCCCAGAACCAACCACCTCAAAGCAAGACAAAGCAACCGCCGCCGCAGAAATTCCCATCCCCCGCCTCCCCTACAACGAAACAACCCTCGTCACCCTCATCAACGAGATCTACCGCACCTACCAGAAACTCAACTACATCGGTCCGGACGAACTAATCTGGCCCCCAGCTGAAACCGGTCACGCGATCAACGAACGCCTCTGCGCGGAGCTGCACCTCGACCCAGCCGTGATCTCGCTGATGAAGCGCCTGCCCTACCTCCGGACCTCGCGGCTCGCCGAAGAGGTCCCGATCACCCCGCTCTCGCAGGCGTTCGTCTACCTCGAGGACGCGGAGATTCGCGGCGGCCGGGATCCCAAGCGGTACGGGCATGTCGACGACCTAAGGGTGGCGGTCTTGCTCCCGCGGGAGATCGCCTTGAGTGGTTTCGCGGATGAGGGAGAGTGTTTGGTTCTCGATGTGGGGGAGAGTATGTCCCCACCCCCTTGTTTCCGTTGTCCATTTTTCTTCCTTTCGGGTAAAGGCCGTGCAGGAAGAATAGAGTGGTTGATTTGGGATACGTAGATACTATCCGCGTATGGGAGTGGGATGGGCTCCCGCCCGGCGATGACGAGAACAACTTCCGCGCGTATCGCGCCCACCACGCCCCGACTTTCCTCTCGAATCATTTGGAGAAGCTCCGGACGCTGGAAATGATTCCTTGTGGACATAGCGGGGCTCGGGGCTACTGGGTTCTGGATTCTGGCGAGGTGGTGTGTTATACCCTTCTCGCTTCTTTCTGCAATCGAGATGCTAAGACACAGGGCAGCACCCACGGATCAAGAGAACGCTGCAGGAGCAGTACGGCTGGCCGTATGATTTCCGGGAGGCGGAGTGGAAGGCGGCGTCGGAGGAGACCTGGGAGCGACTGTTGCGGTTTGATCCAGCTTTTTAGGGGGGTTACTCACCTGGGTATAAATCGACTCAATGCAGAGGGATGAGGGTGATATATCTGCAATATGCTTATGGCTATCCATTAAAAAGTCACACAGTTGGCTGTAATGCATACTGGCTACCACGCCACCTCACACCCGAACTGCCTGGCCTGCTTCATTCCCCCGTCGAGATGTCAAAAGCATCACGAAATCCACATTTAAGGCTGAAATTGCGTGTAGACGTGTTCCTTGGGGCGTGATGACAGGGGTTTACCTGGATTCAGCCAATCACAATGCCGCCTGCGTCAAGATGTCAACTGATCACGAAAATCCACTTATGAGGCTGCAGGAGGCCGGATGTGTTGCTTGGGACGCGTATGGGGAAGTGCACGTGGCTTTGATTATCTTGTGTTATCAGATTGTCTGGCTCGGCTGGGTAGGGGGTTCGAGGGGAGGGTGGGTAACCTCAGTTCTCAAACCAAGGATGCTCATAATTCCAACCAATGCAAGAGGTGTTGTTGAAAGAATACGTATATGTCTCCTTGATCTTTAACCAGTACCGACAGGCATATTTGATCACAGGGTTGATTGACTTTATAACTTCACTAATCTCGCTTTGTAGAATTCCGTCGTTTCCAAGATTGCAGATATTCCGGCGAAGGCCAATATTCTCGTCCGACATGACACGAAGGCGTTGCTTTGCCAAATCTTGGTTCCTCGCGACCGTGTTGATTTTGAAAGGGTTATCATCGAACGTGCCGTGATCTACCAGGAAGTCTGGGAAGGATTGGTGCAGAGGTTCGACTGGGGAATCGGCCTCATTTGGGTCCGGTATGATGAGAACTGATTGAAGGAATTTGAGTTCGAGTGCATGTCATCTTCTTCCATGTCAAGCAGCAGGGCTAAGGATGTGGCTGGAAGAGGGTCATAAAGGGTAATGACTGAGCCAACGATATACCGGAACTCGGTGAGAATCCGCTGTCTGTCAACGTTCCTGGTGTCGATGATCATCGGCTCTAAGAATGCCTAGTCAGTTTCAACGAGCTGATTGCCCAAGTTCCGGTGCTGGAGAATCACCCTTGTGCGCTCTACGGGGTGAATCTTTCGTCGTCAACAAATCGGCATGTGGTTGAAGCGACAATGAAGAGCGGGCTTGCACGTTAAGCCAACTTCTTGATGGTCTTCTCTTCAGGCCAAGCTGGAGGAGAAGGGTGACTGGCGGCGATCTCGTTGAGTCTAGCACCTAGAAAGGCGGTAATATCACGCTCCACGCCTTCGGCTTTATGAAGGAGTAATTCTCGGCACTGTTGTGTTCCAAGCTGCTGAAAGGCCTCGCAGACTTTCGGTTCAGGTCTCCCTGTGATGAAGAATCGCAGATCCAGTGCTCCAGCATCTCGTACTGTGAGTGAATTCCTTTTAAGCTGCTTGATGTCTCTCTTGTCTTTACACTGATCCACGGCATCGAGAGTAAAAACCAGGATTTGACGTTGACCCACTAGCAGCTTCTGTAGCGGGTCTAAGCGTACGCAGTCGATCTACTCTTCAAGCGTCTGGTAACTATGATAGTCCTTTTCAAGGACGGCTTGTATTTCAACTTTCAGGCTTGGTAGCAGGATGGTTAGCTGATATAAGATTGTCGGCGCGAACTATTTAGGCGATGCACACTCGGTCCGGCGCCCGTCGAAGCAGAAACTCGCTCCTAGGATGCCTCGCGCAGTGAATAACTTGGCGAGGGTGCGAGAATTCGTGGACTTCAGTCTCCGCCATGCCGTTCAGCCAAGACATTGCTCTCCCTTGGGGTCATCCACCCAGCTAAGAATTTTCTGTAACATCTCGAACCTTGTGCCTTCAAGACAAAATCCTTCATACTGGGTCTCATAAGAGCCATTGATAGCCTCTGCGGCAACAGGCAGCTTCGAAAGTTGGAAGGCTTGGTAGGTCTTCTGGATCAGTGCTGCATTGCTTTCAATGCCAGCAAGCAATGCCTCCGCTTGTTCGCTGAGACGAATATTCTGGTCGACACTGATCCAACTGCTGATGGCCTGATTTTCTTTTTCAATGCTCGTTCGAAGCAGTAGCAGCCGGTGGCTGGCAAGGTCGGGAACCGAAACACTGGCCCATATTCTCTCCCCAAGGCTAAGTTGTCGAGCACGACCCATCTCGGTGACATATCGAAGGATACTAGCGTACAGGTGAATAACGCTCTCTTGCATGACTTTGCTTGTATTCGCATGGCTTGCCCGCGAAAGCTTATCTACAACAGTATAGCGAGCGAGTATCCCGGAAGAGATTCCGCGGATTCGAACAAGGCATCTTGAAGTGCAATATCTTTTTGGGCCATCTCTTTGCACATTATGGGTCAGTATTGGGTTAAGTTAGGATAGGATGCTCGAACCTTGAGCCCCAGTGACACTAATGTTCAGGCGGCAGATGCATGTCCTGTGGGATCAGCGGCAGAGTCCACCCCTCCGTTCTGAGGCCAATAGTGGCAGGACACGGCAGACTCGAGTAGCACAAAAGCCCCAGTGCTGACGTCGCCGTCCGTTACCCCAGGTGTTGTGGCTGATTTGCAATGGAGTGCTGTAGAAGTCTGTCTTCAAGGTGTTGTGTCGGCTGTGTGGTGGTGAAGACTGCGACGAGAGTGAGCAGATGGTGAAGGGGCGATGGATGGTCACATGACTCAGCCTGGCTATCACAATCTTGTGTAAGGGCAAGTTGTGCTGAGTTCGAACTATTCACAATGTTATCTCAACAGCAGACTTACTTCATCCACACACCGAGCACCTTTCCATGGACCTTCTTCAAACAGAGACCGTGACTGCGGTATACGAGGAGCACCCTCCATTGAGTGCAGAGCTGGAGAACCACACTTAGGCTGCGCGTGGCCCAGACCTTGTGCTCGAGTATCAGATGGTTGCTTAAGTTATAGAGTCCTTGCTTTCCTGAGACTGATCATCTATCTAGTAACCATCCTAGATCAAATCTCTCCAACATGATCTGTCGGTCAATGATTCTGGAAATCATGGTCAATGTCACTATATTCTTTCATTCTCGAACTCTGACGCATACAAGATTTGGCCTACATTTCGAAGTCACAGCTTGCTGTCGACTGGCGAGATAGCGTGTATGCCGGGGCAACAACCACCAAAATACCTCTACATTCCCACCACCACGCTCATATAAATTCCTACAAGACGTCACCCCGCACCGATCTTCATAATCTAAGAACTTTTTGATTGAGGTCTATCCAATATACTCCACATGCCCCGCCCACTCGCGATCCCGCCGCAGCGCCCGGATATCCCCCTCATTCAAACACGCCATGACGCCCAGATCCCCATTCTCCGTGCGGGACCAGAAATATACGCACCCCTCGAACGGCGCCGAAGTCGGCCGTCGCACCAGTGAGGGGTGGCCCAGCACGTCGCCAAAGCCACAGCTGTACAGCTCCGTATGCGCCAGCGACGAAACGCCCACATCCGTCTCGGGATCGAACTCGCCACCGAACATGATAGTCGACTTGTCGGGCTCCTGCGCGATGAAGGTGGCCCAGCTGCGCACGGCGTACGCGTGGTTGACCTCGGCGACCTGCGCCCGCAGCACGGCCGCGGTCTCGCCGAGCGTCATCGCGTCCAGCTCCCCGTAGGCCACCCGCGTCGACGCGTTGTACCCCATCTGGCCCATGTATTCGGGCGAAACGTCCATGGCGCGCCGGCTGTCGAGGGCGCGCGAGAATTTGGTGCGCCGTTGTGCCGGCTGCGGCCGATGGCGGCGGCGCGCGGCGGCGATGCGTTTCCACAGGAAGGCGCAGAGGGCATCGTTGGTGGAGACGAAGGGGATGAGTTTCTGGAGGTTGGTGTAAGCCAATTCGGTGTTGGCGCGTTGCTTAATCTGGGACATTTGTTTGGCGGGGACTTGGAAGAAATGCCAGCTTGCTGGGGCGCGGGGCGCGGGGAGGGGCTTGGGGATGCGCGGGCGGCGGAGGTGGGAGTGGTCGAGCATCGGTTCGGAGGGGTGGAGGAGCGGAATGATTGTGCGGCGGTCTCGGTTGCCTTGGCTCAGTTCGGTGGCGGTGAAGGGCTCGTGACGCATCGCTTTGGCCAGGAGCCGCGCGCATTGGAAGAGGCCCCCGCCGTCGATGAAGTTGTGCTGTGCGGCGAGGTCGAGGAGGAGCCCGCCCTCAATGAAGTTGGCTTGCATCATGAAGACGCGCGCCGGCTCGATGCTCGAGTCTTCGTATCGCTCGGGAAATGAGACCACGGGTCCCAGAGCGCTGACGGGGAGCATTGCGCATGGCCCTCGTGCAGCGCAGATTTCTTTATACGAAGGGCAGATGCTCGAGGCATCGCGCACGATGACCAGGTCCTCGGGCTGGCTGAACTCCGGACACGACTGTAACCGGAAGGTGCCTGAGTTGCCGGGGGTCCGGCCCTCGTGCACGACCTCGGCTGCTAGCCAGGGGAATTCGGAGATGAGGGTTTCTGTGGCTGTGTATAGGGCGTTGATGGCTGCCTTTTGGGCGTACCGGTCTGCGATGGGGAATGATAATAATAGGTGTGTGTAGGTTTTGAGGCCGGCCAGCTGGCCGATGTCGTCTTGGAATTTGGAGAGGTCAAACATTGTGGAGTTAGGGTGTATGGGGTATATGTCTGAGGTCGTGGAATGAAGATCTATGTTCTTGAGAATGGTAATAAGAGGATAAAAGCAGTGGGTATAATTCTATAGACGGCAATAATGCTAACAGGACAGACGCTGGGATGATAAGACAAGTCGTTGAATCGTGAGGTTTGTGATGGAATACAGAGCTATTACTGTGGGAGCAACCTCCTCTTTATATACTTACAACAAGAGTATGAGCTATCGCAACAACTATGTGCCAAGAATGAGGTTGTACTTGGGAGCATTGGGGGCCATGGCAGCCGCTTAGGGCTGCTGAGAGTCGGCTCGGGAGCGCGTGCATTAGTGCGCCCCCTAACACGAACAGGATCGCAAAACTCCGAGCGGACGTGCCCACAAAGTCCGCTACTCCGAAGCGCGCAGGCATCGCGAGATGAAACGAAGACGGAATGCAGCAGAAGGTTCACGCCAACTGGTTAATGAGGCTCGAACTACAATCATGGGCCAATCGGAGGCTGTTGACTCACAACTTCGCACAGGCACTTCGTTGCCGAGATGCTGAGCTGAGACTTGGCTCAACGAAAACAAGACATCTGGGACTTTCTTCCATTCTACGCCCATGAGTCCAGAACCTTGTCGAAATGGTGCCATTGCCGACAGGTACAAGCGGCCTCTCTGATTGAGGTATTTACAGCCACGTGGAAACACGTGGTGACAACGACGCTGTATGTCAAGAAGGCTACGACGTTCACTCAAGATGATAAGTGTCGGCGGCCCTGCGGCCTCAGTAGCCCGGCTACCGCCACCGCCCACCTTGATGACCTTACCCAGTCCTCAAATTTTCTCACGTAGATGAATCTAAAATCACCCACGTTCGGGAAGATAAGGCCCAGAGGGAGGCCGAGACTTCTCGCGTAAGTGTTCTTGCATGCTCGGTCGCGAGACCATGCATCCAGCTTCTTTGTGAAGTCCAAACCGTGGACTCAGTGCTTCGGTTAGCCACTGGGGAAAAAAAGAAACAAAGAATTGAAGAGAAGTTGAACTATTGTTAGTGTTGCCAAGACGACTAGATTAAAAATGACAGCTCACTGCTTTACCTAGTAGGCTTAGTTCTGCTTGACCCCTTGCCCAGGCATCCAATGACTGCCTGGTTCCATGCAAGGCTCTAGGAGTTTGAAGAACATAATTGGCTGACGAAGCGCCGGAAGTCGGACTAGGTTTACCTCGCCTGTTGAATATGTACAGATCCTGTATCTAAATTGCAAACTACTTATTGATCAATCCCTTCGATGATAGCGCCATTGCTATCTCTACCCCTCCTTCCGTGACACTTCAGTATTGCCAAGCATAGAGCCCATTCCCACAGGGAAGTTCAGTCCGCTTCTCCAGAACACCAACCCAACATGGCTATCAAATCAGACGACATCACCTGGTTCATTGAAAATGATTTCCTGGGCACGGAAACACCCTTCCCTTCTGGGTCAGTGTGGAGGTTGGAAAGCAAAATCAACGAACATAGTTATTATGAGGAACGGTCTGAATGTGAGGCTTTGGCCATTCAATCCGAGGCACGTGGGGTGTTCTCTTACTCGACGGTGTCGGGGAGTGGGCCACCGACAGCCGTCATCAAGAGGCGTTTGCAGTTAGTACTACCTACAGACAGGACTCCAAGAGAGAAGTATAGCCGTTGGTATCGGTGGCAGGATTCCGTGGTGGAGAACCGCGACGAAGAAGCCCAAAGTTCGTGCCAAGCAAGCCACGTCAGAGATTCCTAAGGCCTTCAGTTCAGAAATCGAGGCCCTGTCCCATCTAACGAAGTGGCTGCTCCAGTACCCCCTCTCTACTGTCCTGGAAGAAAGAGCAACAAACAATCGATGAATGGGTCCCGGGAGGCTATTAGCTGAGTATCTTGATGGAGAAGCTACCGGGGTCTGAGCCTGGCGTCATGTTTTTTTTTTCGCGTCAGATGCCTCGTGATGAGCGAGATTCTCTAAGAGGGCCTCCAAAGCGGCGTGGCTGTAAGTCGTGACTTTCTTTTAAGAGTCCAAAGAACCAGTGCCACAGCAATTATCACTGCCCAGGTTATGCGGGAAGGCTGACGGAAACCCTAGGGAGACGGTCCGTTGTGGGGTTATCCATAAAGATGGGTCGATAAATAACCTTCTTTGGGGCCGAGGAAGTGAAAGATGGTAAGCCCTCCTACTAGACGCATTTGTGTCTTTATTCGCCACTTCACTTCTGACTTCAAGTGTCTAGCTACTTGGTCGATTGAGAGTATTGGCGCTTCTCCAAGGATACAGCTCGCTGGGAAGGTCGCCTCTACATCCGCTGCAATCTGGCACAATCTGGACCATCACAGAACCTTTTCGGTATGTCTGAATGGCGGCTGTAAAGTTGACATGTAGACTGAGGTCCAGAAGACAGATGCTTTCGCCTCCCGGAAGACCACTACCTGACGATATGATCATATGGTTCATTCCATAAGACCTCCCAATACGGTTCTGATTTCGCTGCACTAGCACGTTCCTACCTCCAATGTGCTCATAGTATTCCTCATAGCTGTGATACTCAGTTGGAGCTAAATTCTGTACTGTGAACTCATATCTTGCCCTTCGAAGTGTTGGTTCAGGCCGACATTAGGGAGGATTGCGAGCTTCAAGAGACATGAAACTTGACTTATCTTATTGGTTGATTTTGGGTTTTGCTAATTGGTATTTTGATCTGACCCTCGAAATCCTAAGCCTCATCTTATCTTTTGACCAGGATATATGGTTGGTTGTATACATTCCACTGGAAAAGATTCTTAGTCAAGCTCGTGGACAAGCGCTGCGTGTCACTGTTGCACAGGGGATTCCCTGGTCTCTGATTTTTCACATCCCCGATATTCAACTGCTACTCAATACATCATGATTTACCAGAAGCTCAGACAAAGAACTGTTTCTTTCAGGTTACTTTCAGGTGGGCGGAACACCTCACGGGCAGGCGACCCGACTCCCGGCCCACCTTCCTAAAGCGGCAACGGCTGAAAGAGGCAACAGAGTGAATAACCCGACACACCTACTGAGCTACGGACATCATGGAACACCACCATGATTAAGGATTACTCATTTCAACTTGATCTGAGAGGTCATGACTCCAAAGTACCATCCTCTGACAGCTACATGCTGAATTTGTATGACCAACCATAATACGCTACCAGGCGAATCTGTCTGTCGCCGAGGAATGTGTAGCGCTTCATATAGCCGTTTCCGGCCCACGAGCCAATCCTACCGCGGGGTCCGGACCCAGACCAGAGAAGACGGGTGGCTGCAAAAGAGCCATGGACATATTGCGACCAAACCAAACCGGAAGAGCAACGTGGATGTACGAAGACGATGGGTTGCGCAATCGGGGTTTGCACCTAGTCTACAACAAAACCAACGAGGCCCCCTCCAACCCGTCGAAGCAGCGCAATGGCCTAAGTCAAGAACTTTGGCTTCACCCACTCCCCAAGCACCACGAGCAATCGACATACACAGCAGCCATGATCCGCCCAGGGTCCGGCTGCCAATGGTTCACGCGGCGGCGTCTGCAACTCTCCCTGGCCGTCGCGGTGGTCATAGCCTGCATCTACACCATCCTGCCAGCGTCCAGCAGGCCGGACAGTCATGCCCACACCAACAATGAGCCCCCGCAACACCACAAACTCCCCTTCACATCTCCCTCCTACGCCCGCTCCCTGTCCGCGCGGGAGCTCATCTCGCGGCCGCGCTCGGCGGACCTCGTCTCCCTCCCCAAGCTCATCCACCAGACCTGGTTCCCGGCGGGGAGCAATATGAGCGAGAATGCCCAGCTCTGGGTCCAGACCATGCGGGCCCAGAACCCGGACTGGGAGTACGTCCTCTGGGATGACGAGACGAACCGGCTGCTCGTGGAGACGCATTTCCCGTGGTTCTTGAAGGACTACCTGCGTCTGCCCAAGGAGATTCTTCGGGCGGATGTCGTGAGGAATCTGTATATGTTCTTGTTTGGAGGGTGAGACTTTACGGCCAGGACGTTCCGGAGCCAAGTTACTGATGCTTGAGAAATGCATAGAATGTACGCCGATGTCGACACCGAAGCCCTCCGACCAGTGGACTCGCTCTTCGCCGGCCACGACACCCCGCTCCGGGCGGCGCACAGCAGCCTCCTCGGCTCATGGACGGGGAAAGTCAAGGCGCACTCACCGCACGACTCGTCGACGATCACGCAGCGGGCCTTCCTGGGCCACATGGCGCACCAGGCGGGACTGGATGGGCCTGCGGCCGTGCCTAACGGGTGGATGGCGTCGCCGCCCGGCCACCCGTTCTGGCTGCTGCCGGTGATCCACGTCATCGAGAACCCCAATGGCAGTGAGGATGGCTCGGTGGAGAGTCTGACCGGCCCCACGGCGTTGTCTTTCTTGCTGCACCGCTACTTCGAGGACTTCGAGGGCGACGAGAAGACGGTCCGCCGGCATGTGTGCCAGAAGGTGCGGCGCTGGTCCCCCCAGTGGGAGATATACTGTGGGCCCGAGGGCCACGAGGACGATGTGCCCGAGCTGCAGACAAAGGGGGCTGCTCCTGTCGTGGTGCAGGATAAGATGGTGATCCTGCCGCGCCAGCAGATCTACCCGTACAGCTGGGAGGACGACAAGATGCTCCCCGCGTGCTTGGCGGCGTTCGAGAACCCGCAGTTCGATCCCGAGGCGTGTAAGCGGGCGATCGACGTGGAGGCGTGGCCGAGTTACTTCATTACGTATTGTACGCATTCGTGGTGAAGATGTGGGAATGTGTGGCTCATGATTCTGTCAATGATTTTTTTTTTTTTTTTTTTTTTTTTTTTTTTTTTTTTTTTTAAAAAAAAAAAAAAAAAGTGTGTTTTTCATCGGGTACAGTGTCACATAGAATGGATGGCTTGATGTTCTGCCGGATTCAAACCACTCTTAGGGCTATGCGGGAGATGCACGCAAACGGAAGGGAGATTCCGAGTATCCGCGCGAACCGAGACATCCCTGAATCCAATGCGTCATATCCTGTTGGCAGCTAGGCTTAGAAACCTGAAATCTCGTATCGGGAGTTTGTCGCTCAGGGCCGCAAACAAGCTTTGGGCCCTGAAAATAGGGTGCAGAAACGCTGGTGCCTGGTTCTGGACCCCACAGTCTGTCTTGTCACCACTCACCACTCACCACTCACCACTCGCCACCCACCAGTGACCGCTACTCCATCCGATCGCTCATCCTTTTCGATTTTTTTTTTTTTTTTTTTTCAGTTCGTAAAGTCTTATAAAGAGCGGGGACCCGTTTGCGGTCAATGTTGCAGTCGCATCGCGCGAAGAAAAGTTCAATGAAGACTCTCAACCATGGCCGCAGCCCAAGCGGGCCTGCACTCCCGACCAGCAGCGAACAAGAAGACTCAGCCGCTGTCCGCGGCTCTTGGCGTGTAGACGCGGCGCAAGACACAGACTGCCTGGTATATATCCCCTCGCAGCAGCCATGTAGTATGACGGGCTCCTCCGAGGAGAAGGAGAGATTTTGGTCTGATTCCTCGCATCGGGGGTCACTTTCAGGATCGCTATCGTTATCGCCCTCCGCATCTTCGCTCTCTCCTTCATTCCAGTCATCCGCCTCCCCTAGCCTCGTCGACTATCTCTCCGAGGTGAAGATGACCTACTCGGAGGCATTAACCGCCGCGGCCGCGGCCGAGTCGACCAAGAAGCCGATATGGCCGGTGGTATTAGGGGTGTTGTATGTAGATCTTCTTTTTCTCAATCACCATTACTTTTCAAATGTGGTTAGAATCAGTCAATTGACAATCTGTCTGGGAGCATAGAGCCTGGGTATTCTGGTCGAATCTGACCATCCTCTTCAATAAGTGGTTGATCGAGTCGACCGAGTTCCGTATGTCCTTCCTTTCTTTCCTTCTGTGTATATCCACATACATACATGCACCAAGTACCCAGAATCCACCACTAACAATCGCCAGATTACCGTGCGCAATCCCCTACCCCATCACCATCCATGCCATGATACTAACGAGCGACAGCCATCATCCTCACAACCTGGCACCTCCTCTTCGCGACCCTGGCCACACAGCTCCTCGCGCGCACCACCACCCTCCTCAACAGCCGGCACACCCACCACATGACCCCGCGCACCTACCTCCGCCAAATCGTCCCCATCGGTCTGTTGTATAGCGGCAGCCTAGTCACCAGCAACCTCACCTACCTCTATCTGAATGTGTCCTTCATCCAGATGCTCAAAGCCGGCGGACCCATCATCACCCTCCTGACCAGCTGGGGCTGGCGCGTCGCGCGCCCCTCCCTCGAATCCTTTCTGAACATTCTGGTCATCGCTTTTAGTGTCGGGCTGGCCGTCGCCGGCGAGGTGCAGTTCGTCTGGACGGGGGTGGTGTTCCAGGTTGCCAGTTTGGTGTTCGATGCGAATCGGTTGGTGATGATTCAGATTCTGTTGAGTGAGAACGGGGAGTCCGCCGAGAAGGGCCAGGGCCATTCCCATAAGATGGATCCCCTGGTCACGCTGTATTACTCGGCGCCGGTGTGCGCGCTGACGAACGCGTTGATCGCGGTGGGTAGCGGGGAGGTGGGCGGGTTCGAGTGGGGGATCGTCGAGAGGACGGGGTGGGGCGTGCTGCTCGCCAATGCGGGGGTGGGCTTCATGTTGAATGTGTCGATTTTCGTGCTGGTATGTTCATGCTCTTTTTTTTCTATCTTGTGGTCCGGGTGAGGAAAGGGGGAAGGGAGTGGGGGATGGGGGATGGGGGATGGGGGACTTGGACAATGCTAACGTTTTCTAGATCGGGAAAACGTCCGGACTGACGATGACGCTGGTGAGCGTGCCCAAGAACATCCTGTTGATTGTCTGCTCAATCGTCATCTGGGGCTCCCCGGTGAGTTCGTTGCAGGTGGTCGGGTACGGGATTGCGTTGTTGGGATTGTTGTATTATTCGCTCGGGTGGCGGACGATTCAGCCGCTTTGCGAGGCGGCCAGCACCAAGCTGAGGGGCTGGCGGCGCGGGGAGGTGTATAAGTATGAGCCGGTTTAGGCTGTCGTCATTTCGGGGGATACATGTGTATGAATAGTGATTGATAATGAATCTTGGTTCCTGGAAGTTTTTGCAGATTGTAGGTCGGTCGAGTGAATGGTTCCAACGAGCGGGATGCGGTCAAGTCCCCTATGAGGTAAAATGATATCTGTACTATCAACATGGATCGAGTGTCAAACTCTGCTCCAACAATGTCAACGCTATATACCCTGCAACTAATCACCGGGACTTCACGAATCATACAGATAAGCAGCAATCACCCCGCCCCAGCCCCCAGCATTCTCACTCTGGCGCGCGATCGGGGTGCCCCCCTCCACGACCATATTGGTTGTGCTCTTTGTGTTCGTCCCGTAAAGATAAATCCCCGACGAACCCTCCACCTTCACCGCGGTCTTCTGACAATCTCCCTTGGGACAGTCGCCATTATCGTTAAAGAAGACCCAGTTACACCCGCCGTACAGAAACAAGTTCGACGAGCCGCTGATGCGCTCGAACAGCGCCATCCGGCAGAGCGCGTCGTCGGCCCCGCACTCCGCGAAGTCCGGGTCGCTGGTCGTCAGGTGCTCGTCCCAGGGGGCCGGGGCCAACGTGCTCCCGACGCCCTGCCAGTAGGGGGACTCGCTCTGCTGCAGAGCCGAGAAGACGTTGCGCGCGTGGTGGAAGTTGTACTGGTACAGGGTGTTGTGCTCCATGCCCGTGCCAATCAGCCAGGTGGCCGCCGTCGCCTCCACCAGCATTCCACGCCCCGTTGAGATCGTCTGCGCGTTCTCCCCGTCCAAGTCGTGGTCCGCCGTCCATCCCCACATGTTCTCGATGTACGCCGACGAGGTACTCGTCAGGTGGATCAGCCCGTACGCCGCCTTGCAGCTCTCCGCGCTGCCCGTGCACTGGCTCTCCACCAGGCTGCCCACCGCCCCGCCGATGCGGAAATGCGTGTTCCAGAACCCCACGTCTCCCGGGTTGGTGCCGGCGATGTTGACTTCGAGCTGTTCCATTCGTTAGGGGGTTTTGGATTGGATGTAGTTGACAGAAGAAGACTGACCAATTGACAACCAGGCAGAATGTCCGCGACCGTGAACACCATATCGCTGATCTGAGCCACGCCCGTATCTCCAGGGTATCCAACCCGGATCATTGCCCGCGGGGAAGCCTCGTTCTCGAAATTGCCGCCCACAGCGCTGATGATGGAGGCGAACGAATCTCCGATAATGCGACTGCCGCTGGGGACAAAGATGGTGTCGGTCACAATGTAGGTTCCCGCGGGGAAGTAGATGAGCTTGCAGTCCTTGTTACTCGAGAGGATGGCATTGATGTTGTGCGTGTCGTCCGTCTCCCCGTCGCCGTACACCGGCTTGCCGGCAACGTTCTTGATGTTCAGGACCTGGTTGGCCGTGTACTCTTGGTAGGTCGGGGGTGCCTTGGTGAAGTATTTGTTCCCAGCTAATAAAGCTGAGGCACGGGGAGTGGTGACCTGCTGTCCGTTTGTGCTCTGCATTTGGTTCGAGCCGGAGGTATACTGCTCGTGAGGGAATTAGTGGGCTGCTGTGGTGGTGGAAGCCGGAACCCTACCATGTGTCCATGTACCCAGGTGTCCGAAACGCCCCCGCTCAGAATGATCGTGTCGCCGATCTTCACTGTGTTGCCATAGTTGCTGATGTTCTCCAGGATGATCGAGTTTCCAGCCGTGTTCGACGTCCCGGACGTGATGAAGGTCCCTACGCTCGTCGCGCTGGTATCGATCACCGTCAACGACCCAGATGTCCCATGCGCGTCAATTCCGGTCTGGCACTGCTCGAAGCGGCATCCCACGAATGTAATATCAGTACCCCCCGCGATGACGCCGGTGGTGGTCCCGAGAAAACTCAGGTTCTTGAACACCCACTGCTGGCCGTTGAGCTTCATCCCCACCGCGCCGCCTTTGAACCACAGATCGTTCTGCACCCGGTCAGATCTCTATTACCTCATCCCCCAGAATTCAGTGGGGGAACGTACCATGATTAGATTACTGTTGTAGTCATACTGCGTCGTCAACCCGACATGTGTCGCAGAACCAGTCGGCATGTTAAATCCCACATTCGTCAACTGCGTCGCCTGGCTGACGGTCCAGTCGAGCAAGGCGATATTCTTACTATACCCGACGCCCGTCGAGTCCAGGACCACATTCTTCATGCCGATGTAGAAGTTGATGGTGCCCCCGAAATTCGGGTCCTTAGCGTAGATAATGTGGTCGTCCGGGAAGTTGGCGGCCGCCTTCAACACGGGCGGATTGGTTGGGTCGCCGATCAGGACCGTTCCCACAAAGAGCTGCAGAGAACTCTCGAGGAGGTACGTCCCGCTGGGGAGATAGACGATGGCCGGCTGGCCGGTGGTGCCCATCGAGTGGGAGGCGCGATCGGGTCCGTCGGAGGGTCCAGCTATATGCAGCGAACAGAAAGCAAGACTGTCAGGCTCCAAGATCTCACAAGGTCCGGGAACTAGGGCTTCCCCCTACCGTGAATGGCAGCCTGAATTGCCAGCGCCGCGTCCCGACTGCCTGTATTATCGGCGCCGTAATCTTCGACCACATTGCGGAAGACCTTGTATGCCTCCTTGTGGCTGGAGTCTAGGAAGGACGATTGGCCGTTGTGTTCGATGTTCTCGTACCAGTATCCGCCGGAGTTGCTCGAGCTGGCGCAGAGGGAGGGCGAGGCCGACGCGAGGGGCTGGTGCGCTGGAGGCCCGTTGAGGCTCACCCATGGCTGCGCGGTGCGGTTCTGGATCACGAAGGGGATGCCACTGCGGCTGTTAGTGGGCACTTTCTTGGTTTTTCCCGGTCAGTCACTCACGTCGGATCAGGAATGTAGCTCCGTTGGGGGATGGATTCAGCACTTGGGGTCGGCTGAGGCGTGAGTTTCTGAGTGGAGCCCGAGTTCCTCATCTGGGGCATTGAGGTGTTGCGCCATCCATCTTGCGGTCTCGCGAATGCCAGTGAAAAGAGCGATAGCCACGAGATGCAAAGCAGAGCGAATGTCGAGTGTGCCATCATCACGGCACACGGTCGGGTCGAAGCGACTTCAAGTATACGAGCATCAAAAACCAAACCGTGAAAAGAAAATAGGGATCGATCAAGGGAATGAAAAAGAGTGAAATTGTCCCTCAAATCGAGAATACAAACCTCGATACCTGTTGCTTCGGAAAAGGGCCTAGTCGGACATTGGGATTTCGCCCAGGGTTGGCGTACACAGAATCACACGGTCGGAAAAGGTCGGGGGGGCGCGCAACGAGTGGGAGCATGATGCTGGGAGCCTCCTCTATTTATGCGAATGTGAATTAGTGCATACCTGGACTGAGTCCAGACAAAGATTGTCCAGGTTTGGGAGGAATCCCGCGCGGCGGAGACTTGCATACTGGCATTGGCAGGCATGCCTTAGGGTACGCCCATCGTTAAGGTTAGGGCCATCTATCTATTTGTTGATCTTCCGTAGAAAGGGCGGTCGATCAGGGGTTTGACAACAACAACTTGAACTCTAGTTGACCACTCAAGTCCTGGACCACCAGCTGTGCATCGATGTTACTGTGACCTCAGTTTACAAGTTGATAAGTTTTCCTGCTCATCCAGACCATCTTCCTCAATCACCGGATCTCTTCTGCTTCTGCCTGGCTGCATTGGTTATCCCTTTCTCCCACCACCGCCGCCGCCACCGCTGCCAAACCATGCAGAAAACCCAGTTTCAGGACTCAACCCCCTCCTCGTGATAGAAGCCACAACCACTCGAGTCGGAAATACCAACCTTGAATCCGTCCATTTTCAGACCCAGATATCGTCCTGGCAGTCGTCGATGGCGTTCACCATCCCACATCAATTGTTGAAGCCATGCAGCTCTGACGTCTTTCGCGGCAGCGTCTTGCATTCCGCAAGGCACATACCAACCAAGGTTCAGAGCAAGGGATTGCCCGCGCAGGAACCAACCAACAGGTGAGTTGGCACGCTCTAGGGCAGTTAACTCCCTTCCCTGTTCTAATCAACTCTCCGTATTCGCTATTCATTAGTTTTGCCGGTTTGCAACCACGATTAGGCAGCAGGACCAATACCATTAAGCTTGGAGGGCTTTGGATCCTATAACGGGAGGATTATTTCTTTGCGGGAATCTTCCGTTTATTGACCAACTGACACGCTACTGATGTCAAAACATCTTTCAGAGCGTAACTTGATACATCGCCCCCTCAACTTTGAATGCCCCCGGCCCCTCCTCCCCAGAACGCCTTCAGGCTCACTCCACCACGCGGCTCGACAAACCCCAAGTACTTATTATCCGCGGGATGACGACGTGGTGGAGAGGGTGGTCTAGCCTGAGTGGTAACGCCTGCTTTCCCTCAGGGCGTTTCCGATCGCAGGGAGGGTTTACATTAGGGGTTCATATTCAGATTCCCCAACCAGGTCAACAGACTAACTTATAAAAAACATACCTAGTAGATACTACCGAACTGGATTGCTGCGGAAATCGAGCGAGTTTCCCTTTCCGCTTGAGGTCGAATGTGGCGCCGCTTTTTGCTCACTGAGCGATTTCCTACGCTCGAGAGCAGTGGTGCGCGATGGCTTTGTTTAATGCTACGATAATAGCTGGGAAGATCAAATGCGTAGATGAGTAAAAGGCTGAAGCAAAGATTATATACAGCACTAACCAACGGAATCGCGAAAAGACCGAAGATCACAAAAGTTAACTAAACGCTTTAAACAATTCACTTATTCAGGTATGGAGTCCACACTCCTCAACAAACCGCAACAGGCGCTACCTGATCCCAATTCTCCAAGATCTCCCTCACGCGAGGACTCTCGGAGATGGCCAGCACCTGCTCAAAGTAACTCTTACTCAACTCGAACGGCCGCGCCGTCAGGTTAGGAATGTATTTCCCGACCAGCTTCTCCGGCCGCACCATGTGCTCGGAGATGGCCTTGCTTAGGCTGCGGCGGAAGGTGTCGACGCCCGGGCGGAGGAGACTGCTGTGGAATGGCACGTTGACCTTCAAGGGGATCGTGGCTTTGGCGCGCTGCAGCTCCCGCGGGGTCCGTTTGATGTCTGTTTGGGCGAGACAGCTTTGGATGATATCGGGTATGGCGGCTTTCAGGGTGTCCATGGAGGCGAGTAGTTTTGGATGAGCTACCAGGTGGTCGAGGACACCTGCTAGGCAGTCTAAGCTTCGAAGCTGTTATGGAGTGGTTAGTCACTTGGTATTTCAGGAGACGAGAGGGATTGGGCTGCACATACATCACCGGCGCACACGTATTGGGTGGATTTCACGTTGAAGTTGACGATCTCGCAGAGTCCTCCGGTTGCACCCTCGACTGCCTTGACGATGTCGCATAGATCGGATTCTTTGAGGTCTGGATACTTGTCAGTACTGGGGGTCTATATCGTTACTGTTATCATGAGGTGCACATACTCTTGGACACCCGACTCGGGTTGGCAGCGACCATGGAGTAATCCCGGCCGGAATGGTCCAGCTCTATCGACTTTTGCATCGTCAAGCCTCGGTAGAATACGGTGGCCGTGACGCCCTCCAGGGTGAAGATCTCCCCCATGGCTGCCAGGGCAGAGTATTCGCCCAGCGAGTGGCCTGCGTAGCAGCTGTCCTCGTTGATCAGCCCGTGGGCCCGCATGTCTTCGATGCGCGCCAGCTCCATGAGCACCAGCGAGGGCTGCGTGAAGATGGTCTCGTGCAATAGCCCGCCGGTAGAGGTGTATGTGAAGAAGCGCGTAGTCGGGGTGATCTCACTGAAGGCGCGCACCGCCTCGATCTCGCCCTGGGCGTTGACCACCTCGAAGTCCAGGTCGATGTAGTTGTCCCGAATGGCCTTGCCGCGGCGACCCCCGAAGTGCACCGTGTACTCCTTGGGATTGTTGCGCACGATCTCGAGAATGGAGACCCCGTACGTGTTGACGAAGAACCTTTCCGCCGTGTCCCAGACATGGCGCGCCGCCGCGCTGGTCTCGTAGAGGTCCATCCCCATGCCGGGCTTCTGACTGCCTTGACCCGTGAAGAGGTACGCCCCTGGCTTCTGCGCCATTTCGGCGGTTGCGCGGAACACCTCGACGCCTGTCTCAGCAGACCGTGCGGTGGCGACGATGATCTGGCGGCCGTGGGTCATGCCTGTGTGGTTCATGTCCACCAGTAGCGTCTCGCCAGGGTTCACCTTGCCCTTGAACGAGGCGGACCAGCTCTTCATGCGCGATGGATCGTTCTCCGCCGCGTGCAGCTCCACCAGCCCCCGAACGAACCCGCTGGTCTGCATGCCGTGTACGACCCGGCCCTCGTGGCCGGCGTACTGCGCAAACGCACGCGACAGGTGGATGGGATTGCTGTCGCCTGAGGCGGCGGCGTACTGGTTGCTGGACTGGGGCATCGCGAGGCGGAGGTCCGCCGCCAGAGGGACGGGCGTCGGGAGTTCCTTGACTTCGGTGGAGGCCTGTCCGCGCCGGCTCAGGAAATCCAGCACCGGGTTCTTGAAGTGCGAGTTGCTCTTGAAAATTACCGTGCCGATGGTCACCTCGCCGGTGCCGACAGTGCAGCTGACCGTGCCACAGGTCTCGATCTGGCTGTAGGCCTGGGCATCGCGGAACCGGTACGAGCTGCGCAGTCGGAAGGTAAGCTCCTCGTCCAGGTGGTCGTCGAGACTGGCCCCTGCAGCAATCTGGAACCAGGGCTTCGACGCCAGCAAAACCACGTCTCGCCGACCCTGCAGCGGCAGCTGGTACACCTGCTCCTCCTTGTTCGTCTCGACTGTGTGGTGGTAATCCTCGTACCGGCCCTGGAGAATGAACTCACTGCCCACAGAGATGATGGGCGTCCCCTGCCTGGAGATGGTGGCGCGCACGCGAACCACCTTGCCAGACTCGGGGCGGATGCGGATGGACTCAACCTCGGCGGTCGACGACAGGACATCGCCCTCGCGGATGGGGCTCGCATCATCCAGCACCTTGAAATCGTTCTTCAGATGCAGGAGCTGCAAAATGTCCCCGTTGACGGCCGCGTCAGTGAAGAGACACCGCATCAGGGGCTTCCAGGCCACGACAATGGCCATGTCCAGGGGTGCGAGCAGTTTGCCCTTCGTCTTGCCGCTATACGCGCTGTTTCGGTTGTCAATGGCCTTGGTGAAGTCCAGGATCGCCTCTCGCGTCACGAGAACTATATCATCGCTCTGCTGCTGCTGTGCGTTGCCAACCCAGAGACTCTCGTAGAAGCTGCTGATTCGCTGATTGCGCGTCTCCATGACCTCGTGAATGGGGTTCCGGCCGCACGACGGCTCGTATGTGAAATAGAAGACGAGGTCGACGGGGAGATTGCCACCGGTAACAGGGGCTCGCAGCGTGAGCATGATATCCGAAGCCGAGAGCGCGCGGATCTCGATGGTGGCCTCATCCTTCTCCTTGGTCTTGGTGCTCTGCCGCATCAGAATTACCGTCTTCTCTGGCCGGTCGGGGTACATGATGCGCACGCTGAGGCCCGCGCGGGGCACAAAGAGACCCCGGATGGGGCTTTTAGCCAGGCGCCTGCCCTGCGCAATCTCGGGCAGCGTCAATAAAGCCTTGCGCCAAGAGGGCTTTGTCCCACCGAGCAGGTCGAGCCACTGCTCCTCAGCCGGCAGGTCCTCGGCGTGGGCATCGAGGTCATACGCGAGGGTCGGAGGGTCGTAGGACCGGCTGTGGTGGACATTTGCCACCTCGGCCAGAGATATTGTGGAGGGCAATGCCCCGGCAGAGTACAGGTAGTCCAGCTTAGGGACCCGGCCCTCGTTTCCTGCGTAGTGCCTCTTCAGGAGTGCCTGCACATGCGGCTTGTGGATGTTATCAAGGATCTGCTTGACCGGTTCATCGGCAATTGTGGTGAACTGCGCTGCCACTGGGCCGTGTAGCACACAGATTCGCCCAACGTCCTGGTCCATCACGGCCTCGAGTCTCTCCGCCTGCCATAGCGAGTCTTTCTTGAACCAGTACTCGAACGACTCGTCCAGCGCGATGATGAAGGGCAGCGGCTTGCGCCCCGGCTGCTTGTACAGCATGGCCAGCTGGTTCTCGTCGTCGCGGACGAGCACATCGTGCAGAGCCCGCGGATACGCCGCCAGAAAGTCGACCAAGAAGGCCTCTGGGCGATCCAGCTGCGTCTCATGCTGCAGCACAGCGCGCGGCCGCGGCTGGCGGGCACTCATGCGGCTCTCGACGCAACGCACCAAGTCGGCGGCGAACGACCGATACGAGGGGTCAATCCAGGTCTGCTGGCTCTTTAGGTAGAGCAGGTCGACGGCACGACGCAAAACCTCGGCGTAAGTCATCGCGGCGATTTCCACCGGCTGGCCCTGGGCGTCGACACCGAACCACACCTTGGCGTAGTCGGCGTTCAGTCGCTGGATGATGCTGGCTTTGCGCTTCTGCAGCTCCTGGATTTGTTGCGGTGCAGGTAGCGAGAAGACCTCCTTGTCCAGCTCAGCCCACAGCAGCACACCACGCGTGGCCAGCTTGTGGATGGGCTCGCCCATCTCTGACTTGACTGTGATTACGCCTCCGGCTGCCCTCTTGTAGGTCTGCTCCCACTGCGCGTCCGGTACGCCCGGCGTGTTCACGATTGCCTGCTTGACCGCGGAGCTGGTGCACGCCTCCTTGGCGGTCATGACGCGGCTGCCGACCAGGATGCCATCAAAGGGCATGGCCGCATGGCCCAGCTCCTTGGACCACGCCCCTGTCAGGTAGGGATAGGTGTCGTCGCTGCCACCGAAGCCACTGCCTGCAACCAGGATGATGTTGGAGTAGGCGCGGATCTGCGCGTAGCGGTCGAGGATCGGCTCGTGGAAGTCCTCGTACGAGTGATGCCCGCCACCGCGGCCGCCCGTCCACTGCAGGAGAATGGGGAATGTGGGATTGGCCTCTGCGATGCGCAGCACACTGTCAATCGCGTCCTTGGAGCCCGGCTTGAAGGCGATATGCGACAGGCCGAGGTCCCGGATGTACTCGCTTGCAATCTCGGTGGAGGGCACGCCCGCCCCGATGGTCAGACCCGTGATGGGCACGCCCTCCCTGCGCAGCTGGCCGAGCAGTGCGATCTGCCAGCCCATCGCCCGCGGGTTCGCGTAGATGAGGTTGCAGGTGATGCCGCGGCCGGCGGGGATGGACTGCATTAATTGTTGGAGGGCGGTGCGCATCCCCTCGGCGTTGTGGTAGCCGCCGCCAGCGAATTCGACATGGTAGTTGGCGTTCATGACCTCCGCGACGAACTCCGGCGAGACAGTCGTGGGGGTCATCCCCGCCACCATGACAGGGGGCAGGCCTATAATCCGCGAGAATCGGGTGTCAACGAGGATCTCGTCCCCGACCCGCACCAACCGGGGGGCATATTCCTGCTCCCAGCTGGTGTTGTAGACGACGGAGCCCTTGCGGCTCATCAGTTCCGGCATGTAGCCCAGCGCCTTGCTGGGCCCGCTCAGCGTCGTCGAGAGGATGATGCGCGTCGCCGTGCCCGCCTTGGCCGAGGCCAGGAATGCTCCGATGCCGGTCTCGCGTCCGGGCCCAAAGTCCAGAAAGTGGGTGACCGAAGGGAACCGCGTGGCCTTCCCCCAGTCCACGGTGCCGCAGACCACCATGTGCACGAGCTCGGGGATGAGGTTGTCGTATTCCCGGAGGTCGGCCCCGTTATCGGTGCGGAAGACGGGAAAGAGGAGGCTGGTGCCGGAGACGTGCACGGCGCTGAGATCCTCGACGATCTGCGAAGCGGCGTCTTCGAGAAGGCGGGTGTGGAATGGCACAGAGATGGGGAGGAAGCGCGCAGTGATTGAGGGGGGCCTCTGGCTGAAGGGCACGCGGGTAGTGTTTGCCTGCCCAGTGCTACCGGAGTTGTTCGAGGCGGTGCGAACCTTGTTAGCCAAGGCGTAGAGGGAGAGAGGATCGCCAGCGACGACGAATTGCTGACGGCCGTTGAGCAGAGCCAGGGCGGCCTGCTGTGAGGCAGGGAGATACTTGTTGTGCTCGGCCAGATGCTGCAGCAACTGCTCGCGGGAGGCGCCCTTGATGCTCAGCATAGGGCTCAGCCGCTCAGCCTGGTCCACCAGACTGGGCGGGATGGAGCTGGGGGGGTAGCACTGTTGAGAGCGGCATCCAATCCAGAATAGCACCTGAATAGCCGTGCGTGCGGCCTCGAGGAAGGTCGGCCACGAGACAGCGGTGGCCAGGAGAGCCGCTACCACGATGCCTTGAGAGTGACCTGCAGCACCACTGAGGTGCCGCGCAAACTCCCCGGGAGACTTGTTCAGAATCTTGCAGGTGATATAGTAATTGAGTACCTGCACCAGTCCAATCAAAGGCTGACTCACGGGGGCAGAGATGAGATAGTCGACAGATGGGCGAGCCTCGGGCTTCTCCAGCCAGCCGATAACATCCAGACCATGAGGGTACATGTCTTGGGCGCGGCTGTCGGCCGCAAGCCCCTTCAATTGTTTGCTGAGGCTGAACAGGGGCTCAGCCAGCTGGCCGGGGTAGGTATCGAAAAGATGCTGTAGTTCATCGAAGTAGCCCTCGACGCCCTGACCATTGAAGACAGTCACGATGTTCGCGCGACGACCAAGAGCATCAGACAACAGACTACTGCTCCATTTTGGGGACACGAACTGCGTCACACTGATTGCTTGATAATAGGTTTTGATGATCTGGAACTTCTCCTCCGGCTCGAGAGGCAGGGAAGCCAGGACACTGTGGATATCTTCATCCTGGAACAGATGCTTGTTGAACACGCGCAGGGACTTCCTGAGAATATCCTGCGGGCCGTCCTCATGCACTTGGTCGGCACTGTCGAGAACCTCGCGCACAAAGGAGGCAAGGCTCTGGACCTTCTCGGTGAGGGACAGCTCGTCAAGCGGCCGAGCACTCAGGCTATCCAGCGTCGTTGCAAACCGGTCATTGAAAAGGGAGGACTTTTTGAGGGAGGCTTGCGAGCGGAGGAAGGCAATCTCGATGTCTTCACGGGGGAGGGACTTGGGAGAGGGGGATCCCATGGGGTATTCTGTCATGGGGGTATCCAAATCCATCGTCGGAGAGAAGAGATCATCCGACGAAGCAGATGAACTCCTGCTGCCGGCTAACATAGGACTGGACTTCATTCTGCGAGGAACGGCCAGAGCCGGGGTAGGAAGGTCTATCGAAGGACGGAGGTGTTGAGGCATTCTGTCCGAGGACAACAAGGCAAAGGAAATAAAAAGGCCAATGACAGCGTGGAGGAATTCCGACTGGATGTGCAGAAAAGACAGTAAAGTCATGTACAGCAGACACGATGAGTGGGAAGCGATTAACAAAGGGAATCTCAAGGGTATGCAGACAGAAAGACACGACGAGAGCTTGATATCGTGAGGGTAAAGTCGTCTGAATGCAGATGCCAGCCCAGCGCAGCTCAAACTCTCACGCCTACAACGAGTCTCGGACCACGAGGAAAGACCTGTACGTCGCGAGGATGATTTGCAGACGAGGGCTTGGATTTGTAGGCTGCCCACGTGGGAAAAGTCCCGACAAGTGAACTACTGGCCACCCTTCGCACAGCCTTTTGCGGCCCCCAAGAATGTCATCATCGAATCAGTCCTTCAGTCAGGCCAGCCGTAAACGCCACGCCACGTGGTGGATACGTCGAATATCCTGGCAACAGCTGCACGGTGGGCGACAGTTCCTGCAGCCATGTCACCCTCGTGGCACCTCCCTGCAAACCACCACCCACCAAGCAGGAATGCATTTGCTTCTGCTGGCCGTCCAGCTCGCCATCCTTTGCTCCTTTCTGCGCCTAGCCGCCAAAGTCTAGAGCCATGCTAGCGTCCTAGCAGGCTGGCTAGAGCGAAACTGGGAGTCGCCGTGCCAGTCGACCTGAGACATATGTCTTTTTTAGGGAATTTTCGCTCATACCCGCCAGATCCTACAGGAATGGCTGGCAAAGAAGCTAGGAGTCTGGTTCAGTTAAGGAGATGTCGTTGGAAGAGAGTTGGTAATACGATCGAGCTGAGCCCTAATTTACGATACTTACCGATTTTACATTCTCATCCCTCCCTAGCCGTCACTTACTGTTATTTTCGGGGTATTTCGGCGTAATCTATTCCACGGCTATTACTGTCATTACTCACAGTACAAGGCATACTTACAATACATCACGTCAAAAATAAAAAATCAAAAAATCAATACGACAGAATCCTGCAGAGACGCTAAAAAGATCCTTTGGTCAGGCGGAGATCCGGGCTCCTCCGCCACTTTTGGACTTCGCGGAGATCCTTCACGCCTGAGACTAGCCAATTCCAACACTTGGAAAATGTGGTGCAGCTTACGCGAGCGGAGGAATTTCCACTGCATTCGACCTTCGACTTTATGGCCTTGAGCGTGATCGACTTGACGGAATTGCTTGATCTCTCTTTTGTCCCGTGTGGTGTCTTTCCCAGTCCGCAACCTCCAGCCATTAACTTTCCACTCTCCAACAGCGCAACCATGTTCCAGCTCCCAGCGTCGCTCGGCGACGTCGAGACCCTCCTCAGCACGGCCTGGGATGCCCTCACCCTGAACAGGGTGCTTGTCGGCGCAGGAATGCTGTTTCTTTTCTCGAATGCGAAGGGAATACCCGGCGTCTGGCATGTAAGTTCTCGTCTTGCACTCCTACCAGATATTGAGCTCTCGACCTCAGACAGACAGACAGACAGACACTAATTTCACCCCCGCAGTACCGACTCTTCAAAGGCCTCCTCACAGAACTGCTCTGGAAGCGCTCGCGCCAGCCCGCGCCCCTGGTCGACGCGCAGGGCCGGCCGCGTGTGTACAGCTACCTGGTCACCGAATGTGCCAACCCAATCATCGAGTGCGACTACAACCTACACAAGTCCAACAGCACCTTCTTCTCTGATCTGGACATCAACCGCACGCAGCTGATGATGGCGCACTTCAAGCACGTAATTTCGACCTCGTGCATGCCGAGCGTCACCAACCGGAAAAGGCCGCTGCTTATGGCCATGGGCGGCGTCTCATGCCTGTTTCACCGCGAGGTCAAGCCGCTGCAGCGCTACGAGGTCTGGTCGCGGGTGCTGGCGTGGGATGAGAAGTGGGTGTATGTCGTGAGTTACTTCGTCAAGAAGGGGGCGCTGGCAAGTGACGGGAGCATCAGGGGAGACCCGGACGCCAAGTTTGTGTTGGCGTCAGGGCTGGCGCGATATGTGTTCAAGGAGGGGAGGGTTACGGTCAAGCCTGAGGGGGTGCTGCGTGAGTGTGGCTTATTACCGCCAGCAGGTGAAAAGGGTGCGGTGGTAGATCCGAAGGGGGCCGTGGGTTGGAGCAAGGAGCAATTTGAGGCAGAGAACCAAAAGGGCATGGCGGTTGCTGGCGGATTTTCTGGTTTGGAGGTCTTGCCTTCTTTGACGAAGTTTAGGGAGTCAGCTGTGCTGGGGAGATATAGAGATTTCTGATCAATCAGCTGTGTGACTTGTGCAGAGGCGAGCGGTCAGGGGTGCAGTTTATGTGTCGGATGCTTGTAGATAGACAAGATACCTGAATGAAGACATTGGAGTGTGCTGTCTTCTTGCTATCGGTAATTGGAAAGATTAGATTCTTGGGATCTTTGGGAGACATTGTATCATCGAGAATAACGGTCGTCAGCCGTATCGCGCTTCAAAGATCTTTATGCTATAGCCCGAGTTTCACTGCTCCCAGCGCAAAGGATCAGACGTCTCCCATTTGATGCACTTTCTGAGCTGCCCTACTTGAGGCATTGAGATCAAATACGGAACTGCATACCAGAAGTCGAAACACTGCAACTCAACTACAAGCTTCCACAGTGCAGGGAAGCGCATGTTCGCCGACATTATCCAGATAGTAAGCTAGCTCTCCCACTGAGTGTGCTACACCTACAAACAATGTACTATCATTACAACGTTGTGGAAACTACACACATCCACACCACAGAATTATAAACACCCCCAAAAAGCCCACCAAAGATACAAGAAACTCATCTATTGACCATCCCTGTCAAAATCCCCCGTATGGATCGTCTCCAGCGCAGAAATCTCCACCGACTCAACGTCCCACAGCCCCTACACCCAAATTAGCTACCGAGCTGCTCGCACAAGTCCGTCGCAGAACATCACCTACTTTGACAGCATTCTCATGAGCCTGGACAGCCTTGAGCACACTCTCCTCACTAGGCGCTTGGCACGCGAAGCAGGCTCCCAAGGTCCCCGCGGGGTCCGACTCCGAGACCGGCGCAGGCGATGCCAGCATATCTCCCGCGAACGTGAGGACAATATCCCGGTTCTTGAACTCGATGGGTTGAGGACGCTGGGACAGGTCCGCCCCTGGTGCGTTCTGCTTGTTGAAGACGACCACAAAGCTAAGACATGACACCGTTAGGATTCACCATGATCGGCCGCACACGCGCACCAGGCGAGTTGGTGGGGTAGGGGGATGGAGGGCATACTATTCTTGCAGCGGCGATCCCGTCGTTGCGAGGAATCGACTCGGCTGCCTGAGGCCACCGATGGAGCTGCATACCGAGCGGCGGGCGCTGGAAAGGAGGGAAGTAGTCCGGTTGAGCATTGCCAACTGCGTGTGGGTGCTATGTTCTACTGGTTGGTTGGAGAAGTGCATCGCGCAAAGATGGGCGATTATATAGATTACAAAGCCGGAAGCAACCTGCGGAGCCTCGATGCCACTGGCCAGCAAGATGGGATCTCTTTAGGCATTGCTATCTGACGGACGTTCCTCATTCTCTGTACCCGGATGGATTCTCACCCCCCCTCATACGATTGTACTTCGTTGAGGCTGTCGAACAGATCGAATTGGTTTATCGACTACCGGCTATAGTAAACTCCTGCAGGATTGGCAATTTCGTGCGCGTTCCAGAACAAGGCCGTCCATCCATGCTCCGGCTCCGATGACTCGATTACTACAAGTCCGTCTAATGTATCCCCCACAGGTTTAGTGTTTGTGTCGCAGAATGCTGTAGATGATTCTGATGCTGCAATTTACTACAAAGAATTTTCCATCGATATTAGTGCTTATATTGCAGGATTCGCTGCATGCAAGCTGCAGTAACAGTAATTGCTGTGCGTTTTGTTACAGGTACAGAAACAGACACCTGTACTGTACTGTCTAGTCTGTACTGTAATACATCCAGCGAATGTACTGTACGTCGTATAGTATGTATCGCTGTAACCGCCACAGCCATAACCACCCCACAGGGCCGAGACCCACACCTTTGGTGAATACGACCCCCCATTCTTCCATCTTCCTTCGATGCTACCGTGACTGACACTTACACGAATCAGTTCTCCAGGCGACCTGACGGGTATCTCGGCGGATCCCTTGAGGCTGAATCGTCACCGGCCACCAAGGCTTGGTCGCTGCAAGCTGAGATTAGATCCTGCAGTGTAACTGACCGCAAAATACCATACACGACTGCTGCGTACATGAACGTGATACGTGGCTTCTTTTTGATTTGTACTCTTTTCTTTTTCTCCATGCTAGTAAGCCATGTGGGATCGGGATTTGCCTCGTGTTCGGTGGGTCATGCTCGATAGTCGTATCAAAACACAAAATCTAGCATCGTGCACAAGGCTGTGACAGAGCCTGGGTTGAGGAAGCCAAAACGAAAAAGGCCCCCAAGAATTAGCCCCAGCACCGAAAGCAGCGGGTGAATGCGGCGAGGCAGGATGGATGAAGTGTAGAGGATAGTATGGTTTGACCTGGCTTTCTTTCGAGCTGTGTGAGAGCTTTTTCCTAGCGAGACAGCAGTTGGTCAGGGTGGAATCGTCACTCGGCTATAAAAGTGCGCTTTTTAAAGTTCTGCTGTACAATAGATCACAACCAAAGCACCTCACTTCACTCCTTACGCTCTCTCTCTCTCTATCATCTCCCACATCCAGAACCCAAGCAGTCCAGTCCACCGTCCAGCCCATCATGTCTACTTTTCCCGCTGAGCCCGCCGCTAATATCGGTATGCTGTCCTGGGACTCACTTGTTGTTTTGATGCAATGGCTGACATAGTGAGACAGAATGGGAGAAGGTTGGCGTCTCCTTCTTGGACGGTACACACCACCTCCACACCCTTCTAGTCAGAACACCATAGCTAATCACACCAGTACAGTGAACGGCCACGTGGAAAGTGACTTCAACTTCCAAACCGGCACATGGTCGGATCCCCTCTTTGTAGAGGACCACTACCTCCGCGTCCACGGCCTGGCGCCCGGGCTGAACTATGGCCAGCAAGTGTTTGAGGGAATGAAAGGTACACCGCCCCCTCTAGCCCTATCTTCATCTTATCCATACCCCATCATGCCCCCACCCGCACAACTCGCAGTCACTGACCTGTTGCGAACCCCGTGCAGCCTACCGCAACAAAAGCGGGCAGATCCAAGTCTTCCGTCCAACGGACCACGGGCTCCGCATGCAGCGGTCGTGCGAAGCCGTCTCCATCCCAGCCATCCCGGAGCCCCTGTTCTGGGACGCGGTGAACCTGGCCGTGGCGCGCAACAGCGAATTCGTGCCGCCGCACGAGACCGAAGCGGCGCTATACATCCGGCCGCTGGCGTTTGGGTCGGGCGGCTGGATGCCCGTGGCGGCGGGCATGCAGTACAAGTTCTGCGTGTATGCGCTGCCGTTCTGCGCCTACCACGGCACGCTCCCTGTCGATGCGGTGGTGCTGGAGGAGCTGGACCGCGCCGCCCCGGTGGGTGTTGGCAACGTCAAGGTCGGCGGCAACTACGCGCCGGTGCTGAAGTGGAGTGACAAGGCGCGCAAGGAGGGGTTCGGCATCACGCTGCACCTTGATAGTCGGACGCGCAGTGAGATCGATGAGTTCAGTACCTCGGGATTCGTGGGGATCAAGTATGGTGACGGCGGGGCGGAGGGGCCGTATACCTTGGTCGTGCCTAACAGCCAGTGTGTCATCAAGAGCGTGACGAGCACGAGCGTGATCGACTTGGCTAGGTCGCTTGGCTGGAGGGTGGAGGTTCGGCCGGTGAGTGTTTTGCTTCCCTCTTTCCACCCCTGGGGGTGTGTGTGGCTGTGGCTGATTTACTGCATGCAGATTCCCTACGACGAGCTTGCTTTCTTCGATGAGGTGATTGCCGTTGGCACGGCGGCGATGATCACCTCGATCCGGTCGATTACACACCGGTCCAAGGGGCAGTTTTTCAAATTTAACACCAGCGACAAGCCGGGGAGTGTCTGCGAGAAGCTGTCGATCAAGCTCAAGGCGATCCAGAAGGGCGATGTGGCGGATCCGTTTGGCTGGTTGAGACAGGTGGTGGATCCAGAAGCCAGGAACCAGACGCAGCCTGTCACGGAGGCGGCCAAGGGGCCTCAGGTTGAAGCAGTTCCGGTTGAGCAGGTGACTGTCCAATAGAGAAAGGGCTTAGGCGTTGGCTTTTCGGGTTAATTCATGGCTATCGGTAATACAGTCTAAATTCTATCAGTTCATTACATCCTGTCATTCCCTTCCACTTCTTGCAAACTACAGTACATCGAATGCCCGGAAATAGTGGCGGTAGATAAGCCATCATCGTCATTCTAGACTTGTCTGCCGATAAGGTCAGTAGCAATGCCCTAAGCAGGATGAAGAACAATGTTCTAGTTGAGATTGTTGTAGAGTCGGCAACTTGAACTTGATAGAACATGTATGGCACTAGATGAAGATAGGTTTTGGTGACAACTTGATCAACTATGTGCAACAGCTGCCGTATGATATGGATATTAACAAAGAAGAGGACAAAAGGACCCAAGAAGATAGTAAACTCCCGAACACCCCTGCGCCTTGAAGTGCTACCGCCTTGATATCTGTATGTTGTATCTCTCGCCGATCAAAAGGAAATGACGGTTTATGAGCAAACAAACAATGGTAATTAAAATAGGAAAACGGGTAGCAAGGAGCATCTAACCCGCATAAATCAGACAAATCATATCACATCCAATTGTTTTACCCCACCCACCAAGAAATCACCGTCTAACCTCATTCCCCTGCTGATCATACCAGGTTCTCTGTGCCCTGTCGCCGCCAGCCGCGGGCATCGCCGTGGTGCCGGCATTATACCCAGCCTCATAGCCAGCATCGTAGCCACGCGGGGTGCTGCCGCGCTCCTGGGCATCGAGCAGATCAAAGGCGATGCTGCCGTGCTTGCGGTGGCGCTTGCGGTCCTTGCGGGCCTCCTTCTCGGCCAGCTTGGCCTCCTTCTTCTCGCGCTTGACGCGCTTCTTCTCGCGGCGGCTGACGTGCGGGAACTCGCTATCCGGGCCCTGCAAGACGCGGCCGGGGTGGATGACATTCAGCACAACCAGGGCGAAGAACATGGGGGTGGCGTCCCAGACGTACTCGTACCACTCGTGGGTGAGCACGGGGTTGTTGGGGTCGGTGCCCCGGGAGTACTGCGCCAGGCGGAAGACGATGCGCACGGTGATGAGGAACAGACAGGCGTAGATGGCGTAGAAGAGCCAGCGCCAGCGCATGCTGCCGCGCGCCAACTTCTCCGCGTCCAACCGGCCCGTGCGCTCCATCTCGGCCATCTTGCGCTGCAGGTGGATGAAAAAGCCGGTGAAGACCAAGATAAAAAACTCCTGCAGCCCGATGCCGCCCATGTAGATGTGCACGCCCATCATGGTGGTGGCGGTGGAGGCGTCGGTCGAGGTCGTGAAGCCCGCGCCCACCAGCTGCACGATGAAGGAGATAATGTCCAGCCAGACGAAGATCTGGCCGAAGCGTTTGGCCGAGACCCCGCCGAGCCGGGCGTCCGGGATGAAGAAGTAGATCAAGCGGCCCAAGGTCATGTACAGGAAGGCGTTGATCCAGATGGGCGCCAGCAGGAAGAAGATGGTGTGCGGCGTGGCGTAGGAGTCAGAACTTTGGTGCTTGGCGAAGAGCGCGCCCATGATTGATGAGAGCAATTCCCAGAGCGCGCCCATGATTACAACCCACGCGTAGCGCTGTTGCAGTCGGTTAGTTTATTTCTTGGAATGTGTGCCTGGGGATAGAGCTGTGTGCGTGCGAATGGCGGACGGCGGGGGCGAGAGACATGCCTTCTTGAACATGAATGCCTGGAAAACATGGACGGCAGTTGTAAGACCGAACAAGACACAAAACAAGACTGCGGCGCCGAAGCTAGCCTCGTACATGTTGATGTTGCCGCAGGCCCCAGGTGGCACATAGCCATTTTTGTCCGGGGTGACGGACACGCATGTTGCAGTGCTGGAGGCCGTGGCCGACGTCACCGTGGCAGCAGTAGTGGTGGCACTCATGGTGGCGCGAGAGGTCTGTTGTTTGGGGGGGAAAGAAAGGACGGGTGTTACTGAGACTGGGAATGACAGAAACTATATAGTCTGCCGGAGAGTGTCAGGCAGAAACATAACCGAGAACGAATCCCGCCAAAAGCTTCAACCACGCATCGTGATATTGAGAGATCGCCGGGACTAGCCCCTGACGGGCGTTTCGAATCTGGGCCCAGTCAGGCAGCACCATTCCAGGTGAGAAAAGGCTGCTGCGAGCCTGCAGACAGAGAGTAAAGAGTGATGAAAAAATGAGTTTCATGGTACGGTACTAGTCAGATTTTAGCATTGCGGTGGTGTATGTGCGTTTGTGGGTATTTGGAGGTGAGATGGCGGCTGGAAAGCCATTGGATGATCCGCGTGCCGTGAGTGGTAGAGTCGGATACGCCAGGCTACTTTGAGGCAAGCGTCAGATAGACTCAGCCTTCGACCCTGGTTCGGACTGCGCGGCACGCACCCGCCGCTTAGCTTGATCGGGGCTAGCGTTTCCGACCCAGCGAATCAGGCGGCGCTGAACCCTGGATGCTTATTTAACCCCAGTCCAATTAGCCTCGACCGCGTGTTGGTAGGCAGACAGGAATGCCAAGTAAAAATAGCAGCAGCAGCATCCCTCGACTAGTGCAAACTGACCGATGGTGCGGCTGTGGTCTATCAAGGTGGTTACGGACTAGTCACATCCTTCATCCTGCATCCTTCTTCCTTCATCCTTCACGATTGCGTGGTAGAGTGCTTACCAGTCCGTACTCGTGCGTGTGGTGGTGTTACTTACCGGTCTGAAACGGCCTCTCGCCCCCAAAAATCCTACGCATCACCACAAGTGATCAACTGTCGCTACATATACCCTCAGACTTAAAAGATGAACAATCGGCAAGCGTCCTGGGATACGAGTAAGGCTTCCCAACAAGTCATCCCATTGAAATTCCCCACAGTAACCTAACCCCGATGGCTCTGGCACATCATCTGCTCCCCCGCCTGCCTCGCACGATCCACCCGATCCGCACGGCCTCACTCTATCACTGTCGCCACGCGTCGTCGCAGTCCGGGCCATTCCTCCGCATCCAGAAAACGCAGTCGCCGAGTCCCCTGCCCGAGGCCGGACAGTTGCAGTTCGGGCGGGCGTTTACGGGTAGGTCGAGTCTCGGTCACGTGATCGGACGCACCCTCAGCCACACCCCCCAGATCTAACCAAACAGCCGCCAACTAGATCACATTTTCACCTTCGAATGGACAACAGAGCATGGCTGGACGAACCCCCAGATCACGCCGTATGGCAAACTGCCCCTCGACCCGGCGGCCTGTGTGCTGCACTACGCCTTCACCTGCTTCGAAGGCATGAAAGCGTACAAGGACCCGCAGGGCCAGGCACGGCTGTTCCGGCCGGAGAAGAACCTGCAGCGGCTTAACCGGTCAGCGGCGCGAATCGCGCTGCCCACGTTCGACGAGAGCCGCGTGTTGGATATGCTGACGCAGTACGTGGAGTTAGAGAAGCGGTTTATCCCCGCCTTGCCGGGTTACTCACTCTACCTGCGGCCCACGCTGCTGGGCACGGAGGCCAGCATCAGTGTGTCACGGCCGCGATCGGCGCTGCTGTACGTAATTGCCTGCCCGATGGGGAATTATTTCGCCGGGGGCATGAGGGCTGTCTCGTTGCAGGCGACGCGATCGCCGGTCCGGGCGTGGCCCGGCGGGGTAGGTGAGTTCAAGGTCGGGGGCAACTATGCGCCCAGCATTGTGCCGCAGGAGGCGGCGGCGGCGGGGGGGTCGCAGCAGAATCTGTGGCTTCTGGCGGATGAAAGCCGGGGCGAGGAGTATGTAACTGAGGCAGGGACGATGAATCTGTTTGTCGTCTGGGTGAATCCCCTCACCGGGCAGACGGAGCTGGTGACGCCCCCCTTGGATGGAACGATCCTCCCAGGGGTGACCAGGACGTCTATTCTGGAGCTGGCGAGGGAGAGACTGGGGCCGGAGGGGGTGCAGGTGAGAGAGACGTGCATCACCATGAAGGACCTGGCCAATGCCTCAAGGGAAGGACGGCTGTTGGAGGTGTTTGGCGCGGGCACGGCGGTCATCGTCTCGTCCGTCAGATCGATTCAATGGAACGACCGGACGATTGATTGTGGCCTGAGCAAGGACGAAGAGGCCGGCCCGGTGACTCTGAAAGTGAAGAAGTGGATTGAGGAGATCCAGTATGGTCTTGTGGAGCATCCTTGGAGGTAAGTGGTTTCCGCAAGTTGTGGGAAGCAGACTGACCTAATGCATATTTAGTTATCGGGTGTGATATGCGAGGTGGTCGATAAGTATTACAGAAGGATCGATTCTTGCGCTAGAGGTTGATAGTCATAATAACCCAAGTCTGAGTCAAGAAGGCAAATGATAAACTTAATCTCAATGGCCATCTATACCACTCCATCCTTAGGCTTTATACTTGCATCACATTTTAAGCCTCGTACTAGCAACTGGCTTTGTCAAATAAACTCTATACTGGTGATAATATGAGCCTGTGCTGTCAAATTTTGTCGTTCCCCAGGCCATGACTGGCATATGCGGAGTGATGCTTAAGATCTTGCTCAAAAACAAGGGCAGTCTGCTCGAACAACTACCAAAATCATTGGTGTCTCTCCTTACCCTTCCTAGCCACGCAAGTTACCACTCGTCAAGTCTACAATGCCGCGGGAGACTGTGTACTGTGTGTCTGGCATCGCATTATCATATGTATAGGCTCCATGAAATATCTAGACATATATATCTGACAACTTGTACTCTGACCCTATATTTGGGGTCCACAAAGAGTAAAGGGTCAGGCTAAAGAATAGTTCATGTTACCTCTTCTTTCTCACATACTACACAGGATAGATACCATCGCTCACCGATGTTTTAGATGCAATATTGTCGGCGTAGCTGATAATCCGGCCATGTTATTCCAAGCGAGATTACCACATAGTCATGTCAGTCAGTTGGTTTTCAACCACCAAGCAAGCAAGCATTCAAGAAAACCCTGAAAAAAATCAAGAGGATCGTTCCAAGCAGTCATTCCCTTAGTTATCAAGATATCAACACAACACTCGAGGAACCTTATGTAATCACATTCAAAATTGCTTGGCCTTCTGTTAGCTGCTACCACCGATAAATTTCGGAGAGTTTTATTCTGTATGCTCATAAACGATAGAACCATCCATGCAGTCAGAAAGATGGAACTATGCATCATAAAACTCAAGCAAGCTGAAAAGACATTTCCCAGACCTAGACACTCAAGAGGCTTAAACTCGTACACTGATTATCGAAAAGCCACGAGAGAACTTCTAATTGAACCCCGGCCATCAGCCTACATATATATTCTTATGTCTGACATGAAGCACTAAAGAACGTGAGCTGGAATAAAAAAAAGCGAATAAGACAAGCCCAGAACCCAAACTCCGTGCCTCCTGTTGATCATATCTTCTTTTATAATATCTTCTCACACAGTTTAGAAGCGCACCGTTGGATCCAAAAGGGTCTCCAATTCCTTCTGCGGCGCCCAGGGCGTAGCGGTCTTCAACTCAAAGAGACTGTTGGCGGCTAGCCCGCGATAAAAGAAGGCATCCGCCTTCTTCTGCCGTTGAGTACGCTTGTCCACGTACATCTGATACTCCTGCTCTCCCTCTAGAGTGGCAAATAGATACTTGGGATGCACGACAATTGTCTGAGCGCCCTTTTGCCCAAACCCGAAAGAAGTCACACTGATGGCGCGGATGCCTCCAGAGCCTGTCGTCTCCAAGGACCGATTCAGGAAGGCGATATGTTCGTTCTGCTGCAGCTCCGCGTCCACGTTATCCAGATTGCGGTTGCCGGGCACGATGCCCGTATCAAGAATCTGCAGCGCGCCGTTTAACATCCACGCGCCCGCCGCGCCTTTCGGGTGGCCTGTCAGATATTTCTGGAACACGCCGAGAATGACGTTTCCTTTAGCACGACCGAGATGCGAGAGCTGTCTTTGGATGACACCGCACTCGTTCTTCTCGTTGAGCTTGGTCGACGTCCCGTGGAAGGAAGCGACGCCAAGATCATCAACCCCTAGACCCCAGACGGCCAGGGCGCCGCGCAGGGGCGCAATGGTCGGATCATCGGCCCAGAAGGTATTTCCGAGGTGGTATCGGGCGTTCTTAAGGTCTTTGCGGGCTTCGGCCTCAATCTGGGCGGTGCGCTCGCGGATGTACGCCTCCACGTCCTCGGAGGACTTAAGACTGGCCACCTCGAGCTGGAGGTCCTCGAGAGCGGCCTCGCGCGCGAAATTGATCTGCTTCTTGCGGAACTCGAGGCGTTTGCGCCGGTTGGCGAGCTTGAGTAGCGGCGAGGCGATGCTTGAGGAGCTTTGCGCCTCACGCGCCTTGGAGAGGATGCCCTTTCCGGGCGCAGGCACCGACCGGCTTGCCTTGTCACTCGAAGTCTCGACGAAGGCAATCACACCTCGGACGGGCAGGCCCATCTCCAAGGCGAGTTTGGCAGTTGTGAGAATCTGGATACCGCAGCCGTGCGACTCCATGAAGCCGTTGCGCGTGCTGGCGGCGGGCCTGGACATCTCAGACGCATCGCGACCTTGCTCAAACTCATCTACTGCGTTGGAGGTGGCTTTCATGTTGGCAAACTCGTATGACATCTCTTCGCCAAAGTCGTCGCCACCGCCGACGAAGCAAAATTGTGCTTTGCCGCTGACGAGCGTGTCATAGCCGAGCTCGACCGACTCAATAGCGGTCGCGCAGGCGCCAACAGGGGTGCGCATAGGACCGGCGGACGACATCAGGAGCATATTGACCCAGGCACCGATCGTGTTCACGAACGACTCCTGGAGGATATCCTTCTGCACTTCCTTCTCGTGGTACCGGTCGCGATACATCTGCTGGAGCGAGTTAGTCCCGCCGATGCCGGAACCAATGCAGTTTCCTGCCTCGGAGATATGAATGTAGCGGTAGATCTCGTAGGGGTCTGTAATTCCAGACGAGAGCAGTGACTCAATCGAGCAAACCAAAGTGTACAGCGCGACCGCGTCAACCTGCGAGATGAGATCGTCCGATATGCCGTATTTCTTCGCATCCCAACCAGTGGGGATCTGCCCAGCCACCAGGCGGTCGAACCGCATCGCTTTAGGTACCAGCAGCTTCGCACCTTTCTTCAGAACGGCGCGATACTGGTCGGTCCCCGGTTCGCGAGCGATATGTACCTTGTCCCCGTGTTCCAGCTTCAGTTGCTGCGCGGTGGTCTCGGGCACCTCCAAGGGCGGGAAGTCCTCTTGAATGAGTACCTCATGCAGCGTCTGCTTGCGTTCCGGATCGTAACCACCGAATAGATCCGGTTCGATGAGACGTATGCCTGAGTGAGCCAGGATGTGCTCTTCGTACTTCTGCTTGATCTGATGGTCGAGAACGGGCTCATTGGTCTTGGCGTCGACCCAGCCGGGCGTGGTGCCATTCTCGTAACGAATTAGCCCCATCAGCCAGGCCATCTCGACGCAGCCTTCGAGCGAAAACTCGCCGTAGGCTTCCATCTCCCAGCGGGTGCGGGCGTTGCCCCAGGGGCCGAGCTCGGCGAACCCGGTTACCACGACTATGCGCTCCAGGTCGACCATGCCTTGCAAGTCGGCCGTGAGCGGCCTGATGTCGCGGTCGTAGTCGAGAACCTCGGGAAAGTCGAGGCGGACGTGAGCTTTCGGGACGGGGGTAGGGGCGGCTGTTTGGGCGGCAGCCGTGGGGGTTGTTGTAGCGTCAGAGGAGCATTTGGCTTCCATATCCAACTCTTCAAGAAGGGCTTTGCGCGTCTGCGCCGTCTCACTTATCTCCGCGCGCAATTCTTGTACTTTCTGTCTGAGGTCTTGCACCGCACCCATGCGGCCGGCTAGGTCGGCGTACAAAGGTGCCTCCTCGCAGAGGCTGCAGATAGGGTTAAACATCAGGCAGAGGAGACACTGGGCCATTTCTTGCTGGGAGAAAGTTCGACACCCTAAGCGCTCAATTCCCTCGGCGACCAGATTGTTGCCGCTCATGAGGCCCGTCCCCCGAGTCCAGCCAATCACCGCACCGCATACCGACAGATAGTCAGACCAGTCCTCGGAGTGCCAGCGGTTGAAGAGCGCTTCTAGCCCCAGCTTGGACTCACTGTACAGACCGTCTCCACCAAAAATGCCGTGGTTTGGCGAGAGAGGTAGGATCACTTGGGTGGGTCGCGTATGCGAGTCTTGTGCTTCTTTGCGGCTTTTTACCGCACCCAACAGACGCAGGGTGTTGGTCATCATGGTTCGATGGGCTAGCTCGGCGTGCGGGTCTATCTTCTCTATGGTCCGTCCGTTTTCTGGGATCGCTGCGAACGGCAGGATATGGTCGAGATCCCAGTGAAGCCCTTTGGTGTCGTAAATGTAGTCAACTAGCGCGGAGATATCCTGGGAGCTAGCTTGATTGAAAGGAACGACGACCAGCTCGGATTCGCGGGCACCGAATTGAGCGTAGAGATCCTGGTACTTGCGGACCACGCTGGGGGAGAAGCGGCTGGTAGTGACGATCACGCGAGCACCGCCGGAGAGCAGGCCCTTGAGAACTTCAGCCCCGATGGATCCCACTCCGGCGCCGGTAATAAGCACCGCGCGGCCGACGAAGGACTCCCCGGTGGTTGTAGCCTGTTCAAGCACGGCGTGATACTGCTCCGTGAGGTCGTGACTGTATCTCCAGGAGGAACCGGTCCGCTCTTTCAGGTGCAGATACGGCTCCAACGGAGGCTCGGTACAGGGAAGGTATACCAAATCGGCAAGCGGAGCTGATACAGCGCGTTCATGCTCGCTGTAAGAGATGTCGCCTGCGGCACTGATTGTCGTGCAGGGACCCCGACTGTCTGCTCGCGCCAGATACTTGGGACCGCGGTGCAAGGACTCGCGGCACCGCTCCGCCAGACGGGTAAACAACGATGAAAGCAAGGGCTGCTCGGTGAATTTACCGACGATGTGCTGAAGAACACCCACTAGCCTGGGGTCTGCCGCATCCTGAATATGCTCGCAGCGCTTCGTCGCCAGCAGCACATCCGCACCCTCGCCGCCCCCCCTCGACACTTCGTAGTACAAATGCAGCAAGTCCTGCAGCGCCCAGCTCCAAGCACTATCAAAGCGTCTCGCCTTTTTAGCGCTGAACTGTGGCTGTACGCCAGAGGTGAAGTCTTCGCCCAGCTCCTGTTGGATCTGGTCAAGCGCTTTCCGCAGATCCTTCTCCACCGTCACCTGCAGGTCATCCAACGCGCGTTGATTCTGGTCCAGATCGATATCTAGATGCTTTGAATAAAGCTTCAACAGCGCCTTGGACAACTCCTGCTGACCTCCGGTTAACGCTTCCAGCGTCTTATGATCCAGCATCATCGAATGGCCGCCCGCGGTCTCCTCCGCCCCGCCTCCCGTTGTGCCTCCCAGTGTCAACCCGTGTTCCGTTGCATAGACCTGCACCAGCCCATCAAAGAAGATTTTTGCCTCAGGCTCCTCGCTGATCCTGCTCGCTGGTTGTTGCGCGATTGCGAGCAACAAAATCGAATCTTGTCGGCCGGACCCAAGGCCCCAGCGAGACTGCAGGTATGCCCTGGTGGTTGCCACTGTGAATTGACCGGGCATCTTGGAGGCAAACATGGCGTGCAGCATCTTCAGCATGACCTTGCGCATCTGGCCGGTGAAAGTCTTCTGCAGGGCATCGCTGAGGTCGGTGACGGTGAGGTCTTCGGCGCGGTCAGGAAGGGAGCCGAACTCGCTGTTGAGATCGCCGATGATTTCATTTTCTAGGGTAGAACGTCCACCGGCGAGAGATTTGATACTCTGGGTGCCAACGATGTCGGTGACAGCGATCTTGAGGACTCGGGACAGGAGAGTGCGGATGACTTCAAAAGCACGGGCTGGTTGGTCGTCGATGACTGCCTCAGGCACAGGGACCGCAACGGGAGTGGGAGCTTTGACTGCCTCAGGCACAACTGATTTGGTGATGGCTGCCTCAGGTGCCAAGGAAGCGGGAACGGGAGCTTCCGCCGCCGCCGCCACCGGAGCGTCATACTCGTAGTAGATCTCCTTCCCCTGTTTTTCCGAGGCCAGCAGTTGCCGCTTCAGAAGGGAGGCTCGATCACTGTGCAAGAACTTGGACTTGACAGTCTGTGCCATCATGTTGGTCAGTGTGGCCGCCGGCCCGATCTCCACGATGCGTTCGGCCCGGTATTGGCTGAGGACCACATCTTGAGTTTCAATCCATCGTACGGGGGAGGCAAACTGGTATCTAGCGGATATACAACCATGCGCATGTCTGAGTTAGCGAGCCAGAAAACACCATGGTTGATCTAAACGGGCAGATGGGAGGATAACGCACGACATCAGTTCCAAAAGCAAAGTATAAGCCAGCTTCCGCTGGGCGTCATCATAGTCCACGACGGCCATGACGCCGACTTCCCCACGATGCTCGACAGCGAGGATCTCTTTTTTTCGTGAGACTTCCAAAAGCATGGAAGATGGGTCTTGACACTGATCTTCCTGACGTCCCTCCCTGCTGTTATACCTCGACGACACAAGGGGAATGGCGTCTATTTCGGATAATCCCATTGCCTGCACGGAAAGCTTACCGTTCCTGGCTAGAACAGAGCTGACGGCAGCAAGAAAAGAACCTGCTGCACGGGGCTGGCCACAAGGCTGTTCCTGCGGCGCAGGATTCATTTGCTGGAACAGAAGGAGACTGTCGTCCAACTAACTTGGCGTCTATTGAGGATGTTTCACCGGAGAAGATGACAAGATCGAGGATACGAGGCAGAGCTGCATGTGTATTGTCGTATGTATGGTCTGACGTACTGTACGCGTGTATCTGACGTGATGGTAATTCAAAACATACGACAATACGGATCGTATTGAGCGTATTGAAGCACCGAATAACGCGTACGGGACTCGATCCCCCGACACTAAATCCTTCAAGCTTGAAGTGGCTTGGATGTAATTGGCAGGCTCGGAAGCCCTAACCAGGAAGATCGTCGGATCCTACCGGAGTCTTATGGGGCAGCCACCGTTGAAGTCAACCCAATAATCATTGACCTCATATGCCCTCCCCCCCGGCCGATTTATTCACTCGATCGATCCTGAAACTAGCTTGTCGCTTCTTTTCGCCTGCTCCTGAGGTATTGGGGGCCAAAATCCAAGCCACGAAAACACCCGTTAGGTATTCAAACTAGAGCTGAGTGCCAAGAGAAACGTGGTAAGCGGATCCGAGCCTCTGAGCTTCCGGGTTCTGGCTGCAGGGCTAAGGCTGCTTACTGTCGGTCACGAAACTCGCTCATGAGTTGGACGGGGGCAGTGAGCGGCGTCAGTCCAGGCAGACATAGCAACAAATACCACAACAAAACAATCCCAATTAAACAAATAACTTCCCGGTAGGTAGGTAGGTAGGCACTGGTCTAGTGCGGGATGAACGCGTGATCCCTTCTTTCTCTGTTTGCTTGCATCTGCCATTCTCGAAAACTGCAAAACATGGCGGGTTCTTGCACGATCGAGGTCGAAAACCACTTCGGGCCCATCGTCGGAGATGCCTGTTACGGGAGGTTGGACTTCACCTTGTACTTTGAGGAAGCCTTTCTGTCTATCTTCCCTGCTGCGACGGTGATCGTAGCTGCGGGCTTGCGGTGTCTCGTGGTTCAGAGTCTCAGCGTCAAGGTCCGGGGAGGCTGGCTGTACCCCCTGAAACTGCTGTGTCTCGCGCTCTACTCCATCTCGCAGCTGCTGCTCTTCGCCTTCTGGGTCACGTCTGGCACGCCGACGACCAACCTCACCATTGCGGCGACCTTGCTCCGGTTCCTGGCAACCCTCTTCTGTGGGTATCTGTCGCTGTTGGAGCATTACCGATCGGTTCGGCCCTCCAAGATCCTGAATCTCTATTATCTTTTCTCGTTACTCTTTGATATCCCTCAGGCTCGCACGATATGGATTGTCCAAGGACTGCACAGGGTCGCGGGCATCTTCATCGCCGGCATGGCTGTCAAGGCCTTGCTACTGGTCCTCGAGACTTGGGAAAAAAAGCGCCTCGCCAAACCCATGTATGCCACCTCAGCGCCCGAGGACTGGACAGGCGTCATCAACCGCAGTCTCTTCTGGTGGTTCAATCAACTTTTGTTCCGCGGATCACGCAATGCGCTTTCGATGGGGGATTTGTTTCACCTCGAGGATTGCATGCTCCCAGACCCAGATGGAAAGGGCCGACTCGCGCAGCTCTGGGAGAATTGTACGTGACCCGTCTCCACCATCACCCTTTCTCTGGCGCAACCCAGCTAACGATTCGCTTTTAGGTGAAAATAAAGAGAAATCCGGTGCCTTGATCGGCCCTCTCGCTAAAGCCTTCAGATGGGACCTGCTAGCCGGGATCATCCCGCGTCTATCCCAAACGGGTTTCACCTTCGCGCAACCGTTTCTTGTCCAGGCGGCCGAGAAGCTTTTCGCCAACAAAGACCTGCCTGATGCAAAAAGCAAAGGGATTCTCCTGCTCGGCGCTTACGCGCTAGTTTACGCCGGCATCGCTGTCTCCACCGCGACCGCGCAGCACAAGACCTACCGCGTGATTACCATGATGCGAGGAGCGCTAGTGGGAATGATCTTCGACAAGAGCACGACCATCAACGCGCATCTAAACGATGACTCCGCCGCCCTAACGCTAATGAGCACCGACATCGAGCGGATCACCAGCTGTGGACGCTATTTGCATGATACGTGGGCGAGTCTAATTGAGATTGCGATTTCCTTGTACTTGTTGTATAACCAGCTGAGTACGGCGGGAGTGGCGCCGATCATTATTGCATTTGGTGAGTCCCCCGTCCTTTTCTCTGACCAAGGCGTGCCTGAGAGGTTCTAACCGTAGCTTAGCTTGCACGGTGGTGGCCATGAAGATCGCCATGGTGGCCGGCGAGCGGCAAAACCTGTGGATTGAAGCAATTCAGAAGCGAGTGTCGGTCACGGCAGAGATGCTAGGCTCGATGAAGGGGGTCAAGATCTCGGGGCTTAAAGACCTTCTACATGACAAAATCCAAGGACTGCGCGAGGACGAGATTCTTGCTTCGCTGAAATTTCGCACGCTTTTGATTTGTGTTGTTGCGCTCTGTATGTGCTTATCTTCCCCATTGCATCTTGTGACAAGGGGAATTTGCTAATCTCACCTCTGAAAAGCCAACTTCAACACACTTATTACGCCGGTTGTGACTTTCACAATTTATGCCATGGGCTCGCGCGATGGGAAAGCGGGCTATCTTGACAGTGAACGAGCGCTGACCTCCTTAACGCTGTTCAACCTCTTCTCCGTGTTTATTGGCGCGCTGGTGGAGTCGATCAGCGACACGGCCATGACGCTCGAGTGCGTCGACCGAATTCGGGATTACTTGGCAAAGGATCCACACGAGGATTTGCGTGAGGTCGTCCGAACTCGGGACCTTTCGGATGAGAAGTCCGCCTGCGTCGAGGCAATCAACGTCGATGTAGGATGGAAGGGAGGCGAAGCTCCTGTCTTGCACGGTCTCTTTTACCGAATTGAACGCTCATCCTTGACAATGATCGTGGGTGCAATTGGCTGCGGCAAGACAACGCTCGTCAAGGCGATGCTCGGCGAGGTGAACTGTATGACTGGTAAGATGAGAGTCAACTGCGACCGTATGGCGTACTGTGGACAAGAGGCATGGTTAACCAACGGCACGGTGCAAGAGAATATTCTCGGGGGTTTAGCGTACGATCCCCCGTGGTATTCGACCGTCATTGCGGCTTGTGGCCTGGAGAAAGACTTTACGGAGCTGGGCAACGGCGATCAAACCGCGGTCGGCAGTAAGGGTGTTTCAATGAGTGGTGGACAAAAGCAAAGACTGGTTTGTCTTCTCTCTCGTTTGCCTTCCTCTCTTTAGCACCAGCTCACGATCTTGCAGGCACTCGCCCGAGCGCTTTACTCGGGGGTGGAAACAATCATCATGGATGATGCCCTCAGCGGGCTCGACCCAGTCACTGACGAACACATCTTCACTCACGTCCTGGGTCCGCGCGGGTTGGCCAGAAAGCAGGGCCTGACCATCATCATGGTCACACATGCAGCCCACAGACTCCCATACGCCGACCACATCATCGCCCTCAAGGCCGACGGCACTATTCTCGTCCAAGGCACATTCGACGATTGCTGCAAAAAGCTCGATTCCATCCAAGGCTTTGCCATCGCCAAGCCCCCTGCCATCCAGATGAAAAGTGAGATGCCCAAGGCCGTGGAGAAAGCCAGCGTCCCTTACTCTAAGGAGGCGATCTCGGACGCGCGCAAGACCAGTGACTTACAGACGTACATATATTACCTCACGACGGTGCCTTGGTATAACTGGTTGGTGTATTCCGGTTTCATGGCGGTGTTTGTGTTCTTCCAGGCCTTCCCGTCCGTTTGGGTGACCTGGTGGGCCCGGGATAACGACGAACGGCCCAACAAGAACATGAGCATGCGTATTGGCGTGTACTGGCTGTTCGGCGTGCTCGGAGCCTGCTTCCTCCTGGCCACTGCATGGTTCTACATGCTCAAGATCGTCGCCAAGACCGCGTCGGTCATCCATTCGCGGCTCCTGCGGACGGTGCTCAACGCTCCGATGGCCTTCTTCGCCTCGACCGACTCAGGTGTCACCATCAACCGATTTAGCCAGGATCTGCAGCTCATTGACATGGAGCTGCCTTTGGCAGTACTCCAAGCGTGCCTGGCGCTATTTCTGTGTGTGGCTCAACTGATCATCATCGCCGTCTCCGCCAAATACATCACAGCCACTATCCCGCTGTGCATCTTCGTCTACTGCGCCATCGGCACCTTCTACATCCGCACCTCGCGCCAGCTGCGCATTATGGACATTGAAGCCAAATCCCCGCTGTTCTCCAATTTCATGGAGCTGCTGAACGGGCTCGTGACCATCCGCGCTTTTAACTGGGAGGAGCAGTACAAGGTCCGCAATCGAGCTCTGCTGGCCGAGTCCCAGCGCCCGTTCTACCTCCTGTACACTGTGCAGCGCTGGCTGAGCCTCGTGCTCGACATGACCGTGACGGGATTTGTGGTAGTGCTCATGGGCATCGCCGTGGGGACGATGCAGAGTACGGACGCGAGCTTTTTAGGTCTGGCGTTGGTCAATGTCGTTTCGCTGAGTGCCAGCGTCAAGGCACTGATTACGGATTGGACAGTATTAGAGACAAGTCTGGGCGCTGTGACGAGAGTGAAACATTTTGTGGAAACAACCGAGTCGGAGGATACAGCCGAGGAAAGGGATCTGCCGCCGGACGATTGGACCGGCGGAGGCACGATTGAATATAGAAATGTCTCGGCTTTTTATCAGTGAGTACTATTCATCATGGCTCACTGGAGGGGTGACGAACGGTCAGTTACTAAATGCAGAGTGTAGGGATCCGTCTGCACTGGTATTAAAGAATGTCTCTTTCCGTGTCCGTAAAGGAGAGAAGGTTGCCATTTGTGGGCGGAGTGGCAGGTATGTCAAAATCAATTTCTCGTTCACTCTTGAGAGCTTCCAATGCTGAGAAAACACTGACTTTTGGTATAGCGGCAAGAGTACTCTTGTCTCCGCGTTGTTCCGCATGATTGAACTTTGCGACGGCTCCATTGTAGTGGACGGGGTCAACATCGCGACGCTGCCCCGGCAAGAAATCCGCTCGGCAATCATTGGTCTTCCGCAGGATCCCCTGCTCTTGGAAGACAGCACCGTTCGCGAGAATATTGATCCCTTTGACTATTCCCCCGATGAGGCGGTGATCAACACGCTTAAGCGCGTCGGCTTGTGGGAGATAATCGAAGGCAAAGGCGGGCTCGACACCGTGGCCAGCGGTGACCTTTTCTCACATGGACAACGGCAATTGCTCTGTATGGCGAAGGCCATGCTCCGCCACGGGAACATCATCGTCTTTGACGAGGCGACAAGCGGAGTAGACCCGGACACGGATGAGATGATGCAAGAGCTCATCCGCTCCTGCTTCGTCGACTACACCGTCCTCACCGTGACCCACCGTCTCGATACGATCATTGACTACGACCGTGTTCTCGTCATGGACAATGGTATCCTCCTTGAAAGCGACCAGCCGCGTGATCTCCTCGCCCGGCCGTCGATCTTCCGCGAACTCTACAAATCCTCCCGTGGGTGGGAAGAGTACGAGCGTCAGGAACGGGCAGAAGCCGAAGCCCGCGAGCGCGAGCGTCTGGAGAAAGAGAAGGAGCAGCGAGCTGAAGCTGAGCAACGCGACCAGCTTAGGGGCCGCCCCAAACGCCTTTCATACATTGATACTGATGTGGTCAGTGAGAAGGACGAGCCCGAGACGTTCAACGCTATCCGGGATCACTGGAACGCGGTCAACCAGCTGTTTGAGAATATCATTCCTCGGGCTGTGCCGCGGAATCGTAGCAGGAGTCGGGACAGTGCCGATCGTGAGAGTAAGCGCTACAGCAATCCGGAGCCGACGACGCCTGGCGCAGCGGTTAGTGGGAGGGATCGGAGGAGTTTGGCCGGTCTGGCTGCCAGGGGTCGGTTCTATGGTGATGGTCAGATTTGAGATATATCTTCTCAGGGAGCTATTTTGTTATGCTGTGGCTGTTTTCTTTTCTTGTTGTATTTATAGTCATTCGGGTTTAATAGAAATGTGCCGAGGCCATCTGCTGAACTCACCGATATATGTACTTAGCGGTCTCTCGGGGAGCTCAGAACTAAGTTGATCCATGAAGACTGGTGCTTGATAGGCTTCAGAAGCTATCTTGATGTCTTACAATGATACATAAGGTGCAGCTTGGAAGCTATATTTGGATTGACAACAAACAGAGAAAGAGAGTAGAAGAAGAAAGTCAACCTGTGGCTCAGCTGATCAGGCGGTCGAGGGAGGCAGAATGCCCGCAGTACAATGTGCCATGTATATCAAACAGGACAAACCAGTCAAACCAGCCAAACAGCTGCTCAGTTGACTTGCCTTTTAACTACAACATTCATTCACTTCGTTTTACTTGTGCTTTCCACACTATGTGCATTAGACTGTATCAACAACAATGACCCAATTAAGATGAGTTTCATCACAGCCCAAAATATATACCGCCGTTACAACCTACATACAGCAATCCGTGACAACAAATACTCCATCGGCAACTGCTTAGACCACCGTACGTGGCCGGAACTCAACCCACGGACCCTCTTTGGCGGCGGTGATATGGAGCGAAAGCCGGTATTCGTCATCCTCACTGGCCTTGACAACCGGGGGCAGGCGCATATCAAAGGCATACAGAATGTGAGACAGGGTCAAAGTAAGCTCAATGTATGCCAACGGCTTTCCGATGCAGCCGCGAGGCCCGATGGAGAAAGGATTGAAGCCTGCGTGGGGAGAATACTCGCTGCGATACGGCTCCGGGGTCGACTCTGGACCGAGCCACCGCTCGGGGACGAACTTGCAGGGTTGCGGGTAGATCTCCGCGCTGTGGTGGATGCTGTAGACACAGGTCGCAACCTCCAGCCCCTGGGGAATGTACTGTCCATCCACAGTGGCTCCGCCAACGTCAGCCTGGCGCCACAAGGGTCCAGGGGCCGAGGGCGACAGGCGCATAGTTTCTTCAATCACGGCTCGGAGGTAAGAGCAAGAATTCACTTTCGGGCCCAGACGGATCTCGTCCCGAGACTGGAATGTGCTGCGAACCTCTTGCACAGCGCGTTCATATACCTTCGGGTGGTGAGTGAGATAATACAGCGAGGCCGCGAGTGCGGTAGAGGTGGTATCGGTTCCTAGGCCCCACGAATCAGCTTCGCTGATCATTCATCTAATCGGAAGGAATAGGAGGGTTAGGCCTACCTGCGACCACTAGTGTTGCGCTCTCGCCGCAGAGCTCCTTGAAAGAGAGAGGCTCCTGGGTCTCGGGGTCGACGGCATCTCGAAGCAAGGCGAATGCTCCCTTCATGGATCCCTTGGCCGACATGGCCATACCCTGCCGGATGATATCGTTGACAAACTTGACGAATTGATTGCGTGCCGCAATGGCTGCAGGAAAGAGGTATTTATCGATTTTGAGGTTCTTGGAGCCACCAGCTTCGATCAAGCAACCGACGCGTACATTGGACACTTCAATCGTGTGCGGGATGTGGCGGTATTTTTTTTCCGTCAAAGACGACCAAGGTACACCGAAGATCACGCTGCACATCACATCGAAAGTGAACCAGTCGCCTGTCCAGTCAGGGTTAGAGCATCATTCAGGCTGTGCCAGGGGTCAAGACTTACACCAATGAGACATGTTCTTCGCCGTTCCCCAAGTTCCATCCGGAACCACCTCTTGTGAGTCGTCATCGTGGCGACGGAGAGCTGTGCACAGCTGCGAAATCTTTGCCTGGATGGTTTCTTCGTAGCTCCGAAAGGCTGCATCAGAGAAGGCTTGGCTGATCAAGCGGCGCTTCTTGCCATGCTTGCGCTTGTCAATCGTCGTCAAGGTGTTTGCGGCCTGGTGTACCATGGCGTTGTATTTCACCGATTTCTTGAAGTTTCTCCCGTGGGCGTAGATCTCTGCCTAAGGTCAGCATGGCTTCTCCACCGTCGGAGAACAGTGCCATGGAGCGTCGAACCTTTCAGTCCTGCCGCAGTGTTGATGCTCAACTCGTTAGGTCCATAACGGACATACGGACCTAAATAGCAGTGAACAAGTCAGTTCAAGCCTCATGTATAATTGGAGAGTTGACTCTATAGCAAGGCACCCTTCACCTACCATACTTCTCGTGGCAGCGCCACATGTCCAGGTGCTGGTCCCCTTTCCACGAGTGGTAGACAGCATAGTAATTGGTGAGCTTTCCCAGCAGGGGCCCAGGGTATTTGGCATATGGGTGAAAGAATAATCTATAAACGCAAAGGCTGGTGAACTGTTATAATCACCGTCAGTCAATCCTCTCACGGTCAAGGAACCCAGGTGTGGTCATCATACCGCCAGTGCAGTCACACCCATGCACACAAAGAACGCGTCCAGGAGGTTGGACGAAGCACACGAAACCGACAACATGTTTGAGGACAATGCGCGAAGCGTCTTAACCAGGAGAACAATGTTTTGCCTGTCTCACAAAGAAAGCAGGAAGTCTGCAGTGCACTGGAAGTCAATGGCACCAACTCAAATACTATCCAGTCAAGGAGTGAATCGCATCAAGAGATGTGAAACCGAAACGCTAAGATCCAAGCCGAAGTTCCCTCACCTGATATTTCGGGCGGAAGGCTGACAGGCTCTTTCTTCGAGTCCTTTGATTCAGGCTCCTGGCGGAAAACAACCCAGATCCGAATCCCACGAGTCCCACGTGGAGCTAGCTTGAGCCCGCCAGAGATCATTTCTCAGCATTGCTAAATGACTCAATCCGTATAGAAGGATGGTGGGTAGTTTGGTTGTCGAAGCAAAGTTGGATTGTCGTTATGGGAAGTATGGGACGGATTGATAATCCCGGTCTGTAGATGGTATTGGTGCTTGATACCGTACGAGTATATAACAGATCTCGAAAACGCTCTTCCATAATACCATGAAACAGAATGTTTGAAATTTACGGCTAGTATAGTAACGCTGATACTACATCCTGCAGGATGCCCTAACAACGGAACAGGATGTATGTCAATTCCTGCTAGGCCTAGTGCTGACACTTGGACTCGGAAGATTTTCGCTCTTGATTTGTTTTTGATTAATTTTCTATCGGGCCCCGGGAGATGATAATGATCCGAGCAATATGTGATCGACAGGGGTCTACTTCCTTGGCGCTATGAGCCAGATTGCTGAGGACCTCCTGACTTGTCCGCAGGATGCTTGGTGCATGCACCCACGAGGGAGACGGCTCTAGACGCTGTCTCAGGAGCCTCATAATCAATTTTAGTGTGTCGTGATTGTGACCTCCTGTTAAAATTTGCGCTCATATCTAATCCTGTAATCCCGAATTCGGCGAGTTCGGAGCCACTTTCTCATCGTCTTCAAGCCACCAACGGAGTCCTATCTGAGACTTCATGCAACGGGGTCCTACAGTGTTCTGAACAACTTACGACCAGCCATGACGGAACCAGAGCGCTCATATGTTTCTCGATTCTTTTCCTCTCAATTTTCGCGACTTCCATATCCGACCCAGGACTTCAAGGATGCCATAGTCCTAGTGACCGGAGGCAATACTGGTCTCGGTCTGGAGGCAGCACGGCACTTTGTGCGGCTACAGGCTGCCACTGTCATCCTGGCTGTGCGTGATGCGCAGAAAGGACAGAGGGCGAAAGAATCGATTGAAGCCACTACTCAGATTCAAGGCGTGGTCGAGGTGTGGCCGCTGGATCTGGAGGACATCCAGAGCGTCCAAAGCCTGACAACTAAGGCAGCTGGCCTTCCTCGTCTGGACGTGGTGGTGGCAAATGCCGGCATCTCGACCAGCGAATGGACTCTCATTGGCGGAACAGAGCGATCCATCCAGGTAAATGTCCTCTCGACATTCCTGTTGGTGCTCTCTCTCCTCCCCAAACTGCAGGACACAGCTATACAGAACCATGTCCGTCCCCGTGTTGTGGTGGTGTCGAGCGAAGGCCACGAGACGACCGAGTTTCGAGAGCAGAACGCCGATCGAATCTTCGACGCTCTCAAGGATAAGACGAAGTCGAATATGGATGAGCGGTAAGAGTTAGTCTCACGCAATTAATCGTTAAGTTTGCTCATTCTGGGTTCCAGTTACGATACATCCAAGCTCGTCCAGTTGTACCTGGTGCGCGCGCTTGCCGAGCACTTGAGCCAATCCACCAAGCCTGCAGTGACAATCAACGCGGTGTCTCCGGGACTCTGCAAGACAGGGCTACTTCGTGAGACGGCACTCGCCGCTCGAATCCTGATTAGCCCAATCAAGGCAGTGCTTGCTCGCAGTGCAGAGGAGGGGAGTCGGACGTTAGTCCACGCCGCAGGGCCTGACAATGGCGAGACTCATGGGAAGTACTTGCGCGACTGCAAAGTGACCGAGTAAGTCTTTTTTCTCCTTTTACATTTGGCTAGATGCGGTAACTGCAAGTGCTGATTGGGTGAATCGTCTAGACCTGCAGCTGCGGTACGCAGTGAGCAAGGCCACGCGACGCAGGAGAGGTTGTTCAAAGAGCTGTTAGAAGAACTGGAGAAGGTTTCCCCCGGCATACGGGGTAATTTGTAAGCGCAGTATCGCATAGCAATGCCAATTCTAGCTGAGATCCATCACTCTGTGTTCAATCCTCCGGACTTGAGCGGTGATACCCAGTAGGGCCTCCGAGTCGGTAGCATTGACTCGCTCTCGTCATCTACGTGCATCCTGTCTCCATATGACAAATATTAACGCCGCATTGCATTAGTCTTACGCTGAATGACCGGCAAATGGCGGACCCGGAGTGTCGGCAACAATATCTTCGAGTTGTTCCAAAGGAGCAGAGAAGAGGCCCGAGCCACATGGTGGTGATACATGGCACATGCATTGTCACACTGCACCTGTAGCCAAACATGATCTCCTTCTTCAGTAAGCTGAGGAATCCTAAAGAATTCCACGTGGCGCCTTGGCTGGTCCGGAAAAAAGACGCAGATCCCAACAATATTTTGGTCCAAAAATCGAGAATAAATCATTGTAATTTTGGGTGGAGTTTGTGGCGGTATTGATACTTGAAACGTGAAAGATATTTCTGTATTGGGTGTTCGTTACAGACTTAACGAAATACCGGTAACCTGGTTATTTGAGAACGGGCATGGTTACACCCATCGGTATCTGGTAACATGAGATATACAACTATACAATTCTCACATCACTTCGATCCTTCTGAAGGATTAATTCCTGGCAACGTAACATCGTGTCATCCACCTTTGTCCGATAGCTTCGGAATGGCTGATAGGAAACACAGCTGGGGGTCTCATGAGAGCAATAAACTTGCACCACTGCACTTGCTTCACTTGTAGACTTGGCGGCTGAAAGCGGCAACTCCTATTCATCTTCTCTTTGACCAACCCGAGCACCCCAAGACTACAGCCCAAGCACGACAAGCACGAAGATGAAGTCTGTCGCAGTTTCTGCAGAGTCCGGTGAGCGTGGCGCCACTGCCCTGCAGCTGGCTTGGGCTTTGACACTGTCGCTGTACCATGGAGTCGACACTGCGGTCTTCAAGACAATCATCTACGACAAACCTGCCGTGACCGCTAGCTCCACAACCGTCCATATCCAGGTCCACTTGGATCTCAAGAGCACTGTCGCTGCGGAGCTCGATGAGATCGAGCGTCAAATTGCCAGTCATCAAAATATTGCGCCGGGAGGCGCCTGGGCGGAGAACAGTCTGCTGGTCCTCGAATCTCCCGAAGCGCCTCTGTTCGATATCGTGCGGTACAGAGAGTATCCTCTTGTCCTTAATTGCCGACTTGTCAAAAGAGAGTTTCAGCTACAGGCTTGGTGCAACGAGACTGGGCCACAAGAATGGCTTGGGAACCAACTTCTTCACCACTTTGCATTTGTTCTTCAGAACGTCCTCGCCCACCCGGAGGCAAAACTCACCGATTTGCCCACTGTTTCCTCTGAAGATTACGCACAAGTCTTGGAATGGAACCGAGAGGTTCCCATCAACGTCAGGGCCCAGGTCCAGGACCTGATCGCCAAGGAAAGTCTTGCACATCCAGACAGCCCGGCTGTTTGTGCATGGGATGGCGATTTTACATACGAGGAGCTGGACAAGCTCTCATCCCACTTGGCTGCGCACCTAACACAGCTAGGAGTTGGACCAGAGACTTTTGTGCCTATCGTCTTCGAAAAGTCCAAATGGAACATGGTTGCTACCCTTGGTATTATCAAGGCGGGCGGTGCCTTTGTCCCTCTCGATCCTGGCCATCCCCTTCAGCGCTTGCAGGAGATTTGCCGACAGATAAAGGCCAAAGTAGCATTGTCCTCCACCAAGACAGCGGCATTAGCGACGAGCCTCGCCCCCGCCGTCGTGCGTGTGAGTGAGGAGGATCTAACCTGGCGTGAGAATGATGGCATCGTGCCAGAGCCCTCTGCCAGCCCGAACAACGCCCTCTATGCCATCTTCACCTCCGGAACCACTGGTAGACCCAAGGGGGCGGTGCTGGAACATCGTCAGTTTTGCTCTGTCGTTGGCCCCATGATCGAGCGGACCGGACTGAGCCGGGATTCTCGCGCCTTTCAGTTCTCCTCCCATGCGTTTGACTTGAGTGTCAGCGACATCCTTGCGACTCTGGTGGCCGGTGGATGTGTTTGCATACCGTCTGACCTAGACCGGACGAGCAACCTCGCGGGCTCAGCAAACACCATGAAGGTCAACATCATGACTACCACCCCTTCAGTGCATCGACTATTCAACCCCGCCGATGTGCCAACCCTGAAGACCATCATCTCGTGCGGAGAGATGCTGACAGCAGCGGACCTCGAGCACTGGCGCGGGATTGTGCGCAACTGCTGGGGCCCGGTCGAGACCAGCATCATCTGCACAGGCAACATTACTCCACCGGACAATCGCAACATTGGAAACGCATTTGGTTGTCGCACTTGGGTGGTGGACCGCAACGATCACCGCCGCTTGCTTCCTATCGGGGCCGTGGGCGAGGTGCTAGTGGAAGGGGCCATTGTGGCCCGGGGCTATCTGAATGAGCCCGAGAAAACTGCCGAAGTCTTTGTCGAGAGTCCTCCCTGGATGAAGCGGGGTTCAGAGACCGACGGGCTTCGACAATACCGGACTGGCGACTTGGCCCGTTACAACGCGGACGGGACTCTACATTTCGTCGAGCGAAAGGATACCCAGGTGAAGCTCCATGGTAATCGGATTGAGGTCGCCGAGGTCGAGCATTATCTGCAGATCTCATTTCTGAGTGTGGATGATGTGATCGTGGACATTGTTAGCCCACCTGCTCGTGGTAACCATCAGATCCTGGTTGCATTTGTCCTGGAGCCTCGCCGTCGCTCCACTGAGACAGCAATGCTTCTCCCGATTGATGAGCAGTTTCGACAGGCGTGCACTGAGGCTGAAGAGAAACTACGGTCTCGTGTTCCATCGTACATGGTTCCAGGCGCTTTTATTCCTGTGTCGCGTATGCCACTCACTCTTAACGGAAAGATTGATCGAAGGAACCTACGTGAGACTGCAGCAGGACTGTCGAAGGAGGCGCTCGACATCTACACTACCAAGGGCCGCATTGATACGCAGCCTTCGCATAAGCGTAAGCCCCAGACGGAACGCGAAATGCTGCTACAGAAGCTCGTAGCTGAAAGTCTCGAGGTGGAGCCATCAACTATCGGCATGGAAGACAATTTCTTCTTCTTGGGTGGGGATTCTACCACGGCCATGAAACTGGTCAGCTTGGCCCGTGGAGCAGGAATGTCCTTCACAGTTCCTGACTTGGTCTCTCACCCTCATTTCCTGGATCTTCTCGCTTTCATCGACCAGCGAGAGGGTGATGAAGTCGACAGGAAGGAAGATATCTTCACGCAGCCAGCACCATTCTCTCTTCTGCAGGTCGGTGACGCCGCAGCCTTTTTCAAAGAGACCCTGGCACCGCAGCTGCCAGACTTCATGTTCGAGGATGTACTCGACGCTTTCCCAATGACAGACATGCAGAAGCGCTTCTATGGCCCTCCACAATATTATCAATTATTCCTACAGGGCGAATTCGACCAGGCACGTCTGGAAGACGCATGTGAGCAACTGATGAAAGACAACGCAATCCTGCGAGCCATTTTCGTCTCCCACAACGATGATATGATCCAGATCATTCCCAAGAGGAGCATGTTCTCCTTTGAAGAGGATGAATGTGAAGAGCCTGACCTTGCAGAGTACGTCCAGAAGCTCTGCCAGGAAGACGTCGCGAAGTCAATCCCACTGGGACAGGCTCCCACCAAGTTCACACTGGTGAAGCGCAGTCCCACCGAAAACGTCTTGGTCATCCGAATCACGCACTCTCAATATGACGGTGTGACTCTGCCTATTATCTACCGTCGCCTTGCAGCGTTATACCGTGGGGAGCCCACCCCCGTCGTCACTGATTTTCCGGAATACCTATACCGCGCGAAGACCCTCAAGACCCCTGCCGCAATCGAAACATGGAAAGACATCCTTCAGAATGCCTCCATGAGCTACATCGGCCTTCAACAGGCTCCTCCCCCCGAACCCACCCTGCTCTATGCCACCCGCGTCTTGCCCAACCTCAAACCGAGTCCGGGAATCACGCGAGCCACGCTGGTGAAGGCCGCCTGGGCGCTCACTCTCTCCAGCCACCTGGCACGTAGAGATGTGACCTTCTTCCAGATGGTCAATGCCCGTGGAATCGCCATCCCAGGCATCGAATCGGTCCTGGGTCCCTGTTTCAACTCGATCCCGGTGCGCGTCACCCGCCAAAAGGCTTGGACCGGCCTCGACCTCCTGCACTATGTGCAGAACCAGCACCTGAAGACCATGCCCTACAGCTCTCTTGGGTTTGAGGAAGTGAAGAGGCTGAGCACCGGCTGGAACCCGCTGACGAAGATGGCGTCGGTGGTCGTGCACCAGCACTTTGAGCAGCTCAAAGCCTTCGACTTCGCGGATGGAATACATTGTACCATCAAGGAGTTCTTCTCACCGACGATTCCGAATGAGGTTGTACTCTTTTCGGAGATAAACGAGGGAAAGCAGTGGGAGTTGCATCTGTTGACCTCGGTGAATGTTTTGGGACCGGAGGCGTACGATGGGTTGTTGGGGAAGACGGTAGAGTACATGAAGGTTTTGGCAGCTACGCCGGAGAGAGAGCTCGAGAGTATTGTTGGATTCTATAAGACTCGTTTGGCTTCTTGCTGATATGTATCCGCTGGAGTTGTTGGACTTTAGGTGCTGGTACTACGCTCACTCGTTTACCTAAATTGTATGCTTGAATGAGAACATATATATATCTGTTATAGTTGTAGGATCCATCAGTTGTTCCTGTACAAATCCACCCTCGCCTAAATAATCATGGAAGACTCAATCCGATTTATCCTACCTCTTTGAAGTTTGCAAGTCGCATTTGGGTAGTAGATAGAATCACCCTTGAGTTATAGTCTATGTCACTGCGAGAGTTGCAAGGTAGGGCTAAATCGGCCGCCGTGTGTGATGCCTGAAGAGCAAGGCATAGATCTGAGTCATCAAGGATTGATCGTGCTTAGTCATATGGGATTGTCGTCTTACTTTCAGCCTTAAATAGATCCATCTTACCTCGCTAGTTGTCAACGGCTCTGAATTTTCCTTAGCTCGAAAAATAGGCGAGCCGAGCACATATAAGTTCACCATACTCAACAAGATCAGCGTGTATATTGAGCGAAGGACTGTCGGATCCAAATTCTCCGAAAGCCGTTATGCATCACAGCGAGCGGGACCCGAATTATGACAGCGAAGAAGGCGAGGAATCCCCCTTGATCCCAGATCCGCCTGCTGCGGTCTCGCCCCCGACGCCTTCAGGAAAGCAGATCCTCAAAGTCATCTTGCTGTGCGCATCGGCAACTCTGATCCTTGATATTGGTCTCACGGTCGTGCTCGCCCCGAAAATACGATTGTTCGAGTCGATTCTCTGCCAGGAGTACTATCGGACCCATAACCTCCAAGGGCTGATACGAGAGATTCCCGAATCACAATGTAAGACGAAGGAGATCCAGTCTGCTATAGCACGGTTGATTGGCTGGCAGACGGTGTTCGACAGTCTTCCAGGTATGTCTATCATAGTTCAGCCCTGAACGCGCCGTTGCAGATCTCACTAACCCTCCGAAGCGATCTTTCTGGCAATTCCTTATGGAGCCTTGTCCGATACCAGAGGCCGCCGGCCCGTGCTGTTGTTGTGCTTCCTGGGTCTGACTCTATCGACTGCTTGGACTTTGCTTATCTGCTGGCTGCAGTTGCCCCTGGAGCTAACGTGGATCTCATCTCTCTTTCAGTGTCTTGGGGGCGGTCCTGCGGTAGCAACCGCCATCGTGGAGGCCACCATCGCCGATGTGGTGCCCGACGACAAGAGATCTACCATTTACTTCCAATTGCAGGCTGCGGTATTGATATCCGACATCTTAGCCAATCCCCTGTCGGCCATTCTCATGGCCCACAATGTCTGGATCCCCTGCTTCCTAGGCCTCAGCATCCAGGGACTTGGCACTATTCTATTGATGGCGCTTCCTGAAACTCTAAGCTTTGCTAAAGCTGTGTCGCCATCTGCCGAGTCGGCCACTGAATGCGAAGAAGGGGAGGAGCTGACGCTGTGCGGTCGCTTGGCGAAGAACTTCCGCAGCATTGTCTCCGATCGGAATGTAGTGGGACTAGTGTTCGGTCTGCTCGTCCTGACTATCAGTGCGGAGTCAGTGGATTTCCTGCTCCAGTACGTTTCCAAACGATACGGCTGGTCAATTGCCAAGGTAGGATTTCTCCCCACGTTGAGCAGTGGCGGGCCAAACACTGACACGCCTTGCGAACCCCACAGTCGGCTATGCTCCTGTCGTTGCGGGCAGCAGTCGAATTCGGGCTGCTTCTCCTTCTCGGGCCCCTGCTTCTGTTCCTTTCATGGCCGAGTCTGCGCGATCCGCAGCGGCGGGACCTCTGGGTCGCCCGGGTCAGTCTAGGGTTCATCGTTTTAGGGTTCCTGATCCTCTCGTTGTCTCCCACCGTGGCGCCTGCAATCCTCGGTGAGCCTCCTTGCATTCCTTGGTGGGGCTTTTGCATAAACACGCTAACATCATACAGGATTGATCATTTACACTCTGGGTGCTGGATTCCAGCCGGCCGTTATGAGCCTCCTGGCTTCTCTTTGGAAGGCGTCCAACCCCACCAACCTCGGCAGTCTGTACAGCACCGTGGCGATCATCTTGGCAGCCGGAGGCGTCATCGCTGGCCCACTGCTCTCGCTCATGTTTCAGATCGGACTTCGTCTCGGAGATGCATGGGTCGGGCTCCCGTACTTTGTGTCTGCCTGCCTCTGCGCAGGGATTGCTATGGTGATGCTGTCCGTCAGACTGCCAGGCAGACACAATTCATCCGAGCTGTGAAATGCAGGTGGCGGCAAGGCGCTCAAGGCAGACGTGTTTTCGTTCAGGCCGGGCCGGGGTTCGAGTTGTCGAGTGCTGTTGGCTATAAAGTCTGGATGTTCGTGCTGTGCTCGAGGACGTGGTACCTAAATTACTCTGAGTCTTGTGATTTACTGCTAGTTACGACGCAACTTTCGGTTCTAGACTACACTACTATCCTACTACTGATATCAAATCACGATAAAACTGACCACGTGTGGCATTACAAATACTCTGATTAACATTCACTTCTGGGGGGTTCGTCTCATGTTGGTGACGAAAGGAATCACCCGGGCATTCTCAAGATCCCAAATGCTCTCCTGGATATAGGGGTCGCTCTTCAAACGGTCCCAAATTTGCTCCTTGCTAACCTCGTTGATCACCATCACGGAACCCTTGAAGGGTCGGCGGGGGTTGCCGGGGAAGGTGTGCTTCTCGAATACGGGTCCTACACCCCTCGAGTTAGAATAACGACAGAGAGAGTCGGAGACTGACGAAGATGGTAGAGAGATGGGGAAGCTTACCAGCCCAGGTGACCCACTGTTCCTTGTGGAGGCGGACAAAGTTCGGGGAATGACGGGGTCGGATTTCCAGACGACGATCAAGCTAGCCAGCCATGCCGATCAGTTGCTTGGAACTTGGATAGGTGGATATTTTCATGACAGCATTTTGAAAGTTCTTCGTACACAGACACCGAGAATGGAACACAACCACGCAAGAGCAGGGATCAACCGCAACCACCACAGTCACTTACCACATTGGGCATGTCAGGGAAGAGCACAAGCCATTCCCTTGGCTCCGCAGCAGCAACAGGAGGAGCAGAAGGGGACGAAGATGCAGAAGAACCAGTTGCAGCAGCAGCAGCGGAAGAAGCAAATCTGGCCTGAGAGAGCCTAAGGCTACTCAGAAGGGACTGACGGACACAGCTGATTGTCGCCATACTAAGACAAATGACTTGATTGAGGTAGGAGCAAAGTGGATGTGCTGTTGCGACTCACGAGGTGCTCCTCGCCAATGATGATGGCTCTCTACTCCGGTTTTATTATGCCTTGTAGTCGCGCTTTCCGGGGGGACTTCTCCCATTCTCCTTCGGATGAGACTCGTCACATTCGACAAGATTAGGCCATCGCTACCGGAGCACGCAACCAAGCAGGGCTCTGGCAATGTGGTATCCCCAACGCAATAGCACCTAGGGCGCCCTGCGCCACTCAATCCTGCGTAAACTATCCGACCTTGCTCCGAGACATTTTTCGGGCCCCACGGTGTGAGGAATGCTTAGCCTCTGCAGGCCTCGTATTGTATTAAAACTGTGGAGCAGACTTTGCACAGGGTGCCCTGATAGGTTAGGCGCTGGTGCTGCAGTGAGAAGAGATGCATGGATCGTACTATATGCTGAAACCGGGAACTTCATGCAGCTAGTCTTGATCAAACAAGCCACGTTATGCGGTATGGATGGATGTTCGGCCGCAGTCCGTGGAGGCCGAGATCCTGCAGGTCAGCACTGATGGCGTGTACCATACGTACTGTACGCATTACCATACGTACTGTACGTATGGTACAGCATGTATGAGTGTATTGCTGCTCTGTATTCAATACAGCACATTGATCTTGTACTGTTGTCTGTTTAATACACCACACGGGTGACACAGAGCCTAGTGGGACCCGTCGATTCCCTCCCTCCCAATCCTTCATCTTCTCCACTTTTTTCTTCATTGCAACTTCCACTTCAGCTCATTCTCCCATGCACCTACCACGTTGCTGAACACACCACATGGCTGGTGAACCTGCTCTCTCCACTCTCTGTATTAGCGCGAGATTGATTCTGTTTGCGTGTTTGACAATCCTCCGACTGTCAAACCGCCCCCATAATCATGTGGAGATGTGGAGTGGAGTCCCTCGTGAGTGCGCGAGGCTGGAGGCTGCTTATCGCTGGTCAATTCAGAGGCAAACAGCCTTATGTGCAATCATTTTTGTTAAAGTCCATGGCAAAGGCCTGTCACACTGAGGTGAAGTTACAACAACTGAGACTTCTACGTGCGCTCGTGCTGGGATTGTCTGATCTTCGTTCTGGACAGTGCTGACTTCACTTCTCTGAACACTCTTTCTGAGGGACTTTGCCAGTATCCTCTACTTCTTCATCCTTACTCTATTTTGACTCCAATCCAGTCCCCTCAAACAACCGCGCCCCTGCATCTTCCACTCTTGCGCCTATTGTACCCATAGACGACCAAAAGGTAAAATACCCTCTTTGAATAGCTGACATAGACTCTATAGACCATTTTACAAAATACCCCTACATCTTCTCTTCCGAAATACAATCATAATCAATACCATATAAACACAATGGCATCCAACAACACGAACGCAGATTCATCTGTGCAATTCTGGAAGAAAAGCCTCGCGAGCATGGAGATCAGCCGTCTCTCCCACCTCGTTCATGCGTACGAGGGAGAAGCACAGTGGAGCAGTTGTACGGTGAACGCCGGGATCAAGCTGCAGACACTGAATGCGCTCGTTCATTCGCAGCGCACCTCGCTGCTGGTGATCCTGCAGACCGCGTGGGCAGCGGTCCTGGGTCGATTCCTGGGCACAGACACGGTCACGTTCGTGAGCATTCTGCAAAACGGCGCATCCGTGAAGAATGGCATTTGCGGGGCAAGCTGGACGCGAAGCTCCACCACGGTGCACGAGCTGTTGAATCAGCTTGGCCGGTGGCAGGAGACGTCTTTGTTGCACCAGGACATGTCGTTGCAGGAGATTGAGAGCCTGTCGAATGTGGTTCCTGACACTGGTGTGAGAGTGAACTATGTCGGCGGGCGCAGTGAATCTCTGTCTGTCACGCGTGACAAGGTGAGAAGCGTGACCTCTGGTTTAACGATCGGCGAGTCTGCGGAAGCTAATGGTCTGTAGCATGTTATCGAAGTCGTAGCGCAAGTGAGCTTGGAATCAATCGAGGTTGCTCTTGAATACAATGCTTCTGCTCTGTCTACGAGCCAAGTCCAAAGCATTGCAGGATCACTTGAGAAGGCTCTGCAGGCGGCCACTGATCAAGGCCCCACCCCCGTCTCTCACCTCGACCTTTGCAGTGAAAAAGACCGAGAGCAAATTCTCAAGTGGAATGCGGACATGCCAGTGACCATCAACGAATGTGTCCATACGTGGATTGAGCGCAAGGCGCTCGAACAACCCCATGCGCCGGCGGCTGCCGGCTTCGGCGGGGATTTGACCTACCAGCAATTAAACACTCAGGCGGACCATCTGGCCGCATACCTCCAGGGATTGGGAGTTGGCCCCAATTCCTATGTAGCCCTCTGCTTTGACAAGTCGACCCTGCCGATTGTGGCCATGCTGGCCGTACTCAAAGCCGGCGGCGCCTACGTCGCTCTCGCCCCCCAACACCCTGTCAATCGCCAAACGGTCATTCTTAACAGGATTGACGCTCAAGTAGTGTTGGCAGGACCTGCCTACGTCAGCACTTTCTCTGGCCTTGTGAAGCATTCCGTCGCTGTCACAACAGAATTGATCAGCGAGCTTGCGGCAGAGGGTCGCGCACAAGCCCTGATTCGTTTTGCTCAGCCCGAATGCCCGGCTGTTGTAGTTTTTACTTCGGGTAGTACGGGAGAACCCAAGGGTATTGTGGTGGAGCACCGTGCCCTGATCTCGAGTATGATCCACCATGCCGTGATCATGCGTCTCAGTAGCTCCACCAGGGCTCTCCAGTTCGCGACCTTTACCTTCGATTTGAGTGTGGGAGAAATCTTCAACACTCTGGTCCACGGAGGATGTGTTTGTGTGCCTTCGGAGGAGGAACGAATGGACGACCTCGAAGGCTTCATCCGTCGGTTGGAAGTGAATTGGGCACTTCTGACACCCACCGTTCAGAACATGCTTACTCCCGCCAACGTCCCCTGCCTGAAGACCATATCGACGGCAGGTGAAGCCCAGAAGCAAGAAATCATCGAAGCCTGGGCCGATCATGTTCAACTCAACAACATGTACGGGCCGGCGGAAACTACGATTCTTTGCGCTGGTCGTCCCAGCTTGAAGCCGCACACTCCGGCTCCCAATATTGGTCTGGCTCTCGGAGCCCTACAGTGGATCACGGATCCCATGGATCCCAACGTACTGTGCCCTGTGGGCGCTATCGGCGAAGTGCTGATCGAAGGACCAGGTCTGGCTCGGGGCTATCTCAAAGATGAGGCGAAGACAAGTGCGGCCTTCATTGAGAATCCGAGCTGGGTGCCAGATACCAACCCTTCTCGCCGCTTCTACCGCTCCGCCGATCTGGGCTACCTCAGCCAAGACGGAACCTTCAATATTGTTGGTCGCAGAGATACGCAGGTCAAGATAAACGGTCAACGACTCGAACTCGGCGAGATCGAATTCCATCTCAAGAACCTCTGCTCTGGTTGGCAAGCGGCAGTGGCTGAAGTGATCAAGCCTAAAGTGCAGAGCGAACAACCAACGCTCGCAGCGTTTATCCATTTTGAGGATGAAGCTCAGACTGAAACCTCACTCCTCGGCCGTATGTCTGAAGAGCGGCGCAAGCAACTCTGCCAGCTCAAAGAGGACCTCTCTCTTCACCTCCCCTCCTACATGATCCCCTCGGTGTTCGTTCCCATGGCTCAAATGCCGACCACGATCAACGGTAAGCTCGATCGACGAAGCTTGCGAGACCTGGCTGCGGACCTTTCCGCTGAGACGCTTATCTCATTTTCTCTTGCAAGTGCAAATACCGTGAAGCGCGAGCCTACCACAGCAGCCGAGAAGACGATTGTCAACATCTGGGTTCAAGTATTGAAGATTTCATATGAAACCATCGGTCTTGATGACAGCTTCTTTCAGCTGGGAGGTGATTCGATCGCAGCCATGAAACTGTCTGCTGTCGCTCGGTCCGCAGGATTGAGCCTCACCGTGTCAAAAATCTTCCGTCATCCTACTTTGGAAGGAATGTCGAGGGTTGCCGAGGAGCTCCAGGAGAGTGCAAATGAAGTAATCAGACCATTCGCTCTGGTTCATGTCGCTGATATCTCCATCTTTATGGATGAGCTCAGTTCCAAGTGGGGCCTAGAGCGTTCGGACATTGAGGATGCATACCCTGCAACTGCTCTGCAAGAAGGCCTCATGGCTATCACCCAAGGAGAGCCGGGAACATACATCTATCAGAACGTATATAAGCTGCCAGCTGAGATCGATTTGGCAAGATTCCGTGCCGCCTGGGAATCTGTCGTCAACACCACAGAGATTCTTCGAACGACTATTGTTCCTACGGACAGTGCTGGCACATACCAGGTTGTCACTAAGTCCTCTATTGACTGGAAATACCCGACCAATGTCGAAAAGTACTTGGCAGCAGATGCACAGCAAACAATGCAATACGGTGATTCTCTGGCCCGGTACGCTCTGATCCCTGGCATTAAAGGCGCGACATTTGTGTGGACTGCTCACCATGCACTGTATGACGGATGGTCTTTGCCCCTCCTCTGGAAGCGGGTGAAAGAGGCGTACAAGGGCAATGGTCTGTCGCAACCGCACGTGGCCCCTTTCAACCGCTTCATTGCCCATCTCGAGGACATGAATGCAGGCGCCACGAAGGATTTCTGGAAGTCCTATCTGTCCTCGTCCAATCCCCCCAAGTTCCCACAGTTGCCTTCTCAGACATATCAACCACGAGTTAACAGTATTCACCACCATGAGTTCGGACTCAAGGGCAGCAGCGCGTCGGGTGTCACAGCTTCGACGTTGATCCGATCCGCCTGGTCCGTCCTCATGTGTCAATATTCGGATGCTGGTGATGACGTTATAGTTGGCGTGACTGTGGCAGGAAGGAACGTCGATGTTCCTAGCGTCTCAGAGATGGCTGCGCCGACGATCACCACTGTCCCTTTTCGGGTTCAGTTTGACCGCGATGAAACAGTGGCTGATCTACTCAACAAAGTTCAAAGTCAGACCATTGAGATGATGCCCTACGAGCATGCTGGCTTGCAGAACATCGCCACGATTAACCGCGAATGCCGCCTTGCATGCGCCTTCCAGAACCTGCTTGTTGTTCAACCCGAGGAGGACGAGAGCAACATCAGCTCTCTAGGCATCCAGAAAATCCAGTCACCGGACGTGGGAATCTATACCTATGCTTTGGTCGTTCAGTGCCTGCTTCTTGGAGACAAAGTTGGCGTTCAGGTTGACTTCGATGACCGCGTTCTGTCATCGTGGCAGGTCGAGCGGATCTGCTCCCAGCTCGAGCATATCGTTGGCGAGCTCCTCTCAAGTCCCACAGTAAAGCTCGGTGATCTGAGTCTTGTTAGTCAGGACGACTATACTCAGATCATGAGCTGGAACCATAAACTTCCGGTCATGGAGGAACGATGCGTTCATGAGATCATTGCTGGTCAAGTCTTGGCTACCCCCGATGCTTCTGCCATCTGCTCCTGGGATGGAGATTTCACCTATGCTGAAGTAGATCAACTCTCAAATCGTTTCGCCCGTCACCTTGTGAGCCTTGGTGTTGGGCCTGAGACTTTGGTTCCTCACTGCTTCAGTAAATCTGCCTGGACAGTCATTGCCATGTTAGCCATCATCAAGGCCGGAGGTGCTTGCGTCGCCCTGGATCCTGGACATCCAGTTGATCGACTCAAAGGTATTATTGCCGATGCTGGAGCAGACTTAGTTGTGACCACACCGGAGCATGGTCATATGTTCAGTGGTCTTGTCAGTAAGGTCGTGGCGCTGAGTCCGGAATGGTTCGAGTCAAATGATTTGGCTTCCAACAGCTTGGCGCCGCGCGCGGACCGGAAGAACCCAGTTTTCGTGCTGTTTACCTCCGGCAGTACTGGAAAGCCGAAGGGTATCATCATCGAGCACGGCATGTTTGCCTCCAGCGCGGCCGCTCACAGCAAGGCGTTCGGCATTAATGCCGAATCTCGGGTTTTTCAGTTCGCTGCCCATACTTTTGATGTCAGCGTCGGAGATATCTTTACCTCACTGATGAAGGGTGCTTGTATTTGTATTCCTTCAGACCTGGAGCGCATGAACAATGTCGCCGGGGCGATCAACCGCATGAAAGCCAACTATGCATTCTTGACCCCAACCGTGGCCAACTTGCTCCGTCCCGAGCAGGTCCCGACCCTTCGAACGCTGACCCTCGGTGGTGAAGCTCCGACAAGAGAGAATATCAGGACTTGGGCAGACAATCTGAACCTGATTCTCTGCTACGGACCGGCTGAGTGCTCCGTTTACTGCTCGGCTAACCCTCCTGCTACCCAACAAAGCAACCCGGCTATTCTCGGACACGCCATTGGTGCTCTTATCTGGTTGGTTGACCCTGTTAACCATGATAAGCTGACGCCCGTCGGCTGTGTTGGTGAACTGGTCGTCCAAGGAGCGACGGTTGCCCGCGGGTACCTGAACGAGGCTGGAAAGACCCAGTCTGCGTTCATTCAGGACCCAGCATGGCTGCCTCAGACCTTTCCCAAGGAGTACCGTCGTATTTACAAGACCGGTGACCTTGCCAGATTCAACCAGGATGGGTCCCTGAGCTTCGTTGCACGAAAGGATACTCAAGCCAAGGTCCGAGGACAGCGCGTGGAATTGGCAGAGATTGAAGTCCACCTGTCCGAGAGCCCGGAGATTCAACACGCGATGGTTTCCGTTCCAGCGGCTGGCCCCTACAGGAGCCGATTGGTTTGTATTCTTTCCTTGCAGGAAATCGCCCAGCGCAGTGGTGGCTCGCCTAATAGCGATATCACCTTGGTCCAGGGAAGCGACAAGACGAGAGCAGCTGAAATGACTAACATCATTGAGGATCGACTTGCAGAGAAGCTGCCTCCGTACATGGTGCCGGCTGTGTGGATTCCTCTGAAAAAGATTCCACTCAACCTGTCTGGAAAGATCGACCGCAAGCTTTTGAAGGGATGGCTCGAGGATGTTGATGAAGCTACCTACCAGTCTATTGCAGCTATGGCGACTGCCGAGACAACAGCCCAGCCTACCTCGGATATGGAGAGAAAAGTGCAGTCCGCGTTCAGTGCTACGCTCAACATCCCCTTGGAATCCGTGGGCCTCAATACTTCCTTCCTCAGTGTTGGTGGCGATTCCATCTCGGCGATGCAAGTCATGTCTCGACTGCGATCTCAAAATGTTCGAGTCACGGTTCAGGATGTCCTGAAACTTCGTACAGTTGCTGCCCTTGCTGGGCGTGCACAGTCCATTGAACAATCCACCGCAGATAATTCGGCTTTGGAGGCTGAAGTTCTTGATGAATGGTTTGAGCTCGCTCCCATTCAACGACTTCTCTTCCAGATGCAACCTCAAGGACAAAACCACTTCAACCAGAGTTTTGTTCTGAAGCTGGGCCAGGATATTTCCCAAGAGGAGCTCCAAAAGGCACTTCAAACCATTGTGCTACAGCACTCTATGCTCCGAGCCCGGTTCCAGCATTTCGATGGATTTTGGCATCAAAAGATAACCAACGATGTTTCGGGATCCTTTGTTTTACTCCCTAGAGAATCCTGCAATCGAGAGGAAATGATCGCTAAGTTCCGTGAGGCGGAGACTCTCTTCGATATTAGCCAAGGGCCTGTCCTGACAGCACAAGTATGTACGACTCCTGAGGCTAGCTACATCTTCTTGGCAGCCCATCACTTGGTTATCGATTTAGTCTCTTGGCGAATCATCTTCAACGATCTTGAAGACGTGATCAAGACTGGCAAAATCAGCTCGGAGCCTACCACTTCCTTCCAGAGCTGGGTAAAGCTGCAACATGAATATGTTTCCCAGAACTTTTCAGAACGGTCCACTTGGGACTTAAAAGCCCCTGTTGGAGATTTCGACTACTGGGGAATGCAAGGAGAATCAAACAATTGGGGAGACATCACTACCGAGTGTTTCACCCTCGATGCTAAGAGGACGTCGCTGCTTCTTGGAGACTGTAATTTACCTCTGCGCACCGAGCCAACGGAAGTCATGGTTGCAGCTTTGCTCCATTCATTCCGTCACACGTTTTCCGACCGGAAAGCCCCTGCGGTCTATTTGGAAGGACATGGCCGTGAGCCCTGGACGTCGGCTATTGACCTCTCACGCACCGTGGGCTGGTTCACCACCATGTACCCCGTCAGCTACGAGGCGTCTCAGGACAAGTGGTTCGATGCTCTCAAGAGGCTCAAGGACAACCGCCGCCGGGTTGCCGACAATGGTTGGCGCTACTTCACAGCCCACTCTCTGACCGATGAGATGCAGGATATGGAGATTGTCTTCAATTACCTTGGTCTCTACCAACAACTCCAAAAAGTTGACGCTCTTTTCCAGGAATCTACCATCACCGGAACTGATTGTGTCGAGATCAGCTCGACGATGCGGCGCTACTCTCTTTTCGAGATTTCCGCTGGTGTTTCCAACGGGCAGATGCAGTTTACCTTTGAGTACAACAAGAAGATGGGCCATAGAGCGGGTATCAGCTCTTGGATCAATCACTATCGTCGGGTGCTCGAAGGCGGCATTGATGAACTGATGGCGCATCCGGAAATCCTCACCCTGAGTGACTTCCCCCTTCTGTCTATGTCATATGAGGGCTTGGAGAACCTGGCAGCTTCTATCCTGCCTGAGGTTGGGGTGAAGACGATCGACGAGGTCGAGAGCCTCTCTCTTTGCTCACCTATGCAACTCGGTTTGCTGATGAGTCAATTGAAATCCGCGGGTGACTACGAGTTCTTCACGATCAAGAAAGCCACTGCCCGCGAGGGAGTTGATAGTGCCAAATTGCTTGCTGCTTGGCAACACGTCATCGACCGCCACCCCATGCTGAGAACCATTTTTGTCAAAAGTGCTGCATCCGACAGGCCTTACGACCAGCTCGTGCTTAAGAGCATGAAGGCACAAGTGGTGGAGCTTCATAGCAGCGACCCTGTTCAGGCTTTGCGCGCATTGAAGCCCGTGGGAATCGCCGAAGGAAAGGCGCCCCATCAAGTGGCCATCTGTCGTTCCGAAGACGGCCAGATCTTCTTCAAACTTGAGATCAATCATGTGTTGATTGATGGTACGTCCATGGCTATAATTGAGCGCGACTTGAGGCGCGCCTACAGCGAGGAGCTAAGCAGCGCCGCTGCCCTGTCCTATGTCGAATACGTAACCTTCCTTCAACAGGCTAAGAAGGCAGATTCGCTTGAGTTTTGGAATAGTTACCTTCGAGATGTTCAACCATGCCAGTTTCCGATCCTTAATGACGGAAGGGAACAAGTTCAAGCGCTGGAATCCATTGATGTGGAGTTGCCAGGCTTGACAAAAGAAGCTCTGAGTGCCTTCTCTGAGCGTTATGGAATCACCGTTGCCAATGTGGTTCAGACTGCCTGGGCTCTGGTGCTCCGAACTTTCATTGGTACAGAAAGCGTCTGTTACGGCTATCTGACCTCCGGTCGTGATGCTCCTCTTGATGGCATCGAGGATGCCGTGGGTCCCTTCATCAACATGCTTGTCTGTCGCTTGGACTTTGATCCCAATGCGTCTGCATTGCTCGCCCTCCAAAACATGCAGGATGGGTTCTTGAACGGAATGGCCCACCAATACGTGTCTTTGGCTGAGATGCAGCATGCCCTGGGCGTCACCGTGCAAGGATTATTCAATACTGCGATGTCCTTCCAGAGGTATTCGCCCGAAGAGTCCATGGATTTGAATCTCCACACTGTCTATGACTATGATCCGACAGAGGTAAGACCAAAAGATGCCAGGAATGTTGTCAAGTTCGTTAACCGTGTATTCAGTTCAATATCACCGTCAACGTCGCCACCAGGGAGGAAGGATTGAGGATTGATCTGACGTACTGGACTTCAAAGCTCTCAAGCGGTCAGGCCGTTCACATTGCCAACACTTATAGTACGGCCATTATGTCGCTTCTCTCCAACCCCGAGACTCTCCTGGCCGACGTGAATCTGCTTAGCCCCCTGGACAAATTATCTTTGAGCGACTGGAACAAGCAGCTCCCCTTTGAGGTCGATCGCTGCATGCACGAAGTCATTCACCAGAATGCGGTGGATCGCCCCAATTCTCATGCTCTGGAGTCATGGGAGGCAAACTACACATATGAACAACTTGACAAAGCATCTACGCGTCTTGCACGCCGTCTGATCGCGAAGGGAGTTTCACCTGATGATTGCGTTCCCCTGTGCTTTGAAAAGTCTTTGTATACGATTGTTGCTCTCGTTGCAGTTCTCAAGGCTGGTGGGGGATTTGTCCTCCTTGATCCAAAACATCCTGATGATCGGCTCAAGGGTCTTCTTGAAGACACCAAAGCTAGGTTTCTGATTGTTTCTCCCCAGACTCGAGAGCGCTGTGAGAGGCTTATTGCAGACTTGGTTGTCGTCTCACCGAGGATGTTGGATCAGCTTCCCGAGGAAGGCGATGACATCCCTGAGACAGCGGTCACCCCGGAGAACATCATGTATGTTCAGTTCACATCTGGCAGTACAGGAAAGCCTAAGGGTGCTGTCGTCCACCACAAGGCTGCCTGCTCATCTTTTGAGCACCACGGAAAGGTGATGAACTACGGACATGATTCTCGCATTTTCCAGTTCTCATCATATACCTTTGATGCCATTATCCTCGAGGCTTTCACAACATTGTACCATGGTGGTTGTGTCTGCATTCCCTCGGAGGAAGACCGCATGAGTAGTATGGTACAGTCTATGAGGGAGATGGAAGTCAACAATATGTTCATGACTCCAACTTTGGCTCGCCTGTTTGGACCTCAGGACGTTCCCTCCCTAACCACTCTCATGGTTGGTGGTGAACCAATTTCCCAGGATAACATCAATACATGGAAAGATCATGTCAACCTCATTGGAGGATATGGTCCCGCCGAATGCTGCGTCTATTGTTGCTACAATCCTCTCAGCGAGACTGGATTCAAGCCAGAGGTTATTGGATACCCGGTTGGTTCGGTACTGTGGATTGTTGATGCTGATAACCACGACAAACTCGTTCCCATTGGAGCCATTGGTGAAATCGTGGTACATGGTCACATTGTTGGCCGCGGCTATTTGAACGACCCAGTCAGGACTGCGGCAAGCTACATCTCCGGACCCAGCTGGATGTCCGAGTACCACGCGGGTGAGCAGACGCTGTACAAAACGGGTGACTTGGGTAGATACAATTCCGACGGCACTTTGACTATTGTCGGCCGTAAGGATACCCAGGTCAAACTCAACGGACAGCGTATCGAACTGGGAGAGGTAGAACACCATATCAAAACCGAGTTCCCGCAGGTTCTTCAAGTGGCAGTCGATGCGCTCAAGCCTGAACATGGTAGTGGACGACAGATCCTCTCAGCCTTCCTGGAGTTCGAGGCCACCGAGGAGGCCCAAGTCGAGGGCTTCCTGCGGCCCATGACTGACGACCTCCGAGAAACGATGTTCGAGATTGAAGCCGTGCTTGTCCGGCTCCTGCCACCTTACATGGTGCCCCATCTCTGGTTTCCCTTGGCTACAATGCCAAAGTCCGCCTCTGGTAAGACTGACCGCAAAGTGCTGAAGCAGCTCTGCAATGGTTTATCCAAGACCGAGCTTCAGCCATATTCTCTCGCTAGCGGTAGCAAGAAGGCTTTGGAGACACCCATGGAAAAGAAGATTGCAGAGCTTTGGAGTGCCCTCTTCAAGGTGTCTGATTTTGGTGCCAACAGCAACTTCTTCCGTGTCGGTGGTGACTCCATTGAAGCAATGAAGCTGGCCACTGCTGCTCGTCGTGAAGGCCTGTCTCTGTCTGTTGCCGATATATTCAACAACCCCAAACTCAGTGACATGGCACAGACTGCCGTCGCAGCTGAAGGTGCCTCTGCTGTACCGAAGTATGAGGAACCCTTTAGCCTGGTCGGCGGCGTTGAAAATGCTCGCTCGATTGTACAGAAGCATATTTCAAGTGAGAAGTTTGACCTGGTCGAGGATGTCTATCCTTCCACCTCCCTGCAAGAAGGTCTTCTTGCTTTGACTACCAGCCAAGCCAATGCATATGTCCTCCAGGCTCCATTCAAGCTACCACCACACATTGACTTGGACAGTTTCTGCAAAGCCTGGGACCGGGTCGTTGAGTCGAACCCTATTCTCCGTACTGTCATCATCTCCACTGAGACTCACGGCACATGCCAGGTTGTCCTGAAGCAGGCTATAAGGTGGGGTCATGCTTCGACACTAACACAGTATCTCGCGCAAGACAAGGAGAAGCCTATGACTTACGGAACACCACTAAGTCGTTATGGTTTGACATTGGATAGATATTTCGTCTGGACCGCGCACCACTCTCTCTATGACGGTTGGAGTTTCGCTCTGATGCTAGACGAACTGGAGAAGAGATACAAGGATCAATCCGATTCAATCTCTCGCCCTCTGTTTGCTGAGTACATTCAGTTTTTGCAGCAGCAGAGCAGTGTAGACGCCATCGCATTCTGGAAATCTCAACTTCAAGATGCTTCGCCAACCGTCTTTCCTCAACTTCCCAGCTCCCTTTATGAGCCAGATGTGGACCGGGCGTTCACGTACAATCTTGAGATCACTGCCCTCAATAGCCAGTCAAATGTGACGCCATCCACACTGCTTTCCGCTGCCTGGGCTCTTACGATCGCCTTGTTGACCAATTCTTCCAGTGTTACCTATGGATCAACTCGCAGTGGCCGGAATGTCAATCTTGCTCAAGTCTCTGAACTTATGGGGCCTACCATCGTCACAGTGCCAATGTCCATTGCGATTGATCCGTCCATGTCAGTAGGGGATTTCCTAGCTCGAGTGCAGAATCAGACAACGGAAGCCATTCCATTCGAGCACTTGGGTCTTCAGAATATCAGCAAGATAAACCCCGCCTGCAAGGCCGCTTGTGAATTCCAAAACCTGTTCGTTGTTCAGCCAGCGATGGTTGGTGGAACTGCGCTCGGAATGGAGCGAGTTGAGGTTCCCACCAAGGGATTGCATACATATGCTCTGAACGTGGAATGTATTCTCACCGAGGATGGCCATACCACCTTGAATTTCGAATATGACAGCAAGGTTATCCAGGGCTATCAGGTGCAACGGCTCGCCAAGCAGTTCCATCAAGTTGTTGATCAAATTTGCAATAATGAAGCCGACCTTAAGGTCGGTGACGTCGAGGCGTTCAGCGCAGAGGATGAGAAACAAGTTCGCCAGTGGAATGCCACACCTTACCCGGAGGTCACCAAGTGCGCGCATCATCTCATTTATGAGCGAGCTCAGCTTCACCCCGCGCAGTTGGCCGTTACGCAATCCGATGGTGTCAGCTTAACCTTCGGGGAGCTCGACAGCCTATCTACTTTCTTCGCTCACCATCTGTCTACTCGTGGCATTGCCCCTGGTCAGATTGTACCAATCTGTTTGGAGAAATCCGTTTGGGTCGTGGTCGCTATGCTCGGAGTAATCAAGACTGGTGCAGCCTTTGTCTGCCTAGATCCCTCTTCCCCACCCAGCCGAATGCAAGTTATTCTGGAAGACGTGGAGTCGGAGTTGATCGTTGTTGATGCGGAAACAACCGAGATCTTTAGTGGTCACTCTAGCCTCTTCGGCGCCCTGAATGCCGTTGAGATAGGCTCTGAAGCGCTTCAGGCCATCGGCCATCCCGCAGGCGATTTCGAGGTCAAGGGAAGCCCTCGCGATCTAATGTACGTGATTTTCACGTCCGGAAGTACCGGCAAGCCCAAGGGTGTCATGATTGAACATGCTTCTGCCTGTTCATCGTTTGTCTATCAAGGCCAGGTATTTGGCTACAACGACGAGTCGCGGGTTCTTCAATTCAGTGCGCTGACTTTTGATGCTTCGCTCATGGAAATCTTTACCACCCTTTGCGTGGGCGGCTGTGTTTGCTTCCCCACTGAGGAAGAAAAGCAAGGAGACATCGTGCACGCCATCAATCACATGCGAGTCAACTCTGTCATGCTTACTCCCACAGTGCTGCGAATGATTCAGCCTGACGACATACCCTTGGTCAAGCATGTCGTGACGGGTGGTGAAGCAGTGGGTAACGATGTTGTGCAAGTTTGGAGTGACAAGGTCACTCTCAAGGGTGTCTACGGCCCTACAGAGACCTCCATGATTTGTGTGACAGTCGATCTTGTTCCTGGTAGCTCTCCGGCCAATATCGGTGTGCCTCTGGGCTGTCAAAGCTGGATCACTCTCCCGGATGATCACAACCGCCTCGCGCCCATTGGTTCGGTTGGCGAACTTCTCATTCAAGGCCCCATCGTGGGACGCGGATATTACAAGAACCCCAAGCAGACTGAGGAGGTCTACATTGAGAATCCTACTTGGCTCCAACAGCGATTTGAAGAAACAGGTCGTCTGTACAAGACAGGTGACTTGGTCTACTATGCCAAAGATGGGAGCTTGATGATCGTGGGAAGAAAGGACGCCCAAGTGAAGCTTCACGGTCAGCGCATTGAGCTGGGAGAAATCAATCACAAGATGTGGTCGCACCCAGCTGTGAGACAATCATCGGTTCTGCTGCCCCAGCAGGGTCTTCTCAAGAATCGCCTTGTTGCTGTCCTCACTCTTGAGGGCACCGAAGAACAGATCACCCAACCCGAGCCTCTGCGGCCGTTATCTGAAGAATGGAAGCAATACTCCAATTTGCAGATTTCTAGCATCCGGCAGACTCTCAGAGAGAACCTCCCATCATACATGGTGCCCACTGTCTTTGTGGCAGTAGAGCAGATGCCGAGACAGACCTCTGGCAAAGCAGATATAAAGCAGGTCAAGAAATGGGTTGATGAGCTGGATGGCGAGATTGTGGAGCAGATCCTTGAGCTCGAGGCGACAGCTGGATCCGCGATTCCTGCCAACGAGACGGAAGGTGCAATCCAAGCCATCATCTCTAAGGTCCTGGATATTCCGACAGAAAAGATTGTTCTCAATCGCTCGTTCATCAGCTTCGGTGGTGATTCTATCACTGCCATGAAAGTGATGAACCGGCTGCGAGACGCAGGAATGAAGCTCAGCATCAAGGAGGTTCTCCTGACTGGATCGATCTCTGAGCTCGCCGCCATGGTAGCAGCCAAGCGTGAGCAGGCCTCTGCGCAAGACGAGGTCAAGTCTGCCTCCGAAATGCTTGTACAATCTCAGAAGAGATACCCGTTGCTACGCCTTGAGGACAGCCACATCGAAACCATCCTAGAACAGCGCTTGTCTAGTGTGGGTTTCACAGACTTGAATGCTGTAGAAGATGTGTACCCATGCTCTCCTCTCCAGGAGGGTATTCTACTAGCCCAAACTAAGGGAGTAGGAAGTTATAACGTGGACAACATCTATGAGATCCGACCAAGGAACCCATCAGATCAAGTGAATCCGCACCTGCTCGCTGACGCCTGGAAAGCAGTCGTTGGTCGCCATCAAATCTTGCGCACTATCTTCATCGAGGGTCTCGAAGAGAGTAGCGCATTCGACCAGGTCGTCCTGCGCAAGGCTCACAATGAACCTATTGTCATCGAGGGTGTCAACGGCAGCGCCAAAGACTTCTTGCACGGTCTTGCTGCTCCCAAGTTCAAGTCCCTGGAGCCTTGGCTCAGTCTCACTATCTGCTCTGATGCTAGTGGGTCCGTCTGCTGTGCAATCCGGATGCACCACACCCTGTTTGATGCAGCATCTATGGACATCGTTCTCCGTGAGGTCGCTCAAGCCTACCAGACAAGCCTCTCCAGTCCGGCTCCGCTTTACAGTAATTACATCTCCTACTTGCAGGAGCAAGAGGAAAACAATGCGATTGAGTATTGGAAGACATACCTCGACGGGCTGGAGCCATGCTACTTCCCCAGCATCAATCAGGATGCAATGGGATTGAGAAAGCCGCAGTCACTGCAATTCAATGTCCCCGGTTTCCGCAGGATTGCTGCTTTCTCGTCCAGAAAGAGTCTGACCATTTCCAGCGTTCTGCAGACCGCCTGGGCACTTGTGCTCCGTCATTATACAAGCGCGGGAGATGTTAGCTTCGGATATCTTTCCCATGGTCGTGATATCCCGTTGGATGATGCTGAAAGCATTGTCGGCCCCATGATCAATATGATGGTTTTACGCGTTGTTTTCTCGGAGGACAAGAAGCTGATCAATATTCTCGAGGGAGCTCGCGACGATGTCCTGAACAGTTTGACTTACCAGCACTCCTCTCTGGCAGAGATCCATCATGCTCTTGACCTCCAGGGAAGGTCAGCCTTCAACACAACACTCTCATTTGCTTCTGCTGCTGCAGATGCTGCGGAGGATGTAATCAGTTTTGAGAACCTTGCTGGTGGTGGTTCCACTGAGGTAAGTTTGCAAATTCACCCAGCTCCTTTTGGCTTGCCAATGCTAATTCACCTACAGTATGATATCGCGGTTAACGCTAGCGTCGTGGGCGAAGAGCTACAAATCAACTTTAGTTATTGGTTTTCGGCACTTTCGGACCAACAAGCAAAGGCTGTCGCTCAGTCGTTTTCGAACTTCATTGATATCTTGACCCGCTCGCCGGAGGCGTCTTTGCGGGAAGTTGACTTCACCAGTGGTGCAATGAAGGACCAACTTCTACGGTGGAACTCGACTCCTTACAAGCCTGTTCGCAACACAGTGCATGAACTATTCCACCGCGCTGCACTGAAGTACCCTCAGAACGCAGCAATCTGCTCCACGGATGGCAACTTTACCTACTCTGAACTGGACGATTTAACTACGCGATTCGCAGCCTTCCTGCGCGGTCGTGGGGTGGGACCAGAAGTTCTGGTTCCGGTTTGTTTCAATAAATCGTGCTGGACCATTGTATCGATGTTGAGTATCCTGAAAGCCGGCGGTGCTTGTGTGCCGCTCGATCCATCTCACCCGCCGGCTCGACTTCAGGAGGTCATCTCCCGCTGCGAAGCAAAACTGATCCTTGCTGCTCCTCAATTCGTTCAGCGACTCACCGACATGGCCTCGGATGTTGTTGCTGTCACTGATGCATTGTTACAAAGCCTGCCCGAACAGGTAAACTCAGAGTTTGGCGAAGCTCAGCCTGAAAATGCCGCCTTTGTGCCCTTCACCTCAGGCAGTACCGGTCTGCCCAAGGGCATTATTCTTGACCACATGGGCCTGTGTACCATGTTCCTCGCAAATGCTTCGGTTGTGGGAATTGGTCCGAACACACGCACCTTTCAATACGCGGCCTATACTTTCGACGTCAGTATCGCAGAGACCTATATCACATTGACACACGGTGGTTGTGTTTGCGTGCCAACCGATGCCGAGAGAATGAACGATATTTCGGGGGCTATCACGCGCATGGAAGCGAACTGGACCTTTTTGACTCCGTCAGTCGCTTCTTTGCTCAAGCCGGGTGACGTCCCCACCTTAAAAACCTTGACTCTAGGAGGAGAGGCAATTTCTCGGGACCTCCACAACACTTGGGCCGACAAGGTTCGTCTCATCAACAGTTACGGTCCTGCCGAGTGCTCGATCTGGACCAGCAACCAACAGCTATTTCCTGAAAGCTCTTGTGCTGATATCGGCGCTGGTATCACCTGCTACTTGTGGGTCACCGAGCCCGATAACCATGACCGTTTGGTTCCTATCGGGTGCGTCGGAGAGCTGATTGTGCAGGGACCTAACCTGGCAAGAGGCTATCTCAAAGACGAAGAGAAGACCGCGGCCGCCTATATCGACACTCCAGCATGGCTGCGCAGCGATACCCGACCGGCGGCCAAGCGTGTCTACAAGACCGGTGACTTGGTGAGACATTGCCCTGACGGCCGTCTCGAGTTTGTGGGACGCAAGGATACTCAGATTAAGTTCCACGGTCAAAGAATCGAGATTGGCGAAGTCGAATATCAACTTCGTGCCAGGCTTCCCGAGAATACCCAGGTTGCTGTGGAGATGATCAAGCCTCTCAGCCAGGGCAGCAGACAAATCTTGGCTGGTTTTATCGTGGTTGAAGGTACTGCCAAGGACTCCCTCAAAGGCTCTTCGGATGACCCGGCGTCGTTCCTGAGGGACCCGAGCAGTGAATTCAAAAACATGGTGCGCCATCTCGAGCAGTCGCTCGCGGAAACGCTACCAGCATACATGATCCCATCTGTCTTTGTTGACATGATCAATATCCCCCGAAACACGTCCATGAAGATTGACAGAAAGGCGCTTCGCATTCTGGGAGCCAATCTATCTCTTGAACAGATCGCGACATACTCATTTGCGCAAGGCGACAAACGGGCCCCGGAAACAGCGATGGAAAAGCGCCTGCAGGAGCTCTGGGCCTCCGTCCTCAAGATCAGCCCCGAGTCTGTTGGTGCTGATGACAGCTTTTTCCGCATCGGCGGCGATTCCATCGGTGCCATGCAGTTGGTGTCTGCCGCTCGCAAGGCTGGTCTTTCCATCACCGTTGGAGATATCTTCCAGCACCAGAAGCTATGCGAAATGGCCACTGTTGTCGCCGCCACTGATGTCATTGTCCCTACTCAGGTTGAGCCGTTCTCGCTGCTGCCAACCTTGGAAGAGGACCTCATCGATCTCGCAGCTTCAAAGGCGGGCATCCAACGCAATCTCCTACAGGATGTCTATCCTTGCACTCCGCTGCAGGAAGGCCTCATGTCTCTCACTGCCAGAGACCACGGGCTGTACACTTTGCAGGCTGTGTACCGTCTGCCCAGCACGATCAACATTCAAGACTTCCAACTTGCCTGGATGGCTGTCGCCGAAGAACTGGATATTTTGCGTACCAGACTGGTTGATCTCGGCCGTCTGGGTTCTTACCAAGTTGTCCTGAGCCCTGCTATCAGTCAAATCCGGTGGACCTACGGCGACAACTTGACTGCCTACCTCCGCCAAGACCGAGAGATTCCTGTCAGTTACGGTACCGCTCTCGCTAGGTATGCCATTATCCGAGAAGAAGAACAGACCTATTTCGTGTGGACTGCCCACCATGCGATCTACGATGGCTGGTCCCTCGGCCTGATGATGGATCTGGTTGAACAGAGGTATCTGAAGAAGTCGACAACTCCCAGCCCACCCTTCAACAGATTCATCCACTGGCTCACCAACCTCGACAAGTCTGCCACTCGGCAGTACTGGAAGTCGACCTTCGACGCTTGCTCCGCACCGCAGTTTCCTTCGGTCCCCAAGAATTACCGAACCAGGGCCAAGAGCGTCATGACACACTCCATCAGTTTGCCGCAGATGGCGGACTCCGATATCACAGTGCCTACAGTTCTTCGCACCGCGTGGGCTCTCAACATCTCTCAGTACACTCGCTCCGACGATGTGGTTTTCGGTATCACCCAGACTGGCCGCAACGCTCCTATCGCCGGAACCACGGAGATTGTCGCCCCCCTTATCACCACCTTGCCAGTACGCGTTGTGTTTGACCAATCGCAAACGGTCAAGAACCTTCTGCAGGACTTACAGAAGCAAATGGTTGCGATGATCCCACATGAGCATGTTGGTCTCCAAAACATCGCCAAGTTCAGCCCCGAGTGCCAGGCCGCATGCAAATTTGAGAACCTTATCCTCATCCAGACTCAGCAAGATCAGATGATCTCTCCCATTGGTTTGGAGCGGATTCCTGTCACGGACCTTGACATTCCCGCTTTTGGCATCGTGGCTGAATGCGAGGTTGCAGACGGGCAAGTCCTGGTCTCAGTTGGATATGACAGCAATGTGGTATCTGAAAAGCAAATGTCGAACATCCTGCACCAATTCGACTTCCTTGTGAACCAAATTGGTGGCGGAGACGCGAGCACCAAGCCATTGAAGGAGGTGCAGCTTCTGGGTGATAATGACATCCAGATGCTCGAGGAGCTGAACCAATCGCCTGATGATCGTGTTTACCGATTGGCTCATGAGCTGATCCACGAGCGCGCTCGGCTGCAGCTGGAGGCAATCGCAATTGATTCCCAGGAGGCCCAGATCAGCTATGGCGAGCTTGACGATCTTTCCACCCGTCTGGCTTACTTCTTGACTGGGCTTGGCGCTGGGCCTGACAAAATCATTCCCTTGTTCTTCCAGCGATCCCCTTGGGCGATGGTGGCCATGCTTGCTGTGATGAAGAGTGGCAGTGCGTTTGTTTTCCTCGACCCAGGCCACCCGGTAGACCGTCTCGAGTTCATTCTCCAGCAGATTGATGCCAAGTTGGTCCTCACCTCCCCTGACTTGGAACCAACCTGGAGAGGCAAGCTTGCAGTCTTCTGCATCACCCCCGCCTCGCTTGATACGCTTCCTTCTCATGGCGAACCCCCCGTGACTGCAGTGACACCAGACAATATCATCTACTGCATTTTCACATCTGGTAGTACCGGACGACCTAAGGGATGTGTGATCGAACACTCGAACTTCCTCAGTGGTGCCGTCCACCACGCGCGCCGGTCCCGCATCTCGCAGTCTACACGGATCATGCAAATTGCTCCATACACCTTCGACGTTAGCATTCTGGAAATGCTGACTGGGCTAATTGGTGGCGGCTGCATCTGCCTTCCTCGAGATGTTCATCATGGTTCTAAGGTCTCTGACATCATTAACGATCTCAACATCAACTGGACCTTTATGACACCCTCTGTCGCCCGCACCATCGCCCCCTCAGATGTGCCGAGCCTGCGGACCCTAATTCTCGGTGGTGAAGCATTGGCTAAGGTTGACATCCAGACCTGGGCCGGCAAGCTGCATCTGATCAATGGATATGGGCCCAGTGAATGCTCCGTCGCGGTGGCTGCCAATGAAGTCAGCGATCCCACAGTTGAGCCTGCCAACATCGGTTGCAAGATGGGTTGCAATATCTGGGTCGTGGATCGCGAAGACCATGACATTCTCCTGCCCATGGGCGCCGTGGGCGAGCTGCTGGTTGAAGGTGCCATCGTCGGACGGGGCTACCTCCACGAACCCGAAAAGACCGCCGCGGCTTTCATTGAAAATCCCCGTTGGGTGCAGCTCTTGCCCAGCACAAAGTCATCGGCAGCTCCTCGCCGGTTCTACAAGACGGGAGATCTCGTCCGACTTAACGAGGACGGCACGATCCACTTCATCGGCCGCAAGGACACTCAATTCAAGCTCCGTGGTCTGCGTATAGAGATGGGCGATATTGAGCACCATGCTGGTACATTCCCCAGCATCAAGCATGGCGTCGTGGCGGTGCCACGTGCCGGACGCATGAAGGAGAGTATTGTCGTGGTATACACGCTTAACGGTCACGACGACTCTCAAGAGGTTTCAGATTTGCGCCCCTTGTCTCTTGCTGATCTAGAGCTCAGCCTGATGTCTCCTGGTCAGCTGAAGCATCACCTGGCCACTCATCTTCCGCCCTACATGGTCCCCAAGACCTTCATCGGCGTGGGCACTCTACCTCTCCTCGCCTCCGGCAAGATCGACCGCCCCAAGCTTCAGAAGTGGCTTGAGAACATGGACGACTCCACCAATGAACTAATCGCCGCTCAGAGCGGTATAACAGCGAGTCATGAAGCGGCGCCCATTGATCCGGCTGACACCCTCGCTCTGACCCTCAGTGAGTCCATCAGTGAGCTGTTGGCTGGCGATGACGAGGCCTACCTCGAATCGCTTCAAGGTCGCAACATCATTCTGTCGCAGAGCGGATTGAACTCCATCACCGTGGTCTCGCTGCGTGCGATGATCCGTGACAGATTCGACGTGAATCTGTCCCTTGATCGTCTCATGGACAGCACCGTCAGTATTCAGGATGTGGCACGCATGATCGAGCAAGGCGACGACGCTACCGACGAGCAAGGAATCGATCTTCTCGCAGAGGCCGATGTCATGATGGAAACCCTGATTGCCGAAGCGTCGGACGTGGAAACCCTACCTCTGGCCACCGACCGAGCTGAGCGGGTTCTTCTCACAGGCGCCACGGGCTTCCTTGGCAGTGAGATTCTCCGGCAGCTTTTGGTCAACTCCGACAGTCGCACGGTGGTGGCCATCGTTCGTGCACGAGACGAGCAGCATGCTATGGAAAAGATTGTTGCGTCGGCCACTGCAGCGCAATGGTGGCAAGAGGAGTACCGCTCGCGGGTGAGCGTCTGGGTTGGCGATCTCGCCGCGCCGCTTCTCGGTCTGAGCGCCGCACAATGGGCGGCCATCAAGGGCCGCAGCACCGATGCCAAGTCGCACATTGATGCCATCATCCACAACGGTGCCATGGTTCACTGGGGTGCAGACTATCACCGCCTACGCGCAGTCAATGTTTTCAGCGTGGTCTCCCTATTGGCTGCCTTGACGCACTCGCCTGCCCCTCCTAGTTTCACTTTTGTGTCCGGCGGCCACGTCCCCCTGGACGAGAACATTACCGACGAGATGTTGGCCGCCGAGCTGGCCCACGCGACTGGATACGGCCAGTCTAAGTTCGTGGCCGACCTCGTGGTGAAGCGCTTTGCCCAACGGTACGCGACGACGGCGGTGTCAATCGTGAAGCCAGGTCTCATCGTGGGCACTGCCCAGTCCGGCGTGTCCAACACGGACGACTTCCTCTGGCGTGTCGTGGCAACTGCCGTGGAAACCGGTGGCTTCAACGCAGAAGAGCCGGAGAATGTTATCCTCCTAGCAGGTGCCCAGCAAGTTGCCTCCATCGTGATTAGCAACCAACTCTCCAGCAAAGAACCGCGTGGCATCGAAAACAGGGTCCGCCTCGCGGTGACGACGCAGGAGCTCTGGCGTATGCTCGTCGACGACTTCGGCTACGCTCTACAACCGATGGGCCCAGCCGAGTGGCTCGAGTCCATGAAGGCAGCGGTGCATGCCCAGGGCGAATCTCATCGCCTGTGGCCCGTCCTGCACTTCCTCGAGGCCGGCGGTGGCTACATGGGCCAGCCCGTCGCGGCTGGTCAGCCACATGGCGCCGAGCCAGGGCCCCAGAAGAATGAACTGCTGGCGTCGTTGCGCAAGAGTATCACCTACATGCGCCAGATTGGCTATTTCCCTGGTGCTGAGGCCACTGTTTCACAGAAGGTGGTGTTTGGCCGCACAAAGGCGTGATTATATTGTTTATTTTTGATTTGTATATTTTGTCCCAAATTTCTTGTTCGCTTTTGCGCTAGCGTTGATTAGGAATTGTCCTGTGCTCTGTATGTCAAGATTAGGATTTTTTACCTGGTTTTTGAAGTTAAAGGAGAATCTTTACTTCTTTCCTACCTGATATAGAACACTCATAAAGGACTGTAGTATCCGCTCACAACATAGATTAACTTCATCATTGTCAGGCTTTCTGTCTGTAGTAGATCACTGTTGAAAAGCCCAGAGTAGCGGAACAATTCGCTTCGATAGCCCATCCATCGACTACTCAGCTAGGTGCCTTATGATTCTCAATGGAGCATAGTAGTTATTCTAGAAATACCGGGTTCTATTTGATTCTGTGATTTTAATGTGGTGGGAGACCTCAAATCTTAGCTATATAGAAAGCGGCAGAGGTGATTCAGAGCGTGGCTGAGTCCACTAACAATTGTAACGCACCGGATCTTGGACATTGAGTGGCTTGAATATGACAAGAAACTAGCCGATGAAGTGAATATCGTGGTGCACTCGACGATCCACAACAACCTTCTCTTATTTATCTCAAGCTAAGCTTTGCTCCGGGTCGAACAACTTGTGTTTTCCTTGTTGCACGGGCTTGATCAGCTATGTAAGCCGGGGAGAGGAGGTTCAAATTTTTGTCTGTCTCGTTCCGCCGATTATTGTGTCCTCATTCTTCAACAGCTAGCTGGGATTACAGTATAGCTTCACCGGTGAACTTTCTGGATTGGGGTCCCGGTTGGCGCGAGATCTCGCTCTCACGCTGTGGGTGAGCGACGTTGCGTTTGCAGCGACCCCTTCCGCGGTTCAGGTAAGTTGATTCCCGAAAATCACCACTGGAAGATCTCGTCGCCGATCTTCACATTCTTCCGCATGAAGGTGATCTTCGCCTCGCGACCCTCTTCGAATTTCCCGTCGACGGTCACGCGCACCTCGGGCGGAATATCGGCCGGCGTATACTCGGCGCCCAAGTCGAGCCCGGCACCTTGTTCTTCGCGGTGGGCGATCTGCAATGCCAGCCGGAAGTAGAGGTCCGAGTCCCAAACGCCTTCGCGGCGCTTGCTGCGGCCGATGATGTCAATCGCGCGGTACCGCACGCGGGAGTCGCGGCACCGCGTTGCGACCGTCCACAAGGCAGGCAGGATCCCTAGCGACATCGAGAAGTACGAGGGTGAGGAATGAGGCGGTCGAGGCAGGATGGTGGCGTAGGCTATGGAGGGAGAATCGTGCCGGATCGGGGAGTTCTCGCGGAGGGACGAGGAAGGCGGGCGTTCGTCTGGTGCGGGGCTGCTGGAATCCGAAGGGCTGCTGCGGGTTTTGCCCACGGCAGGAGGCGAGCGAGACGACTCGACGGGAGGAGGGGACATGAGAATGATCTCCTCCGCGAGGTTGAGTACGGTGGTGAACTCGCTGAGATGACCGTCCCAGGCTGTTTCGGCGGGAGGCCACTCCATGTGCAGAAGCACACCCATCATGGTGCGCCAGAGCTGAAGCATCCGAACCAATTGGTGCGAAGCGGGGTCCGCACCGTCCCAGCGAAACACGTTGACGAGGAAGCAATCAAATTCCAGCGACCATGCGTCCAGGTCGGCCTGGACCTGATGATACCGCGCCAGGATTTGCTCCACGATTTGCGCCATCTGCGCCTCGGTGTGCGGCACATCGAGAGTAGAAGAGAAACTCAGCAGTCGCAGGAAGTCATTGTAGATGTGGCGGAAGGAGTCGTTGGCCTCCTCGAGCGTCCACAGAGGTTGCGGTAATCCGGGACCCCTCACCAGCAGCAGTCCGTTCCTCTCCGAAAGAGGCGATTTCCCGTCGATTTCCAGCATCTGGCTTTCTAAGACGGCGAAAATCGACTGAATCACGTCCGGTGGCAGCAGGGTGTTTCCCACCGGTCGTCCGCGCAGTTGCTGCTGGGCGAGAATGCGCAGCCCCGCGGCAACGTGCCGGAAGGCGGCTCGGAAGTGGCCCTGAAGGCTCTCGAAGCAGAAGAAGAGCACGCACATGGATAGAATGCTGTCGGCCGATCCGTCGCCGTTGCCCGGGAAGTACTTGAGCCCGCGTCGGATGGCCGAGTTGTACTGCTGCAGAGCGAGTTGCTTGCCCCTCAGGCTGGCATGTGGCGGGGTATTGTCCCCGTGTAGAACCACCCGCTGCAGGGAACACAACGCCATGGCCGCCAGTCGTATCCCCGGGTCCTGGCAGGCGGCGTTGAGCAGATGACCGCCCGCGCGGGCTCCGAAACACGCGGCCGTCCGCGCATGGAAGAACTCCAGGGAGCGGTATTCCTCTTCGGTGAGGAGCTTGTCAACGGTGGGGAACATCCACATGTGGGTGGGCTGGGTCACCTGCGGTGTGTGCTGGATGATGCGCATCTCGGAAGGGCCGTTATTCGCCTGTTGCTGCTTCGTGGGGAGCATATTGTATCCGTCGCATTTCCGACCCGTGGACTGGCATCGTCGGCAGTGCGGCCGTTCTTCATCGCATTTCACCCGTCGGATTCTAGGGAGATCATGAACACACACTAATCCTTTCTTACTTGGCTCCTCTTAGGACGGTGACACTCACCGACACGTATTGCACCCATTTCGAGATCTGCTCTGCAGCAATGGGCGACGGTGGTTGATGTTGTTGTCCGGGATGGGACTGGCGTCATGGTGGGCGTGACTCTGGATGTTTCGCGGAGCCATGATGGCGGACGCTTTTCTGTCATGATCGGGTGTCTTGGAGACGAGGGATACAAGGTTGCGTGGGTGGAGAATGAATGAAAGGCATGGTTCTAAACGCGGTCGATAGTCGAGATGTGAAGCCGTCCATGGTTAAACGCGGGGGGAACGAATCCACTTGCAGTTGATGCACGTGGTGCGACTGTCATGTGATTCTGCTATCAATGCTGCGACCGGAGGGACGTTGTTCCCGCTCCGCCAACGATCCGAACCCTGTAGAGATGATCGATATATGTATAAAAGACCATTCTCTGAGGTCTGTACTTCACTGGGAGCATATTTGCGCTTTACTCTGACTTTCAAACCTGAGGGATGTAGCACCAGCTCTCACCACCCTTTTATCCCTCTGTCCCGGCCAGTGGGCGAGTTGTACTTAGCCAACCTCAGAGAAATAGTATATAATTATGCGAGCTTCAAGCTTCTCTCGTGACCAAAAGAAACCGCCCAATATCTTGAGTTTTGCCGGCTATAAGATTCAGCCTAGCTCCTGTCCCCTTCCTCTCAGCTATTAGTTTATACCACACTATTAATCCTACCGCTTGTAGCCACACCGCGCCAGCCAGGGCGGGAATCGCGGTCAACCCATGCAGATAATGGGGGGGCATCGTCCGTTCGGAAGCTTTAGCATCCACTGATTCCAGAGAGAGTTGCGGCCATGATAATGGGACTACCATCTTTGTCAGCCTGTTGAAACTTTTGGCTTAATGGGTGAAGAAAGGGAAGAATGAAGTGACAGAAGACGCATAGTCACGAACAAACACTCGGAGACTGACCTCTCAGGTGAATTGCCAGTCCACTTTGCTCGAACTGGGTTGACGATTGGAGTCCATTGATTCAGCGGATCAAGAATCCAAGCCTAGTTGTTCTACTGACATCATCAGAGGGTTGCAGTCGATATGATCTGCAGATTACCCCTTTCATCTGGAGAAACGGTGCAAAGTATCCTTCTTAACTGGGGGCTATACGTATTACTGCATTCCCGCTTAATTAGTGGTATAGTGTATATACCACTGTCGTCTTCCAGGCCCAGCCCAGAAGCCGGTATATCAGTCCCTCAGATTTCCGAACGAGCATGCATGGGTCAATCTTATTCAAGGTCTCCCAAGCATGACATTTGACCCCGCTTTGTCCCCGACTCCCAGTGACCGCCGACTCTCACCTTCTCGCCTTTCCCTTGTTCCACTACTCAAGAATCGTGTCTCAGAGGCTTATTAGATATCAGGGCAACTACCACTGCGGCAACGTGAGATTTGGAATCGGAGGCACTAAACTACTGGACGCGGGTGCCAGCTCGCTTAAACTGCCAGCTCGCTTACCGATTACATTATTTAATATGTGCTTGGTAAAAGATCAGTGAGTACGCCGGAGCACAAAGAGAGCAGTCACGTGCTGTCCTTATAAAAGCGGCGGCACCTGTATAAGGCAAGCGGACGGGACTCGCAGCAAAACATTCCAGTAATGGGACTACAGAGTACACTGTCGTGCAGTTCTTGCGGACTCAGACACCTCGCCTACCACCCCCAAAGTCCAGCATGTAAAAATAAAAATGATTCCCCCACCGGTTTTCAACAAGCCGTTTTGCGAGATCGGGGATATTCTTCTGCTTGAGTGACCGGATCATTCAAGATTGGGCTATAGTAAGGATTATCGTGATCGAAGTCTTTTCTTTTCTACATACATTGTAGGATGTGATTGTGTTGGCATCTCTGTATGTATATATCAGAGAACGAAATATGCTACTCAGCAAAAGATCTTCCTTGATCTAACTTCCCTTGATTTGCTGTACTGCTTATACATTTATCAGACGCTGCTAACGACTACTCGAGGTCGGTCCACCACGTCGCATCATCCAGCCAGAAAAGACGCTCAGTCAACTGTGGACAACGAGAAGAAACTCATCAGAGACTCCAAAGCTTACAAATACTGATCCTTCCTAACAATATAGTGCAAGATTAAAGGGTCTCGTGTTAACAGTCAGTCTGCAACCTCCAGCCAGCGTTTTCTTGTTCGGGTAAGGTGAGCGCGGGCGGGCCGTGGGTGACGTGGGGACGAAAGCACGCTAGCCCCGAAAGGGAATGCGCTGGACAAGGCCCTGAGCTGAGCCTGGAGCCACCCAAGTCAAGTTTATGGTTCAGATTGGAGATCGAGAATGATGCAGACATGAAAGAATATCGAGCTATGGCTGCTGATCACAAACACGAGAGTATGAGGGAATCCGGATTTGTACATGGCGCTCTTGACGAATTATAAGTAGTGCTTGAGTGCCGCCTTTCACTTCGCCTTTCCCAATTCTCATCTGCCGGTATCATTACAGATCTAAATCGACTCTTTTTCTTACGGAGGTTTATCTATTGATTGAACCTGGTCTCTATCAAACTCTCATTTCACATTGCACCTAGAGAAGAACCTAGTCCAACAGTCTCCGCAACATGAAGGCCATTTTTATCGAACAGTTCGGAGGCCCAGACTCCCTGGTGATCAAAGAAATCCCGCGACCCGAACCCCAGACCGGCGAGGTCGTCATCAAAGTCAAAGCCTTCGGCATCAACCACGCGGAAATGCACATGCGCAAAGGGGAATGGGCCGAGTGGATGCCTGTGAGCGGGATCGAATGCGTTGGAATAGTCGTGGACTGTCCGGATGGAGAATACGCAGAAGGGACCGCCGTGGCCAGTCTAATGGGCGGCCTTGGGCGCACCATCAACGGAAGCTATGCCGAGTACACCCGCGTACGGGCTTCTAATGTTGTCGAGCTCGGTCCAGGTGCGTCGACGCTGGGGTGGCATCAGCTGGCTGCGATCCCGGAGTCCTACGCCACAGCCTGGACGTGTTTGTTTCGCAACCTCGACTTGAGAAGCGGGCAGACGCTACTGATCCGCGGCGCGACCTCGGCTTTCGGCCAGGCAGCCTTGAATCTAGCCGTGGAGAAGGGCGCTCGTGTGGTTGCGACGAGTCGCAGGGAGAGTCGCTTCGCGCACCTTAAGGCTCTGGGCGCCGAGCGTGCAGAGGTCGAAAGGCCCAATCTGTCGGAGCGGTTGGCAGAGAAATTCGACGCCATCTTGGACTTGGTGGGCAACAGCACAATTGTGGATTCACTGAAGATGGTGCGACGGGACGGACGGGTTTGTCTGGCTGGGTTTCTGGGGGGGTTGGCACCGATCCAGGATTTCAATCCGCTCCGGCAGATGGCCAGTGGAGTACATTTCAGCTTCTTTGGAAGTTTTGTATTTGGAACCCCGGAGTTTCCCCTATCCGACGTCCCCCTCCAGTCCATCGTGAAAATGGTTGCCGATCGAAAATTCACAGCAGAGCCGTCGCGTGTGTTCCAATTTGACGAGATCAGGGAGGCGCATCGAGTGATGGAAGCCAACGAAGCCAACGGAAAAATGGTCGTGGTTGTTGATGAATAAAATTGTCTTCGTCACGAGAAAGAAATCTGGTCTTCCAAGACATCCAGTGAACAAAACAAGGTGTCAGGAATCCGGAGAAATTGTCCAATCAGATCCTTATAGTCAGTAAATTTAGCCACTCCCAGGAATACCATCATTTCCTCAAGTGGGCCTACAAAGCAGCCACGCAGTTCCCTACTCAGACATGAAGCACAAGCACCAACTGTCAATGCCCAGACAAGATAGATCTGATGGCTCGTCGAAAGAAAAGAGAGCTTCATATCACGCACGAGTAATTGCAACTTAGATCCGTATAACAGACCAGGGATGGTGTCTAGGCCAAATTTCCCACGAAGCTCTGTCAGATAAACAATCGTAGCTAGACGAAAACATTCCATCACACGCGCCTCCATGGTATCGTGGACTGTGGCACGTGTTTGTGACAGCAGAATGTGTGAAATTGGTGAAATATGAAAACCGGGAAACAAGATGTCAGACCATAGATCCCGTTTCAATAATTCAGACAGCATGATCACATGCAACTCGGCAAGGCTCTGACGGATATATGAGACAAAGAAGTTGCGGTTGTTGCTTTCGCCGTCAAGCGATAGGTCGAACTGATACGAGGCCATGGTGAGCTTGCTACGACCGGCCAAGATCGCTAGAGGCTGATGGTATCGAGGCATACTGTCTTGAATATATGCGCCATTGACATCCACCCTACACATCCATTAGTCAGGAGGACAGCAGCAGAGCGGTATGTGCTCACCAATACAGCATGGTCCTCAGCAGTGGGTTAGAGTCGAGAGATTGGACGCCACCTCTGCAGTCAAGGATCCGGGATAGACCATCCATGTGAACATTCAACAGCTTTGGATCCCGCGTCATGTTCTTGAGTGGGGCTGGTTAGTCACTGAAGCATTGATCGAGTGTCACTGCAGTATCTCACAGCATAACAACAGAACGCTAGCACAGCAACGACCACTTCGTCAGTCACACAAGTTGTGGGGTCTCGTAGACGCTGCTGCAGGAGAGTTGTCGCATGAACGGTGTACCGGTAGTGATCCGTGCCGCTGTCGTCGGCGAATAGATGGCCCAAGTGTTTTGACGAGGCTGATAACAGTTGTGATAGAGCGATGGATTCACGGACGACGTCGAGAAAACCGATGTCGAGCATGGTTCGAAACATAGAGCAAGTTCCATCGTACACTACAGGCATATTGCGCTGTTGCTTAGACTAGTGGGATCTCATACAGAAAGAAAAATCTTACTATGGTCCCAGAGCCGACGAGTTCGTCGATCGCGTTCGATCGGAAATGTCCCGAATGGGTCCGATCGACTTGCATCCAGCATCGAGAGCGGAGCTACCGAGACAAGGCCATCTGTGCAGGCCTGCTGCTTTTCGGGCAATGATGGAGAAGCAACCAGGGGTGATAAAACAGAGCCCTGCAGTAGCGGGCTCGTATCAACCTCAATGGATGTGGTTTCCTTTCGCTTGGGTTTAGCGGTTCGTCGGCGATAGTCGACCATCGCGTGGCTGCGAACGCGTCGCCGCGTGACTGCGTCGCCGGCTACATTGTCACCCGCGACGGAGATGAACTCGAAGTGTGATGCACGTGGACCTCTGCTCCTGGCTGGCTTGCTTGTTGTCATCGTGACAAAGCTTCTATACAACTCGGTGTTGTACCCAGTGCGTTGCGAGAATGAAAGCATTTCAGGTCAATCTTGGTTGGACGGGCGTAGTGCGAGCTTATCTCATCCTTCCCCGCATGATAAGTTACTTGGACCTCAGAATACAAATTGCGTAGGCTGCCAGAATTAAATTGCTTGCCAAGCAGATCCACTTGCGACGAAGAAGCATTTGTACATTTACTGGAAGGCAGTATGCTATCATAGACATGGTAACTCTATGCTGCCAGCCACATTGGCAATACGACTTCTAACGGCAAGATTCTCATATTATCTCACAGCACCCAAAATCAACCCCATATCCGACGGACACAATGGCAAGACAAGACCATCATTTGAGTCCAAGGCTAGCCTCCACATTATCTCTTCAAATCCAGTTACATACACCCCTCAAGACCCCCGATAAGTCGAGTAATTCCACGGCCCCAACAGCACGGGCACATGGTAATGCCGCCACCCTTCCTCGCCGTCCTTGCCCCGCCCCTTGACCGTGAACTTGACCTCGACCTCGGGCCAGAAGCTTTCCACCCCCTGGGCCTCGTACCAGGGGCCCACCTCGAACCGCACCGCCCAGTTGGTCTTGCTGTCGGACGCGGGGAGGGCAGCCAGGATCGCCGGGACGGATTGTGCTTGCGACGAGCTGGTAGTCAGAGGCTCCCAGATCGCGACGCGGCCGTCGGCGTTGGTGGTCGCGCGGAACGTGGGGGGTTCTTGTGCTGCGCCTGTGGGACTGGACAGGAGCGTCAGGGTCACGGGAAGGTTGGCGGCGGGCGTGCCGGTGAGGGTGTTGAGGACGTGGCAGGTGATTGGGTCACGGGACATTTTCGAACTAAGGGGATTGGATTCGGGGGTTAGGTGTGTTGTTGTTGTTGTGGACTGGAAGGAGGAAGAGGAGGAGGGCGGTTGCTGGGTGTGGTTGAGTTGGTTGCGGACGAGGCTCAGACGCTCGGTGATTTGGGCTCGATGGATTGGGCCTGTTGACGGCTGGTGCGGTTGTTGGGTGCTGTCCATGAAATGCCTCGATTCAATGGTGAACGGTGCTTGAGGGATATGGCTGTAGAATCGATGGGAATGGTGAGCGATAAAGGGTAGTGTGATGTGTTTTGTCAGTCAGTGAAGGGGAGAGTTTAAATGATCATTATCTCCGGACCCGCATCGAATGCTCTATCGGAGAGCACCGATACCCCGCCCGCGGAGGATGCCACCGCCGCCAGCCGGGCTGGTGAGCTTGTTTCCTAATCCGGATTCAGATCTTGGCGTTGGGCTATTGTATGCCTCAGGCACGACGCGCCCGCCAATACGGAGGTTGTTTACTGTTATCCCAGCTTACACGGTAGACCTGCCCTGTTCTCATTTCTTCAAGTATAGTCAAATGAAAGAATCCAACATTCATGCTATTCTATCCGGCTGCAACTGGGCGACAAGAACATACACACAGAACACAATCACCGAGAAGCAATAACGCCCTCCAAAAAATCAAACCCCCGTTTCTGCAACTCCCACGTCGGAGACCCCACCTTCATACTCATCGCGAACGTGTGATCCTCCCCAGGCACCTCAATCATCTCACACCGGACCCCCTGCTCCTTCAACACCCGGAAAAGCTCCCGACTCACATCGATGGTGACCTTCGTATCCGCCCCACCGTGCACAATACACGTCGGCGGGAACTGCGCATCGACATGGTGGATCGGGTCGATCTCTTTCACATCCCGCCCGGGGTAGCACGCCTGGATGACCGTCCCGTTGGCGACTTGGGTGAGCGCGAAGCCGTCACGCGGGCGGCTGAAGTCCGGGCCCGGCACGACCCCAACCTCGGTCTGCCCTTCGAGGGAGATCGAGCTGTTCGTAGGCACGGGCTTCTCATCGTAGATCCGGTTGAGGAACGCGGGGTCGAGAGGCGGCAGCTTGCTGGCTACCTCGGGAAGCGGCTGCGTCCAGAACGGGTGGGTCAGGTAGGCCGGGGCGTAGAAGTCGAGGATCGCTGCTACTCGGCGCGGGACGTCCCATCCCTGGGGTCCAGGAGGATCAGCATCAGTAAAGCTTTTGTTGTTGGTTGCTGATTGGGAGGGAATATAATGGGCGCTTACCAATGACAAGGCCAGCGTGCCTCCGGACGATGTCCCGAAGGCCATGACTCGGTCCTTATCGACGCGGTACTGCGATCCATGCACATGCGCGGCTGACTCCCCGGCAAGAAACGCATCAAGGTAACCGTCGTAGATCCAGGCCAGTAGGTCGCGGCAATCTGCCATCGGACCCTCGAGGATGTTCACCTGCGGGCAGAGTCGGTGGTTGGGACTGACCACGATCCAGCCGCGGGCTAGGCAATCGTCCACTTGCGGCATGCAGACCATCTTGGAGTGGCCCAGCATGAATGAGCCGCCATGGATGTCGATTACTGCGGTCCGCGTTCAAGGATTAGCGATCTCATTGATATGCGTAGTTGTCATTGATGTTGCTAAGAACCCACATACAGACAGGATATTCTTTCGCTTGGCCGTTGTCAGTGGCTGCTCGTGGTGGGAGATAGACATCTGTATCGATCTTGCTACCGTCAACCTCCTTGTATTGGACTGTGAGGGCCGTCGGGGGCATGTTGTCTGCTCTTTTTGCGATTTTCTCGTAGAATGGAATTGATCTTGTGAGTCGAGAATTCGGAATAGATTGTGTATTCCACCCAGTAGATAAAAGAGCTGGCTGTCTATAGTATAGTGTACAAAAGTGGATGAAGTTGGAGGAATCCCATGAGATTGGGTTCTAGATGCAAGATAAATCTAGGATGCGGGTACGTTCGGAAAATCCGACTGCGGGGAGGCGATTAGGGATATCCGGCCACGGGCATGGCAATCCAGAATGCACAACACCATTTACCGAGGATGCATATTGCTGCGAGTCAATCAATCCTTCTTGAGCGACGTCGCTGTATTGCTTATCGACCTCTCTTACAAAAGCACAAATCTCAAGACATGAGAATGATATATGAATCTGATATAAGCCCGTTAACTGGCAACGGACACGCATAGACTACCTCGAGCGTTCAGGTCAAACGGCCCGGCTCCGGCCGCGTTTCCCCAGAATATTTTGTTTCCCCAGAATATTTTGTTTCTCCAGAATATTTGACGCTGACGCGGCTGCTGCATCCTGCAGGTACCACGCGTCAGGCCGCATCTTAGATATCATCACTTGCTGCGGCCATACCTTTGCTTGTCCTCGGTATGTTTGCAAGATTACAGAATGTCACCTGACTGCAAGTTTGAATCATTGGAACATAATTAAATTTCATTAAGCTTTCTGCATAACTACTTGTGGAGAAATTCGTTAACTACTTGGGTGAAGGCAGGAGCGTTCTCGACCATGGGCAAGTGTCCGGCCTTGGGGATGAGTTTGAGCTCCGCATCACCCTTGAGGTCGGCCGCCATCTGCTGCATGGTCTTCGGAAGCACACCATCGCTGTTGCCAGCGACAAAGAGACCTGGAACCTGCGCCTGCGCCATCTGTTCCCGGACATCGTATGCGCAGAGAGCCTGGACGCTCTGGCGGAAGCCCTCAAGGCTGTTGGTGCGCACCAACTCCTTCACCTGAGCGGGCAGGTGAGGCTGGGTCTCATAGGACTCCGGCGTAAACCACCGACGAACAGTGACCTCGGCCAGCTCGTCACCAACAATCGTCTCCTGGGTGGTAGTAGAGACAGCCCCCTCGCGCTCGGCCACGGCTACGCGATCATTCCAGGCCTTGCGGTTAGACTCGGGGCTGGAGCTGTTGGTATCGCAGGAGATGAAGCGCGTCACGCGAGTAGGATAGCGCAATGCAGTATTGAGAACCGTGACACCTCCCAAGCTAACACCGATCAGAGTGGCTTGAGGGATGCGCAGTGCGTCTAGCAGGGCGATTATATCGGAAGCGAGCACATCGATGTTGATCGGCTGCTTGCCACAGGCCTGCAGACGGCCACGGGTGGAGTAGCGCAGAATACGGAAGCCCTGGTTGCGGGGATCCGCGAGGAAAGCGTTGACAAAGTCATCCCAGATGGCGTAATCCACCAAAATCGAGTTACTCAGTACAATGACGGGGCTGTGAGGGTCAGTGCTGCCCTCCAACCGGTAGGGAAGGTCGACACCGTCCGCGGTGGTGACAAATGACTCGACGGCTGGGCGGGTAGGCGAGGGGAGAGTACGTGTGCGGCCGTCGTTGGACGACCACGGCCCAGCAACATCCTTGGAGGTCAAGGAAGAGAGCTCGCGGGGAGCAGGTCCGAAGGTGTAGGCCCACTCAAACACACGACGACGCTGGCTGGTGATCGTGTCGTTCACAATTCGGGTGCGCCAAGGGGTATCCATGGCAGCCTTGTGTTCCGGACCACCCAGGCCATTGGTGGCTTTATACTCGTGAAGCGTCAAGTATTCGCGGGGGGCCTTGGGGTCGATGGCGGCCGTCACGAAGCGACGGGAGCAGCGCCAGCCGGGCACGCGGGAGAGCATGGGGATGTGTTCCTCAGTGTACCAGCGGTTGTAATCGGCCTCCTTGTCGGCGTCGTCGACGAGAGTGGTGGAGACGGCGACGAGCACCGAGCCGGCCACAGTGGTATCAGGTTGATCCTCGAGCGGAGTGTAGTCGGCGGCTTTTTGTTCACCCAGGAAGTCGTAGAGGCGGCGATCGACGGCAATTTGAGCCATAGTGGCTTTCTCTCGCGGAGTCTTGATACCATCCTCCCGCAGAGCCAGGTAGGTCTCGCGCGTCAACTCTTCCATCTCCGTAATGTCATACCAAGCTACCCACTCAGGCTCCTCGCCATCAACAGCACGATACCGGAAGCCGTTGGTGACGAAAGGCAAGCGTAGACGCAAGGGTCCATGTTCCGAGTTGTACCAGTCGTGGAACTGAGCGGCGGGGAGCGAGGGACGCGGGTGCATCGTCACGTAAAGCAGGCCGGGAGTCGCCATTTTGGAGGATCTGAAAGGTGCGACACGGGGATCAATTGCAGCTGTTGAGTCAATAAGTCAATGAGAAAATCACCGAGTAGGAGACCGTGCGATAGATAAGTTAAAGAGGGGCACCCGACAGATTGGAGGGGCGTAGCACGGCCATGATTTTATTGTCCACTTGCCGCCTCCGACCCTGACTGCCGAACACACAGCCGATGGTAGGGGGCAAAGCCATTTACCGGAGGTTCGAACTCCCTCCGGAGCAAGTCGCCCGCAGTCGTGCCGGCCCTGCACGTGACTTGCGGAGGACTGCGGGTGTTTGTGATGTTTGCTGAAGCTCGTCTGGGCCCCCGCTTCCCCCACAGATTCCAGTCTATCTTCTCCAAGCTTGGTGATTTACACTTGATGCAGAAGAATTGGAACGGACTGTCCCCCGCTTCCCCCTTTCAGACGATGTCTTCAAGCATGGTTCGCCCTAAGCCACCCTACTCCGATTCGGACTTGTACCTGCATTGCGATAAGTCAATCCGGGGGAGGGTGACATTCCTGTGCTCGGCTCCATCCCTTCTCATTATCCGAAAACGGAAATCCTGAAGCACGCCCCTGGAGGGCTGAAGTAACATCACAGTGCAACCGGGAAGAATGTTCCCTGGATAAGGCGTCTATATCCTGTCTCGGCGAGGGTATCGTACGGCCAACATGCTTTCATCCGTGTCACGTCTTAGATTGGGTCCGCGGTCGTATCGACCGGCCGCCGGCGTCATGCTCCTTGCCAGTGAGACTCTACATGCGGACGAAGTGGCCCGGTGGACATAATCGTGTTGCATTGAAAATCTTCGGTTGCCTGTACTCTGCGAGTCTTTCAGTGATGTCCTAAGCACCAGGATAGCTTCAGCTACGCAGCAATCGCGCCCCAATCTTCCACGATGGCCGCCACAGCACCGAAACCCGATGAGCGAAAGGACGAGAAAAAGAACCAAGAAGAGAGCTCGATCCACGAGCTAGCTTGCTCCTCTACCACTACTTCATCGCCCGACAATGCAGAGTCAGAAGTAGTCTACACGATTGACGACGAAAAGACACCAGATAAGACACATGCGGAGAAACAATCAGGCTCAAGCATTCGTCTTCTAGTATGGATGGCAATCAACATTGTGTCCACTGTAGCCATCGTAAGGCATCAGGGACCCCTCGTCTGAAGCAATGTGAGGCTCACTTGCATATCACAGGTCTTCACCAACAAGTCTGTCCTTTCGCATGCCATGCTTCGAAACTCCCAGGTGTCATTTGCTGCATATCACTTCACCATCACGGGCTTGACCCTCTGGATTACCTCTCGACCCGGGTGTGGTTGGTTCGAGCCTAAACATGTCTCGGCATATCGCATCCTTCATCTCGTTGCAGCCATGTGCATTCAAGTGATCTTCCAGAATCTCGCACTCGCACATTCCTCTGTTATTTTCCACCAGTTGGCGCGACTACTCCTTACACCTGCAACTGCGTTGCTAAACTACATCCTCTATCAATCCAGCATCCCTCGCGCCGCATTCCTGCCACTCATTGTACTCTGCACTGGCGTAGGGGTTGTCTCCTATTACGACTCTGTGCCAAGCTCAAAGAGCACTGAGTCAACCTCAGCGCAGGGCATTTTCTTCGCCCTCTCCGGTGTCTGTGCCAGTGCCATGTACACCGTGCTGGTAGGCCGCTATCACAAGAAGCTGCAGATGAGCAGTATGCAGCTTCTGCTCAACCAGGCACCTGTCAGCGCAGCTGTTCTAATCTGTATTGCCCCTTGGATGGAGACTTTCCCTACCGTCTCATCTGTGCCGGGGTCCCTGTGGCTGTCGATCTTGGCGGTATGTATCCCATCCTGCCTTTGCTTCCATACAGTTCAGCTAATACACCACTCTGCAGAGCGGCATTATGGCCTGTCTGGTCAACCTCTCCCAGTTCTACATTATCGACGCAGCAGGGCCTGTGACCAGTACCGTCATTGGTCAATTGAAAACCTGCATAATCGTTGGGCTAGGGTGGATTCTGTCAGATCATGTAGTTTCACACCAAAGCGTGGCAGGGATTCTGATGGCCTTGACGGGAATGAGTTTGTAAGTATGCACCCTACCAATTGAAGATAACGAGCTAATGCTTTGTTCAGGTATATGAAGATAATTCTCAAGCATCAGAAATGATACTTGATTGAAATAGTAATGGCGCACTTGGATAGGGAATAGAGCTGTGTATAGTAGTAGTATAATTTTTAATATGGTGGACATGATCAGACTAGACCTGCCTGTCTGACGTCGGTTTTTATATGGCTTCAGAAGACATTCTGAAGATTGATGTTCGAGGTAATTTTAAACAGAGCTCAACCCCATCTGTTTCAGATATTCGCTTTGATTGTATCAGACAGACCAGATTCACCAATCTCAAAGTTCTAAAGAAGAATTATAAGCTAGACTGGGTGCATGTTGTGTATCATATGAGGTGGAACTGAAACAGATCAGGACCTCGGCCAATCTACACGTGATCAACAATCCTGCACATAGGTGTTTGTCTCATTTGTCAGTGTTCCGTCCGCCCTTCCGCGGGTTTCCCTTATCGCCAACCAACCTACCCGTGTTTCTCGCCCGCGTCCGTGACACGAAAATGACTTGATCTTGAACCCCAACTCCCTCCTTCATTGGACTCCAACCTGCGCCAGCCCTCCAGTCCGAACAAGCCAGGCGATATGACAGGCCGAAGTTGGAGACCCGGCCAGATCGCATGATGTCACACTGGTTCACGCTTCAGGAGTCCGACGACGATGGAAGTGTGGTTGAAGAAGCCGAGAACCTTCTGGCGCAGTTCTTGGGACTATCCGACCGGTCGAAACGCGAAGCGACCCAGTCCATCACTCGAACCCCAACCCCGATCATCCAAGACAAATCCCCCGCTCCCCGACGCACTCGCTCATTGACCCTACCGCGCACCCCAGAGTCTCTGAGACCGAGATCTCAGGATAAGCCGCCTGCCACGGATCACTCACAAGTATCGGTCGAGGTATCGGACTCGACCAAGGCAGCGCGGGCGCGACGGTCGGGTCGTTCACGGAAAGGTCCCGCTAACTACTATGATCGCTCGAACTACGAAGGCTTTAGGTCGAGCTGTGAAGTTAGCGACGACCGTGAAGAGACTGCGGTGACGTCTTCGCGATCACGGAAAGGCCCTGCTCAGTCCTATGATGGCTCGAACTACGAAGGCTTCGGGTTGGACGGCGGAGCTAGCCAAGGTCATGGAGATAATCTGTTGAGGTCTTCGCGACCACGAAGGGATCGCAGTGGTAGTCTGGTACCGAATCCCCCTCGACGCAGAAGAGGTCGCAGCTATGCATCATCACCATGTTCCAGTGTCCAGCCCGAGCCCAAACGGCCAGACCTTAAGTCATGCTTAGCGACCCCTCCATTGCACGATACACATTCCGGTCCAGCCAAAGATCCATCGAATACATTGACGGCATTACTACAACAACGTCAGCTGGGACGTCCGACTGCCCGCCAGATCCGTAGCCAGGCTTCCGACAACCTCGAAAAATCTTGGACTTGGAAGGGCGCTTCCGGTGATGTGATTGTCTTGGGGTGGTCACCCGATGGTACCAAGTTCGCAGCCGGCGCAGCTGCCCAGTGCGATGAACACAATATGGCATACAACCGAAATAACAACCTGCTGTTCGGAAATTTGACTCAGAATACTTTACACGAGCTACCGGATCACTGGGCATACCGACCGCAGATGAGGGCCGCGAACAATCTGACCCTACAAGACTCTCGCCTTTACATGAGTGTGACGGCTATCGAGTGGTGGGATGACGCCCTCTTTACAGCTAGTTATGATCACACAGTCAGGCTGTGGCATCCGTCAAGCAAAGGTACCGGGTGCTTCGAACGATTGTGGCATGATACCAGGGTTGAAGTGATGGCCCGCTCGAGATACGTGCCCAATTTACTGGCAACGGGGACGCGTGAGATCGGCCTTTGGAGATTGGACGAACGTACTTACACATCCCTCGAAACCCGCAAATCTCGTTCGAACAAGTGCATCGAGATGGTGCCTTCCTCTCTTGCGTGGGGCACGATTCAAGAAACTGGCAATATCCTCCTTGCCGGATTGTCTGAAAAGGGCCACGATAGCCTAACGCCCGATGGCCAGTTGGTAGCTTGGCAAGTGAGCGAAGCTTCAATCACGCCTCTCAACCTTTTACCCGGCTCCCAAAACGTATTCGATATTAAGTGGCACCCGTCTTTACCAGTTGCTGCCGTGGCGAACTACATTGCTCACTTCCCGTACAAGGCCTACAAAGATAGCAGATCATCCGTTCGTATCTATGAGCCGCTGACATCGAAAGTCAGTGTCATGGAATTCGAATGCCCTGCTCTGGATATCAATGACGTGACATTTTGTCCTACGAACACGAATTACCTCACTGCTAGCTGCACCGATGGTGCGACATACGTCTGGGACTATCGCAACCCGACAGAGATTCTCCACAAACTTCAGCATGGTGAAGCGCTGAATCCGATTGATCAGGATCAGAGTCGCGAGCAAGCAGATGTTGGCGTGAGAACGGCTCTGTGGGGCGACACGGTTCGCGAATTCTACAGTGGAGCCTCCGACGGGGTGCTGAAAAGATGGAATATTCTCCGAGCGCCAGAAGATGTCCTCGAGAAAGACGTTGCGAATATCCACGAAGAGATCATGAGCCTCTCCTTTTCACCGGATAAAACCAATCTCTTAGTCGGGGATGCCGCTGGCGGCATCCACATCCTATCTTCGGGGCCCTTCTCGCGCACAAATGATAATGCTATAGAGTACAAACCTGCATGTGAACCATCAAGGACCGTAGCCCCCGATGAGCCGGACTCTGGAGTCGCTGCAGGCGCCGAATTACTGCGGTCTGGCCAGCTCGAGCGGCATCCTGTCTATGGGGTTGGAAAAGGCCCGTACTATGACGGTCCATTCGCGGCGTGGGCCCGGCCAGAGAATACGCCGTCTGACGAGCTTGCGTATACGAGGTTGGCAGACGAGTGGCAGGCTCTGCAGCTCGATGGACTTGATCCTAGGTATCGGTTTGCCCTGGAAGAGAAGGACCGACAGCAGGTGGAATTGCAACGGAAGATCGCGCAGGCACGGAACCAGCGGGCTGGCTACAAGAAACGGGTCCACGAGGATGCGAAGGACGTCATTAATTTGTGCAGCGACGAGGAGTCAGAGATCTCCGAGCCACCCTTCAAACCCAAGCGGCGACTGGCGGAATCACAGAGGGTCGTGGCCCAGGTCGATGTGATTGACTTAACCTCAGATCTGGTGCAAGCCCCAAGCCCTGAGCCTTCTATCTCATTTGCACCTCCTGGCTCAACTGTACATCCTGTCTCAACTACACCTCCCACCTCGTCCGCACCGGTTCGTCCTCGCTTGTCGAGTCCTGTCGATGAAGATCTGCGCGAGGCGCTAGAGGAAGATTTCTGGTGGCCGCCGAACGAAACGGTGGATCCAAATTTCAAAGATGACTGAATGAGATATGCATGGAATATCGAAGATCTACACGTTCAGTGCCATGTGGGTGGCTAGCCATGCCTTCATATGCACCTTGATTCATGATACGGAACCATGTTTCATGTCAATTAGCATCATTTAGAAAGTGAAGCTGTATTATTACAATAATCAAATCGGTATTTTTTTTTTTTGCCAGCCTTCAACTCTGCTGGTGGTGTCAGACATTCACATACCTAGTAGTTGCTCGGTGTAGGTCAACCACAGACAACCATCCTTCCCCTCCCGGGTAGACTATTCGCCCCGAACAAAAACGCGGTTCCCCTCCGCCTCCCAACATCTCCGCCTCCCGTCGGAAAAGGGAGCACCACCGGAAAAGCCCAGCTCGGGACGAGCTTACCCCGCAATATCCGGGCCCTATATATAAACAAACTGCAGCTACCCCAGGTCCCAACTCTGAAGCCACTCCCCGCACATTTCACTCGAAACTTCAACGAACCCCAGCCCTCCCTGCGGAAAAGGCACCAGAAAATGAGCGAAATCATCCCCTTCGAATCCCTCCCCCTCGACCCCGAGGGGCCCCCCGGCAACGCCTGGGGCCGCTTCGGCGCCGCCGACCAACTGGGCACCCTGAACCTGCTGACGCCGGCGGTGATCGTGGCCGCCGCGAAAGAGATCCGCACGGGGGTGCGCATCTCGCTCGACTGGCCATTGAGCATGCCTACCTACCCGAGCTTCGAGCGTGACCCGTTCCACCAGCGGATCGTGCATCGGCGGCCCAATTGCATCAATGATGATATCTTGACGTTTAATACGCAGGGGTCGACGCAGTGGGATGGGTTCAGGCATTATGGTGCGTGATCCTTTTCTATTTCGGGCGGGGGTGGAAAGCGGGGAAGGCGGTCAGGGGTTGTGCTGTGGCTATAGGTGACGATGGGTGCATTGTATGGAATTGCTGACTTGGGGTCGTGCTTGTGGTTGGGATGGGCATAGCCCATCAGCAGAGCAAACGATTCTATAACGGGCATACGCAGGAGGAGATTGAGGGGTCAGATGTTCTGGGGTTGCATGGTTTGTCTCCCTCCCTTGCTTTTGTTGCAGAAATCACCGAGAGAGAGGGAGAGAGAGAGAGAAAGACTGATCCCGCGGACAGTGGTCACCGAAGCCGGCGGCATCACCGGCCGGGGCATCCTGCTGGACTACGCCACCTGGGCGGACGAGCACCACATCCCTCTCGCCCCGCTGACCTCCTCGGCCATCCCAGTCGCCCACCTCACCCAGCTCCTCGCCGACCACAGCATCCAGCCCCGTCCCGCCGACATCCTCTTCATTCGCAGCGGATTCACACGCGCCTACCATGCGCTCTCGGACGCCGAGCGCCAGGACCTCGCTCGCCGCCCGTCCCCGGACTTCATCGGGCTGGAGGCCTCCGAGGCCGCCGTGCGCTGGCTCTGGGCCCACCAGTTCGCCGCCGTCGCGGGCGACGCCCCCAGTTTCGAGCGCGCCCCCATCCGCGGCGCCCACGCCGACCGCCGCTTTAACCTGCATGAGTGGGTGCTGGCCGGGTGGGGGTGTCCCATTGGGGAGCTGTTTGATCTCGAGCGCCTGGCAAAGCATTGTCGCGAGACGCGGCGGTATGAGTTCTTCCTGGCCAGTGTGCCGTTGAAGGTACGTTCTTTTTCCTTTGCTGTGTGGGGAAGGAAGGCATTGATCAGGAAGGGCGAAGTGGGAAGAATTCCGAGTCGACTGGAGTTTCTTGGGCTAATTCGAGACGTTTTCTTTTCCCTAGGTTGTTGGAGGCGTAGCCACTCCGCCGAACTCGGTGGCTATTTTTTGATCCTGTGGAGGTTATAATACTATGTGAGTCCGTATTCGCTGGCTGAATGATGTATATGATTGGAAGATATCAGGATTGCAAGTTTGTACATAGTGTATTGTAATGATTCTGGCAAATTCATGGTTTGCGACCGTGTATGTGGAGATTAGAGATTATGAGATGTTGCCCGGTGACAAGGTATATAGCATAATAGTACAGATCGAAGTAAAAAAGGCCATTACTGTCGTTATGTGGCTTTCTCAGAGCATGGAAAACATCCCGCTCTAGAGTCTCCATGGGTTCTCGTCATGGAAGGCTTGAGGTGAATTGACGTGCCCGTGGGGGCCAGGAATGTCGCGAGTCTTGAGTTCTGTATTCTCTCTGTGGTGGTAGCTTCGTAGTTGATGGGAGCAACATGTACCCTGCAGTCGCTGCAGTCGATGGCTCGACGATTGACCGCGGTCGCGTTTCATCCATGTTGTTTCACGCTGACGTCTGGTCCAGGTCGGGTGTATGGGTGGCGCTGTTGTGGTCGGGATCGGCATAAATGTACTGTCCAAGCGATGGGAAGGCTGGCCGAAAGGTCGACCTTTTTTGGGGAAAGCACCGCATAACCTTGTGTCGCCACCAAAATATGCTTTGCACGGACTTGGATCAGAGTTCCAGGTCAAGATATTTGAGCCCTAGTTAGGCAAGAGCCCCTGCGTCGACCAATTGCGACCGTAGTAGGTGGTTTTAACCGAGCCCGAACGGTTTGAATGGCGGATGGTGGTGGAAAGTCATTCTTCGAATGGGACAGGATGGGGGTGGGGATGTGATGTATAATTGCAAGCATGGCTGCCGCAATGGCAGTCCGCTATCAAAGGTCGCATCGCTTACCTAAATCACGGGAGACATGCGCCATGTCGATTTAAGCCTCAGGGACGAATAATGCTATTTCTGTGTCGCTTTGAGGGGCCTATATCGCTAGGAGACGGTTCGTATGCGCTCTCCGTTGTGACTTCGATCGTCGTATGCTGCATGACCACGCCCATGGGTGCCAGCTCAAGGCCCCCCCCTTTGCCAATCATTTCCTCGGTTGAATCACTTCGACCTCGGGTGATTGTCGTTGACGTCGGTCCCTTCGGGTCCGCGCTCATGGCATATTGGTTTGCGGCCGACGACTTGTTTCGCCTGCTGGAGAGCTTGTTGCTGCTTCCCCGCGCCTCGGATTCCACCACCACACTTCGGCGGGTCACGACATACATGAACGAATCGCAAAACCCGGAGCATGCCATAATAGATCCCGCGAAACAGAAGTAGAGCAAGCTTGGCGAATGACCCCCCGCGGACGCCATGCGACCGGCCGCCAACGGCAGGGTCAGGCAAATGTAGACGACGGGATAGACAGCCATGTGCATGATGACCCTTTTCAGCCGACGCAGACTCTCGGAATTATGCTCGCCAAGGACAGCCGCTTCGGACATCTTCTGGCGCAATTGGACGAACATGATTGCGTAAAGTGAAACCGTGAAGAATTCGGAGGCGAAGATCCAGACGTAGTGCGTCCAAAGTCGCATGCTTTCGTATTCGGGAGTCATCCAGCACTGTCGAGAACGAAGTCAGCTCATAATTCACAAAGTATCATCCACAAAAAGAAGGACGCAGGGACTGACCCAGGCTACCGCAGGATACCACACGTATCGTCCGTGTGCAGCGATGGGAATAATGGTCATTACCACCCCAAAGACCCAGAGACCAATCACCATGCTCACAAAAACTCGATGTTCCATTTGATAGTTGAGGCAGACATGGAGGAACGTGTGCACTGCAATGGCCAGGACGAAAAGACCACTCATTGGGTCGCCGATCTGAAGCCCCACCCCCTGCAGGAAACACGCGGCATCTGTCGCTCGCACCGCATCGATCGCAATCCAGCGGAGAGACATGATGAACCCGAAACTCTGCAGGAAATCGGCTAAAATCAAGTTGAACATGAGCACGACATACTGATTGTAACCAATGTATCGCCGATAGTACTGGCGCCAGAAGATGAATCGATACGTAATGAAGCTCAGAAGCGAGAAGGTCGTGAACATAGAAAGCAAGGCGAGGGCAGAAATGACGATCAGGCCTTTCTGTTGCAAATTGGACAGTGGACTAATCACTGCGGAGCCTTCTTCCCCACGTGAATGCAGGGAGTGGCCGTCTCCGGCCGGGCCAGCCCCCAGAAACGACTCAAGTGCGATGGTCAGCATGGCAAAAGACGTTGAACAGGCAGGGTTTTTCCGCTGTACCATTTGGGGCGGCGTTCGGGCTATATAATCAAGGATTTGCCCCTGGGTACCTAGCATTGGTCATGGCGCTGTGTGGTGGATAGCAGGGAGCTTCACATAGAGCAATGATCGGAGGCATAGTGCACCATAGCAGGCTTGTCCAACCCACACGTCAAGGTGTGCAATTGCCGATACGGGCTCGGGCGTGGACCGAAAGAAGTTATCATCCGCGACGTGCTGCGCGTGGAATCTCCACCCCGTCCGCCTTCATGTTACCTTGGCCCATCCTGTTGGATCAGCCTCTGGCATGAAGCGAATGGGGATCAGAAGCAGTTGGACTAAGCTTTCAGCTTGCCAAATTTGGGACTCTGGCCCCTGGGACATTCGCCATCCCGACAGAAAGGGCGGACGGTGTGCAGGCAGGCAGCAGGTTCTGTTTTTCGCTAGTACTACTCTAGTATGTTAGCCAACGCCACGCGGCTTGCTTTGAAAAGCTTGACAAGCCCTTGTTGATCCTCGTAGGTCAGGGTCTAGCTAGCGCTTTGCTGGCAACAACTTTCCGACTGAAGCTCCCGTGTTTATGAAACATGACTCGGTCAGGGGCAACGTGCTCAGCCTGATTGGAGGAATTCTGCTAGGCTGCAGGTAGCAGAGCTCGAACTTCACGCCTCGTCGTCTAGTTCGTGGGCAGCAGAAGCACGTTAGTCTAGCCTGAGTAGCAAATTTTCACTCCCTTTCCAGAAGGTCCAACTTATGCTTACTCCACGTGCGGGGCGCCAGCCAAGGTACGGAGTACTCCGTACTCATGGGTATTTTGGCACCACCCACAAGCCACGGGCTTTCGGTGTCTGGGTCTGATTGTTTATCAGTCCTGGACTCTTAGTCAATGATTATAGAAGATTCTGGTTTTCAGTACCATGGCATGCGCGAGATAAGGCAGGAAAAGTTGAGTAAATGAGGAATGGAGATGAAGAAGTTGGTGTTTGGATTAGTCACCGTTCGTTTGACCTCGTTTCAGTTGCCGAGGATTCTGCCCGGAATCACCGCCCCAAATGACTCGACTGGGTCGGTGGACGCGGCCTTTTAAGGCGTTTCCTTGGTCACTTGTGCATGATGTACTGTACAGGAACATAGTAGACAGCTCACTCTATCGGTCGAGCTCAATTGACCTTTGGGCGAATGTGAACATGAAAATGGCCATCACTGCTTGTACCAAAAGCAATCTCCCACCCGCACGCAGAGAAAATAAAGGGGAAACCTCGTCACGAGATAACACGAACTCGAAATGAGTTGGCTTGGGATGGGCGCTTACCGCTGCGATGGTTACTCTGTCCTTCTCCCTTATCATAGTGAGATAGTGGAGCCTGGAAAGATTTACTTGTCGATCCTTGCGCCGGGATGGGAGCTCCGGACATCCCCCAATGCCGCCGAAATGGGGTGCTATATGTACTGTACAGTAAATTGTGTACTCTGTACGGTCGGAGAGGTGGTATGTGGAGTCAACGATGATGATCCAAATGAACACGGCTCTATACGAGCACATGGCTCTTCACGATGCGTCCCAGATCTTCTCCATGGACCATCAGCCGTCCTCCTTCAGCCCTATCAAGATCGCAACCAGAGTTCCGAGCTACAATCCAGTACCACGGAACCACTGCCGCAGCGAGTCAGCTTTATCGAGATCAGCAAATGGTGGATTCGATCCCAACCACGAGCCAAGGCACAAAGCGGGAAAGAGAACCATCATGGATACGCTTATCACCTTCCTATTTGGTCGCCATCCACGAGGTCTCAGGGTTCGCGCTCCAACTGATCGGCCTTTGATCACTCTTACTATGCAAAAACCCCTTCATGATATCTGTACAAGCTTTTGACTTCACCATCGGTGGCTTGCTTTAGACCCTCATTGGTCGCTAGTCTGCAAGCCATGCTCTGAACACTTTCAGTCTTCAGGGGAGGGGGCAGCGTGGATTGAGTTTGCTGCTAAGTGGTCCAAGTTAATTACTTCTGATGAAGCCCGTCGTCATTTTTCTTCAAAGCCGTACCTTGGGGAACGAACAAGACACTAAACTCAGGATTTAAGGGCGAAGTCAGTCATAGCTAGTACCTCGAAAACCAGATATGTCCTTATCCCATGCATTGGATCTCAACGCTTCCGTTGTTACTACAGCATTTCCCCGTTTTGGAGGCCTAGTGCTTACGATGAAAGTTATTGGCTGATCAGCCGTGACCCGTGGCCGGCGCCTGGAGCAAGTCACCGTGTTTCTCTATTTTATCAAATTATTGGATTTCAAACTAAAACATCTGCAAGATTTCGAAGCCTTTGGGCCTGAGAGGGAGATGTCGCCATCAGACCCGGTGTAACTGCCGGATTAGCTCAGTGGTTGTGTCTTAGCAGCTTCTCGTCATCATAATCGTCAACGTTACCTTTCTCATACCGTTCCATCCAATTATCAATGAACCCTTTGATCGCACGTTGGGTGGTCATATCCTTAAAGGCCAGCCTAATACGTCGTATCAGATCACAAGAAGAAGGAACGAACCATCGACCTTAGCCAGGATATGTTGTTCCAGTTCTTCGATTTCCGGAGACGATGTATTTCCGACATAGTGGCGTGCGTGATCCATGTCCCTTTGCGACAGTGCCCATTGGATGAACCATAAATATCCGCCTGGTTCACCTCATTGCATGATGATACCGAGATAGGCCTTCAGGCCGTCCTGAATTCCGCCTCTCCGCGGCTTGAGATGCAGATCTTGACGTCGAGTGGCCGGGCAGACACCCACTGCTTGAGGTGACTCAGCATGTTGGAAAAGTCTTGCTTGAAATAATTCAAGCCATCCAGGTATAGCACAAACTTGTCGTCGGTGTAGATGCTGTCTAGCTTCGCAAGCCTATCACAGGCGAGGAGCACCTCGTCATCCTTAATCACACAAGGCTCTTCATTGAAGTCGCGCGGATAGGAATCGTACTGCCGTGGGAAAAGACGCGGGGTCAGCTCTTGCTTGTCGGAAATCAGGCAGAAGATGATGACCCGAAGCGTTCCTCGCAGGTTCCACTCATATGGTGTCGTCCGCCTGTCGCCCGCCCCCCCCCCCGAAGAAGATTGTCACTGGCGTCAGCGCTTGGTCTTGCACCACATCTGTAAGTACTCGCGGGCGATATGATTGACCATATACGTTTTCCCGGATTTCGGCTTGCTGGACATGTGAAAGAATCCGATATCTGAGTACTTGAGCCAGCTGGCCAAGGATTTTCGCGTCGGCTCCAGAGCCTGGAGGTGCTCCAGGGACATCAGGGCTGGGTTGTTGGCCTCCAGCAGGCACAACTCTTTATCGGAGGCCGGAACCTCACGACATAACCGAGTGCGGATGTTGTACACTGGGACTAACCCGAGGATCCTAGTCCGCAGCAAACCCCCCCGCGTGACTTTTCGAAGGACTTCCATCTCCTGAAGCTCCTGAAGAGAGGGTAATGATGACGAGGACATTATGTTCACCCTGTTAGATAGCCCTCTCATAATTTTTGGCGCTTCGATTTCTTGCGAGATGTGCTCGGTCGGATGTGAATTGAAGAACATCGAACTTCCAGGTGTCTACAGCTCTAGTTATGGACGATGACTCGCCGTAGGCAGTATATTGACAACGGTCGAGCTGATGATGATATCCGTACGAAAGCCCGAATTCATCTAAGTGTTTGGTGTGAATGAGCTCTCAAAGGAAGAAACTTGTAGGCGCAAAGGTTTTCTTCTGGGACGAGGGAAGTCCTACCCAGAGGAGTCGTGAACACAGCGATGTTGGGAGGGCTTTCCAAGCTTACCCCCAAATCACTCTCCAAAATCACAATCAGCACAGAATCTTAAGCTTTGTGCGGGATACACTAAGTATAAAAGATAATTACATATAGAAGAAAAGCCTTGATCAGAGGAAAAGGTTCGAAGAGCACATTGCCCGCGAGTCTGAGGGTATCTATCCCCCGCCCCCCTGAGAGGGTTGGAAGCCTTTGTTGGACTTCTTTCTGTTCTTTGCTGCCAGAGCGTTGAGATAGCTGATATTTGTGATTGCCATTCGGTTGTTTTTGCTTTAACGCCGCTTTTCAAGAAGGCGCTATCATTTCGGGGGAGACTTCTTTTTCCTTTTGTTTCTTTCTTTCTATCTTTCTTTCTGGCTTTCTTATTTTTCTTTTCTCTTCTTTTTTTCCCTTATGTTTTCGGGGTCATGTTGCTCCTCGGTAACCTCTTTCGAATATCGTCAACTTGTGAGATATGAAGCGTATTGGGAAACTGATACAACAATAAAATATCCCTTTCGGGTCGGTAGACGAGCATGGCAAGCAGGAGAATGTATAAAGCCTGGCGAGTCACTTTCACAGGGGCTCAGTTATCACCAGGCAAGACAATTTCAGTTGTGCTAGAGTCACAATGTATGGTTTTACAGCCCCTACCGCGTATTGTTCGGGGTCGTTCTACCATGCTCTGCACGGACTGCCGCACCATCAAAAACAGTATATACAGACTGCGTAGGGGGGACCTATGGTAGAATGCTCCATCGTCGCCCATTCCCCAGGTCTACACCTTGTGATAAGATCGGATAGTATCAAAATCCAAGCGAAACTACCTCTCCTCAAGCGAAGATGTCGAACTCAGCGCTGGTGGTGCATGGATCCGAGCTCCGACAAGAGTCGATTGCCATCCCCTCGCCAGCTCCGCACCAAGTCCTCGTCCGATTGTCTCACGTTGCTCAGAGTCCGACCGACAGTGAGTAGCCTCCCACCCCCCTTCACCTTTTCCATCGAGAGCTTGGACTGGAGTTGGTTTCAGTAGAGATGCCTATAGGGCAACTGTATGATAGATATGAAGCCTTCGGGGATGGAGCCGTGCTCGGCTGCGGTTTCGTCGGCGAGGTCGTGGCGCTGCGCAGTGCCATGACGCGATTTGCAAAGGGAGATATCGTGGCAGCTTTGATCTAGTGGGGGGGGGGGAGGGTGAGTCAACTTCTTTATCGAACCCTTTCACTTCGAAGACCCAATCAGACCTGGCGAGGGAGGCTGATGACGGAAACTGCAAAAACCAGGCGAAATCCCCAGTTTCGGTCACTACACGCTCGCCGACGAACGCATCGGCTTCAAGCTGCCTCCGGGGATGTGATCTCCCGCGAGGAAGCGAGCACCGTGCCCGTAGCCGCCACGACGGCATGACTGGCTCTATTCGCCAAGCGTTGTCTAGATATTGATCGCGATCGGTGCCAGTGGAGGAGTGTGTTGGTCAAGGGTGGTAGCTGTGCGTGAAAGCTCCCATTTTTCATGGTTAGCAACTTTGACAGAGACCTGATGCTTACTGGATGAGTGGACTGACGACCATGTCATGGTAACGAGCGTCGGTCTATACACCATCCTAACTCGCCTCCCTCTACAGCCTTGAGGTAGTGACCACACGCAGTCCGAGTCACGCACGTCTTGTTCTATGTGGTTGCGGCAGGGGAAAATGGGTTTGAGAGAGCCGTTGTTTGTGGATCGATAGACCGATGCTTTGTCGCTTTGGGGAGGGCAGGCATCCCAGGAGGACTATGAGCTGGCCAGTGAGTTCTTCGACCTTGTGCCAGATCTATTGGCGGTCAAAGAAAGGCATAGCGGCCAATAGGAGATTGAAACGTGAGGCCGATGCGAAAAAAGCAAAAAACGACAGCAGTCGGATTTGAACCGACGCCTCCGAAGAGAATAGATTTCTAGTCTATCGCCTTAGACCGCTCGGCCATACTGTCTTAGATGACATAGTGTCTTTCAACGCACATTATGTACCAATGTTACGATGGCATCCTATTGAACTGACTTCCGATGTTCAATTTGACTTTAGCCGGCGCTCAGTTGGCGAGTGCGTGCCTACCCCGCAATGGTGATCAATTTAGATTACCGGCTTGTGACGGAAGATATCGAGCGTGGCTTGACGCGAAAATGAGCAATGTCATGTGACGAGCCCTGAATCGGGCCTCGGCAAGCCACTCGACAACCCAAAAAGCAAGCAAGCAGTTCTATTGTAAGGAACGTGGAGGAGGACCAAATTCGAGCCCTTCTCTGCGGGTCAAACTCTTCTACGGGGTCGCTCTCCGTTTCAACCGGTGGTTCTGGATTTTCAAACTGAGCTATGTTCACCGGTTGTTCTCCTTAGCCATCTTATAGTGTCGTGCAACAATTCTTCAAGCACCTATCAGCACAATAAAAGATGCTGCATCTATTGGTGTGGTGTTGCCTTGAATGTCACCCCAAGTTTATGAATAGCTTAGTTCTAGCCTATGGTCTGAAGACTCAAGCTCGGATAGAATTTTGACTTAGGATCGTCGTCCGTACCACTTTCTCGTCCCCGGAAATCCAACCCAAACAACCGAGGGTGGTGATCCCCAGAATCGCAATGGTTGCCCGTTTGGGTGACTGCGAGGGCATGTGAACTGGTGGTGATGCCTCTTTTAATGGGCGCGTGTAGCCGCTGGATGTGATTTTGTCAATCAAGGAATACTACAGCCTGCGTCGTTACCATGAATTTCCAACAGTCGATCTCTCTCCTCCAATCCTGGTCTGTTTCGTTTTGGGCTCAGCTGCCTGAACCTGTATGGACTGCCCTTGACCGTCATCCAGCCATCCCGCTAGCCCTGAACTCTTTGGTCGCTATCGCTGTCCTGCGGTATCTGAACCGCGCCCTCACATCGTGGTCACTGGGGAATTGCTCCGCCAACAGATGGAACCCGGATCGTGAGCTGGTCCTCATCACCGGTGGCAGCAGTGGCATCGGCCAGCAGGTCGTCCTCCAGTTAGCCGAGCGGGGCGTGAAGTGCATCATCCTCGACATCCAAGCACCTACCTATACTCTGCGTACTAAGCTCCTAGGCCTCATCGAGTCTGCCCTTGAGCTAATATTCTTCTGCAGCCAAATCTGCTCATTTCTACAAGACGGACATCACGTCCACCGACGCGCTCCATGCCACCGCCGAGCAGGTGCGCGCCGACCACGGCCACCCGACGGTGCTCGTCAACAACGCCGGCGTGGGCCACGACGGGACCATCCTCGACGAGCCCGAGCGCAAGATCCGCCAGACCTTCGAGGTCAATACGCTGGCGCACTTCCTGACGGTGCGCGAGTTCCTGCCGGCCATGCTGGAGCGCAACCACGGGCATGTGGTCACGGTGGCGAGCATGGCCAGCTTCGTCGCGCTCGGCGAGATGGTGGACTACTGCTGCTCCAAGGCCAGTGCGCTGGCGTTCCACGAAGGCCTGGGTCAGGAGATTCGACACTGGTATAAGCGGCCTGGGGTGAAGACGAGGTATGCGGTTTCTCTTTGCTCGTTTGATGTCTCCTTTTGTTTGTCGCACCTCTACCTCGCATGGTTAATGACAATCCGGGTTTAGTGTCATTCATCCGTATTGGGTCCGGACACCCATGATTCAGCAACTGACCGACGCTGGAGATCTGTTCAAGCAGCCAGTCATGACGGTGGAACGTGTGGCTACGGCGATTACGCGCCAGGTGGTGTCGGGCAAGAGTGGGCAAGTCATTCTTCCTGAGGCTTACTCGGTTGCCAGTATGGTGCGGGCATTTCCGACATGGTTGCAGGAGCATGTCCGGGGACTCTCTTCCAAGGATATTCGACGACTTCGGGAAGCGCAGAAGTGAAAACAAATTGCTGGTCAATTGCTGGGTTGAGAGGGTTGAACGGGTTCGGTTCAAGGTGTGGTCAAGAGCGTGAGGTCGGCTTCGAGGAGGATCTGGTGGGACCCAGAATCCTATGGCTGAATCGATTGATTGTCCTCCGCGAAGAGGGATGTTGCTGGGGACTACTTGTGATGACTTGCCCGCCATGGTAATTGTGAGTCTGTCTTGAGCTGTAAGGCAGAGTATTTCTTCTCCACTGCCTCGACCAAGCCTCTATTTCCCTTCCTTTTTTTTTTTCAACCGCTTTTCCGCAATAGTTAATAATAATGAAGATCATATCATCACATAATCTGACCATCGGGGAAACCATACCAAGGCGGTGTCCGACCGGGGGAAGGGATGGACCGATGGATAAATAATCCATCCATTGCGTGCTGAATGTTTCCTGATTTCTCAATCAGGGCATGATCGGTTCTCCCGTCCGTGTCTTACCATGACGACAAGTTATCCGGTTTCGTCTCGCTCTTTCCCAGACTGACCCCGATATGACTGGGGAATTTGTCAGTTATAACATTGTAGATTTTTTTGTAATTTGTAATTTGTTCCATCAACTATTTGTTCACCTTTCCCCTGAGAAACTGTACCTGAAATATCCACACTCATTTAAATCGCAATGGCCAGTAATCACTATTCACTATCAGGAGATGATCTAAGCCGATACCCCGGAGCCACAACCACCCAACTTCCCAAAATCGACTTCGACGAACCCCTTCACCACGACGGACCACCACCGCCCCCAGGCGCCGGCGAAGGGCCTCGCCGCAGCAAGAATGCGCCCGTGCTGGAGCGTCGCTGGTACGACCCTCGGGGCTGGTCGACCCGTACGCGCCTCCTCGTCGCCGCCGGCATCGCCATCGTCATCATCATCGCGGTAGTCGTCGGGGCCGTCGAGGGCACCAAGAGATCTAGCAGCTACCCGGACTACTCGCGCCTGAACTACGAACTGGTCGATACTTACGCGGGGGCCTCGTTCTTCGACCGCTTCGACTACTACTCGGGCGTCGACCCCACCGACGGCTTCGTGCAGTACGTCAACAAATCCACCGCGCAGTCCCTGAACCTGACGTACGTCACGCCGGACGCCTCGTCGGCGGTGCTGCGCGTCGACACGGCGGACCGCAACGCGAGCCACGGCCGCCGCTCCGTGCGCCTTGAGTCCACCACCAGCTACGACACGGGCCTGTTCGTCTTCGATATCCGGCACTCGCCCTACGGCTGTGGCCTGTGGCCCGCCCTGTGGCTGACCGACACGGTCAACTGGCCGGCCAACGGCGAGATCGACGTCGTCGAGACCAACAACCTCGCCACCGAGGGCAACGCCGTCACCCTGCACACGGACGCGGGCTGCAACATGAAGAACGTCAAGCGCAAGCAGACGGGAACCTCGAATCTCGTCACCTGCGATAACAGCACGCACAGTAACGCCGGCTGCGGGGTGCAGGGCCCGCCGAGCACCTACGGCCAGGAGTTGAATGAGAATGGTGGCGGGGTATGTGGCATGCATCCCTTTCCTGATGCTTATTCCTTTTATGTTCGGTTCCAACAGAAGAAAAGGAAGATGAACTAATGAACTGACAGATCTACGCCCTCGAACTCCGCGACGCAGGCATCCGCACATGGTTCTTCCCCCGCGCCGCCATCCCGGCCGACATCACCTCGAGTACCAGTAGCACCTCCACCAACACCTCCACCAATACCTCCGCAACCCCCGACCCGTCAACGTGGGGCACCCCCCTGGCCGACTTCCCCAACACCCACTGCGACATCGCCGCCCACTTCCGCAACCAGAGCATCATCGCCAACATCGACCTCTGCGGCGAGCTCGGCGCCCAGAAGCAGTTCTACACCGACCTCTACCACTGCCCCGGCCGGTGTGTGGACTTCGTGCGCAGCCATCCGGATAATTTCACCCAGGCGTATTGGGAGTTTGCGGGCTTTTGGGTCTTTCGGGTTACGTAGTAGATCGATCATAGATTTGACTGTATATATATATGTAGAGATGTAGATAGATTGGATTAGAAGGATTGTGGGATTAGCGGGGTTAGAGTTGGGTTTCACACGTTCGTTTTATGGGTTTCGTGCTTGCTGGATGAGCGCGCTTTGATTATGGGTATTTCCATGTTTGTGAAAAAAAAAAAAAAAAAAAAAAATTTCTTGTTGCGGGGGAGAAGTGATACTTTGAGTCCACACACTACAGTCTTTGAACTCTGACGTCGAATGACAGGGTGGAAGTGAGGTGACATTAGAACATCCGTATACTTATGCTTTACTGAGCAACAAAGTCCAACTTTCACGTCAATGTCGTTCATACATCATAACGCACAACACGCATCAAATCACCCGATGTCATACCCGGGGTGCCCCGACCCCGGCCCCGCCGAGACCATCGTCGAGTATCCAGGCATGTACGCCCCCGCCCCCGCCCCCGCCCCCGCCATGTACGGCGCAGGCGACGAGATCAGGCGCCGCTGGAAGGTCTCCGACAGCTGCTGCATCTCCTCGAACACGGGGTCGTCGCCCCATTTCCTCAACCCGAACCGCAGGATGCAGTGGATATCTGACAGGCAGGCCGTCGCCCGCGCGTAGAAGTTGAGGCAGTCCTCGCCGTCGAGGACCAGCGCCGACGGCGTCTCCGGGGGCACCGCCGGGAGGACCGGCACCGAGGGACTGAGCGGGAGGTCGTGGTTCTCGGTCAACTCCCGCATCAGGCGGCGGATCGCCTGCAGGGCGCGGTGCATGTCCCAGAACGTCAGGAAGGGGGACCAGGCCGGGTTGCGCAGCGTTTCTTGGATCTGGCCGAGATACTGCATGCAGCGTTCGAAGAGGACGACGTTGCGGTACTCTCCGACCGCCGTCGGGGGTTCGTCGTTGGGTGATAGGATTATGACTACCGTGTAGAGAAGTTCCAGCTTGTAGAGGACGTGGAAATGACTGGGCATGGTGTTGGGGGTGGCGTCGAACCATTCGTAGGCTTCTGCGCCGAGGGCCCAGGTGGATTTCGCGTACAGGGGGCAGGAGTCGTGGTCGTGGAAGTAATTCCTCGAGTACGCTTCGGATAGAATCTGCCGGATCTTGACCAGATGCCACGCGGGCTCGGAGCTACGCAGGAAGAGATGGCTCTGCTCGCTGAGCATGGAGCCTGCCGTGGTGGAGGGGAGGGCGACGTTGACGGACTCGTCGGAGAAGGAGAATGGCCGTTCGAAGACGGTGCTGGCGCCTCTGTCGACGACATTAGTAACCTCTCCGTGAGTGCACATGGGGCTCATACGAACCTGTCCAGAGAGTAGAGGCAATGTAATATACGGCGACGCAGGTCCAGATATTTGGTCGAGGACTGGACTTCTACCGGAGGGTCCTGGTGCAGACCGAGATCCACCATCACTCGAACAGCCATCCCAACCAAAAACCAACTCCGGAAATGTTTGGGGTCGAATAACGAGTATTGTGCGAGAAGCATAATCGCCTGGATTCCTTGGATGGATCCCGGACGAAGGACATCCTCCGCCCTTTGTAACGCCTGGGTGACATATGATAGCGCATCCTGCTGACTTTCATCGCCCATCTCGTACGATAAGGATGCAGAGGAGGTGGCCAGGACTGTATATAACATCCACTGGTCGAACGGCTTGGCGAATCGACCGCCGGACTGATACATTGCATCAACCGAGGTCCAGAAGCTTGTTTCGGCAAAGAATGGGAGTTGAATGTAGAGAGTGTCAAAGTAATGTTGGAGGAGGTGGGTGATCTCGTGGCGCGGTGGAAGTGGTCGTAAAGATTGTTTGGGTAATGGGTCGGCGAGGGAAAGTGACAAGAGAAGGTTGGCAAAGGAGGTGCTCGAAGTGATACCGTGGAAGTCTCTGGAGGTGGCGTTCACAGACCTGACGAAGATGAGGTCGTTAGTTAGTGGGCGGGGTGATCGCATTCGAAGACGACTCACAAGAATCCAAAATCCCCCACCAGGTCATCAATATCCGAGACTTCTTTGTTGGGACCCTGGGCCGCAGATTCCGACGATGTTATTGAGGTGATCGAGTTCTGGTGCGCAATCCCCCTATTGTCGACGGACAGCGAGGTCTTCAGATGGCGGAGCTCCGCGATCTTCTTCTCCAGCCTTTCGCAGTACCCTTCTAGGGAGGCAACATAACTTCTTTCTTTGCCTCGAGCAAACTCGTCGCTTGCGCCGGAGCAAGTGTCGGACTTGCCCACCCTTTCACATGCGGAGCAGGCAGGAAGCTTCCCGTCGCACTTGATCTTGGCGGTTCGACATCGTGAGCAAGCAGCGACCGGCCGACTAACTTTGAGAAGTGGCTTGTCAAGGAATAGCGTAGCCGACATCTTATCCGGACATGTTACACCGATGATATGACGGAGAGCAGGAGGTCTTGGAGAGAAGGATCGGGTCGAGTATATAGTCTGCTGCGAGCCACCCTGATGATAAAGCAAGGGTGAGCGGCGTTACACAGGTTGAATAGCTGGATTGGAGATACTTACCTAGAAAGCTCGAGTAAGGGCCGACTGATGCAGTGGCCTATTTGAAACGAGAGAAGTCCATATATGGGACTAGAACGAGGCGTCAGTTGCCTGATTAGTTGGCAGACAATCGACCATTGAGAGACACTGATAAGACATGGATTGGCATCGAAGGCGGCGACCGTCAAAGACCAGCGCGGGGTTTGCAGTGTTTGCATCTATGTCATGTGATGCCGTGCTTGCAAGGTGCAACTGAACCTTGCGGGGAAGTCTTCGTATCAGCCTGCAGACCTGCTCCACCCACTTTTCTATTCGAAAGAAAAAGAAAAGAACCAGAAGAATCGGTCAGGAATCCTTACCTGAGTTATCACACAAGCTAACGTCTATCGACAACCACTCTTTCGAATTGTCACATATATTTCCTCTTACAGGATTAGTAATGCCTCGTCCCCGAGGCATCCTGTCTCACAGCGGGAAATCGTTCTCTTTCGGCTCTCGGAGGATTGCCGAGGCACTCATTGGCCGCTGTGGCGCTTGGAGTGGAACAGCTTCTCCCCGCCTCGAGATCCAGCCTGCCTATCAGACATTCTCCATCACTTCCCCAGAACAAACCCCCAGCCCAGACAAGCCTATAACGACACTAGTGAATCGCTCCTCGCTAGTCAGTGCGGTGTGTGACTGCCATCCACCGTCTCCACCAACTCCTGTTCGCTGTTCCTTCGTCATTCGTTTTCTGCTCCATCACAACACATTCGGTGCCCTCTGAGAATCATGCGCGCTCTCATTAAGTCTACACCAGACACTGGGTGATCAACTCTTCCACTCCCGGCGTCATTCTGATCGCCATACTTCTGCCAGGACACAGAATTCAAAGACACCCCGCTGTTCCTCCCCGCACCAATTCTGCGCAAGTCCGACCGGCAGATTCAACCATCATGCAGCCTCACCAGCTGGAGAAGCCTAAGAGGGCTCCTCGAAAGCACGTCACCACGGCCTGTGTCGCTTGTCGAGAGAGTAAAATCAGAGTCAGTGATTTGACGCCATCTCAACAAACGAATCACCTAGGTTCCATTGCACATGTGCTGACAATCTGCTGGTTAGTGTGATGGCTCTACTCCACATTGCCAAAATTGCCAAAGGAAAGGGAAGGAATGCAAATATCAACATGGGGATGACAAACGCAAGTATGTCCTCCTCACGCGCTCATCACGCACCAGTCAAATTACAAGGCTTGGCTACATGATATGCACCCAACATATTGGCGGCGGAGGGCAAGATGAATCACTTATTAGCGCCGAGGGACAAACAGACAGCATTATCGTTCATCTGATGGTCTAGCCTGGTCGAGCTGACCATTTCTACTATCAGAGTATCCTTACGTGCTGCGACAGAGCTTTTCTCCGCCAGGATTGATCAGTTATGCCAGTTCATTCACGATCACGGTCTCGAGCCTCCCCCGATGAAGGAGGAGGATGAGTCGGGTATGAACAGAGTTCTCGACACCCTACAAATCCCTCGCGCGTCAACGAAGACTGGCAATTCACTCGCAGCCAATGCGCAGAGCACGTCGACTTTACCCACTGCTACCGATTCCCCTGCTCAATCCACAACCTCTCCTCATTCAGCATCAAATCGCCAGCTCGAAATTGATAGTGCACCTGAAGTTTCACCGGCCTCACAAAGCATAATTCCTCACCGGTCGTCTCTACCCGTTACCGATATCACTCGGGAGGCCATGGCTCAGTACGATGTCAACTTGGGACTGTCTAGTAACATCAGACCTGCATCGAATTGGGGGTTTACTCTTCCAACAGCAGAAAGCCTGGATGCGCTTTATGCCAACATAGATGGTAGATCGAACGGATCACAGGACACCAGCCTGAGTCCGGATAGCTTGCAACTGTCGCAAGACATAGCTCAGCAACCCGGGGTACTGTTGAATTTGGGTTGGAATGATAAGGATGTGGATTCAAACAGTGGCGAGGAAGATGAAGCTGAGAAGGATGTCATTGAGCAGATCTCGCACCGTATTGGGACTCTCAAGCTTTCGGGTGATGGTCACCTACGATTCTTTGGCGCGACCTCAAATCTCAACTTGGTGGATGTTTCGGCTACACAACAGCATCAGCGTCCAGATGCCCGTACAGTCCGTCATGATGGTCAGGACATCCTGAACCATCTGCGTGTGGGCCAGCCCGTCAGTCAAGCGCTGGAGGATCATCTAGTCGAACTCTACTTCACGTGGCAGAATCCCAGTACCTATGTGGTGGATAAGGAGATGTATTTGAACGCTCGATCAGAATGGAGAAACGACCTAATAGATACACCTTTCTATTCGGAAGTTCTCACTAATGCTATGTATGATTGCTCTTTGGGTCGCCATCGCGACGTATTGCTGATTATACTAGGTGTGCGATCGGAAGTGCCTTCGAAGCCCGATACCACCCCACCTTCATCACATTTCCGAAGTCGCTCTCGGAGTTCTTCGCGGACAGGGCGAAAGCTCTCCTGGAGATCGAACTGGATTCTCCCTGCGTTGCTACGGTTCAGGCCCTTGTTATACTGAGTTCCCACGAGGGCTCATCGAACCGTGATGCTAGAGGTTGGCTTTACAGTGGTATGTTGGCCGCACGAGAAGAAAGAACTTCAGTCTGACATAAGTAGGAATGTCGATGAGGCTTGCCTTTGATCTTGGGTTGCATCTTGACATGACACCCTACGTTGAGAAAGGCGACATCAGTGTCCACGAAGCCGATGTCCGTAAGGTAGCGTTCTGGGGAAGTTACACTGCAGACCAGTAAGTGATGCGGATCCTCGAGTCGGGTACTTGGTCTAACATTTCTTGGCAGCTTCTGGGGGTTTTATCTTGGAAGACCGTTCCGTATGAGTACCGGAGATATTACAGTTCCCAAGCCCGCCTCCGCCTTGGCTGCTGAGAAGGAAGCTATGTGGCATCCCTACGGTCTTTCAAACAAGTCAGAAGCACTTGAGGGTGGGCTGAAAAATCCCAACGAGTTGATTAGCCGCCAGTTCGCCGTGCTTTGGGAGATAATCTCCCCGGTTGGCCACATTCTGTAAGTCGCCGGCACCGTACAACTGCACAAGTCACTGACTCTGGTTCAGATATGGATGCTCAGATATATCCCGTCATGATTTACAGAGACTGTGCCACCGTGTCACAGATGGTCTATTCGCCTGGAAGGCAAATCTGCCCCCCAACTTAGATATCGACATGTCAAATGATGCTGCCCCCAAACTGCCCCATCTCCTGGTATTACAGTAAGGGCTTTTCTTCTTGGGAGTCTCGGGTTGAGCCGGTACTAATCCTTTCTGCGCAGCATGCAATATCACCAAATAGTCATCTTCACCCACCGTCCCTGGGTGTCGAAAAGCTACATCCAGCCACGTAGCCCCCGTCAGGGCCCAGGCTACCATCACGCGAGAAGAATGTGCATCGAGTCCTCTACGGCCATCGCGCAACTCCTTCACATCTATGAGAAATACTATACCTTTCGTCGCATGAATAGCCAGGTTGTAGCTATGATATTCAGCGCTGCGCTGATTCTTCTTTACGTCACCGTCTCGAATTCCCGACAAGGTAGCGACAACGGCAATAATGCCGAAATGGTCGCATACCTGAACCTTTGCTTCCGTGGCCTGGATGAAATCGGTCAGTCATTTGAGAACGCGAAGCGCACGCGGGACTTCCTCGTCAGCCTTCAACGGCGATGGCAAGCACATATGCGTCGCTCAGGGTCTGCCGTCAAGCGTCAGATGAGCCACCGAACACAGTCACAAAAACCCATAGGACGAACAAGGGACGCAGACGTGTCGAGGAAGAAATCGCGGACCACAGCGCCTCGGAATGAGGTCGCGATGCCTCTCTCGCTGCCGACAGCGCACTCGCTTACTGCTGCTGGTTTGCCATTCGGCCAACCGCAGGTTATGACTCGAGCAGCCCAGCACATACCAGTGGATCCCGCCCAACAATCCGTCACGGTTCAACCGGGGGATTTTGACTGGATCCGCGATTCGGACCTGCAGCTGCTGTCGGACAATCTTGGCGAGGACGGCTTTCCACCCCTTGGGAACACAAATTTGTATGCCGAGGACACAGCCCTGCCCTCGCTCAATGACATCGAATCTTGGTGGGATTCGCCCGAGGGGAACACATTCGGGGGTCCTTCGTTATGACCATAGACTAGACATGATCAGGAGATTTGACTTTGATTTCCGTTGTTTCCCTCGCTCTCTTCGTGTTTCAGCGATACCTTTTGCTCATAGAATATCTCACATGTTCTCCAAAAGAATGGGTACGATAGCCATTGCATGAAACCCTCCTACGAGATCACCTGTAAGGTAGCCCGAGAGAACCAGCAACGATGCAATTGAGAGGACTTCACGGTTGAAGGCGATGGTATGCCGGCGTGTCGACCGAGTACGCGGTCGGACAAAGACAGATCCAGAGCTATACGAGCAGCGCAGATCTAGTACTAGGTAGTGTTTTATCCGGCATGGAAAGCAGCGGAAATTGGCGGGCAGGGAAGATTTCGGAAGTGGCGCCGCGGAACCCTTCCGTCCCCGCATAGCCCGCGGTCCGTGTACTGCAGCTCCCACCAGGGCAACATTCGGCTGTGATGACATAGCGTGGTATAACCGGGGAAATGCATGCATGGACATACTACTTTCTCGTTGTGTCTTTGATGGGATTTACTTTGGAAATGTGCGACCACTGTCGCGATGAATTCCTATGACTCGGTAAGGAAGAAGGCTGCGGGTGAGAATGTGGGAGTGCCGCGAGACGAGTGAATCTATCGCGAGACATTGTGCCAGCTGAACTTGGAACCCTTGTACAGTACACTATTCAAACCCCAGTCAATCCTCTCCTGCTCGGTCGTGTGACAAGTTGATTTAAGGTAATCCCGCATCTCCGCGACTACCCTTGTTGTAGCCCACTGGAACCGTAAGTATATATACGAGCCCGGATACTGAAGCGGGCCCCCTGGTCCTTCCACCATGAACCGCCCAACACAGCAGGGGATATAATCTATACCTTCGTATTCAACCACCCTCAAAACCACACGCACCACCCATCAACACTTACCCCCTTGTACCACAGGAGCAGAAACAAAATGCCCGAAATCACCCTCTACACCTACTTCCGGTCCTCCTGCTCCGCCCGTCTGCGCATCGCCCTGCACCTCAAATCCCTGCCCTACACGCCCATCCCCCTCAACCTGCTCGAGGGGGCCCAGCAATCCCCGGAGAACCTCGCCCGCAACCCATCCGGCACGGTGCCCACCCTCCTCATCTCCCCGTCCCCGGGTTCCCCCACTGCAGACCACACTGCAGACCCGATAAAGATCACCCAGTCCCTCGCCGCCCTCGAATACCTCGACGAAGCCTTCCCAGCTACGTACCCTCTCCTCCCGCGCGACCCCGCGAAACGGGCCTTGGTGCGTACTTTGGCCCAGATCATCGCGTGCGACGTGCAGCCCGTTACGAACCTGAGGATCTTGAAGCGCGTGGCGCCGTTGGGCGTGGATCGCGCCGCGTGGTCGAGGGAACTGATTGTGGATGGGTTGCGCGCGTATGAGACTCTTATTGCTGGGGCGGGCGTGAGTGGGCGGTTCAGTGTGGGCGATGAGGTGACGGTCGCGGATGTGTGTTTGGTGCCGGCGGTTTGGGGTGCGGAGAGAGTCGGTGTCGATGTTGCGGGGCTGTTTCCGGTGGTGGCGCGTGTGGTGGAGCGGTTGGAAGGGTTGGAGGCGGTGCGGAGGGCGCATTGGGCGAGGCAGGGGGATACACCTGCCGAGTTGAGGGTTGAGTAGATGGCTTGGTTTGGGGGTTTTGGGGGGTGTATGTATGTGTGGGGTTAATTGTTGCGGTATGATTAGAATTCTGGTTCCTGGAGGGTAGGGGAATATTGCTTCAATTTTATGTGTACTGTACTCGAACTAAGCTACCTAGGCTGCTGAGATATTCGAGTGAATAGGCTAGGCTAGTCGAAGTTGAGCTGAGGAGCTGCAAGGATCTTTCCGATACAGTCGCCAAATCCCACATAGTTGCCCTCCGTGCCGGCCTTCCCGCGCAGAACCACCGTGTCGCCATCCTCCAAGAAGATCCGGTTCGAGCCGTCCGCCAGCTGGATCGGGTTCTTCCCCTTCGTCTGCTCGATCAGACTGCCCTCCATGCCGGGCTCCGGGCCGGAGATGGTACCGCTGCCCAGCAGATCGCCCGTCCGCAGATTGCAGCCCGTGATCGTGTGGTGCGCCAGCATCTGCGGGAAGGAGAAGATGAGGTTCTTGGCGTTGCTGCGCGAGATCGTCGTGGGCTGGCCGCCTTCGTTGGTGAGCTCGAACTCCAGCGGGATGTCGAAGACGTTGTCGTGCCGCTTCTCGCGCAAGTACGGCAGCACGTTCTGGTTGTTCTCAGGCTCGAGACTGGCGGTGCGGAAGGGCTCCAGCGCGTCCAGCAGCACCACCCATGGCGAGATGGTCGTCGCCCAGTTCTTGGCGTTGAATGGCCCCAGCGGCACGTACTCCCACGCCTGGATGTCCCGCGCCGACCAGTCGTTCATCAGCACCACCCCGAAGATGTGGTCCTCGGCTTCCTGCACGGAAACCGGCTGGCCCAGCTCGTTGGGCCGGCTGACGAACGCGGCCAGTTCCAGCTCGATGTCCAGCCGCTTGCAGGTGGTGAACGTCGGCACCTTGGGCACCGCGGTGGGGTTGGCCAGGATCTGGCCGTTGGGGCGGTGGATCGGCGTGCCCGAGGGCACGATGGAGGAGGCGCGGCCGTGGTACGCCACGGGCAGGTGCTTGTAGTTGGGCTGCAGCGCATTGTCGGGACCCCGCAGGAGCACTCCCAGCGTGTAGGCGTGGTTCAGACCCGCGTAGAAGTCCGTGTAATCGCCGATCTGCATGGGTAGGTGGTTGGTCACGTCAGACAGGGGCAGGAGAGCCTCCTGCTGGAGTGACGCATTGTCTTTGAGGATCTGAGGGAAGGGGGTGTCGGCGCGGAAGATCGACTGGATGTACTCGCGAACCTGGCGGTGCACTGGCCGTCCCAATGCTGCGAATGCGTTCAGCGTGGGTTGGTCGAAAACATTGAGATGAGGTTCGAAAGAGGGCAGCTGGGCGAAGCCGCCAGACGAGGCGAAGGCATTCAGGTTCAAGGCGTAGTCGCCAATGGCAATGGCAGGGACCCGCGAGGCAGCTTTGGCTGTGGAGATGATTCCGAAGGGAATGTTTGCCAACGAAAAGGGCGAGTTCTTGGGGATCTGTAGCCACGAAGCCATGTTGTGTGGTAGAGGGAAAAGCTGAGAGGATACTGAAAGGTGGAAGAGGAAAGGTGGTGACTGGAGAAAAGATGGAAGGAAGAGAGCAAGCAAGAAGTAAAGTATGTCTTAATGCGATGGAGGAATCGCGGGGTTGAGCGCGCCCCCCGCGGAATTCCCTCCGTCTCCGCTTATCCCCGGCAATTCCATTCCGCGTCTTTCCCCCACTGCTTTTCCGCTGCCATCTGCCTTCCAATCCCATTCTCATGGATTGTTACGTCCATCAACTAACTCAATATGCTGGATACATCCAGTCTCCAATTCTCCATGCTTAATCCCTGGTCGCTTCACCCAAAGGCAGCAGCATCTTCGCGTCACAGCTGGATTTTCGACCTCGCACTGCCAGTGCCGATCCAAAAACAAAGGCCTTCCGAAGGTTTGCACCTCGAATGCGCGAGAATTGGCAAAGAGTTCAAAACATCGATTCCCGATTTTTGGACCGTCGCTGGACTTTGAAAAACCATCTGGCTTGGAGCAACCACTGAAAGAGATTCAGCGGCTTTCTATGGTGTGGAAGACAAATGCTTATTCAGCTGCGACCAGTTGACTGAAGCAAGAGGCGAAGAACAACAAAGAACAAATGGGACGGACATCTGTGTTAATCACAAATGGCGGCGATACCGACCCCAGTTAAGTCCCGTCCGCACCAATTTCGGTCAAATCTGGTCTAGTGAAATGCTGGCAGTGACGGCCTGTTAGCCTGGTAGCGCGCCTTACCTTAGTGCCAACACTAACTTGCCTAATAAATTGGCTCGCTGGCTGCGCTCCATTTCAGCCTCACGTTGGCACTTCAGACACTCTCAGGGGCTCCTTGATCGCAATCCAGCACAGTATCATGACTGAGAAGAGGGTTCTACCGTCTAAGCGTCAGAAAACGTTTCGCTCGAGATCGAAAACGGGTTGCCGCACCTGTCGGTAGGTATAGCACGGCAATGCCCGGACTCATGGCTAACCCCTCCAGTGTGCGCCGTGTGCGATGCGATGAGTTCCCAGGAGCATGCAACAACTGTACCTCTACCGGTCGGAAATGCGAGTATGACCTTTATCGGCTTCCTGCCAGGCGCAATATGGGTCTCCCACGCCTCTACCTCAGCCACATTCCTGGCCCGGCTTTGACCTCCGATGAGCAAACCTGTTTTGCGTACTTCCAATACCACACGATCTCAGGTCTGGTGGATTTATTCGACTCGCCTCTTTGGGAACGCTACATTCTTCCGCAGAGCTGCGCCGAGCCAGCAGTCTGCCATGCGGTCATCATGCTTAGTGCAATCCATCAGGACGCGGAGTCGAATTGTATGAGACTATCGGGTAACCGAACAGATGACTCCCATTTGAACTTCGCTTTAGAACATTCCACCCGATCCTCCGCCCTGCTGAGACGACGAGGCGCGTCCAACGACCCACAGAAGTACCAGGCCGTTATCACGTGCTGTCTTCTGTTTGTGATGGGAGAGCTATTGCGGGGCCAATATGGCAGAGCGGCCCTGCATCTTCACCATGGGGTGCAACTCATAAAAGAGGCGCAAGCCCAGGGACAGGTAATAGATCCCGACCTTGTCGGCTTCTTCGACCACCTCAATGTTACCGCCGCCTTGTATGCCGCCGATGGACCTGCTCAGAGCATTGACTCAGTAGATGAACCCAAGTGGGTATTGAACGTATGTCCTATCGTTGTACATAGCGTCGGTGAGGCGCAGCAAGCCTTCACAGAAACGCTGAATTACTCGATTCTCCTGATCGCGTTTCTGATGCGCTCAACGCAGGCCGAGATCCTGGCCAAATATGACGATCTGTGGCTCAAGAGACAGAGAATCCTTGCTCGATACGCGGATATTACTCAGGCTCTTGATTCTTTCTGCCAGGAACGCCGCTCCAGGTTCACTCTCAAGGAAGAACGTGGAGCGGACGTGCTTCGTCACCTCCTGCTGGTTCAATACGTCACCCTGAGGGTATTATTTCCCGGAGATTACACCACTAGTCAAATAACTGTCGAATGTGCTGCGCTACTTTCCAGTAGCCTAGCCATCATGGACCAAATCTCGAGAAGCACGACGTTCACCATGGAGCCTGTGGTCTGTCCGGGTTTACACATTGTGGCCACGCTGTGCCCGGACTTGCGATTGCGTGTACGGGCCATCGAAGCATTGCGTGCCTGGCCGCACATGGAGGGGATGATCAATTCCCAGGTCTGTGCAAGTATCGCGGTCGAGGCGCTGAAGGCGGAGGTGCAGAAGATGGGGAAGGACGGCGAAAGCTGGATTGCTGCTGAGTATCCCGAGGAGAGGGACCGGTTTTTGGTGGAGGTTCTTCAATCAAGCCAGAAGGCTGCCGACTGGGCGCCTATTCGCATGTCGCAGTTGGACATTGGTGATGCTGTACCTTATCCGGAAGACACTGTTGTATTGAATGATATACTTTAACATTCAAGTCAATAGACTATCTTAGTGAAGGCTATGTGGCTCAACAATACCAGCTTGCATATTCACTTTGCATGGTCTCTTGTTCCTTTTGGAGTGTCCGATACTCGACGGCGTTTTTGCATCACACCATGACTTCATCGAGGGTCATAGCGAGTTCGACGAAGTCTTTCAGAGGTTTAATCTTGTATCACTTGTACCATGATGCTCGACATGATTCCATCAAGCAAGTTCGATGACCAAATCTAACAAGCATTTACCCTTGTACCATGATTCTCGATATGGTCCCAATCGATGAGACCATGGTTGAAGCTATTCAGAGACTTGGCTGCTAGGGAAGAGTGAGTCAACCCCCCATGCGGACATAGTTGCATAACCGTGATGGTAAGTCTCCTGGAAATGCATTTCCTGATACTATGATGCATCTGAGTCACCGTCCCAACGACCTGACTTCTCCCGCTGAATCTCTCCATCTCCTGAGTTTCCCCACATCTGCACCACCATAAGACCTTACTATCAAGTAGCATCCTCAACATCCAGTACCTGCAGTACTCTCAAGCACCTTCAGTACTATCAAGAACATTTTCTACCATCAAGTACTTTTATGCCAGCCTCCCATTTGCTAACAGAATCAGCCAGTATCGTATACTAACTCATCCATAGCACCGTCAAAATGCAACCCTATGGAGGCGGACAGCTTCCCTGGCCTGCAACCTCCAACAGTCTCAGCAAGCCACCGGCCACGGAGAACAAGAACAAAAAGAAATGGCTGCGATGGGCCATTCCGCTGGCTGTGGTGGCTATCGCCATCACCATCCTGGGTGCCTGTCTGGGCACTCAGCTGAACAAGCACCCAACGGCGATGCCTATGCGCCTGGGTAATGGAACCAGTGAGTCTACCACAGATCTCCAAGACACAGGGCACCAGGCTGGGGTTGGCGATTACCACAACCACAACCACAACCATACTTATGATCAGCACAACTCCAGTGATGGGGTTCCTCGTGTTGGACTGCCGAATCGTGGCGTGCCGTCCGGGTCTTCACTGCCTCAGCCTGATGGTCCTGCTGTGCCTGTTAGCCCTGCGCCTGTCAGCCCTATTGTACCTGTCCCTCCTATCATCCCTATGAGCCCTACCAACCATACCAACTCTATCAACGCTACCAACCCATCCAACGCACCTTCCCATCCATTCCATAACCAAACCCAAACCCACCCAATCAGCCCTACAACAACAAACCCAACCTTCACCATCCTCCCCCTCAACCCAATCACTCCCATCCCCATCCCCATCCACATCCCCATCCCCATCCCCATCCCCATCCCCAATAACCCCCAAACAACCCCCCAAACCAAAACCAACCCACCCAACCCACCCAACCCTAACACCCCACAACCCGCACCAAAGACAGCGCCAACAAAACCAACAACAGGACTAACCCCTCTCCCCATGACCACGGGCGAAGAATGCATCACCCTGCACGGAATAACATACACCTTCTACGGCTACCCCGACAACGACCCGCCCGGCGCCGCAATCGCCTACGACTGCCCCAACCGCAGCGGAAGCGGCACCGCCGGCGGGACAGGCACGTACGACGACCCGCTGACCTTCGCGACGGCGCCGGGCGAATTCGAGCTGTGCGAGGTCATCTACTCGCCCTACCTGCAGAAGTACCTCATCCACGAGGACTACTGCGAGAGCTGCACGCGGCACTGGCCGCACATGTGGCATGTGGACGTGTGGTTGGGCGGGGACTCGGTGGGCGCGGCGGCGGAGCAGTTGAGTTGTGAGGCGCGGCTGACGCCCGAGGTGGAGAGTCAGAGTGTCGTGCGGTGGCCGGGGAGGGATTTGGTGGTTGATGGTATGTCTTCCTTCTCTTTTACTTGAGATTTTGAGGGGGGTGGGCTTGGGGTTCGGGCTGGGTTTGGATTAGGGCATACATGCCCATGCTAACGCTCGGTAGGCACTACGTTTTACGCAGGTGGGTATTCCGCCTGTGGCGTTGAGCATGTCTACCATGCGGCTGGGGCGGGGGATTACTGTTGAGGAGGATTCCCTAGCGACAACCGACAAGGACGGGGTCTGGACCAGGGAACAGGCCCGACAATGGGGATGTGGATCGGCGGTTGGCTCAGGGTTCTGTTTCTGGGGGACACTTTGTTCGCCTCGTGTCTTGCGGGGTTGTCGCTGGTGGCGCCGAACTGGGTGCCTGTCCATCAGGTTTTGTGAGTCTTGCTCGTGATCGCAGTGATGCCCTTGCTTTTGGGGGGCGTTTAGTATCCCGAGTTGCTTGGGGTCATGTTTTGATCGCTCTGGGAGACTTGCTTTGCTCTATGTTTATTCGGGTGTTTGCATTGAGCGTTATTGTTGCGTTCTTGCGTTCTTGCGTCGTTGGGCTTTTGTGGTTTTGCGCCGTTGTGTTTAGCTATAACTGATTTGCATGTGAATAAAGGTTTGGAGTCTGGGATCTCAAATTGAGTTTATGGTGAATTGCTGTAGTGACAAGTAACTGCTTGTAAACCATGTATATAACCCAGGCAATTCGTGAAGATCGTCTGGCGTACCTCGAATTGAAGGCAGGAGCGGTCTCTGGAGAGTGTAAGGAAGGTGCATTCTCCCTCCTTCCGATTCAAAGGCTAGGTAAAAAGGAACATGATTCTATTCTAAGTCTATGTGCATTTTTATTCCCATGCGCACTTACATGTCATTGATATCAGTTAACCCAGTCAGTAGCCCATCCCTAAAAGCCCTCCAACACCTTCCCCTTCTCAACACCAGACACCACCTCCCGCACCGTCTCAGCCACCAACCCCAACCACCGCGTCACTTCCTCCTCCTCGCTGCCAACAACGCCCAACTGCAACTGTCCTCCCTTGACATAGGAAACAACCTTGACCGGGTACGCCGCATCCCCATGCGGGTTCAGAATATCAACCGCACACTCCCGTCCGGCGAAAGGCATGGTATCGAAGTCCTCGAAGTCCTGGTGATGCACAATCGAGTCGAACGAGCCGGCTCCTTGCCACGCGGGCGCACATTCCCGTGCGATCTTGTCGAAGCCCACAAAGTCGTACGCCGCGGACTCGGCGCTCTGGCGCTGCACAGCGCGCAGCAGATCCTCTGCTGTCCACTCGCGCTGGATGTTGATCCGAATCGGCGCGAGCTGGTAGCAAGGGCCGACAACATTCTCAACTCCGATAAGGTCGAGGGTCCGGCCGGTGGTGACGCCACCGAAGGTGATGTCGCGTGTCTGCAGGAGGCGGGCGAGAGTGAGAGCCCAGGAGGCGGTGAGGAGGGTTGCGGTCGTCGTGGCTGTGGTTTCCTGGACAGACGACAGATCCAAATCCAGGGATTGAGTCTGGAAGATAGATTTGGAGGTGGGCGATTTCGGGCCGGTGGAGGGAAGAACGGTCAGTGTCGAGTCGTGGAGGAGGTTCTTCCAGTAGGCGAGAGCAGGGTTTTGGGTATCCGGCTTGGTGACGTGTGCCATGTACGCGGAGAAGGGAACCTGATCGGTCGCTCGCGAACCGGTGTAAAGGGCTTCGAAGTCGCGGAGCAGGTGGGGCAGAGACTCGCCGTCGTATTGCGCGTGTGAAAGACCGAGGACCAAGGCCTCGCGACCGTCCAGGGCTTCGATGTGGAAGAACTTGAGGAAGGACGAGCCGAGAGGGAAGTCAGAGGCAATGTGGCTGTTGCACAACTCGGTAATGTACTGCTGCAGGTCCTCTTTGTCGGCCGTGTGCTGCGTCAGGGGGGTGGTAAGCTCGTTCAGCACAACCTGATAGAAGGCCGATTCGTGCTCAACAAAAACGGTCCGCAGGATGTCGTGGGTCTTGACGAGGTCGCTGCACGCGCGAAGCAGTCGCTCGCGATCAATTGCCCCCTGGTCGAAGATGAGCATGGTGTATTGAATCGAGGTGCGCGGGGCATGCACAGTTGCGCGGATGTCCAGCGCTTGGGAGTCGGTCACAGGAAGAACATCCTTGATTGACCAGGAAGATTCTGCCAGCTGAGGACGGATGGTTTGAGACAAGAATTGCTCAACATCCGAACGACCCAGAGTGGAGAAGGGCTGGTAGGACTGAGCTTGCTTGGCCTCAGAGGCCTGATCGACCCTCAACACTCGGGCCGCGTCACCCAGGCGCATGTGCTGAAAGATGTCGGCTACGGACAGGTTATGACCCTGGCTACGAAGACTGGAAACCAGCTTCATTGCCAGGACGGAGTCACCTCCCAGGCGGAAGAAGTTATCGTCAACATCAATCTCTTGCTCAGGCAACCGAAGAATCTTGGCCCAAGCGGATCGTAGAATCTTCTCGGGAGTTGTCAGGTTAGTATGAATAGCAGTCTTTGCCCATACTTCCTTGATCCCGTTGCGGAGCTGTTCTAGGATATCCTGAGGGATCTTGGAGGCCAGCTGGTTGAGGAGAGTGTGGTCACTCTGTTCGCCCTGAGCCGGCAGCTCCTCAACCAAAATGTATGCAGACGGAGACATGTAAGAGGGAAGCGAGTCGCGAATGAACTTGTCGAGCTTCTTCAGAGCAACCGCAGCACTAAGGGGAATTGTGGCACTGAGGGTGGCCGCCGACTCGCCGCTAATCTCCTGCGTGACTGGTAGGATGGAAAGGCTCTCCTCATCGGAAGACGGTCGTTCAACCAGAACGACCAACTCGGGTCCAGTCTCGTTGAGCGACTGTCGAATAGCTGCAGCGGCGCGAACTGCAGCGGGAAGCTGTCTGTTTAAGTGCAGCTCAATATCGGCAATATCCACAGCATGTCCCTGAATTGAAACAACATTGTCCTTACGGCCAACAAACACAAGGCTGCCATCCTCGCGCAGCTGGACCATATCACCAGTCGATTGCACTGTGCCACTGCGACCAGCACTAGTCGAACTTCCTGCAATAAGCCAGGCCGGGTTCTCAACAGTTTCGCCAGAGACAAAAGCGCCTTCGAGCCAGAGCTCTCCGACACAGCCAATAGGAGACAACAAAGCTGGGTTGCGAGCATTGACTACCCAAGGAACAACTGCAGAGGGGTACTGCGCTCCCTGCTTGATATTGGCATCAGCACGAAGTCGTCCCGAAGACTCATCTCGGGTCAGAGGAGGGGTCTGGTTCCATTGCCAAATCTGGTTCAGCTCAACCTCAGGCAGACACGAGATTTCTTCAATGCGCCGCTGCAGACCCTTAGTCAACTCGACGCAGGCCACTTCCAGCTGTACCAGCATACGCTTCATCTGTGCAACTTCGATCAAGCTGCCGTCAAAGCTAGCACAGACCCGGAAGCCACCCTTGCGCACAGCACACCCCAGCATCAGCGGGTAGGGGTTGAAATGCAGCGCTTCGCGAACAACGTCACCCGTCTCAAAGCCCAGGTCACTACCCACGTATTCCGGTTCGAGCTGGACGACCAGCCCGGTACCGGCCTCGCATGCGTGCTGAGCGTCGTGGCTGACCTTGCGGATGTTCTGCATGCCCATGTGCTGGTAGGGGACACGAGCAAGAATAGTCTGCTGCACAGCTTGCAGGTATGACTCAACCGTACTGGTACGGCTGACATGGATGCGAACAGGAAGTGTAGCAATCAAGGGACCGATGATGCTCTCGACGCCCGGTAAGGCGATATCACGACCGGTGAGCGTTTCACCGAAAACGACGTCGTCACTTCCAGAATACTGAGCAGCCACAAGTGCCCAGGCACCGCGAATCAGGGTCGCCATGGTGAATGGCCACTTCGCAGCGGTTTTCAGCGGGATCACGTGCTCGATGAAGGCGTCGGGTGTGGGCATGAAATCTCTGGACGGCAAGCGAGGGAACTGGGGACCAACGGCACCCTGTAGTTCGCGTCTCCAGAACTCGTTCATAGCGGCTTCATCCGTATCGTGCACGTACTTCACAAAGTCCCGCATCTGTGCCTGTGGCTCGATTTGCTTAACGCTTAGCGCGTCACTGACATCCTTAAGCACCAGCGGCTCAGACCATCCGTCGTACACAACATGGTGGATTGTCCAAACCATATGTTTGCCCTCCTTGGCATCATCCACAATCGCGTAACGAGCCAGGCTCTCGCCCAGGTTCATTCTCTCCTCGCGATCGTTCTCCAAATACTGCGCCAAGTCCGTCGCATGCTTCCAGGTGATGTTCTCCTTGAGCACCACTTGCTGGAGACCGGGATCCTGCAGCTGCACCAGACGAGTGCGCAGAATAGGTTTGGCGGCTACCGCTTCCTCCCAGGCTTTCTTCCAAGCATCGAGGTCGATGTGCGACGGAATGCGCGCAACTCTCTGTGCCACGTACAACTTGACAGATTTGAGAGAGAAGGTAAAGAGCGACTCCTGCGTGGGTGTGCAAGGATAGATGTCTTCAACTGACGCCGCGTCCACTCCGCAAGCAGCAGCTGCCTCGCGACAGGCGCTTTCGACATCTTGCGAAATCATCGAGAAAGGCGGCAACTCAGTGCGGGCTTCAGTGTCGCAAATCTGAACGACACCGGCCATTCCTGAGAGGGTAGGGTGACCAAAAGTGTTGGCGACGGTGAGGTCAAGACCTTGCTCGCGGCACACCGACACCAGCCTCATCGCCATGACAGAGTCACCTCCAAGCGCAAAGAAGTTGTCCTCGGCCCGAATGCCTTCAGCATCCTGCTTCAAGACCACACTCCAAGCCTGGCGAAGACGTTGCTCGAGCTCAGTCAGTTCCCGACCAGCGCCGTTTGTCTCGGCCCCTTGGTCGAGCTGGCGAATGTCGACCGTGGTAGCAAATTGTCGAAGTCTCTTGCGATCAGTCTTGCTGGATATCAAGACTGGAATATAGTTCACAGGGATATAGACCGTGGGAACCATGTACCGTGGCAGAACCTTGGCAACGTCGGCATTGGCTTCAGAAAGCGTCCTTTGCTGTTCATCCGATAGCTCAGCCAGGCTCAGGTCGCCCTGCTCATTAGCCTTGAAGGACTGGAACGTGACAAACGCAACCAAGGTAGCCTGGCCACCGGTTCCCTGCGGCACAACCACCTCAGCGATCACATTGGCATCTGAAGGCAATCTGTCCTTAAGCTGACTCTCAATCTCCCCGAGCTCAACACGCTGACCACGCAGTTTGACCTGCGTGTCCTTGCGTCCAACGAAGACAATACCACCCGAGCCGTCTGGGTCGTACCGTCCCAAGTCACCCGTCTTGTACAGTCGACCGCGACGACCCTCGTAGCCGTTGTGGCCGGCAACAAGCCATTTGGGATCCTCAATGAACACCGTGGCGGTCTTCTCGGGATCATTGAGGTAACCCTGGCCGACAATCGGGCCCTCAACGAGCAGCTCACCGACGGCGCCGACGGGCATGAGGGTATCATGGTTGTTGGGATCGGTGATCCACATTGCGGCACCGTTGCCGGGTCCGATTGAGATATAGTCTCTGCCGGTCGCTGCGCTGCTGTTGACCGTGCATCCAATTGTACACTCACAAGGTCCGTAGCCGATAATGATACGGGTGTCCTGTCCCCACAGCTTCACATCTCGCGCTGAGACAGCCTCACCACCAAGGCCGAGACCAGTCAGCGACGAGATCACATCCGCATCCAGAATGCGCGCCACTGATGGCGTCAAGCCAGCATAATTGATCTTCATCCGCCGGAATGCTCCGTTGATATCATTGAGTCGATCTTCATCCGAGGGAATGCACAGACAGCCACCATTGCTCAGAGTCAACAGCATGCTATCGATACTAACGTCGAAGGCATAGGAGGCGAAGTCCAGTACCCGGGAGTCAGGTGTATATCCCACGGCCTTGGCACGTGGAATGGCGCTACTCGTGTAGGTTTGGTGAGAGATGGTTACGCCCTTGGGAGTGCCCGTACTGCCCGAGGTGAAGATGATATACATCAGAGTGTTCGGGGGTACGGTAGGCAGCGCTGGAAGCTCCTGGTTCAGATCGAAAGCCTGGAAACTGTCTTCTTCCACAACTAGGACGGGACCACCAGGCAAAATCGAGGTCGCTAGATCATGCTGCTTGCGCGACGACAGCATCATCTTCCCGCCAACCTGTTGCGCCATGTTCTGGAGACGGGCCAGAGGAAGCGTGGGGTCCATAAGCGCAAAGGTTGCGCCAGCCTTCATCGCCGCGAGAACTGCCACGATGGTCCACCGTGACTTCTCAAAGCAGATTGGCAGGATATCGTCCTGGTGAAGCCCCATCTCCTTGAGCTTCCACGCGACGTGTGTGGAATAACGGTCGACCTGTGCATACGTCAGGTTGCCGTCCCAGGACGCAATGGCCTCGCCCTCCGGAGCCTTTTGCGCCCATTCTGTTACCATTTCGTGCGTGCAGAAGCTGTATGTTGGTGGTAACTCGTGGTTCCAGCGCCAGATCTCATCCAGATCGGATGTGGTCGCTCGAAGGCACTCTTCAATGGTGCTCTCGGGGTTGCTCAAGCATCGCTGGATCAGCTCCGCTAATTTCGTGACATGTAACCTCACGGTGAATTCCAGCACGCTGGTTGAGTGCCATACTGGCCGAATCTTGAGGTTTCCGCTCTCAAAGCCGATCTCAACATGGATGACACTCTGTTTCACAGTTGTTCGTTAGCTTAAGCGCAGCCTCTCGACGAATGGTTCATTGTATCCATTACCTCTTCCGGAGCCTGTGACAATGAGCCCGTGCTTAGTAACAGCGTCGTGGGTGTCGCAGGAGATTGAGCTTGCGTGGCTGCGACAATGTGTTGTGCGACTGCGGCCGAGACCTGAACGATAGTGCTCTGTAATCCCGGCATCACTTGTGGTGTCGAGAGCGACGACTTTCCCCCGGCTGAATACGCCCATTCGAAGCGAACCTGGCCGTCTTCGCAGGACTGCAATAGCAAAATGATCCATGACACTAGCAGAATATCCTCTCTCGTGCCTGTCGGGGTAATAGTGGAGGTGGAGGTGGAGGGAGCTTCCAGGCCGGCAACCTGGAAAAGGTGGAAACCGTCGGCGTCGACTTGCGACTGTTGTTGTTGTTGTTGCGACATGATGACTCTAGCTTAAAAATCCCTTATTATGTTTCCTATTCAGGGGGGTCATATAAGTCGTCTTCGTCTCCCAGCAGTCCAGCTGAAATTTGTGTCTGTCTGGTGAGAAGGAATGAGAGGAGGAGAAGGAGGAGGAGGAGGAGGAGGAGGTGGTGGTGGTGGTGGGGGGTAGGAGGGGAAGGTGGATTTATTAAAGATGCAAGTAGTCAAGTAGCTTCCTTCTTTGCCCGCTCTCCGACCAGACCGGAAAGTCACCGCTTGCGCGAGTTCGGCCCTCTGTGACCAAACGGGTATGGTGTCAAGTTATATAGTAGGCGCTGTCCTGCCAGCCAAGATTTTGTGAATGGGGAATTGTGCAAGATGCGAAAGGAAAATTCCCCACAAGGTGCAGCGCCAGCCGCGCGCACCGGATGTGTGGTGGAGATTATCATGTTTCCTTCATCACATATGCGGGACAAAGTAGCCTGCAGATTCGCGCTATGTGGTTTCGAGCAGTGGACCGAGCGTGCGGACGGAGCGTCGAGGAGCAATTACGGACACACTGGAGATTAATTGTTGACTGTAGAGTGCAGACCGAGTAAGGTCGCTGACTGTAGGTACCCGATCCCTGCAGGTGGAAAGTCTACTGAGTCCTGAGGAGAACTGAGAGGGGCTGGGAAAAAAGTGCACAGCAAGCTGTGATTGAGCTAGAGTACTGTACTGTGCCTACCCAATTCCACCACCACATCTAATCCACTCTCGGTTTCAAACCACTGGGCACAGAGCATGCCCATCCCTTCCGACGTTCGGCGGGGCGGAGGAGATTGATAAGAAGTCGCCTGACCCAAGACTAGACTATTGCAATTTCCTCTCGCGCGCGCAGTTAGTCTACGTACATACTTGATTGAGAAGCGAGCCCCGAAAAATATTTCAATCCAGTTCGGTGCGCTTGCTGGGTGCAGTTGCAGCCAGCCTTTGCCCACCTCGGTTAGGGAAACTGGGTTTGGGAACCTTGAAGAATTTTTTATCACGGCGGGGTGGGGAAGACAATTTTATCAATCAGTGATAAGATGAGAGTTGCTTTTCGGGTACCGTACCGTATTGTGCGGTGGGGGCCTGTCGACTGTGACCGTACAGTACGGTACGCGGTACCGGCTGAGCAGGAGGGGATGTGGAGGTGAGTCGACAGGTGGGATTTGTTTTTGGTGAGTTGTTTTAAACAGGTGGCAGGATCGCACAGCGTTGGAAGTACATTTTTAGCAGGAATCTTCATCGTGATTGTAGAGAAGACATCTATTTGCAATGGTTTACTTTTACTCCGTCAATGCTGGACTGAGGGGGTTACGCCAACTCGGGGTGCAGCATTTTCCCAGCACAAGTCATTTCCAGTAGGGAGTCAGGGTCACACGTTGATATACGCGAATGATTGAAGGAAGCAGTGATCATCCTATTATTTTCAAAAATCTATAATTTAAGTTGCACAATTGAATCTCTAACATTGCACGCTAAAAACAAACTCGATCGTAATCATCTCAGTTTCCCTTGACTGCACTCAGATAGCTGATGACCTTCTCAGCCAGAAGCCTTCTCGGCTCCGCCTGGTCGTCATTGCTCAACGCATGCGAGGCATTGGGAATGATGAAGCTGTGCTGGTCATCCCAGACCTCCGCCTCGCCGTTGCGGTTCGCCGCGTTCCGCCACCGGGCCATCAGCTTCTCCTTGTCAATCCAGTCCGGCACCGCCTGGTCGGCGCCGGAGAACATCACCATCAGGCGACTGCGGAGCAGGCCCGAGTCGCGGATCTTGCCGAAGGTGGTTTTCAGGTGCTCATCGCTCAGATCGGAGCTGAACAGGTCGTCTTCCTGGGGCGTCGCGGGGCTGTCGGGGCTCACGAGACTCAAAAAGCGGCGGGCGCTGATGGGAACGTTGGCGCCGTAGCAGATGTTGGCGGTGACGTCCAGGGGCAGGACGGTGTCGAACTTGGGGTCCTTGTCGCGCACCGCCTCGCGCGCCATCGCCTCGGCCTTGTCGTAGACCGCCCGCACCTGCTCGGGCGTCTTGCCGTTGAACCCCCAGTGGAGCACCCACTGGATGGCCTCACGGTCGGAGACGGGCGCTTGCATGATGGCGCCGTCGAGGGGCATGCGCTGCAGATGCTCCAGGTCGCTGTCGAACGGGTGGGCGACCGTGAAGGGGTTGGGCCGGTAGAGGTAGTGCAGCACGCACTGGCTGCCCGTCGAGTGGCCCATCAGCACGATCTTGCCGGGGCTGCCGTACTTCTCGGTCTTGTAATCGCGGATGTAGTTGAGGCACTTGGTGATCTCGTTCGTGTCGCGGTCCAGGTGGCCCAGACCCCAGGAGTTGTAAGAGGAGGTGAGGTTGAGCATGAAGATGGACCAGTCGCTTTGCTCCATCATCTTCGCCATGTCGGCGACGTAGGAAGTGGTACCGATACCATCGCCCAGACCACCAACGAAGAGGAGACTGTGGGGTTGGGCGACCTTGCCGGTTGTGTATTCAAAGGTGACGAGGGATTCAGTCTGTAGTAATGAGAGATGAGATGGTCAGTTGCCTTCTTGCTATGTCTCTACGCCTGCTGCGGAGGGGTCAATCGTTGAACGTACGTAGTGGTGGAGCATGCCCGGGATACCACCCTTGGGCCAGAATTTGGAGTACAACATGATGTGTGTGGTGCTAGAGAGCTGATGTTCTCTGTGCCGAAGAAAGTTGAAGGTGACGACGGACGAGAGGGAGGGAGTTTTCCAGAAATCCCACGGAAGCTTGCAAATGATGGGATGATGCCAGCGGTGGCCTTTAAGAAAACAAACCCCTCTGTTATCGCGTAATTGTGGAGAATGAATTCATAGGCCACGTTCTCCTTTTCCCTCGGCTGAATGTATTTCTGAGACCGGCAGTTGCTAAGTGGGTATGGTATTTTTCTGTTTGTCTTGCTCTGTCCTGGGTGGTGGGAGGAGCAGTCCACTTCTGCTTGGACCCGACCTGATCCGACCGACCCGTTGTTGTGAAGGAGCCATTTCCCTGGGACCAGGAAGCAGTCGCTTATCAATCAGTACACAGCTTTGTAACCAAGGTACCCAGTACCCAAACTAAACTCAGACTGGGTGTGCGAGACGCTGAACTCGGAACAAACCTTTAATGTTGCTTTTGAAATTTTGAACACACAGCTTAGTGCTACAAGTCCCTATCCAGTGAGGGGTAAGTCACATCGAACACTACGGATTTCACCTGCGACCGGTAACAATGTCTGAGACTAGTCTGTTACAGCGCCCTTACCATGTAAAGGTATGTAATTCATTTCCAGCGGTTCCAGTGTTCGGGGCTCACTATTGATCTAATCAGATTCTCCGGTTCAGCACCAGACAAGCCACCCTTCAGCTATCAGATCCGCTTTTGTCTAATCTGATCGGAACTCACCGTTGTGTTTGGGTCTTGACTACACTAGCGTAGCGTCCCTGTGCGCTGTTGGGAAATCCTGAAGTTGCTGCAGTCGAGGGATGTCCGAAGGGGAGTTGATGAAAGTTAATCTCGATAGACAACAACACTATATAGACTTATACTACAGACGTGTAATGTAGTGCACGTAGAGTTTGTACAACAAGGAAGCGAACACTGGAAAAGATGGCATGTCCTGCAGCAATTGTACCTGCAGCATGGTGAGGAGAGCTCGCCAGACCCCCCTGATCAATTCTCGGAGCACGGAGCTAGTTTAGCAGAAGTCGCTCGAATCCGTGGCGGACGGTGAGCCGGAGCCCGCATTGTTTCCTGACAGCCCCGGTTCTTCCCTCGGCATTATTTCAGCGAAAGAGCTTTCGTGCTGTTTGCCATTTAACCTCATGCAGTGTATTGAGAAAGTGGAAAACTCCACCGGGCTACATAGAAGTCCTGCATATATACATACTTATCAAGGTAGCAAGTACACGCCACCTACAGGAAGCGATTAATGCTGGGGGCATCGTTACTCTCAAGGTTGTCAACTCACAAACATAGACACACCGCCTATGTTAAGGCGATCGGCAGGCACGGAACAGCATTGTAAACATTGCAAACAGGGACGGACACACCTTAGGCATTCAATGGCTTGCTGTCACAAAACAATCTTCTGACCGAGGCTATTAGATTACCACCTCATCACCATCACCATACATAAAAAAGAAACCAGATCAGAAAAGTTCATTATTGCTGAACATAACATCAGTGATCACCGCATCAACTTCCCTTTATAAGGCAAAATGTACTCTATCTTCCAGCTCTCTATCTTTTTAGTAGATTGATCCTTCCTCCACCATCCCTGCAGAAGAGATAAAAGAAAAAGGAAAATAAAAAAAAAAATAAAGATCTTGATTAAGCTCACTGTGGGCAGTCGATTAGATGTCTTCCCACCCCAACCGCAAGGGACTGACCTACCTCGAACTTGATCTGTTCTAGAAACACCACGAACCGCCGAAGCGTGGTTTCGACCACCGACTCGCATGGGTGCAGCACGGCATGACCCAGGGCCGGCAAGGCCGGCTCAATATCCTTTCCTAGCGACTGTAGCAGCTTCTGCAGACTCTCCAGCAGACCCAGAAACTGTTTGGCGTTGCGGCCGATCAGCGTCCGGACCAGGAGGGTAGCTTCCTTCTCGTCGAGCTCCATGCGACCCAGCTGCGACGGGCTGCGCAGACAGATGTACTGCGACAGCGGCTGCTCGAACGCCAGCACCGTGGGGTCTAGAAGCGTGCTGCTGTTGGTGCTCGTGATGCTGTAGGCCAGACTGCCGGCCTCGAGGAGGGTCAGGCACTGCTCGGCCAGCGCGGGCAGCATTGCAAAGGACGAGTGCGGGTTGCTGCGGCAGCCCTTGCACTTCACGATCGCTTTCCCATTGGTAATGACCCGGTGGACTAGGTCCAGGATGGTGGCGAGCTCCACGACCGGTTGAAGGTTCCGACACTCGGTCATGAACTGCAGGAGACGTATCGAGCAGGAGCAGCTGCTGCTGTCCATGACTGCACAGCGGGGTTCAGAGAGCAGATGGCGCTTTCTAACAGACAGGTCCAGTTTGCTCCGACCACAGGGTCATCGTTGTATCGAAAAAGATAAGATAGAGACCCCCATCTTTGCTGTGGTAGGAGGTTGAGCCGAACGAGATCACGATTCGTGCACGCAGTCGCCGCAGGCCTGGGCTCCTGGGAAGACTGGCTTGCCCTGCACCTGAATTCACATGCCTTGCGGCGACTCTACATTGCAGCCCAATCACGACGTCGTGCCGCTGAGGTACTAGAGCAGCCTCACCTTATATCACTTCCGGTGGGAAGGCTCTGTTGGTCTGTTCCCTGGGCAAACTAGTTCACTGTGCGACGTAGTATGCTATGAGATCCGCGCACTCGTCACACAGCTGGCTCTCGGCCATGCCCTAGTGCGCAGGCAGCAACCCTGATGCTCCTACTTTTTTGGGTCTAGTATGCAGCTTATGTGACTGCCCAGACAAGGCACTACGACAGGTTTAGTCTCGTACATTACCTTCTATGGCCGGGGGTGTTTTGGAAGAGAATCAAAGGAAACCGAGAAGAACATTCTTTGAGCTGAAAGTGATGAATGATTAGGATAAGCGAGTACAAATTATGACTGTGCTAGCAATTTAGTCTTCATCATAACTAGCTCCAGCCGCTGATCGGTCTCCAATATCATTCCCAGCCTGCCCCGGGCAGCAGGTACAGCCAGAAACTCTTGCGTACATAGACGAATGCGACGAACAATCATTTGCAGTTCTGATAACCGAAGGTACAGCACCTGTGCTATGAAAAGAAATTTGTCCTCGAATGGAACACAGAACCCTCCTACCACTAACGGACAGGCATCCACCTGTGTCTTCAGATAGTGGTTGCTTGATCGGCATCGTCTAAGGTTCGCGTTGGGAACGTTATCGGGTCTGTTACCTGTAGGGGGGGGCTCGTAATTCTCGGCGAACAATCTCTCTGCTAGTCCGCTGTCCAGCGATATAATTGCTTCTAGAGCGGTCACTAGACTGTCAATGCTGACCACAACCATCATTAGGAGGTTAATCCAAGTACGGGAACATAGAGTGCATTGAAGGATGGTGTGCGAAAGTTGTTGCAGCACGCGTTGACAATTCAAAATGGAGTCAATCGTAGCCGCAGGTCCCGCACGCGATGCAAAGTTATTGACCTGAATCAACTCGCGTATCGTCGGTTCGTGGCATTGGCACTGATACTGGAAACTAGTCATGGTGGGGTTTGTCTTGAAGTGTTCTGGCACATAGTTGTAGACGTCATTAAGATTCGGAGCTCTGGTTGGGATGAAACTGCCGGAAGGCTCCGTCGCTGACATCACTCTCGTTACCGTTGGTGGAATACTATCGATAGACGATGTAGCCGGCTGTAGCCAGGCCAAAGAGTCTTTCTTCAAAGCTTCAGGGTCAGAGTTCCGACTGTCTGCCAGTCCGTGGGCGTCATCAGCAGGGGACTGGCTGTGACTAGGGAAATTGCTCGGAGCCAGGTAGTAGCACTCTGGGGCTTGTTCTTGAGAATCCGTTGTGAGGAAACTTCTTGATGGGCTTGTGAAGTGACTTGAATGAGAGGGACTTGTGTTATTGACGCTCTCAGCCTTGGTGTTGTTCAAGCCGAGTGAGTCTAGCAGTTCGCGCTCCTGCACTAGATCAGCGACAGGATTAGACATGAACTCCTGTAACCAATTATCTGGAGATAGGTCGTTGCCGTCAGAAACTTTTAGATCTTGTAAGCAGGTTATATTGTGGGAGTACATCATATGTACCACAGGGAGCCATACGATTAGGATCCATGAAGCAGTCTTGGTGTAGACTAGCATCATCAATACCAAGGTTCTCGAGGCCATCGCTTGCATTGTTGTCAAGCATCGCTCTCTCATTGACACATGGGTAGCTTGGTAGGTTGGCTCTGGCTTCGTGCACCGGCTCCTCTATAATCCTCTTCTTTCTAGGGTATCCACGAAATCTCTTACCCAGAGGGCCCCGGGCATGTTTTTGCATGTTGAAATGACTTCCACTCGCTGCAGTATCTTTTTTCTTGGCCGGTCGCCCCAAGCGTCGAGAAATACTGTAGATACAGCTGTAGTTGTGCTTTTGGCATCGTAAACATGATGGCTTCTCATGGCTGCAGCGAATCTTAGCCTGCTGGCAAGCGTTGCAAGTCGTTCGGACCTTCACACTCTTGGGAAGTGGACCGGTGGTAACTTGGGACGACTTGTCTTGATTCATTGTGAATACTACAACTCACAGGTTGAGGACAATGTTCAGCACCAATTGAAAAAAATAAATATACTGGTACAAATCAACGCAAATATTAAAAAGGGCTCTGGTGCCAAAGAAGGGGGAAAATAGCAGTATGGTACATCCGCCTCTACCACCTCAATACTACTGTCCAGGTTCAACAGCGTATAGACCGAGGCAGAGCATCTGAGGTAACCATGATGTTGTAGGTTACATAGCCATGTTTCACGGCTTAGTCGGGAGCATTGACCGGTCAGCTTATCATCGCGTTTCCTATAACACTAGAGCTCTAGGCTGGCGAATCGTGCAGTACGCTTCCGAATGTCGTAAGACCACGTCGGAAGACCGGGGAGTGTTACTGGAATGTCGTCTAATGAGTTTTTCGACATTTTCTCCAAGCAGACCGCATTTGAAGCTCACCCAATGCCGAAGAACAGAGATTCTCGGATCCGAAGGGGGAACTCCCGAGCCCTATCCGCCTGTGATCGTCATGTTCAGCGCCAGTCGACAGACCCGCTCAATCGAGTGCTAAATTCGTGCTACATACCTAATTGGTATCATCAGCCCCAAGTCTCCAGGCCCCAGAGTTAGAGCCCCGTCGGAGCCACTCACTCACAGGGCGTTCCCTACCAGGTTCCTCCGCGGTGGCCTCCGTTGGAGCCTGTCTTACACAACGAAGATCATTTCACCCGCCACCGGCGCCCCGAGCCATCCTGTGAACAAGTCAAGCTGCAGAATAAGCGTGACACCGAGTGGTAAAGGAGAAGTATGGGTATGCGCGGGCTTCGATCAGAGCTCCGAGATCATCCGCCCTGTTTCCGATGCTGCGGTCAGCCGCTGGGTTTCATGGTTATCTTTCTGCTCGGGAGCCGCCTCACAAGGCGTGATTGATCGTCATGGAATTGAAAGTCTGTAACCATTCGCATTTCACATCTTGAAACTTGTCTTATGATAGTCATGTGTTAGCAGATGTTGCATACTTCGCATGTGTAGAGTGTCAATCACGGCGGCAAGGAAGTCACATTGAGCAGCATTCCGAGCGTCATGGTACATTTTCTAGCAAGTCAAACTGCGAAGCCTTGCAGATATTCTTTGGTTCGTCAAGCGAAGACAGATTTCGTTGTTCTGGCACCTGTCCTGTAATATCTGAATCCAAAGGGAAGCAGGAGTGTGTGTCGGATTTAGCAGGCTGTTTGAGACGTTGATGACGATTGGGTATGATCTGAACAGCATTCAGTCGATAGTCCTTCTGCTCTTCAATTGGCCTTCTGCAATAAGGTGGAAAAGCGAAGGAGAAAGGCATTGCAGGGCGGAACTGTAGTGGTGATGAGTGATGCCCAAGAACCTCGTCCTAATTAGGCAAGTGCAGATAAGGGCGGGGTCAGTGACGTAAGTTATGCACAGTGGGACCTTGCTGACTCATCTCCATACCGTCTTTTCCGGAAGTGCCGGACATTCTCACCAGGTACAGCTGGATTTCCAGTTTGTCAGTTTTCCATCTTCTCAGGAACTTCTCAATGGCTTCAGTTCCAGCCCCTGATTCCCTCTCGGATGAGGAATTCTCCTCACGTACCCCGCGCTATGCCGGTGAGGATACCACCCCGACCAGCCGGCAGGAAATCTGGGGCTGGTATGCTTACGGCATCGCTGCCGAGGTCTTCGCTGTCTGCGGTGTCGGTACGTCTCTGCTCGCTTCATCCATGTGCATCTCAATCTCGGCACAAACTAAGTAGTTCTAGGATCATTCCTCCCACTGACCCTCGAGCAATTGGCACGCGAGCGAGGATTACTCCAATCCAGCCATCAGCCATGCGTTGGGCCCAACGCTCCATCAGGCGACTCCAATGAACAATGCGTCGTCCACTTGATGGGTTTGGAGATCACCACCGCCAGCTTCGCCATGTACACCTTCTCCCTGGCGGTGCTTGTGCAAGCCTTGACTCTGATATCGTTCAGCGCGCTGGCAGATTACGGTATGGCTATCAGACTCTGTCTCTCTCGGTTCCTCGCTCTATACATCAGCACTGACCATGATGCTCCACTTCTGCAGAGAGTAACCGCAAAACCCTCCTTATGACCTTCGGCTTCGTGGGCTCCGTAACCAGCATGCTGTTCATGTTCATTTCCCCGCCAGTCTATATTCTTGGTGCACTCCTGGTTGTGGTAGGCGTTGTATGTCTCGGGTCCTCGTTCGTCGTGCTCAACTCGTTTCTGCCCGTCCTCGTCGCAAACGACCCATCCATCGCTTCACCAACCAAAGAGACCCCCGAAGAGCTTCACCAGCTACACCCTGACGGGGAGGAGGATGACGATAGCTTTCGCACGCATTCCGCCCGGTCGCATGGTCATGACCAGGGCGAATCCGGTCAGTCCTCTAAAACGAAGGCAGTGTCTCCCGAACTGCAGCTGTCGACGCGCATATCATCCAAAGGAGTGGGGCTGGGTTATTGCGCCGCAGTTCTAGTTCAAATCCTCAGCATTGGGCTCCTCCTGACTCTCTCGAAGACTTCGATTGGCAAATCATCCGGCACGTTTCCGCTGCGCTGCGTGTTGCTGCTAGTGGGCCTCTGGTGGTGCGCATTCACACTGGTCAGCCGGCGGTGGTTGCGCACTCGCCCCGGCCCGCCGCTAGAGGAGGCCGGCGGCGCAACACACAACGGCGGCCCGCCCCGCGCTAGATGGCGACTCTGGCTAAGCCTTGTGGGATTCGCTTGGAAATCGCTGTGGAAAACCGCGCGGGTGGCGGTGGGCCTGCGCGAGATGCGTCTGTTCCTCGTGGCCTGGTTCCTGCTATCGGATGCGCTGGCGACGGTGTCCAGCACGGCGATTCTGTTCGCGCGCACTGAGCTTCACCTGAGCACCACCATGATTGCGCTCCTGTCGATCACCGCCACGGTCTCCGGCATGGCTGGCGCGTTCCTGTGGCCGATTGTGTCGCGCCGGCTGGGTCTGCAGTCACATCAGACCATCATGCTATGTCTTGCGCTGTTCGAGTTGATTCCTCTGTATGGACTGCTGGCCTACTTGCCCTTCGTCCAGCGCTGGGGCGTCATCGGCCTGCAACAGCCCTGGGAGATCTATCCGCTAGCTGTTGTGCACGGTGTGGTTGGAGGCGGATTGGCCTCGTACTGCCGCTCTTTCTTCGGGCTGTTGATTCCTCCCGGCAGCGAAGCGGCTTTCTACGCCCTGTACGCCGCCACGGACAAAGGCAGCTCGTTCATCGGGCCGGCCATCGTCGGCATGATGATCGACAAGACGGGCCAGGTGCGGAGCGGGTTCTTCTTCGTCGCGGTGCTCATCCTGCTCCCGATCCCGCTGATCTGGATCATCAACGCGGAACGGGGCCGCGCCGAGGGGCTGGCGGTTGCCGAAAATCTGACCGACCGGGATGGCGAGGAAGCGGAGGGCCTGCTCTCTCGGCGAAGCTGAGCTTGATGATGTTGACGAAGGGAAGGGTTATATATTTATTATAGACACACGAATGTATTAGTCTAGATGAATATCACGAATAACGAATTATTTTACACCGAACACCGCCCCAGCCCCGCTCCTTTATCCTAAAAAGTTCAGAGAAAATTCTGCTCAATCGTCGTCCACGACCACGACCATCCATACCCCCACCTCCCCGTTACTCGCTAGTAATGGCGTGCAGTGGACCCATCGATCGCGTCCTTGGGTGTTGTACCTCGTTACCCACTTGATGCGCGCGGTGACGCTCCGCCCACCTTTCAGTGCTTCCAGCAACTCCTCACGCACGGTCGAGGAACTCCCAATACGCGAGAGGAATGAAGACTGCAACATGCCAGGGATTTGGAGCGCGGGGGAGGTGAAGAGAATCCGCAGCGAGGGGTACGGTCGCACCAGGAGGTACTAATTTTCGTGTCAGTCCCAAATCATATGCCATAAACGCAAATAGAAACAAGTGAAGACAGGAAAGGGAAAGGGTGAGAGAGAAAGAGAGAGGCCTACATTTTCATACACCCCGGTCAACGAGCCTCTCCACATGGACTCCTTCACCTCTCGCTCCCGGATCGCCTCGTCCTCGACCATCGACCACGTCCGACTCATCGCCTGCCAGCTGCCTCGATCCAGCATCCCGGCCGTACTGGACACCGCGCTGGGGTGGAAGAGCGTCCCGCCGACCTCGTGCGTGACGTTCAACTCCCGCGGGGTGAACAGTTCGGTCAGCTGCCGGAATTCGTCCTTGGGGCGGTCGTTGTCGTCGTCGTCGTCTTCGCCGTTGTCCCTCTGGCTGTACACCGATCCTATTGATCCGAGACTCTCCCCGGCCCGATGATGTGGGTAATGGCCAATTTCCATCACTGCCTGCGACGGTTCGTGGTTGAGTGGTGGTTGGGTTGGAGGGTATGTGAAGGTTTTTGTGGCGTTGTCGGCGTCGTCGAAACGGACCTGCACCCCGCCTTCCTCTTCTACCCCTTCCTCCGGCTGGATGATCTCCATGGAGTCCTCGTCCCGCGCATCCTCCGCCGCCTTAGCCTCGGCTCGACGTTGCTTTGCCTGCAAAGCGCGCAGGGACTCCATCTGTGCACCGTCCATGGCCAGCCCGGAGACGTCGATTTGGGCGCCGATGAAGTATCGCACCGTGCCACGGCTGTCGCACAGCGGGGCGCACTGTAGGAGATTCATAAACGGGGAGCCGTCGCGGCGGCTGTTTGCGCGCATCAGTTTATCTCTCCTCCCGTGCAAATTTCTAATGGCCTGGGGTCTGGGACGTAAGCAACTCACTAATTCAGGAACAGCTCTGAATGATGCCTTCCATTCTCAATGCCCTCGCGAATGCGTCTCACACTGTTGGGGTTGGTCTTCGGCCCCTGCAAAAACCGACAATTGCGACCGAGCACATAGTCCATGCCATATTGAGTCGTGCGATGGAATTCTACATACGATTGTCAATAGCAGAATCACAACCTGACCAGTGGCCGGTCAGTTTTAGACAGAACATACCCTCCGATGCGAAAATGATAGGATTGTCCCGTCGGGACGGATCGGTCAAGCAGAACACCTCCGCCAGCGCATCTGACGCACCCTGGAATTTGGGCGGGAGAGTCCCGCGTACGCGCTCCTCGACCACTCTACTCGTCAAGCTGATACAGCGGGCGGTGATGAAAGCGGGAAGCTCCTCCGCTGTGAGGGCCTGCAGAGCCTCGGTGACGCGCTGGTACAGCACGGGGTGGGAGATTTGGCCCACGATCGGGTCGGGCGTCGCGATTGTGACTGGAGGCGCGTCAATGACGGACCGAACAAGCGCGTTGGCATAGTCAATGGCTAGAAGAGCCTTGCGGGCTGTGAGGTAGTATGTCAGGAGGGCGAGTGAGCGCGGACGCTCTTCGAGCAGAAATTCGCGAAATCGCGTAAGATAGCGTGGATTGTTGAGAATCGAGAGCATGTGTTCGGAAGAGAACATGAGGTCGGCGAGACGCTCCAGACTGTGGAGGGGAGCAGCGTCGTCAGATGCGGCTGGAGCAATCAGATCATATGAGAGGCCTGGTTCTTGAAGCGGATGGAACTGCTGCTGGTCGCTGTCATTGTTGTAGTAGGGATTGGGCTCGTGGAGAAGAGGCAGCTCGTGGATCATGTAATTGCGACGGAGGGTTTTAAGGGATGGCTTTGGTGTTAGGTTGGGATGCTCCTCATCCTTGCGAGCCCGGCTGGGGGGGTGAGGAAAGCCAGCGATGAGTGCTTCTGGGGGTCTGCACACCAGTAAGCAAGAGCTGAATTCTTTTTGAGAGCGAGTATAGCTCACGGGGAGGCTGGGTAGTTGTCGAGCGCGACGGTCGACGGCTCGGAGCGCAGCGACTCGGTATCCATAAAACTGGTGTATTGATCCATCACGGCGTCGCACAAGAGTTTGGTTATCTATGTGGCTCATGAAAAGAATCTTCTCTCTGCTTTATAAACTCTGCCCTTAGTTGCATTTTAATATATAAGATCCGATCGATCGAGGCAGCAGAAGGCAACCAGCACTGGATGTATCGCAAAATCGACAAAACCAAAAGGCATCACAGAAGAGTGAGTGATCGATCGATGGCCTTCAGCTGTCAAGTTGTCAACCACGCGATCGGACCAATTTAGGATCAATGATGCAATGGCGCAGATGGAAACAAGAGTTGGAACCGGTTCGTGCGATCTGTATGCTGCCGAGCCGCGAGTCTGGAACGGCAGACTGCGGATTCGACGAACCTGTCATAGATCTGCAGGGTCGATCTGCCGGAAGCTCGTCTCCCCTGAACTCTGGCTACCTTGACTGTTTGCTGAAGACGCATAATGATCTCTATTATACCAGATCTCTGAGGAATTTATCTCCGCGGCCAAGGAGACAACATTGGGGCTCCGAACCAGCGAGTGGACGAACCCCTGCAGTGAGGGTGTCAGATGGGAGTCGACGTTGAAAAGGGGAAAGGGGCATGCTCATTGTTGGGTAGTGATAAAACGCCGCTGAGTGTGCGTATACCAAGCTTAGAGAATCAGCATCACCAGTAAGACGAACAATAAAGTCCACAGAGCCACAGTATGATCTGTAGTTACTTGATATGTTCAACGCACAGAGACTATGACTGGGGATACCAGCCACAGCCGTCTATCCACACCAGCCACGATAACCACACTAGCCACATTCCTGCATTGACCGAAACCGGCATGTGAAGGCTTGGCATAGTCACCAGTCATGTGCCCGCCTTCCCCCTCGATAAGCAATCTTCCTGTCGTCCGTTGCTGGATCCTTGGACAGATGATCATCAACACGGCCACGATTGACTTCCGCTCACCCGGTGCCATTGACCACGAGGAGAAACATGCTCGGATGTTGTCGTTTACAGTGTTCTGTCAGATTTGTGACTTTCATCGGGCAGCTATGACGAAGAATGGGTTGGATGCATGGCGATGAGATTGGGGAGTGTCAATCAATCACCTCACTCACTATGTCACCGTCACTAGGCAGAAGACGGTAATGACCTCGGAAGGAAAGACCGCGACTGACCCCTGTTCTCGGAGCCATATTTGATCCGTATGCCGAGCCGAGGTTCCCTCCTCCCCGCGGCCTCGTCACAATCCACAATCCCCAGATTAGCTTACTCCGGAATACCGACCGACTGACCGACCGATCGCTTGTACGTACTTAGCTCTGCTCTGCTGGCTGTCTTTTCTACCCAATTCTATTTCTCTTATTCTTTCAAGACCCATCTCTCTGCTTTTTTTTCACCACACGATCTTCTTCTTTCCTCCTACCACCCTCCCTCCCTTACACCCTCCTCCTATCTCTCCACATCTTCCTTTTCACCATGTCGACCACATCCACATCCACATCGGCCTCGCCTCCGATCCCAAAGGCTGTTCCCGTCACAGAAACCAAGCCCGTCAACCAAACAATCGCACAGATCCGCTCCCTCGTAGCGGGCGGTGTGGGCGGTGTGTGCGCCGTCGTCGTCGGTCATCCTTTCGATTTGGTCAAGGTGCGGTTGCAGACAGCAGAACGGGGCGTCTACGCAGGTGCTATAGATGTAGTCAAGAAGACGGTCGCACGCGAAGGTCTTGCTCGTGTAAGTCGCGATCTTGCGAAGAGTCTTGTAAAGTCGCGCTAACTCGCCGCAGGGATTGTACGCGGGTGTTTCAGCTCCCCTGGTGGGAGTGACGCCCATGTGTAAGTGCGCGAATTTCGCATGTAAAGTTTTTCACTAACGATGAACTTTCGAATCAGTTGCTGTTAGTTTTTGGGTACGTTCTATCGCTTGTGAAGCACTTGGGAACTCCCAGCTGACCATCGCAGGGTTACGATGTAGGAAAAACGCTTGTCGGCAAGTTGTCCACCGTAGAGGTGAAGCACAACACACCTCAATACACCATCGGCCAGATCTCTGCGGCGGGCTTCTTCTCGGCGATTCCCATGACTCTGATCACGGCTCCCTTCGAGCGCGTTAAGGTGCTTCTTCAGATCCAGGGTCAAAACCCACCCCCGCCGGGTCAGAAGCCCAAGTACTCGGGCGGCTTGGACGTGGTTCGCCAATTGTACAAAGAGGGGGGCATTCGCAGTGTGTTCCGTGGCAGCGCGATGACTCTGGCCCGTGATGGGCCCGGTTCCGCGGCGTACTTCGCCGCGTACGAGTACATCAAGCGGACGTTGACGCCCAAGGACGAGCAGGGACGGGTCACGGGCGAGTTGTCGATGACCGCTGTGCTGGCCGCAGGTGGAGCTGCTGGAATCGCCATGTGGATTCCGGTCTTCCCCGTCGATACCGTCAAGTCTCGCCTGCAGAGTGCCCCCGGTCGGCCAACGATCGGCGGAACCATTCGCGCTGTCTATGCCAACGGCGGGTTCAAGGCGTTCTTCCCTGGCTTTGGTCCTGCCCTGGCCCGTGCGGTCCCAGCCAACGCAGCGACTTTGTAAGTTCTATGCTTCTTTTCTTCGATGATATGCTGACGATGCATAGTGCTGGTGTGGAATTGGCTCACAACCTCATGAAGAAGTACTTTGGCTAGACAACGTCTGACAGATCCTGGTGACCTACACGACAATCTTCATGACATTTTTTGGCTGCAGTTTCGAGCTGCTTCTGGACGTTGGATGCAATCTAGCGGATATACCATTTTGGATCTTATAGTTACTGCTTCAAGCAGGGCTATAGAATAAATGTGAAAGAATCACTGCGTCTGAATTAGAAAGAAATGCGAATTCTGCATACCCTCCCTGGCAGCTAAGTTACAATTTGCCACAGATTCTCTTGGTAATTGAAGCCGAAATAGGGACCATAGCTTTCACAACTACATTCAAACATAGATAGACACTTTGTAGGTCGACTTCTAAGAAAGAAATTACTTGTTTCGCAATTATTGAATTTCTGGCAAATTTTGACTCGTGTTCCTGAGAGGTAATTTAGCAGGCCGGGGAGAACAGAGCAGTTCGTCCTCAATCCAGCTTCAAACTCCTTGACTATATTGCAGCCCACGCAGTGCATGCCCATTCTTACATTCTGTTCAAGTTTCTATCCCACCTTTCTCTCTTTTCCATCTGTGTGCGACACATCCAGTGGCCATGAAATATTCCAAAGGTGTTACGGGGCGAGAGATATATATAATTGGACCGATGCGTTGATGCCACCACACCAAGGTCTCCTACCACTTCAGACCACCCACTATCTCAACTGAGAAATCTCATCCAGATTCTTTTGTCACCGTATCAAGTTGCACTGTAGCCACTAAGTTGCAGCAGAAAATGTGTCGGCGTTCCTGAGTAACCAGGCCCCGTGATCTGGCGGGGTTACCAGGCTGCTTCACATATTGAAATCTTAGATATTTCAACCATCCAGAACCACCAGAAATTCAAGAAATCGTTCTATATCGCCCACCCCGGAGACCTGAAATCGCTTACAAAACAAAACCCCGGACGATTGGCTCGAAATCAATTACTTCTTCAATTGTACAGAGAACTATATATCGGCACTGACGACCTTGAAAGCTTCTGAAACAAAACCACGAATAGTATCGACCGTCCTCGCTGAACTTTCATCGCATAGCATTAGCCAATATCGGAGTATATCAAACAAAAGCAGACACGAGTATGCTTGTCTGCTCGAATCTAGATTAACATTAAGGAGCGTCAGTTGGAGCGTGAGGAACCTTCCGCGGCCATGCACTCATTGTGCAACTATCCAAAAATCTACAGTACGAACTAAATCAGGCAACAACCCAAGAGAAAGAAGTATGTGCATGAAACCCCCACCACCAGAACGACAGCTTTCCAGCATCAATCCTTCAGACATGCGGAGTATCCCGATAAGCTGGCGGCAAGACCCCTTCCAGAGCGGCTTTGATCTGCAGTGCCAGCGTCCGCGAATGCCAGCGATGCTGCTGCGTGAACCCGCCCATGATCCAAAAGTTGTCCAGCTGGCGATGTCGCTTCCACATGCCACGGATCTCGCCCTCCGCGTCGACGCCCCAGGTTGCGTCGACACGGGCTGCGATCTCCCCGGGCCCTAGGATAGATTCACCAGCCGGGTTCGCGAGGTCGTCGTCGCCAGTTCCCGACGCAGTACAAGCCCCACCACCGAGAAGCGTCGCTGTGGTGTCGCGGACATCCCGATCGGCGAACCCGGTACACCAGACCACCGCGTCAGCGTCCAGCGAAGAACCGTCTGAGAAAATCAGTCCTGTGGCCGTGTATGCAGTCGGTTCTACGTTGGCTTTGACGCTGGCTTTGCCCTCGGCTAGCAGCTTGGTGCCGCCAACATCGACGTAGTGGCCGCCTGCGCGCTCGAGCAGGTTGTGCATGAGAACGGACTCGACGTGAGAGCCGTCGCGCACGGGGAAGCCGGTCGCGGCGAGCGCGTCGTAACGGTTGGGTTCCTGGGATGAAAAGAGCTTCATCAGACCATCGCCCAGTTGGCTGTCAATCACGGCGGGAAGGGAGAGGAAGAGTCGGTCGGCGGCTTCGACGCCGAGGTCGTAGGCGCCTAGACTGCGCTTGTCGAGAAGGTACTCGATCGGGACGATGTAGGTCGGGGAGCGCACGTTCATCGTGGCTTGTAGTCCGGCGGCGTGGCAGTCCTCGAGGATATCGAAGGCGGTGTTGGCGGAGCCGATGACGAGGACGGACTTGGGGGGTCAAGTTAGCTTGGCCGAAGAACGAGGATGTATTGAGTGTCTACCTTAGCCCCCTGGTCCATCAGCTTCCTGGCATTCTGATACTGGGTTGAGTGGATGCTGATACCCTGGTAGGCGTCTTTGTTGGGAATGGAAGGCACGTAGGGTTGTTGGGATGCGATGCCAGCAGCGAGGACGAGATGCTTCGCAATGGCCGTGCGTTGGCCAATCGGGGTTTGGATCTTGATCTGCCATCGCTGTGTCGCCTGGTTGTATTGGGTTGACTGGATCTGAGCCGATGTGATGACGTTCAGCTGAAAGGTCGCAACGTATCGTCGAACTTGCTCTGCCAGGTCGTCGCGCGAGAGCAGATGGGGAGATTGGAGTTCGGGGCCGTAAGCTATAGTATTCCATGATGTCAAGGCCCCTTGTCAGATAAAAGTGGCTTGTAATGTACCCACTTGGGGGAAAGAAATGACTTACGCATGAACGGGAGATCGCAGAAGGAGGTGGGAATGTGAAAGCGCATGCAGTCGTAGCGACGAGCCCAATTGTCGCCGACGTGGGAGTTGCGTTCGGCCATGACGCTTTCCACTCCCAGCGTCTTCAGGCGCGCGGCCAGCGCGGCAGCTCTTTCAACCACCATCTTCCATTAGCCTCCGTTCTCCCATTCTTGCCATCTTTCTTCCACTTACGCATTTCCGCCTCCGATGATGAACACATCGGTTTCGAATCTCTCCGGATCAGGATACTCTTTGCTCGATCCCTGCAACAGTCCCTGGTCTTCCGGATGGAGATCCAAGCTCTCCAGCATTGTACTCAAAACCCAGATCTTCCACTCGATCGTCTTCTCCGCGTTCTGTACTGGCAAGAGTACCACCTTTCCCTTGCCTGTCGCTGCCGGGGAGCTCGTTCGGAAACTGACTCCACAGTCGATGAATTGCTAACGTATTGTCATCCACGGTCAGCATTTGCAGCACCATACACTGTGTGTACTGTAGTGACTAACCAAGGTGGGTGTCGCAGGAATAAAGACCGCGCCTCCGTCTACAGACACATCTCCTAAACCTCGCAAGGGAGCTGTTTCCAGCATCGCAGCAGCAATTACACCCGGTGTATTGAACGTGCGGAGGTGGGATGTGAGTGCCAGTTGGTCCTTCCAATAGGCCTGGCTGGTATAGAAACAGCCCTTGAGCGCCTCCACGTTCTTGCTGGACAGGGCCGTGCTGAGCCGATCTAGCACGGCATGCGCCTGGACGGCCGCTTCATCGCCAGTCATCGTCTCGGGGTCGATGAGGTTGGGTTCGAGAGCAGGCAAGGGTTGTTGAGCCATCATTTTGCGCAGGTCAGCCTGACCCGGATACTTGTCGGCCCTCGCAGGCGCATGAGAGCTGTGAGAGACTAGGAGTTCCCATTTTTTTGTTTCAGTCGCTGAGTCGCAAGAACAACTGAATCGACCGCAAAGGATACTCACCGGTCGCCATAGTGCTTGAGAAATCAGGGGCTGTGCGGTTGAGATGCAGAGGAGGGGGGTACTGCAACGCCTATAAGTAGGCTAGCCCCGAGATCGCCGCGACGAACCGCCATGAGGGGGATGGTTCCTTCCTCTCCTCACAGGCTGCTCGGCTTACGATATCTCGACTAACTAGTTCTTGGAGGAGCTACCGTTATCCGTGATTGGAGTGCTGAAGGTAGCTCTTCAAGGTCCAGCCGTTTCGAAGGAATTGTCAAGACAGTCCGTCAGCTGCTAATCACTTGGCACTAAAGTGGGGAAAGGAATAAGGATCTGTGATCAGCTGTCACCCTTGCATTGCTGCTGTCAGCCTGTCCACTCAAGGGAGCTTAATGAACGCCTGGTCCCCAGATCAATAATGGATAGATAAACAACACAAAGGACTTTGTTTGATTTCCCTTGGGTCCAGTGCGCACAGATCGACCGATTTTCCCACATTCTTGGCTACTGCTGTGCTCATCACTTGGGAGTGTTATCCCGTCTTGCAAAATGGGCGCCCACCCTGAGTGCCTCCGTGACAGGGATCGGCACGGCCAGAGTGGTAGTGGCATCGCAGTAGGGTCAATTTTCCAAAACTTAGGCTGTCAAATTGAAGGCCGTTGGCAAGGAGGTCCTTCACCACCACAGCCAGTCCCCACCCGCCCGATAACGGTTGGCTCGGATGCCTTCCTAGCATCTGGCGAACGGGCCGTGAGTGGGGAGCAAGGCGAATCCAGATACGCAAACGGAATCTGTCAGAAACCCTTTTTCCACCGAGTACTTGATAGAGATCAATCGCCAGGGAGACATGGACGATCCCCCGGTAGCCATGTGGTATTGTTCCCGATCCTCGTACTTCGACACTGACCCCATTTCGACCTGTCATGCTGGACGAACAACTTATATTCGATGGAGCCCACCTTGATTGAGGAAGGTCTCATCCATCGCAATGTCTACCGACGAGTTGGCCACGCTGTTTGCCCAGCCGGCCCTTGCGGCCCCAGAAGGCGTCACCCCTAACTTCGACAATCCTCCGAACCACAACAGCTTGGCTTGGGGCATCATTACGGTTTGCACCGTCGTTGCCACCCTGTGTATGTGCTTGCGCGTCTACGTGCGGGTCTGGCTAGATCGCACCATTCGGCTCGAGGATGGTAAGTAAGCTGCTTGCCCACACTGTTCGGCTTCAATGCACAGACTGACAACCTCCTTCTTGAATAGTTTTGATGGTCGGTGCCTTTGTACGTGTATCCTTTTCATTCTGCATGCCGCTCAATGCTTATCATACCTAGGGTTCCTACTGGGGTACTGCCTATGCCGGCTACGAGATGATCCATACACCGGGTTATTTCGTCCACCAATGGAATCTCCACATGGGCGATCTTGTCAGACCCCTCTATGTAAGGGCAACCGAGCTCCCGGGTCTTTGGTACTGCGGCTGATATGACCTAGCTGATTTTGATCTACGGCTGCTGCTACTCAGCCGTCCTTCCCCTGATCAAGACTGCCATTCTCCTCGATTGGTGTCGGATCTTCGTGCCGGTCGATGGCGCCAAGACCCCTTTCTGGTGGGCATGCATGGCAGTTTCCGCACTGCAGTGTCTATGGGGCTTGCTGTGCGTAATCCTGCTGAACGCACAGTGTCGCCCGCATCGAGCGATTTGGGAGTTCTACCTTCCAAGCAAATGCTATTCCTTGCCAGACGTGATGCTTTGCTCAGCTGCCGTGCAAGTCTTCTCTGACATCACCATGTTTTTGCTTCCGCAACGAATGATTTGGGGACTGCAGATGAGCTGGCAGAAAAAGATGGGTATCTCTGTGATTTTCGGTGCTGGTATTCTGTTCGTATTTCCACACCTCCTTTCCTTTTCATCTCTCGCTTGCCTTCACATTCCTACACCCACATTCCGATCATCCTACCCATACTATACTAATCCGATCTTAACCAGCGCATCTATCGCGGCCTGCTTCCGCCTGGCCCATACTGTCTCCTTCGCCAAAACAGCCGACCAGATGTACATGATCGCGCCGCTGCTCTTCTGGGCCTTTGCCGAGATGGCCTGCGGGTTCTTCATCTTCAGTATGCCTTGCCTCTCGAAGCTACTCATGGACAGTGGCCTCCGCCGCAAGCTCAAAATCAGCGACTACTGGCGCAGCCGCACCCGGTCGACGATCCAGAACCCGCAGTTCCGTCCCGCGGCCGCGGGCCAGCAGGTCGCCAAGGCGTGGCGCACGTCCGAGAGCTCCTACTCTCGCCTCGAGGAGGGCGAGATCGCTCTGACCAGTCCGGTCAAGGATCAACATAATAGCATCCAGGTTCTGCAGCGGACGGATGTCACGGTGACGAGCACGCCGAGCCCATCTTCGGAGACGGCGCTGGCGGACAGTTTGGGGAAGTGGAAGCGTTCGCAGGCGTGAGGGTGAATGCCATGCTCACGAACCAGAAATATTGCTCTTCGATGAGACGTGTCTGCCGCTCACTCCATCGGGGAATGATCGCCATACTGGAACTAGGTCGGCGATCTGGTGATGAGGGGCGAAAAGTTGAGTATGTGCTTGTGTTATGTCCTGCTGCCTGAAAATACGCCAGACAATAACCCTTTTTCTGTTTTTCTCCGGGACTACTGTCTTCATCCCGTTTTCTCTTCACTGCTTGCCAGTCGATGCCCTCACAGTGGCGAGCTATTTCGGTTCCACTTTATGACATGTAATCTACCAATATAAGTAAACAATCCAAAGAACCCTAAGATTTCCTCCCTTGCCCAATTTGTGATGTAGGTAGTGAGTTGACCTTGCACTTGTGCAGAATTATACTCGAGGCCAAGGGTAACCTGTCCCCACAGAACACACACACACACAGAAAGAAAAAGGCAGTAAAACACGAAAGCAGAACCCAACATCTGACCAGTCACTTCTATGAGTACTCAGCCACACAGAGTAATTTCACTTACCCTACTTAACCTACTTACCAATAACGATACCTCACATCAACCAAGAACCGAGCTAACCTTAGCCCCCTACACAATTACTCATACTCCTCACTACTACCTACTAAGAGCCTCCTCCCCCACCTCCACCCCTAACTCCCTCAAATAAGCCCCCAAGTTGGGCTCCCTCCCCAGCAACCCGGTAATCAACCCCCACTCCTCCCGACTCCCGCCATACTCCAGGATCCCCCTCCGGTACGCCAGCCCCGCCTCCGAACTCATGGGGTTCGTCTGGAACCGTGACGCCCAAATGTCTGCGGCCAGCATTCGGGTACTATCCACAACAGAGTCAGCTCATGCGCATTTAGCCCTTATACCATAAATCCCAGAAAGAAGGGTTGGGAGGGTAAAACTCACAAAAGATACGAATAATAATTCGCCTCCTGGCTCCAGACGTAGTGCGCCGTGGTGACGTGGCCGTGGCCCCAGATCCGATTCTCGCACGGTGATGCCTCCGGGGAGGGGGGTGTCGGGCCCTGCAGACCGGTTGTTACTTCGAGGAGGCGGTTGTACGTCGCTGAGATATCGAGGGATTGGAGGGCGGCGTGCGAGGCCGGGTGGTGAACGGCCATGTCGAAGGTGCTGAAGGCGATTTGACGGAGGGTGAGCAGGGCTTGGTGGAGGGGTTTGGCGGCTAGGAGGTTGGTGAGGAGGGCGGTGGGGATTTGTTCGGGGTGGGTTTGGGGGGTGGATGGTGGTGGTGGTGATGAGGTGTTGGTGTAGGAGTAGTGGCTGCTGAGGCGGCGGAGGCAGTCGGCCACCCAGCACCAGTTCTCGAGGAGTTGGCTGGGGGCTTCGATGAAGTCGGCCACGGTGCGGTGGCCGTGGAAAAGGGCGTATTTGGATTGGCCGAGGAGGTCGTGCATTCCTTTTTTTTGTTCCAGTTAGTGTCAGGGGGAGATAATTGGGTGTGATGCAATAAGAAAAGGGGAGGATAATACCATGCCCGAGTTCATGGAAAATGGTGATGACTTCCTGGTGGCGGAGTAGGGCTGGTTCGCCGCGCGAGACATTGCAGACTAACGCGGTCACGACGGGGGTTCGCTTGCCCCCGCTGTTGATGTATGCCTGATTTGCCAGGGTCAGTCTACAAATTATATTTCTAGAGTTTCGAAGGAAAGAAAAGCCGCACAGGATAGACATTGAAATTGGCCGCATGGTTGTACTTCCCCGGCCGGGGATAGATGTCCACGTAGAGATACCCGATGAAGGCCGACCTATCTGCCTCCCAGACCGCGAACGCATCCACATCCGCATGCCACGTGTGCTTGCCGGAGGCGTCGACCTTCTCGAACTGCACACTGAACAGCTCCTCGAAGACGCCTAGCATGCGCTCGATGGTGCCTCGAGCCGGGAAGTACTCCGCCACGCGCTCGTGGTCCACGTGGTACTGTTCCTGGAGGATGCGGTTATGGTAGAAGTCCAGGTCCCAGAGATGGATGGCGTCTGTTCCGGAGATAGCTCGCAGCTGCTCCAGTTCCCGTTGCGCAAGGGGTTCCAGCGCGGTGTGCAGCTCCTTCAGCCATTTCTCCACACGGTCCGGCGATTTGACGAGCTGCTGCTGCAGCTTGCGGTGCGCAAAGGACTCGAACCCCAGTAGTCGTGAGGATTCGTCGCGCAGAAGCACGATCTCCCGGAAGATCTCGACATTGGGCTCGTACCGATTCTGATTGCGCAGGAAAATTTCCTTCCGGGTCTGCGGGACGCTGCATTGAGACAGGATCCTCGTTACGACTGGCTTGGAAAGGGGTACCCGATACCGTTTCGTCGCAGCGGTAGCATCAACACTGCTTTCCTGGGTAACCTCAAATCCCTCCACACCCAACCCCGCTAGTTCGCCCTCGCTGAAGGGCACAGACCCCGGATCCGCGCCAAGGTTCTGCATGAATTCGACTCGCAGGTCGACCAAGCGTCGCGTGATCCATGTGAAGCGCTCCCGACTCGCCCCGGTCAACTTCACTCCGTTCTCGATGAACAGTTGATGAAATCTATTCAGCAACTTCCGATCCTCCTGGTCGACGGACGCATGCTGTTGAGGGTTGGCATGAACTGCGTCGACGAGGGCGAAGAGGTCGTCCCGCTGGAACAGCGCCAAGTGCGCCTGAACCACTCTATTCTCTGCTGCGGATGAGGCCTGTCTGACCTCCGCACACGGGGAGACGCCATGGAAGAGCGCGATGTATTGCACGCGGGCGCGGAGCTCATTGTCAATCGCGGCCAGCGGCCGGATGACCGTGTCGAAGGTGAGTTCCGGGCGAGCGACGGCGGCGACTAGTTTGTCGGTGGAGTGTTCGAGATATGTGACTAGATTCTCGGCTTCCTTTGCGAGGCCTTCTGCGGTGATGTCGAAGGTTGGGAGAGGGTGAGCGGTTGGGGCATTCATCATGGGTGTGGGAGACAAAGGTGCAATTCCTTATGATTTGTTGCGCTGCATTCCAATGAACCAGCTCGTGCTTTATGTACTCGCTCTGTTCTTTGATAGCTGTTGCTGCTTAGTGTCACAGCTGAATTCACTAATGTATATCAGGCGCTTAGTGCTTATTGCTTGACTCACGTGCCAGGCGTGATAGTGCATCGAATGATTCAACTGGTGGGCAGGTACTGTACAGTCGGCCCCTGGCGCATGACCTTGACTTTGAAACACATCCCAGACTTGTCTCAATCGAGAAGGGATCTGCTGCCATGCCTCGTACCTTGTCATGGAGCTGTCTTGGTTCTGTGCGCATGGAAAAGCTGCCTGTGAGTGATACACTTTCCCCACTCGGACTTCCGACGGAGATAAATGCATGTTATATTCCGTTCTCAAGGAACTAGTTAGGTTCCTGGTGCAGTGCGATCTATGTTTGAACGAGGACGAGAAGTGGTCAACGTCTTAGGCGGAAATATAGAGAATTCCTTGAAACTTCTGCCGCTGTAAAGACGAGAGTTATATAACAGCTGAACGATGCGGGGAGGGCGATTACTCGGCCGAATGTAAGAAAACCCGACCAACCCATCAAAAGTCTCACTTACACAACGGTTTCCGATACGTAGACAAACAACCCATTGTATGCTGGAAAGTTGATTAGTAACCCTTGCTCGTCGTGCCAAGGGATAAAGAACTCAACAGCTGTCAAGACCCAAGGAAAGCTTGCCACCGGCAAGCTTTCGACCTCACAGCGCTAGCAGGAACACCCATGGTAGAAGCTTTAAGCAACTCGACCAATCACTCACTTGGACTGCCGGTGATAGGATCCGTCATGTTTGCGGTGGTCACTAGGGATGGTTTGATTTCTCAAAGGTAGGCCCGTGGCAAAGGAAAAACAATCCTGATATTCTCGGGAAATCGTGTCTATTTTAACCCACAAAATGAAAACCAGGCACGGCAGACAGTTCTGCCTCGACGTGTTCAAAGACTGTCAGTGTCATCAATATCGTCATCACTCATCCTTCCCATGATTCCAGAATCCGGGAACAAGAAAAAGAATCCTGGAGGGAAAGTAAAACATCCAGGAGGAAACAAAATGGCCTGCTCGAACGCTATCGACGGTGATTATACAATAAAGAGATCCCAGTAGACCCAAGCAAAAAGGAAGATATATATGTATATACAGCGCAGTAGAACAAGGGGGTGAAGAAGACCATTTTCAGATATTCTCCGGGGCGTTTCGTCCTCTGCGCCGGACGAGAAGGGGAAGGAGAACAACAGGCTAATTCATATGCGCTAGCCGAAATCCGAACCAAGGAAATAATAAAGCCCGTCACGGCTCGAGGCAGGTCGTATCGTAGAGGTCGAAGCTTGACCCAGGTGCATGTACTACCCGGTATCAAACTGCAGGGATATCGCGAATCGACTGCCCCTGCCTTCTTCGGAATGAACCACAAGTTGCCCATAGCAGTTGCGAACAATCCGCGAAACCAAGGCAAGCCCGACTCCCAGAACACGTTTTTTGTGCGTTCGTTCCAGCGCGGTCGAGGTTTCCTCGGTTTCACCGCCGTTCTTCCGCTCCAGCGAAATCTCCTCCAGCTCGCAGAAAAGCATGTCGAGTTTGTCCGACGACATGCCACACCCGGTGTCAACCACGGTGATGTTGATGATGGCCCGCCCCGGCGCAGGGATGACCGAGTCCCGCCACATCTCAACGGTGACCCCTCCCTCGGAGGTGTGCTGGACGGCGTTGGAGATGAGGTTCGAAATCACCTGACGAACGCGCCGCTCATCGCCGAACACGCCCTTTGGAATCCCCGACTGATGGACAACCTTGTAGAGGAGCCCTTTGCGCTGCGCCTCGGTCTCGAACATCTTGGTAGCTTCGCGGAAGCAGGTCAAGAGATCAAATACTTCGTCCTTGATCAGATTGTACCCCTCTTCCTTCTTCGTGATGTCTAAGAGATCGTTGATCACATAAAGGAGGGATTTTGACGCGGAATAGGAGCGGGTGATGCTGTCTTGGAATTCGGAGTCAAAAGACCCTCCAAGGACCACCCCAAGATTCCCCATGATCGTGTTCAGGGTGGTTCGAATCTCATCGCCCGACTTGGCCTGCTGGCTAGACGACGAAGGGGATTCCGTTTCCGTCCGCCAGTCGCTCGACACTTGAGAGCCTACCATGCCCAAGGCAGCTGCATTATCGGTCTGCGACGTGGTCCACTCCCGAGACCGGTCCACGACAGTCTCCCGCCAGACCCGGAAATCCTTCCGAGGCTGTAAGGGTAACTTTGTATATGGATTTCCACCCCATCGGATATCTTTCATCTGCGTGCGGCGGAAGAAGACGATGAAATTCTCTTTGTGCAGGGAAAGAGGCGCATACATGACACCCGAGACAGAGTGAATGCCAGGAGGAAAGTGCAGATCTGGGAAGTCTCGCTTGACATGGCTAGTAGCCACAACAGAGCCCAGCTTCTTAAACCGGAAATATTCGACCAGAGCCAGGCTTTCTGCGAAGTCCGTTGACTCGCCCAGTATGCTCGTTCGTCCCCGAATGGAAAGAGCTGCGAAATCTGCATCAAAGAGCTTGAGCAACGCCTCGGATGTGTGGCTGTCCTGTTTCAGGATTTCGGATGCAGCCACCTGGTTGGCGGGGCTGCCGGCCTCCAGGTGCGACATACAGGAGAGTCGCTTGATGTTCTGGTACACCGAATCGCCAATCAACCTGCTCAGGCGGATGACCGGAAAGGGAACTCTCATGCCGTGATCCCCGTAGGAATGACATATAATCAATCCCCAGAGATCTTCGCGATCGTTGATGCTGATCGACATCGAAGAGCGGACACACATCCGAGCCAGATACTTTAAATGATAAGGTGACATCGCCCGTAAGAATGCGTAAGTCATATCCAGCGGGGCTCTCGCATGTTCGAGATCTCGCGACACTAGGGGGGAGTTGATGTGATCGCGATTGTACAGAAGCCGGACCTTGCTTCTCTTATACAGATCACGGGCCTGCTGGGGTATGTCCGCGGCCGGAAACGAGAGTCCTTTGAAAATGTCCTTCGAGAATCTTGGATCGGCCAGTTCTGCAACGACATTCCCATTGTTCTCGTGGTCAAACTGATAGACCATTACGCGGTGATAGCCGGTCAGCTCCTTGATCAGTCCGATTGAGACATTCAACAGCGTATCCGGGTCCTGCGTCCTACCCAACTGATCTTGGACTTTGCTGATGATGTTGAGTACTTCCATAGAAGCCATCTCGCCGGGTTTCCGGCGTCTGTTTCGTAGTAGCCGCAACGGTTGGCTGATCTTGACGGTGCTGCTGGCTATTTGATCGGCTGTTGGCTCGAATCCCAGGATATCCGTTGGTTTCGCCGGCAAGGTCTGGCCGGCTGTGTTGACGGGGTTAAGACGATCGATCTCGCTCTCGAACTCGCAGATAATCAGATGCCAGTGCGCTGGATTGCGGTGGACGGCCGACCAGAATCGCTGGGGATGCCCGTGTCGGTCGTTGATGGATAACTTGAAGATCTCCGGCCCATCCACAGCCGGACTCCACTGATCATCCTCGGTTAGCTGCACATGATCCCTGAGGATTCCATCCTGGTCGTTGCGCAACAGGTCGGAGAAACTGTTCAAGGTGAATAAGTTCTGCGGCGAATGACCAATGATAGCCTCCGAGTTCTCACTAGCCAATTGCACCATTAACGTTCCCTCATCGACCTCTTCTAACACCACCAATGCCCCAAAACATTGCACTGCCCCAGGTCTGTGTATCGGCTCATCCTCGCACGCCTGTAGGCTCTTGGTGGTGCTGGTGGTAGCGAGGCTGTCTTCATCGGAGTCTTGTGCGTCATATCTTCGATGAGAGGATGACGGAGTGAGTGAGCCGAGAGTCTCAAGACTCAGATGGTCTGGACCTTCCGAGCCTGAGGCATAGTCATATAGTTTAGTAGGGGTTATCGATCCAGTACCGTCGATTTGATGCTGATGTTGCTGCTGCTGCTGCTGCTGATAATAGAGGGGTGATTGTTGCGATTGTTGCTTGGGGGAGTCACATGACCAGAATCGTTGCTCGGGCGGGGTGCTCGGCTGACTAATGGGCGGTTGTTGCTCCAAGTGCTCATCCCGGTCCTCCAACTCAGGTTTTTCGTTGCACAGGCTGTGAACATGTGGTGAACTGCTCGACGTCGAAGACGATCGGTAGGGGAGTGCAAGAGGGTGCGTCGGGGCAACAATCGATCGCAGAGGGTAGACCCTCCCAGGGCCACTGAGGCAAAGATCTTTCTTCGAGCTCGAATTCGCGGTGGTCTCTGGTGGTTGATCGGGATGCGCATCTGCTTCAGGAGACGTCTCTGGCATTCTGGGATGGTCTCAATTCACAGAGTTTGCTATGCAAGAAGGAAAAAAACAAACATATTTTCGCAGCCAAACGAAGCCCTTAACAAAAGATCGATGGTCTGCAGGGAGCGTAACTATGGACCATGGACCAGGGGTGGCAGGTGAATGGATGATATCATAACCCAGAGCGGTATTTTGTGGCTTGCTTGTCTCGCTGGGTTGTCTTGACTTGGCCTGGTTGTCGTTGTCGACAACCTCTCAGGGCTCCACCGGGTCACGGATTATTCATCAATCCCTCTGACGAGCAATCAGATTCTTGGATTGAGGCTTCTGATTGATCAGATTGGGTCGCGGGGAGTCGATGGACTCGATTTACTCTACGGCAGTCACTGCCACCAATCAGTCGCTGCAAGTCAAAATCTGGTGTGAGACCTCGATTACCTGAGCAGGAAAAGCTAAGTGGTGCTGGTGGTCAAAGTATGGAAACATGAAAACCTAAGTTTACTGGTACCCTCACTCTGTTGGGGTCATCCGACTTTGGGCACTACCTACTCCGTAACGTATTGTGCTCTCAACCGGCCGGCATGCCATTCGATGGCGGTATGGTATGTCCATTCGAATGCAACCTTGATCCATCCTCACGCGATCTTTCGTTACCCATCATGTCCTCCGATAGAGGATACTGCTGGACGCAGGACTTTCCGGGGGGGGGGGAACAGTAACTTGAAGCTGTGCAGCAAAGTTTCGCGAATGTAGGGCTCAGGAACAATCGACCGATTCCCACCCCACTAGACCCCCGATGCTGCGTCCAATTGGCCCATCTGGTCGATGCGGGCGAGGTGAACGCATCTAGAACACTGCCCCATACTATCAAGGTTGAGACTCGCTCCGTCATTTGTGAAGTGTAGACACTTGTCTACCGGTAAATACTACTATTTAGATATGCAGAAACTCTCAACAACCTTCTTCGGCTCTGGAAAACCTAAATCTAAGAGACGTCGTGCCTACTAGTAGTCGGAGTTAAGGGCGTCAACTTTTTCTGATTTTCTGATAGGGCATCTGTTCCTCCTCCCCGGCCCGCCCGCCAGCAAAACTCCTCTTCACCCGCCATTAATTACCACTACGGAAATCTATTACTCCCCGTTACCGCCCGCGGTCGCCAGCTAGCAAGGAGCTCCAGCGAGTGCTGCGCTCCCGGGCTGTATTGTGTTTACAATACGCAGGACGCCAGCCAAGTTCTCGTGGATCCATCCTAGCCCACTTTGGGGCCAACTCTCTGGAATCAGCACTAGGAACATAGTCCCGGTTTGCGTGAGCGAAACGGAAGATGTATCCGGGTAGGAGTAATAGGTGGGCACTGTTCAGAGCGGTTTGATTGTGTGGGAGTCAGTTTGGGTGGTACAGCACCGATTCTACCGAGTAATTCAACGTTCGACTCTCTATCATATTGATCAATGTACAATGTACTGTATCCTGCCGCAAGTTGCCCGCGTTCTTGATCTCATAGCCACCTGCAAATCACCCGACTTGGTGTCCTTTGTGTGGGCTCTAAAGCAGAGAGGGAAATTGGGGTAAATACAACACTGTACTGTGCTTAGTTGATGAGGCAATGGATGCAACTATGGTGTATTCTGTCTATCCTTGTACCTTGTACTACTGTACAAAGTATTTCACGAGAATGATCATCCAGCCCAGCCACTGTCGAGGACAATGCAACATTCCTTATTCCAGGTTCTCCGCGGTGGTTGAAGGTTGAGCAAGCCAAGTTTCGGGAGGGCGGGAGAGCGTGAGGCCAAGCCGCCGGGCGGTACGGAAGACCAAAGGCCCCAAATTTCGGGTTTACTCGGTGTAAGTTTCCGCGTGATATGAGTCGTCCAAAGCTTTTGACTACGCTACACTACCTCTTACTATTCCGTCACTCCCGTAATTTTACCCCATAGCTCTTGAGGTTGAAGCGTCCATGGACTTCAATACACATTCAGTAGAATAGGCTAACAACAATGCTAATAGAGGATCAAAATGCACGGAACCCATGATGTACTGATGATGCGACCGCTGTGCATACACCACCTCCAACACCAGTGCTACTAGAACAAAGCGATGGAATCTAGACCTTCCAGACTAGGAAATGAGGAAAGCAACAGGAAGGAGTACAACTAATGCACCAGATACCCTTGCGGATAATGAAAGTTCTTCCGACTCAGCTTCCACTTGGACCACGGGAACTTCTCTTCATACTGTGCGTACACGGTATCCTTCCCGGCGACCAGGTTATGAATATTTAACCGGGTGCTATACATCAGATTCCAGGCCTGGGCCTCGTGCCACTCGTCGGTGCCATTGTGGATGTCCGAGTCCTTGGAGGCGGGGCCCGCCGCCCGGTAGGTGCCGACAAGGTTGGGAAAGGGAGCGTAGCATTCGATCTGAGGCCGACCGTCCTTGCCGCCGCACAGGTCGCCCATGGAGTTGTCAACGGCGGCGACGATGCGGTCGACGGCGAGGGCGGCCAGGATCCGCTCCGCCCCGCGCTTGGTCACCGCGTAGCCGTAGGTGCAGCACCCGTACTCCGCCCGGTAGACGAACCGCGTCGACGTCTCTGGGAACTCTGGGTACTGCGTCTTCCACTCCTTGAGCGGTCCGCCCCACGTGCCGCGGTGGTCGACGCTGGGCGCCGTCGGGTCTTGCGGAATCGCGAAGAATTGCGTCTCGTTGGCTTTAGCCGCTGAAGCACACCCGCCGATCCAGAGCACGTCCCAGTTGGTCCCGTAGGGAGCCTGCCGCGACCCGTGTGTGTTGCCCGTCAGCGCCCGCACTCCGCGCGCGAACTCGCGCAGTTGTTGCTTGATGAAGATGTCCCAGTCCGCGTCGTCTTCGAGAATGAGGGCAGTGGAGTACGAGTTCTCGACCACTCTGTTAGAAATTGGTTGTTAGCTGTGCTCAGTATCGCTAGCTCAGGAGCCGTTGGAGGGAGGGAGGGAGGGAGGGAGGTGCCGTACTTGGTGAGTGCGTTCATATGTGCGCGCCAGCAGCCGATTTCCGATGGCTTGAGGCTGTTTTCCTAGATTGCACAATATACATTAATTCCAGATCTTCAGACGGGGGTGGTCTAGAAAGAACTCACATTTGGCAAGGACTTCTGGTTGATCTCCGTCGGTCGCACCCCATCAAGCCATTCGACCTGAAAGCCCGCCATCGAGGCAGCTAATGTGAGGAAGTCGCGTTTGTCCGTCCGTTCCTTCAGCCCGATCGCGAAGATGTGCTCGAACTAGATAAAAGGTCTTTAGCGTCGAAGCAGTTAATCTGTGGATGCGGACTAAACGCACCCCCAGCGTTTCGTTCTTGATGTGCTCAAAAGCCTGGTCTTCGAAGTAACTGCGGGCCATATCTACTCCATCCGTGGCCCAGAACCTCCGCGCCGACTGACTGAACAAGAATATTAAGAGCCCATAGCTGAATAGGGCGGCAATCACAATCCGTGAGATCTGTGTTCTTCCGCGGATCATCTTGTCGACTCGAACGAACACTGAATCTGTGGTGCTAGCTAGGTGGGTTGTCGGAGAGGCAGCGGCGAAACAAGAGAAGATGGCAAGAGAAAGACATCTGCATGATGGGATGCGCAGAACAAGTTGCACTCGAACTTCATCTTAGATAAGTCGTTAACTGCAAACGGTTTGAGTTTTGTAAAGGGCGACTTGGCCTTGATGGATGCGGGCATGGGCAAGCATTCCTCGGGGGAGGAAATTGTGAGGCCGGGATGCCGAATGCGGAAGGCCCTGCATAGTTCAGGTTCCATCAGTGACCGGGGACTCGGTCGGAGATGAACCTGGAGATCTCTCCATATACTCGGCTGTTTTGGGATTAGTGTGTGATTTGACAAAGAATATGGGTCCCTGTGCCTGATGATGTCCATACATAGTAGTACTTTAGACTACAAACTTGGCAGTCCCTGACTGATGGGGCCTTGGTCGTCACGTCATGATCGTAGGGATGATGTCATTCAACCTCGAACTTGTCTCCACCTTCCTAGCCTTAGCGACTAACCATCTCATTATCTCAAAGCTAATATACCTCCGCTCTTCTGCTTCCCAACAGACGAAAAATACCACCATGAAGACCCGAGTCAGTCGGAACTTTCCTAATTATAGATTGATAGACCAGAATACAACGGGGAAGCTGACAGGACTTCCAGTCTCAATCTATCCCTGAAGAGAAAACGGGGCGGGCTGAACCCCCAGAAGGGCTAGAATGGAAGAATCAGGATACCCCAGAGATATCTGCCGGGGATATCCCTCATGGATGGACGAATGATCCAAGTCTCTTGGACTACTATGGTTCACCTAGAACTAGTGATGCGCATATGGCCCGCTGTTGTGGACTGCAGGACGCCCGGATGGTTTTGATGGGCACTCCCGAGTCAGGAGATATGCAATATCTCATCACATCGGGGGGGAAATACTACTGGGGGCATTTCGAACTCGACCATCTCGAAGAGATCACGAAGCCCAAGACTCTGTTGGCGATTGTCAATGTCTTGAAGTCGAGCAAGGGATTTAAAGGCCTGCGTCGAAAGACGCTGAAGCCGGTTTGGGTTCCAGAGCCAGAGGAGGACACACGCCCTGCAACTAGTGGAGGGCCTAGTTTGTTTACTCCGTACGATCCCAGTACTTCTTCCCAGTAATGCTAGTCAGCAACTCAATATTACTTGTTGCGCTCATATGGGTTGAGATAACAGTGTCTAGAGACAGGGGGAATAGTCGTAAGTGGTTGCTATGATGTACGGTGCTATGTACATTTTCATCAGGATACTCGGCTTTCTTAATCCGACTGTGCTCGCAGCCTAGAGGGCTTTGTGCGAGTGGTTCACAGAATTGGAGGCGCCACAAAGGAGTCCGGAATCCCATCAAAAACCCAATTCAGGGAATCGAATACCTCGGAGAAGCCTGCCTCGCTAATGAAGGCGCCTTGATCGAAGTTTGGAGTGTATAACAGGGTTGTGCTCTGCAAAGACTCGCCCTGCTGCCGTGCGAGAGGGCCAGTGAGGGAAGCCACATTGGGATTGGCCATGGTAGCTGCGACATATCAATCTCATTGCCCCTGTACATCCGAGGAAACAGCAAAAACATACCTTGCGTGTCCTCCACGCTCTTCATCGGACGGAAGCGCTGGCGCCACCGCCACACGGTATCGTAAACATGGCTCATGCTCATGCGACAACGGATCTTGAGCTGGAGAGCGTCACCACCGGCGGGATCCTCTGGACTGCCTGCGTTCCACATCTGCGCCAGGATATCAGCCAGGCGGACGGGACGGTCGTGGTCCATGACGCTAATGCGGCGGATAGCCGAGATAGCTCCGTTGAAGAGGAGCTTTCCGTGTTCGAAATCGATGTGGCGACGGAAATCGCTCTTCAGGAGCTTCATGAGCGCGAAAGCGGCTGAGACAATCATTTGTAAGATGTAGTTGGGCGCATGGCCTATAAGCTCGCCGGGTGAGGTCTCGAGGTCGAGGACTCGTCCGAGGAAGGAAGTGGTTGCGATGAACAACTTTGTTAAGTCGTCGCTTCGGGCGTTAGAGCCCAGGAATACGAAATACCGTAGGTGCAGTTCGGCCGCTCGCAAGTGGATCATGTTGATGTCTGGATAATTAGTTCGAGCTCAGCAAAGGCGAATCGGGCCATGCATAACATACTGGAAATGTCCCGGCCAAAGTCGACTTCCATATCTCTCAATTCAATCTCGAGAAGCTGCACAATCAGCAGCTTCTCCGAACTGATGAACTCGGCGGGGTCAGGTTTGCTGCTGTACAATGCTTTTGTGACCCGGTCACAGAACTTTTCGATTCTGAGTCGAGTCATCAGATCATGCGAAGGGTGGTAATCGGCGTCCCGCAGTGAAGCGGGCTCTAAGGCCCAATCGTAAATAGTTGACGGAGGCTGCCCGTAACCGGTAGCGACACTGGATATATAGAGTCAACAGTTGGATCCGGCGGCTGGCTCGAGAGTCACTTACTTTTGAGCCACAATGTTACAAATAACCCATGTCTGCAATCGATCCTTGACAGCTTCCCCTTGTACTTCCATGCGGAAGGTTGTGAATTCCTCAGCTTGGACCGGACGATGCAGCCCCAACTGCATAGATATTTGCATCATCAGTCCGCTGAGCATAAATGTCGCATCAGTCCGTTGACTGGTTGTTGGCAACGGCCAGGTGCAAAGGAGGCAGAGTGCCTTGACCACACGGTAATCTTGTGGTACACCAGTGATGGTGGACCAGAGCAGTCGACTAAATGGCACGGAGAGTGCGCTGAGGAGACCCGGCTCAGAAGGTGCTCGTCGACTAGCAACACAGATAATAGTCCATGCCTGCAATGGACAACGACGCATATATTCGTCTGGGGGCTTCTGTGGGTTCAAAAGAGGAAGAAAGGGATGATAATATTTGAAAAACCTTGCCAATCATAAGTAAATTTGTCCAAGATGCTACTGCATGCACAGGGAGAGAATCGTACTGGTCAAACAACCGTGCTACTCGGGCTCGTGATAGCGAGACATCCTCTAATATCCACGGATTCTCGTCCTGGGATAAGATAGACGCATCTCGATGGATGGTCAGCGGAGAAGCGATGGGTTGCGGCTCTAATGGGGCCGACAACGGCCGTCCTTTGATGCCAACAGTGGCATCTGGAGAACAGAATACATCCTCCGAACATTGAGACAGCTCGTCACTGGCGTTAGCCTCCCCGGGCTGAGGATGCTCTCCACTGGCAAGCCGACGGCGGAGATCCGCAATTTCTTTTTCCATTTCGGCATTGCGCCTAGATAGCTAGTGTTCAGCCAAGAGATGAAACATAGGTAAGACATGCTCGGAAGGCCTTACCGGCGTTTGGAGATCCGTTTGAAAGTGGGCTCAACCTTGCATTCTATTTGGAGCCGCCGGCAGCGTGAGCATGCATCAGCGGGCGTTTGCACAATATCGCACCGAAGCTGCGGGGTCCGGTAAGCCTATGTTCAGCCAGTTTGTCTATATAGAGGGCATGAGAAGGGTGAAGCGCAGTAAACAATATCCGGTCAACAATGCGCTTTAAACGTTGTCGGACTTTTGAACGGATACATCAATATGCACAGCTGAGCGATGGGTCCGAATGGAATGCAAGGTGGAATGCGATATGACATGTATGGCCAGACTGACTTACCTTCTGCTGCTTACACTCATTACAGGCCTTCCTACAACCACCCCGCCGTTTGCTTGGGACGGCGGGGATCTTGTTCATGGCGCCAGGTTCCGAGGGTCTGGGGGAGAAATCAAAAGCAGTCATCGGCCGGGGAAGCCTGAGATTGTTCCGAAGGTCGCTGGTGGTGGCCGGAGGCGTTAAGAGAGAGGCATGTGTAGCCAACCCATTCGGCGCGAGAATCCCTCGGTACTCCAAATCCATCAGAGTATAGTTCCAATAACGCCCGACGAAATACCGTGGGACCCGGTTAACACATGCAAAGGCGAGAGAAGGAGGGGTGCAGCGAACGTAACGTGTGAACCAGGCGTTCAGGTGCCGGAAATCGGCAGAAAACTTTTGGGCTGTGGGCGGCCGCGCAGATCGCGAAACTCGGCAGTTTGCGCTGACTCAGCAGGGGCGGAAATTGCATTCGACCGCTGCCTGGTATATCAGGCGGTAATGGTTCTTGCCTTGTGCCAGCACTGAGACTTCGCCAACGTGAACAACCTTTAGAGAAGATCGACACCACATAAAGATGATGTTGTGACTGTATTAGCACTTGTTCATTCGTGTGGTGATCGAAGTACGCACATTCCATGTGACAGCAGACGAGTCTCCTGAAAACCGATTGAACAGGATGATTGATTCCGAGAGTTTTCAAAGAGATCATGACACGAAGAGGTTGCTGTTTCGCAGATGCATACCCCAGAGCGTGAGATGGACACGAGGCCAAGGCCTGATTTGTTGGTTCTGGATGTATTTGATCTCAACCAGCGGAGACAGGGGTGCGCGCGTTGCAGAAAGGTGACCGAGTTTGAGATGAGGCGTGTAGAGTTTCGCAAGGCACCGACAATTTTGGTAAGGCCGCAGACACAATTGAAGAGAGATAATGACACGAGCTGATTGTTCATAGTTCTTGGCTGCAGTGGGTTTTGACCAGCGGTGACACGGGTGTGAGCATTGCTGAAAGTGACCAAGTTCGAGATGAGGCTTAGAGAGTTTCGCAACACACTGAGTTGAATTTGGGTAAGACCGCAGACACACTTGAAGAGAGATAATAACAGGGGTAGATTGTCTCGATTGTATGAATGAGAATGTGAGACAGGCCTCATATGGAGAAGTAGAGGCTGAGTTTCGTTCACGTTGGCTTCACCTTTCGCAGTTGGAAGTTAGGTTGAGCGAAAGGGTACTGATCCCCGGCACCGTAGCGTTTCCACGCGCATGGGTGTGAACAAGTCGGGGTCTCCGAAGGGGATGGAGGAATCCGTCATAACGGCAGACTAACCGGTGAAGGAGCCATCCTAACGTCAGGCCTCAAGACTTCAAACCGGGTCAGACAGTCATCCAATGGCAAGATACCCCCCATGCCAACAGCTGTATCAGGGCTAGAGTTTGGTAACGCGGTTTGCTTTCCGCTAGACGGTGGTAGGTCCTCTGGGTGTGTCAGGCCACAAAGGATGGCTCCCAAACTCCACGGATGGAGTGAGCCCCTACCGGGATCCGGTATTTTATTTCCTTCACCCTCAGGACACCTGGCCAGGTCACTACGCACAGGCGGGACCTTTTGACGACATGTCCAAGGTCGTCCGTAAAACAACTTTCGACTGCCTACCTTGATGAATCAAGGCGGGGCACCCACGCATTCAGTCCAGCGATCGAAATTGCTGATTTTGCCCTTGTGGATCTCGATAAGAACTTCACAATTGGGACACGGGTCCCAAACGCTCTACCAAATCTCCCCAGACAATCGATCATCGTAAACAGGCGCAGTATATATGTACTTATTGCTAAGCGCCAAGCCACACACCTGCTCTGCCACTTCTTTGGGCTTCCCCCTATTATGCAGCCAAGTTAGTTTAGTCAATGTTCCATGAGGGAGGGTAGAGAGCCACTAACATGAGAAGTTTACGGAAAGGATAGGTTTCCGCACATCGGCCAAAGGGCTTTCCGGCTTTCTTTCCTCGTCTCGCAATGGTCGGCGTCCATGCTTGTGACCAATTGGTCAATTCAAGCACTGCAGACTTGATGATCCCAAAGCGAGCGCGGTCAAGAACAGCGAGCCAGGAGCCTATCCCCCTCCTCACACTCCAACCTCCCCTGGAGGCACCAAGATGAAACTCTCCAGCTGGCGTCCAGGTGCACTGATAGACCCTTGGCTTCTGTCTAATCTCCCCAGACAAAAGCTGGCAGCACCACTGTCCAAAAACGGCAGTCACCGGGAGGTAGAAGTTCCTCTTGCTTGCTCCCGCTGGAGCTCGACCCAGGCTGCTTAAAAAAAGCCCTAAACAGTCGGGGAGTGCCCAGTAATCCACACCATGACAGGTCGACTTGTTGAGCCGGAGCTCAGATATACTATGGGGCCATCGGGGGTTCGCGCGACGGTCGATGCTCTGGGGCGGCGGGGGAACAAGATAGCTAGGGCCATTTGGCTGGCTTTCCTCGAGGTTAGACTTCTAGGTACTTCAAGGTACGCTGGGCCGTTAGAGATCATTAGCTTACCGAAGTTGATCAATACGTTGGTGTATTGATGCTAGCATGTTGACATTCTCGGCGGGAACGCCGTATACGGCTGGCCAGCGTACAATGTCCTGTAACAAGGCTATGATGTTCGCATACGAGAACATGTAGGCCTGGCGCAGGTCCAAGCGGCCGTTAAGCCAGGGAAGAAGCATTCAGCCATGATGACACCTTGCCCTGAGAATGCTCTATTCTCTACAAATCTCTACGATCCTACAAGGAATACTGGGTGCGGCAGTAAAAGTAGAGGGCGCGCAGTCCTCGACTGCTTCATTAGGAAGGAGCATCGGGGTCAAGGGGCATCGGGGCCAACAGGGACAAACAAACGGGGCCCTCCCTCCTCCTCCTCCTCCTCCTCCTCCTCCTC